TTCCAACAGGTACGACGATTGAGAGACTTCGTAAATGGGTCAAAGGCGCATCTGTGCGCTAAAAGTGGCCATCACTGGGCACCTTACCCTAGAGATGAACAGTGGACTGATGAAGAACGTCATTAAGAGCGACGTGAAGAACACCATGAAGAGCGACGAGAAGAACGTCGTGAACGTCGTGACATTTCCAGCGAAGCGCACAGTCGCAAGAAGAGCAAGAAGAAAAATAAAAAGAAGAAAAAGAAGAAGTCTAGAAGACACACCCCCAGTTCTACTTTAAGCTCACACTCATCTTCATCTTCCAGTTCTGAAGATGACCGGCAAGGAAAGCGTAGGCAGTCAAATCCTGTCATCAAGTGGACTTGCAGATTGCAGATCCTCTGGCAAGGGTGATGGGCTCCATGAATCCCTCGAAGACATAGAAGAAAAGGCTGAACCATCTAATGTCTCTAACGATAAGCTTCTCACAGGAATAGGATCGTTGCTAGAGGGAGCATCAGAGACCTGGCTCAAGAACAACTCCGACATCAATTCTTGGTCGCAGTACAAAAAAGACATGCGTAAAGCCTTCTGTCCCTCAGATCTTGATGATGCTATTTATGAGAAGATAGAAAACCTTCAACAATCTAAAAAAGAAATCTTCTCTGTGTATGAAGCCCGAGCAGAAGAGTTGTTTCACCGTCATAGCCGCCGGCTTGAAGAGTCTGAGATACTGAGGATTCTGCTGAAGGGCTTGCACTACTTCTATCGATCCAGGATTCGCTCCAGAGACATGACCTTTCTTCGAGCCTTGCGTCGTGCCAAGAGTTAGAACCTGACAAATCTGTTGTCATAGGGATGGAGAGAAAATCAAGAAAGAGTGACAGAAGAGAGAGAGGGAGGGAGAGAGAGAGAGAGGGAGAGAGAGAGAGAAAGAAGATAGAAAGAGTTTGAAGAGGGACAAAGAAGAGAGAGACAGAAAGAAGGAAGGAAACTCTATGCAAGCTAATGAAGATATTTGATGTTCCAACAGCAGCAGTAGTGAAGAAGAGGCTGCTGTCTACACATCTACTATCAAGAGCCAATTCATTTCGATTAGCTGGCGTTGAGGTGGTAATGGACATCACGGTAGCCACTGCTCTGTCAAGATATTCTGTTGTCAATGTGTTGTACTCGAGTCCTGTGTGAATAAACACGTCTTCGGCCTACTCCTGGTTCCCTCAGTCTAGACACCAGAAACCACCTCCCAAACACCACAATAGAGACCTATCTTAGCCGTTCAAAACAAGAAAAATATCCAAAATAGTGAAAAATATGTGTTTTTGGCCCGCCCTTCTATTGAAAAAATATCCAAGACGGCCAGAGTCAGGAAGAAGCGGAATTTAATTGGCTGAGCGATAGCGAAGCCAGTTACTCAGGTGGGGTTGAAAAGTTTTTCCTGTCTGCGTGCGTGCGTCCGTGCGTGTGTGTGCGTGTGTGTGTGCGTGTGTGTCCGCACTGCTCCTCCTGAACGGCTCGGCCGATTTTAATGGATTTTGCGCACTTTTTAGGTATGTCCTTGGCTCGGCACACGCGAAATTTCACAATCCTAGCTCAACTGGTTCAGTTTTTATAGTTGAAAAACACCTAAAAAACGGCGAAAAATCGAGTTTTCTGCAGATATATCACTCCTGTCTCGGAGAAAGGGGGGTCTGGGGGAGGAGCCCCCCAGCCTCGACAATTTAAAAAGTTACAAGGGTCAAGATCGTGTTATCTGTAGATGAAGCATCCTTGTCTAGAATGTAGGGGGTCTCGGGGGCGGAGCCCCCCAGCATGCAACAAGTTTAAAAAAATACCGACAATGGACGATCCATTGCCTGCCGAAGGCAGGCTATAGCGCCGCAGGCCAAGGTAGGTACGCCAGGCGCGGATTTGAAGAACAGGCAGCGAGACATCGCAAAGCCTGTTACGACAAGACGCGGTCTGGCGTAAACCTACCTTGTTAGGAAGAGAATGGTGTATGATTGAAAACTGTAGGACAACATCCTACGCTTGGCCTTACGTAATTTATGTTGAAAAACGACGAAATTTCAACAAAAATCTCACATCGAGCTGGCCGTTAAGGGGTATTGAAATGCACGTTTTTTTAAATTCCATACCGGCACACCCGGAAAACGGTTCATTCCTACCTAAAACCACCGCAAACCAAATTTGAGACCGATCGAAAAATATTTAGGGGTCGCTACAATGGCTGAAAGTTGTAAATTTGACGTAATTTGAAACAAAATACAACTTTGGAGTATTTGAAGCCCTGCGCATCCGGTGTTGGTCCTAGCTTGTTGCCCCCGGAGACTTTTTTTTTCTCGGGATCCAGGCTGACCGAAAGAACCCTACGGGATGCGTTTTTAGCGAATGGTAACGGAACTGGGTCCATTCTACGCTCAAAAAAGTGTTTTTTTCTCCGCTTTTAGTGTTTTAGAGGCCTGCCAAACTTTTGCCTTGCGTCACAAAAAATCTAAACCCATGTATTTTGATAGAAAAAAGGTTGCTCTTTCAAATGGCGGTCACGGAAACAGTCTACGATTTTTGGTTTAGGCTCCAGAGCCGTTTAAAGTTGAAAAATGGATTTTATTTTAGTGAATATGAGAGCAAATTTTCACTCTTAGTCACGTGCGACGTATGGTTTGGCCAAAGTGCTACCTAGCGAAGTGCAGGCGGTGCGCTATTATTGGTGGGAGAAGTTTCCCGGGTAGAAATAGACGGCTTTTATACAGCTGCTAAATATTTTGTGATCAAAGAAACGCGCAGGCGTTCGAAAAGTACCTGGATTATGTTTGGACTGTGTCTGCAAGATGTCGACAAAATATACGGATATTTTGAGGACGTTTTGCCAGTCTCTGGCCGGCCGACGTCGTTTTAAACGACCTTAAAAAGATGCCCAGAAGGCAAAGACAATATATCGGCAAAGAGCTGCCGCATCGCTGGCCGCAGCAGCAAAAGAGAGACCACTGGCGTCGGTCCACAAACCTGCCGCTTGCGAGACAAGAGCGGATCTGCTGGGCGCTGGGCCAGAGCGTCATCGCTGAAAAAGAATTGCAGCTGAGCGGTCCGTCTACGTATCCACGACCGTGTGAACTCAGCCGGTCCCTGCCCCAGGTCAAGCCCATAATGTCACGATCCAGCGAACTCGGTTGATCACGCGCGGCAATAACAGCGAGTCTATAGCGTAGACCTGCTGCGACCTGCTGTGAACGAATGGGAGCAAAGAGGCTGGCACAGTCTAAACATAATCCAGGTATTTTTCGAACGCCAGCGCGTTACTTTGGTCACAAAATATTAAGCAGCCGTATAAAAGCCGTCTATTTCTACCCGTGAAACTTCTCCCACCACAGCGCACCGCCTGCACTTCGCTAGGTAGCACTTGTGGCCAAACCATACGTCGCACGTGACTAAGAGTGAAAATTTGCTCTCATATTCACTAAAATAAAATCCATTTTTCAACTTTAAACGGCTCTGGAGCCTAAACCAAAAATCGTAGACTGTTTCCGTGACCGCCATTTGAAAGAGCAACCTTTTTTCTATCAAAATACATGGGTTTAGATTTTTTGTGACGCAAGGCAAAAGTTTGGCAGGCCTCTAAAACACTAAAAGCGGAGAAAAAAACACTTTTTTGAGCGTAGAATGGACCCAGTTCCGTTACCATTCGCTAAAAACGCATCCCGTAGGGTTCTTTCGGTCGGCCTGGATCCCGAGAAAAAAAAAGTCTCCGGGGGCAACAAGCTAGGACCAACACCGGATGCGCAGGGCTTCAAATACTCCAAAGTTGTATTTTGTTTCAAATTACGTCAAATTTACAACTTTCAGCCATTGTAGCGACCCCTAAATATTTTTCGATCGGTCTCAAATTTGGTTTGCGGTGGTTTTAGGTAGGAATGAACCGTTTTCCGGGTGTGCCGGTATGGAATTCAAAAAAACGTGCATTTCAATACCCCTTACTGGCCGTATCTCAGTAATTAGGGTAAACTATACAGTTACCGTCAGTTTAAGAGCATCGCTTTCTTTTCAAGGGCCTCTAGGGTAGGTTATGACACTTAGACCCGTGCGACTTGTTCCAGACACCTCAGAAGGATCTAGACAACGAAGTGGCTGACAAAGATTTCACTAAAAACTTTTTGTGACGCTCTTATTTAACCTGAGAAAAAGGTTACCAAAAACACAGTAATCGGTAGCCAAAATACAGTTACCGGCACCCCTTGTTAAAAAGGCAAAACATGACCGAAAGTGACGAAAATTTCTAACAGTCGTCACAGACACTCTATATCTCCCCTTGACATGTTACGAACCCCCTCTCTCTTCTGTTATGCCTCTTGCGCCCTTCATTACAGACTCACGGACAACTTGCACCATGAGCTGCGAAAAAACAACCTCTCAAAGCGCCGAGGAGGACTTTCGTAAATCACGTAGATCACTTGGAAATAGTGATCCGATTTCATTCAAATTTGGCAGGGGTCTTCCTACGGTCATAATGCATCAGAATATTAACTCCCGTGCGACGCCCGAAACACCAGTGAAGTTTGAGGCCACCCTGACGATAACTGTGTTTGGGGTGATTTCTCTGGTGCAGTTATCGGCACCCCCCGAAGGAGGGCAATCAAGAAGAATTTCTGTGCACCAAGCACATTATGCCTTCTTCAATAGATGGGGAGAAGGAACCTGGCAAGGAGAATAGTTTTTTCCGGCCCACTTTCACGAATTTAACGAAAGATTGAACCCCTGTTCCTAGCATGGAAGATAAGAACGGGCGGCCGAAGCAGCTTCATTCTGCACTTGACAAGAAACTTGGCTCTGTTGGCTGACATGCTCAGTCAAACGCGATGCTGTCTCGGTCCTGCATGATCAAAAGGTGTCTCTAGCGACTTGCATTGGCCGCATCACTAACGGACGCGTACTTGCAGAGCAGGACCCAATTATTCATCCAAATCGAAGAAATGAATTTCCAAGAGTTCGTTGGTTTGGCATGGAATCGCCCATAGTGTACTCACGCAAATCTGCTGAACTCGAATGTGTCCGTCAGGCTCCACATTGTGTATCCAAACACTCTTGTCCCGTCTTCGTTGATCCCCGCCGCCATCTCACGTAGAAAGGCCTGTATCACATTCAAATTTTAGCGAATGAAGCAGACATCTTTTTAAAGCTGATTAGGTTGTGGCTTGTTTTTTGGCCCGTCCCGTTTATTTTTTGCAAAAAAATGACGGAGGGACGGGCATATAGTATGATCCTTGCTGTGCGTCCGTTCGTTCGTCCGTCCGTCCGTCCGTCCGTCCGTCCGTCCGAGGACTTCCCGTGGCCCGATCTTGACCAAATTTGGTATGCAGCCTCCTTGGGTGACCCTAAGAACCGCCCGGTGGCAGCAAATCCGATCCGAGCCCCGGGGGCGCTGCTGCAGGTGCATCATGGTCTACATGGGGTCGAGGAGGATCTCGGCAACGGATGCAGCTAGAAGGGCATGTAGGGGTATTTTTGGAATCGGGGCGACGAGAAAAAACCAATGGTGTCAGTTTCGAGCGAATCGGAGAAGTTCGGACCCGGGTTCAAATCCCAGCGGGGTATTTTTTGAACATTCTTTTTATTTGAGTTTTTGCATTGTTTCTGATGTTTTTGTGGGTGCTGATGACGAAAACTACATTTATTTAAACCCCAGACTCAGGTTTAATTCCCGTCAGGGTCAAAAATAGGCGAAATTTGTACGTTTCTTAATATACGGGACGGGCCAAAGTTGCCGATGAATATCGCTACTTTTCCTGTTATTGATGGTCGACACACGCCTTCTTAGTGACACATGAGTAAAAAATATCCTAATGTAGGCGTGCTGTTGCGTTGACCAAAATGTTGTGCATAGAATTTTAGTACTTAATTCAAAGGCTAATTAGATTCACAATGTCCATTGATTTACTTCGGCACTTACACTGCAATACACAGCGCGGGTGTCCCAGTCGTCCAGTGGCGCATCGCCCTGCGTTTGCAATCCGTTCTCTGTGATGAATATGGGAAGGTGCTTCACGCTGTCGTACCGCGCCTTGACCCACTTGGGCATCTCACGGAGCACCCACGCACTGGTCTGGAGCAGGCATTTTAACATTTCGGGTCAGAGCGCACACGGCCTCTTCAGTATCTTCCGCTGAACGGTACCGATACGAACATCTTGTCTCAAAAGTTTGAATGAAATTAAAATTTTACTTTAGAGCGCCTCATTACCGTAGGCCGGGGTAATATGAGACAATTTCGGGGTAATATGAGACGCATGATTTTTATCGTTAGAATTATAATGCTCGTGGCATTTGATGACTCATCCCTGTCAAACTTCACGGCGAAAAATTGTACCAACAAAGAGTAATTAATTTTTTACAGCAGTGGCTCTCTTTTTGGCCCAATAGCGAGCTCAGAGTAAATCTTACGCAAACCAAACTCCGTCTCATATTACCCCGAAATTGTCTCATATTACCCCGGCTTACGGTATTGGAAATTCCGACATGACAGCACTGAAGCCCATTCAAAAGGTTGATGCTGCTTTTAATGGATTAGACAGGGAAATGGCTGTCATTGGAGGTAAAGGAATGACTTAATTTCTAAGGGGAACATCACTCCAAAAACAGTACTTTTGTAAAACCGTCATTTAAACCAAACGGAAAGACATAAATTGTTCATATTTTAACAGATAAAGTATGAAGCAACAAAAAGTCAATCCACCAGGGCAGTTCAGCGCTTTCGTTAAAACCACATTTTTTAGTGTTAGGTTAGACCATTTCGTACTGTTGCAGCGCTGGAAGCCAAACGGTTTCACCTGGCGACAGCCTTTCTAAGATGTCTGTCTGACTATGGTGGGTATCTCAATCACATTTAAAAAATCATTTTCATTTCCATTTGTAAAATACCAAACACTTTTTGTTCAATTTTTTTGTCAAAATTGTTTAATTTTAAACTGTAAAAAAATAAAAACTGACCAATGCAAACTTTTTTGCTACCCTCTAAAGCGGCATGTCGAAGGAGCTTCCATGCTAAATCTTACCGCTGTAGCTCAAAAACTGCGCACAGGAGGCCTGCAACCGTTTTCAATTTTATATTCCGAGAAAAACGCGACCAACGCACAGTGGGCCACGAAGCCGGTTTAGGCGGACATAATTCTCTCAGGCCATACTAATGGCTATTTTGACGTTTCACTGGGTAGTCGGGGGTTGTGAGGGGCGGAGAATCCGTTTTTGGCAATATCTGATGCATTGGACCGTCCTTTCGCACCTCAAGTATCTGATGCATAGGGACCTGATACGCCAAGACATGGTCTGACAAATTTTCTGCATTTTCATAAAATGAGCGACGCAAAAACCAAAACATGCACTCACGTTTAACGAAAACTCTGACAAGCACAACTCTAATCATAACAAACAAAAACTATGCAGCAACTCCTCTGTTAAGCGGGGAAGCGTTGCGCTGCGCGGGACCGTTTTTCCCCTTTTAGACGATGTTTGGGAGACCCTACAATTCAAAGGTGCAGGTAGGTGCAGCTAAACTCTTTTGGGTTTTGTTCCTTGGCATGTTGGCTTCCGCATGGACTGAAGGAGGCCGTTAAACAACGTTAAACAAAAAAGTGCCGCCTCTGCAAAGGTTTAATTTGAACAATTTTGTAAGAGTGTAGTAAAAGTGAAGCTGGACACCACAAAAATCGTCCAAAATCAAAAGTAAATGTATGCAAATGTTCGTGAAGAAAGGCCCTTTAACGTGGTGTCAGTAAAAAGTTTGCTGCACAAAAATTTATAAGAATTTTTTGCGTTTCAAATCATGCATATTTATTGCACCAAAGTGGCGCAAATCATTTGGTGCGTGTTTGACCACCTGTATGTTTGCCTCAGCGTGTTCCTGCGTTAAAATTCTGTCCAATCCTGGTTCCTTGGAGTATTGGGAAGAGTTGTCATGAAACAAACTTTAGGATTTGAGAGTTGAAAAAATTCCAATACTAATCGCATTGCACGGTGTTCCCGTTTCCATAACTGGTTGAAAATCGAGGAAAACATGACAAGACAACCGCAGCCTTTGAGAGCATGCCAAACAATCCAACCTCAGCAACAATGGAGGGGCAGTTTCAATGGGCGCCTGTTCGTTCTTTCAGCCTCGCGATTTTCGAAAGGGCGCAGACGGCAAGCATATTGGTGCCAACTCACGAAAATTAATTTTGGTGTGTCGTTTCTGCTACGAACTTTTTAGTAGTGACATACTTTAAAGATGTTCCAACGTTGAGACACCGTGCAATGTGTTAGCATTAGCATTTTCGAATTTCACGGCGTTTAGATTTTTTTTAATGGGCGACTTTAAATTTTGACGGGTGGTACGATGGCACCATGCCGTTGCCATGGAGATTTTTTTTTCATGTTTTGACCATTTGCTCAGAACATATATGATTTCTTGTTACTTTGATGAGCCAGGAGGTTTAGTTTTGAGGAGTGGCACATTTTTTATTTGAACCATTTTTTCATATCATTAACGGTTCTCGTTTTCGATTGTTGCAAATTTATGTTTTTCGCGTTTACGGAAATTTTCCACGATGAATTTTCGAAAAAAATTGGAATTTTCGTTTTTTTCATGGTTGAAATAGTTTTGAGTTGTTTATTTGAAAATCGGAGAGGGGGGGGGGAAGAATCCACGGACCTCGGACAATAGGGGTTCTTGGGAACCCCTAAAAATGGAATTATGTCTGCCTAAACCGGCCTCGTGGCCCACTGTGCGCCAGTGCACTTCATTTTTCTGCGACCTCGTCTCACTCCTGCCACGATTCCGCCTCTCTGGATTGAGCCTCGAGCACGGGATTTGAAAATTTCTCAACAGGACACATGTGGCTATGGTCTGAACCACGGGCAGGCAAAAAGAATGATTTTGAATTTGTTTTTTCAAAAGGCAAAAATAGAAACAAATTTTTTAACCAAATTTTTTGCGCTTTCATGGCTGCAGCTCACGTCCTTTTTATGGGATGGTCATTTCCGAGGTTCAGACCATAGACGCAAGTTAAACGAACTTTTTGCCGCAAACCGCATTAATTTATCTCAATTTTTGCGCCCGCGAGAGTGGCACAAAGGTACAAAAAAGGTGTTTTGAGAAAAAGCCCTTTTAGTAGAAACATAGATTTGACGTGTTTTTTCGGATTATAAATGGGTTTTTTGAAGTATTTAAGTTCGTTTTGCGCCAAAATGACCCTCTTTTCAACCGCGTTTGGGTGGTTCAAGGGTTTTGTAATTAATCTTTAAGTGAAAAACCTAAACGTTCACAATTGGTCTAAAATATCCAAAAATAATAACCTTTTTAGCAACTTCAAAAATGTGCACAAGCCAAAGTAATTGGAATTTTGGGGTGGGGTTTGCGGCATTCGACTCGGGATGAATAGCAGAAAAATAAGATAAAATAAAAAAGAAGGCAAAAATTTGACGATTTTCACTGGTGTGCCCCCTTAATAAGACCTGTTCGGTCGTCTCTAGGACCTGGCTCTTTCTTCGTCAGTTGCAGAAAGGTCAGAAAAGGTAAAAGAGTGGTCATCGGCTGGTCACATGGATCGCTGAGGAGGAAAACGGTCGAAACGTGGCCAAAAAAATCGTATTTGGGCGATTTCTGCACGTTACAAACAGAAACGGAACTTAAAATGCAGTCTGGCCAAAACATGACTGAACTAATTTTTTTGCCTTTAAAAACTGAACAAAATGACACCTCAGGTTTGAAGATCAGAAAAAAAAATTGCGACCTCAGAGCTCAACAGACTTTTCTTTCTGTTGAAAACAACGAAATGCTTGCCCCTACAATGTAGGCAAATTGATTTGCACGGCTCCATCACATCCCCTCTTCTGTACTCCGATGCTTTGCCCCTATGCACGTTTGCGGCCCACTACAACCTCTTAAAACTGCATTTTTTTTCGAATTTTTGAATGCGGTTACTGTTATTTGACTCACAGAAAAGAATGATCTTTAATATAAACTTATAAAAAAAGTTGCACTTTTTGACCAATTTGGAGTGATGTCCCCCATAAATACAAAAATGAGTTCTTTGACTCATGACGTTAAGATACTTCTCAAGTGATTATAACACTGATCTACGCGAGCTTCATCAGTGATGACCTAAAAAAAAGACCTCCTTGCTGAGTCGCAATTTTTCATTTCAGAAGTATGTATCTCTCTCACTCCGCCCCCCCCCCCCTTTCTGTCTCCCTTGAGCAATGAAGAACATTTAACGTCCTGTCGGTAAACAGCCAGCCACATCAACGGACAAAGAAGTACCCAGGATTCCCACTTCAGCAGGCGACTCCGTGAAAATAGACCTCTTTTCCAAGAGTGGACTGCTGAAGTATTTTCTGATATTAATTGCTGCAGCATTTTACTGTCATTGCACGAACAGGAGGTGCATTTCGACTTACGTGGTCGCCGAAACTGTCTGGGCCGTTGGCAGCGAGTCTTGCATCTGCACTGACGTCGGAGGCATTCACACTCCGACCACCGTAGATGTTGATAGCCAGGAAGTCAACACGCCCTAAAGGCGAAAGTTCCATATAGTGAGGAATGTTACGGCGAAAGTGTGGTGATAGTCGCTTAAGGGGGCACACCAGTGAAAATCGTCAAATTTTTGCCTTCTTTTTTACTTTATCTTATTTTTCTGCTATTCATTCCGAGTCGAATGCCGCAAACCCCACCCCAAAATTCCAATTACTTTGGCTTGTGCACATTTTTGAAGTTGCTAAAAAGGTTATTATTTTTGGATATTTTAGACCAATTGTGAACGTTCAGGTTTTTCACTTAAAGTTTAATTACAAAACCCTTGAACCACCTAAACGCAGTTAAAAAGAGGGTCATTTTGGCGCAAAACGAAGTTAAATACTTCAAATGGCCCATTTATAATCCAAAAAACACGTCAAATCTATGTTTCTACTAAAAGGGCTTTTTCTCAAAACACCTTTTTTGTACCTTTGTGCCACTCTCACGGGAGCAAAAATTGAGATAAATTAATGCGGTTTGCAGCAAAATGTTCGTTAAACTTGCGTCTATGGTCTGAACCTCGGAAATGATCATCCCATAAATAGGACGTGAGCTGCAGCCATGAAAGCGCAAAAAATTTGGTTAAAAAATTTGTTTCTATTTTTGCCTTTTGAAAAAACATATTCAAAATCATTCTTTTCGCATGCCCGTGGTTCAGACCATAGCCACATGTGTCCTGTTAAGAAATTTTCAAACCCCGTGCTCGAGGCTCAATCCAGAGAGGCGGAATCGTGGCAGGAGTGAGACGAGGTCGCAGAAAAATGAAGTGCACTGGCGCTCCGTCTTGCCATCGCTACCCCACCCTCCCATACTGATTTTTCTTTTCTTTGATATAATTTTGAGCCACGAATAAAATATCAATCGAATACGTAGGTAACTTTTCTCAGAATGATCGTTTTTCAAAACCTCTACATTTTCACTGGTGTGCCCCCTTAACAGTGATACTACGATAGAAGGCTTGATACCCTCACCTTTAACGAGTTCCTTTTCTTCGTCGGTAAAGGCAATGCCCCTGGACGCCTTGACTCGCTCAGAGAAATCGCCGAAGACGAAGGGGTCCACGGTAAGGCCGATGCCAGAGAGTTCGTTCATCTTCATTGCGGCCTCGACATCATCTGACGAGTAGGGATCTTTTGCTCTGGCGAATATGGGACCCGCACCAAAGCCTATCATACCTTTTACAAACATCACGTTTTTAATATGACCTCAGTTTTAGATGACAAGCATTTTAGGGTTGATAAACGCTTAGATTGCATGAATTCGTGAAATTTAGGCGCGGCCGTGATTCACGCGTTAACATGAATGCATCGGTTATATTTCGTACGAAGTCGTGCTAAATTAGTTCACGTACATGCATACCTTTCTGTGATGACTTGTACTTAGTTTCGTAGATTTTGTGCGCCTTGGCGTGGGAGAAAAGCATGTTTTTCAGGCACTTGTTCATCTCCTCAATAGTCACAGCGAAAGCTGGTCCCAGAATGCCTGATCCCAGATAATCGCAATAAAAGGATGGCTCATTCACAGTCTGCCAGTACTTAACCTACGAATAAAGCAAATAACAGGATAAGTGGTGATACAGATGGGCATTTTTGGCTGACGCGTCCCGTGCATTTTGAAGTTGGCGAATTTCGTCTTTCTTTTGCCCCAGTGGGATTAGAGCCTGGGTCTGGGTCAAAATGTGACAGAAGATAATTGTTTTAAATCTCCGGACCTTAAGGTGCCTTAAGGTGGCTTGCGCGAAGAAACGTGATAGTTCCATTAGCCAGTAAGTTTTTGTCATACGAAAAAAATCAAAGAGCTCGAGCGTCGCACTACCTTATTGCCGTAAGTCTGGAAAATAAAATCTGCGTAGTCCGCGAAGAGGTCTGATACAGTGTCACCCAGCCACCCGCCCTCTTCCTTCTCTACGGTTAGTGGAGTGTCGAAATGAAAGAGAGTCACCTTAAACAAAAATAAAAAGGAAAAAATATTAGTTTTGGTTAAGATATTAATCATGCTCCTTTTTCAAACGTCAGAATGCCTCGATACACGGCAAAGACGGCCTATGGTTTTCCCAGGTAGCCAGCCAATAGTTAAGACTTAGGCCGACACGGGCGATTTCCAGGGAGTCCCTTAGAAAACCAGGAACCGTTTTCACCGTGTATGAGCTGTAAAGAAATGGAATAACATACTATGGGTTGAATGTTGTTCGCAAGTAACGTGTCTATGACTTTGTGGTAGAACTGGACGCCCAACTCGTTGATTTCCGTATTCCTCCCTTTCGGAAAAATTCTCGTCCAAGAAATAGACATTCGAAACACGTTAAACTGAAAAGAAAGAAACACAATTCATTATATGGTCGCAGGGACCACAGTATGACATGAGCGCAACAGGTGCCCTGAGAATGAAAAAGTCAGGATCAGGGCTGAACTTTTGTGTGAGAATCCCTTCATTGCCTGAATTTGGATTCATCCAATTTATAAATTAGGCAATCACCGAAATTTGGGTGATAAATTAACCCTCACCAAAATTTAGGGGGAAAGGCACACCTCACCCTAAATACATTAATGATCAGTGCAATTTCTAAGTTCAACTTGCAGTGCACGAAAATCCGGAAACGTGTCACGCTGAATCTTTTTTCTGACCACCCCGCGAAAGAAAGACTTCTTCAGCGGAAAACTCGTCGCGCCGCGTCGCAGTCCGGTGGAACCATCCGCCGAACGTCCACCGAAGCCCGGTGGAAGTGTCCGGGTGCATTAAGCACGTGCGCTTCAACGACTTTCCGTCGAACGGCTTGCCGTCCATGTATGACGCTCCCCCGTCAAATCAAATCTAATGGTGATTTTAACAGGACGCGGAATATACTAGCCAGGCAACGTAAAATTTCACGTAGAAATTTATTAAATGTAGAGTTTTTATATTGTCCAAGGATGTCCCGGTTAAAGGCGGATATGCGACTCACAGGTAGATGGTGTAGCCCTTGACGTGCGCCCCGCGCTCTATTTACACGACACATGCCTGTCGAGATTTGCGCCGTATTTTCGACGGTATTCCTTCGAATGTCCGAGAAAAGTTTCAGCACGGTTACATAGAAGATTAGGCAGGTCGCTGCGAGCTCTGTGCTTGTCCGGCCGGACTGGCCGAGCAGAGGCGCCAGGAAATTTGCCCCTGTGGCGCGGGAAAGATGGTCGGCCACTCCAAGTGTAAAAATTTATTCCCAATTGCTAGGGTAATTTTACTGTCGTGACACGTGGAATCAGTTTATCTTTTAAAAGAGTAAATTAACTTTTGTGACTCATAAATTTTCCCACACAGTCAGTGGATAAATATTCCAGTCGCAAGTTAGTTCAGCTCTGCGCATCCATTATGTAAGAAAAAACATTTTCAGGCCATGGCGTAAAATTTATCAGTGCTGTGCACGGGTAAATTTTCCATGATTTTCACAGTGTTTCTATTGAAAGTCCTATCACCGGTAGCTTTTCTGACAGCGAAACAAGCCCTTCTGTGGGTCTGATATTAAATTTCCCAACTCACGCCAATCTCCTTGGCTATGGCAATGTCTTCCTTGTAGCGATGGTAGAAGTCACACGCCACGTCGCCGTTGACCGTCATGTTCGCGGAGTGGAAGGCGAAGTCAAAAACATTTAGACCCTTTCCTTCAACACACAAGAGCAGAGTGTAACTTTTATGGAATATGACGACTACAGTGGGCCAGAAGACCGGCGGCCAATAATCCAGGCCCGTTTTGAGCTCCAGCGAGACGCTAAACAATACTCAAAGCAAGGGCGTATCCCCACCAATGGATTCCTCGTTCGGAGATCAATCCAATGATTGGTCACACATTTGGTGCGAGTCCCATTAAGCAACTCGGAGCACGAAACGCGCCTGGGATTTATGCGATTTATGACCACCCCCACCTGCCTGATTGATCAGTAAGGGGGTGCCTAGTATCTAGTCCCCGCCCTAAAAGTGTATGAGTGTACATACCATCCTCATTCCAAGCGCCCTCAATCTGGTAGGCACTGGTAGCTACGCCCAAGAGGAATCCCTCAGGCAGAGTATACTTGGCGTCGTCGCCACTGGCTCGAGCCAAGCTGCTGGCTCTCGACAGCCCGCAGACTGCGAAGACCCAAAGTAATACCGTGAGCTTCATTTTGCGACTGGGTGAGAGGTGCAGGCAGTAGTGTCTTTTAAGTTTCCTTCAAGTGGCTTCTCGTCGTTGTAGGCTGGCCTGCCTGACGTCACTAACATCACACCACACACCACTCACACATGCCATTATCTCAAGTGGAAGTGTAGTGGACGATGCGTGATGTGTGGTTGGTAAGGTCACTGAAAAGAGATCAACGAAATTGGCCAAAAGGGTCGCCTCTACGATGTCATCACCTAGGAGGGAGGGGGAGGGAGTACGACGCTCTGGTTGCGTCCTGAATGCATGGAAGGTTAGGTAAGGATAATATTACATGTGGAAGCCCCAAAATGCCCCAAAACATGATTAGGGTCAGGGTGGGGAAGAACTGGACGTTTTGCGATATTCCTCGATTTTGACTCTTAATTGACTACAGGGTGAGTTTTCTCGATGTGTCAAAAATTTGTAGGCAGCTAAGGCATCCTATGGGGATCATTTTGCATCACTGAACTAGTGGGCGCAAACGCCTAGGTAAGGGGATAATTTGTATTTATTAATGGGCGTTCGAACCTGCAAAATACGCACGCGCTGCCAATGACGAACCCAGGACCTCTCGAGAGGGTTTCACGGACCAAGCGGGGATGCTTCGAAACTCGTGGGGGTGTAGCGGACCTTTCAAAGGGCCATCAAGGGCAGAAATCTCTCGGGAACCTTTTTCGGGGGAAAGACTTGCGATACGCACAGAAGCAGGCACACGAGTATTCTTAGACAGAATCACTGGTTAAACTAAAGCGTGGTATTACCCATTGTTTTCAAGCGTAATCAGGTTAGGCTTGAAATCAAGTGTAACAAACTCATCCGCCAAGATTCCCCCTATCTAAATGCATGGGGGAATTTGTAGTCTATGCTTGATTTCAAGCGTCACGTCTTCAAGCGTAACTTTATGCTTGACTCAAGCATATAGTTACGCTTCAGTTTTACCAGTGAATGGAGAGAAATCCTCTTAGCATTGTTAGAGGGTCCGTGGCGGCACGTTTTTTAGGTTACCGTAAGCCGGGGTAATATGAGACAATTTCGGGGTAATATGAGACGGAGTTTGGTTTGCGTAAGATTTACTCTGAGCTCGCTATTGGGCCACAAAGAGAGCCACTGCTGTAAAAAATTAATTACTCTTTGTTGGTACAATTTTTCGCAGTGAAGTTTGACAGGGATGAGTCATCAAATGCCACGAGCATTATAATTCTAACGATAAAAATCATGCGTCTAATATTACCCCGAAATTGTCTCATATTACCCCGTCCTACGGTAATTTGAAGGTATCTTGGGCTCCACACTTCCAACTCTCGTTTACAATTAGGATGTTCGTCAAAGCACGCTTGGAGAGACGTTAAAAAGGAGATTAAGCGGGCACGAATTTTAAAAGTTTTGAAGCTGTTTTAAACGAGACCTCGTTTAAAGGTGATTTTGAATACTTTCCGGTTTGAGTACAAATCAATACAATCTAGCAGACTATCAGTTAGCAATTACTAAATACTTTGCACGTCCCAAAATTAACCAATTTGAGGCAAAAGTACGGTGTGCGTTTCTTTCCCACTTCACTGGTGTCCGATTTTCTCCCGCCATGCTATGCCTATTTCACTAACCCGAATCATCACTTGTCCGAATTGTCACTAACCCGAATCTTGACTAGGCCGAATCGCTAACCTGAAAACACGATCATTTAGTCAAAAACGAAATTTGTTTCACTGACCCGAATTGTCACTAGCCCGAATTATCACTAGCCCGAAAACATGCGTGCTGGAGCGTTGTTTCACTGGCCTAAATTTTCACTAACCCGAATTGTCACTAACCCGAAATGTGGTGGAGGGGGTGGCCGTAGCTAGTGTCTGCAAGAGTGTCTGAAAGAAAATTGTCCAACCTATCCTAACCTCACTTAACGGGTTCGCGACAGATCTTACTCTAACCATGGCAGATCTTACTCTAACCGTGGCAGACACTGTTCGGGATTATTTTGTGAAATTACGATTAGTTGTCTGTTAAATCTGTACCACGAACTGCTCGTAAATTTCAAAAACGATCTGGTCATCCATCTTTTTTTCGTCAATTTACAAAAATATTCTTAAACTTACAAACTTGATCCTCAAATTTTGGTCGTTACGGGCATTTTTTCTAGTAAGGAAACAACGGACGAAAACGCAGTTTTTCAGACTTGCTTTTACAATCATACTTGCAAATTAACGATTTCACCTGTAAATTTAAGAAGCAGTTTGTAAAATGATGAACAATTTGTCAATTTACAATTAACTCTGTAAAAAACAGTGCAGTTCGTGGTATAGATTTAACAGGCAACTATTCATAAAAAATAAGCTTGATTTGTAAGAAAACAAGTTTACGCGTGATAAAACGAGAATAGTCGTAAGATAACGATTTTATCAGTAAAACTACGATCTTTCGTCAGTAATATTAAGATTTCATCGTAAAATTACGAATTTATTCCTAAATTTATGAGTAAAGTTTGTCGAAAATATGATGATTGCTCGTTTCATGAATCTTGTAGTTATTTTACGAATTATTATTTGTAAAATTACAACACTAATTGTTGGGATTACTGTTGTAAAATGACGACTTCCCTTAACAGTGGATCTTACTCTAACCGTGGCAGATCTTACTCTAACCGTGGCAGATCTTACTCTAACCGTAAAAGATCTTACTCCAACTAAGACAGATCTTACTCTGAGACAGATCTTGCTCTAACCGAGGGCGTGAACTAATGTTCTTTGAAGCATTACTTGGGTCCTGATTGAAGGTAATGCACGTCTCGTTTCGCTCCACAGTGCGCACACGCTCTCTCTAGGCCGTTTTTTGCCGGTAAAAACGACATTTTTTCGATTCAGCATCTTTTCTCGACAGGTTCTGAAAGCTAAGGACAAGTGCTACAACTTTTGTAATGGTCGCAACGCTGTAGCGAGGTCGGCCATTCGACTTTTATGGCCTCAAAGGTTTTTTTTTTCGTCACTTTCAGTTAAAAATTAATCCTTTCTTGACAAATTTTGTTACTTTTGTGCCCTTGCGGTCCGTGTTGACTCGTCACATCCATTTCTGGTAACGATAAGCTCGATTTGATAAATTGAAACTGGTTGTGATGTAAAACGGACCGCAGGGGCACAAATATAACAAAATTTAACAAACTAGGATGGATTAATTTTTCACTGAAATTTACGAAAAAAAAAAACCTTTGTGGCAAAAAAAGTCGAATGACCGACCTCGCTGCAGCGTTGCACCAAAAACAAAAGTTTTAGTTCTTGTACTTGGCTTTCAGAATCTGTCGAGAAAAGTTGCAGAATAGACAAAATGTCGTTTTAACAGACAAAAAACGTGTGAAAAATGACAAAGTATGGTTCAACAATTTCATGTATTTGGCGTCTTATAGCTCTATATGCCTAGCTATTGCAAGGAAATCGTTTCTTTTACTAGATTACATCATAAAATGACCATATGCCGTGAGAAAAGAAGACAAATCGAAAAATAATTCCATGTCGCACGATGTCGCATTATTTTGCGTTTCACGCCTCTGTGGTACGGCCCGCGCGGGGCGAGCGGCCGGCCGGGCTGCAGAGCGCTAGTATTTTAACCATACATTTGTCAAATCTGCATTAAATTGAGAAAGCGAGACCATTTTCGGATTCTACCTAAAATTCCCTATCCGTGTGTCACATTGGATTGGTGTTTTGAATACGTAAAACGTGTTTTAAATTAATTTGGAATCAATTTTTCCGGCATTAGAACATTCACTGCAAAGCCAGTGGTAAGTTTGCTTGCCACAAAATTGGCAAGCCGTTTTGAATGCCAAAGTTTGGCAAGCTTGGCCCGGCAGTACCACCCAGCTTGCCAAAATTTGGCAAGCTAATGAAGTTTGCCTTTTACAAATTGTCGATACGACATCTGGAAAACCGCGATGAAATTTTTCAGTCGGTCGACCCCCGTTATCGAAATTCCTGATCTAGCCGACGGCCAAAGTCAGGCTCCTGGACCCCTCGTCAAAAAGGTCGTGGCGAGACCTATCGAAAACCGCAATAAAATCTTTAAGTCGATCGACCCCACATTGAAGATGCCCACCCCACAATCTGGGTTCCTGGACATGCTCTACTGTAGGAAAGGGCCACTTGCGGACCATTTGAGGACCATAAGACAAGGCGGCCAAGGTGCACATGCATGCACAGAAACGGGACAACATTTGTGGCCCTCGAATGTTTCTTCCGGTGAGCGATAACAGTGTCGAGGCACGAGTGCACACACACCTGGTTTCATTCGTTGGCACTGATTTCTCGATTCGTTGGCACCGATTCCGCGAACTAGAGGAACACGCAGTACTTGGTGCGATAATGCTGATGGGCTGTCACACCTTAAGTCCTTAACGACAGTCCAAGGCAGGTAGACAGAGCGCATAACTAATGCGCATGCAAAAGCGCATGCAAAAAAAAAGAAAAGGAGCAGAGAACAGCGGTAAAGTGATATCTACTGAAAATGGTATTAAAGAAGGGAGACTCGATCTTTAACATGGTTCACTAGAGGCGCGTTTCTTTTTCATGAAATATTTCTGAAATATATCCCTGAGAACATTAAAAATCACTAAAACATATTTTGTAACAGGATTTTCAATGTTTCTTTAATATTCCCGAGTCATGCCAGTGTAGGTACTGAGCAGATAGATAAGTTATCACGAAACATTCCGTAAGAACACCGAATGCAAGCTACGGGTTCAGGAAGAACAAAAGCAGGCATGGTATGAAAATGTAGCTTTGCGGAAGCGACAGAACAGTGACGCAGATGCAGACGCCCATTCTCACAAATTTCTCATACTTTCACACTAAATGTTATGTACAACTTAGTACAAGACATCGAAATTTTCAGTTTTTGTACGAAAAACTGCACTTTTCTCGCCATTTTCATTCAAAATTGTTCAAAATTTTGTACAAATTTGCACGAAGAGGTCGTGTGCACAAAAAACTGTGATGTCTCGTACAAAATTTGTACAATAACATTTAGTGTGTTGTTCTTCTTGACTTCTTCTTAACTTCCGTTCAAGGTCTTCTCCGAAGGACCCAATGTCCCACACTAAGTTCTTCTTGATTTCTTCTTAACTTCCGTTCCAGGTCTTCTCTGAAGAACCCTTTTCCGCCCACGGCAGAGGCTGGGAGACCTCATTATGTGCAACGTGACGGTGGTTCTTCCCAGGCACCATAACACAAGACAGTCGCGCACCTAGTCCTTGAGCACCGCTCTTGCTCTCGTGGAATGTCTCTTCAAAACTGTATCGATTTCGGTAACTACACTGAGAATCTACACGCTGTGAGTATAGCGCCAATAGGTGCAATGCATTTGAAGACGTTTTCATTGCGCCAATTGGTGCAATGCTTTTGCATTGCACGTGAAGTGCGTGAGTGAACCTTCCCATGCATTAGCATGGGGCATTTTCAGGTCGCATAGCACGGAAGGTGCAAAACGGCTCTGGCATTGCACGTATGGTGCCATATCTCAATGCAATGCACCATACGTGCTTTATTCATAGCATTTGGAATCTCAGTGTACTTAAGCCAGTTCTCAGACGAATGTGAATGTAGTGAGTTATAGCGGCGTAGCCACAATTCCCGGAAAATTCATGCCTCTGAGGCCATTAAGGGGGCACACCAGTGAAAATGTAGAGGTTTCGTAAAACAGTCATTCTGCAAAAAGTAACAAACCTATTGGCTTGAAATTTTTGTTTTAATTTAAAAACATTATTAAGGGGGCAATACACTGAAAATGGCCCAAAAATGACTTGTGCCATTGCTTCCATACGCGTTGTTGTGCGTTGTTCAAAGTTTTTACATATCAAGTCCGGACTTACGTCAACTGATTTTCTGAGAAAATAACGTAAGTCCGGATCTAGTAACCGTTAGGGGGGGGGGGGGTAACGCGCGCATCCATGGCCATCAAAGTCGTTATTCGGGGTTTTTGCTATCGCACAGCCAAAAATTGTACAACTTTCTGCCTACCTAAGATTAGGTTAACTCGCGTTGCCGTTTTTTAAAGTGTTTTTGGGTTAGTATTACCAAATGGATTGGGTTGAAATGCTGAGTTTTGGCGTGTGGCGAGCTAAGGATATACCTAATGATCCTGGAAAATCCCAGCCGAATCGGTCGAGCCGTTCAGGAGTAGTAGTGCACACACACGCACGCACACCTACACACACACACACACACACACAGGCGCGCGCGCGCAGACAGACAAAACTTCTCAACCGCACTGGAGTAACGGGCATCGCTATCGCGCAGCCAAAACCGGTAGAAAAAAAGGAAGCTTTTTAGGTACTTTTAACTTTTGGTCAAGTTTCGTATCGGTTACTTCGTTATTGAGGGTGCTGATGACAAAAGTAGAACCCAATCTGACCCCCGACCTACAGTTAAGTCCCATTGGTGTAGATTTTGATCACCAAGTGCTATTTTTGTGGGGATCACGCCCATTTCTACGGTTTGTCTAGAAGAGCAGCCCCGAGCAGCCTGCCGAAGGCAGGCTAGCGCCGCAGGCCAAGGTAGGTGTATACGCCAGGCGTGGATTGTCGAAACTGCCGCAGCATTGCGACGACAAGACACGGTCTGGCGTACACCTACCTTGTTAAAGTGTTTTTAGGTTAGTATGAACAAATGGATTGAGTTGAAATGCTGAAGGTTAAATTAAAACACGTCTTTAAAGGATTTCTTAAATTTAACCAGTACGGGCTATAGTACGGCTGATTTCCATTCAAACGAATGTAACCCAACTATACTGAAAGGCACGTGACATTTAGTCACACTATTTTCAACGTGACTTGACGTTCCTGGCATAGACGCCCGTTCGCGTTCTCATCAAGATCCGGAAATGTCGCTACCAGCCAGCGGGACCTTGTGCCTGCTCTGCCGCGGCACCCGTGACCCGGGCCAGCCGGCACGGCGCGGGTCAGTGCCTGGGGCGACCGGACGCTCGAAGCCTGCCCACCGGTGGACTTCCTTGTGGCGCTCGCGGAAGTTTGGCGGGGCGCGGCCGGCTGCCTGCTCGGTCCCGGTCATTCGCGCATTGGACCCCGCCGCGCTCCGGACGCGCCGACGCTCCCCAGCGCCTCCACGACATGGCGACGCTCCTCCGGCTGCTGGCCGTGCTAGCAGTGATCGCAGCCGCGGACGCCTTCCTGCGCCGGCCGCGACGGCTGCGGAACACCAAGCCCCAGTTCTGGATGAGTTCGGTAAGTACGGCACGGTCGCCCTGCACAGATAGACTCGTACAAAAATGTTTGTTGTAATACAAAGAAAACGAAGGCCTCACGTCCTAGGAAGGAAATCGTTTGTAATAGAAACGATTTTGTCTGAAATACGAAGGAAAATTCCTTTGTCGCGTACGGAGGACTTCTTCGCAGCGTGCGAAGGATTTTTTTTCTTTCGAGTACAAACAAAATCGTTTGTATTTCAAACGATTCCTTCGTGGGCTGTAAAATCTTCGTTTTCTTTGTATTACAACAAGTTCTTTGAAGGATTTAAGTGTGGGGATCAAATGCACTCTGCGCCGCCAAGCCTTAGAATACCGTAAGAGCGGACAATATAAAACACCAGTATGTCATGTGGACCACTGATCTATTGCACTGTGAAAATTTGTGATGACTTTATGACAAAAACGTGGATGATATTTTCATCGCTTTCAAATAATGACAATCTCACTAGAAATTTATGACATGGTTACCAAAGCTCCGATACTTATTCCTTGGACGTAATGTTATCACTTGCTTTAATGACATTGCTGTAAGAAAAAAATAGTCATGAAATTGCCATCATTGCCACCCCAGGCGGCCAACCCTCGCTGTGTTGATGTGGCCGTCCGCTCCAAGGGTGGACAAGTCGAGGGGTCCTACATAAAAAAATCTTATCTGGGCGTTCCCCCAAGTGAATCTCATCATAAACGCACGCGAATTCCACTCATTTTGAACATTTGTGACGGATACAAGAGCAAGCGGAATATATTTCTACATGCACTATTGGTTTCTTTGATCTTTCATCTTCACATAAAAGTGAATTAAATCACAAATTATATTGACTTGTAGCTGTATCAAGTGATAAAACTCAGAGAAATTTGCCTGCGTTTAAGATAAGATTCTCTTGGGGGAACGCCCAGATAAGATCTTTTGAATAGGACCTCTCGAAGTAGTGCTAGCTGCTCACTTGCAGGCTTTTGCAAAGTAATTTTTGCCTGGGTTCGGGGGAATCGTGTTGCCCTTTTGTGTAATTTTTAGACTGCTTTCTAAACAGATAAATTCCTGCAACAATCATTCATTGTTCAAAGAAAGCCACAATCACGCTCGTGTCTGCGAAGGATTTTTCCGGTGTATTTTGAACATATTAGGCAGAAGGACTGTTTTTCCCCGTTCCTCTACTCACTACCCTTTGTGTTTCTGGCCTACAGGTGGAGCTAGCGAGATGGCTGGGCTACACGTTGGACACCCACACGTTCGTGACGTCGGACGGGTACGAGTTGGTGCTGCACCACGTGGTGGCCAGCAAGAACGGCACCCGCGGAGGCCTCCCCGTCGTGTTCGGCCACGGGCTGGCCTCCAGCGACGAGCAGTGGTACTTCCGACCCGACGGACTCGGTGAGCGGATCATTCTATTCCTTCAAGTGACTGCACAGCAAAGCCGGTGGTAAGTTTACTTGCCACAAATTTGGCAAGCCGTTTTAAATGCCAAAAATTGGCAAGCTTGGCCTGGAAATACTCCCCAGCTTGCCAAAATTTGGCAAGCTTGTGGAGGTTTCTGACCAAAGCTTGCCAAATTTTGGCATTCAAAACGGCTTGCCAAATTTGTGGCAAGTAAACTTACCACTGGCTTTGAAGTAGCTTTTAACTTGGCCAACCCACATTGCCAGAGAAAGGTTCAAACTAGAACAGACTGATTTTGAATGATGTACGACCTTCATTTCAAAATGTATGGGACTGGCCAAAGTTGCTGATGAGTGTCGCCACATTTTCTGACATTCTGTTGTGTTCTCGTTGCAGTCCCAATGATGGTTGAGCATGGCTATGACCTCTGGACGTTCAACTACAGAGGCAGCTTTTATAGTCGCAAGCACGAAACATTGACGACCAGAGACCACGACTTCTGGGATTTTAGGTGAGCATTCCGTCAAGCAAAGCGACATAACGTTGAAACGGTAGTGACAAATAAAAGTGCCACGATCTTTTGAGCACTGTGTCACGCTCGTTATAATGTGAAGAAGCGAATTTATGACTGACTTACTACTCTACAAATCAAAGAGTGTACATAGTATGCTCTAACTGGAGCATGCCTGCAAGCACGCTCTAGCTAGTGCATGCCTGCCAAGCATGCACTAACTAGAGCATACATGCCAAGTACACGCTTCCTGATGCAGAAAACTCCCTATCCCTTATGCAGTAAATGTATGCTTCAGTTAGCGTGTACATGGCATGTATGCACTAGTTGGTGCATGCCTGGCAGGCATGCGCTAGTTAGAGCGTGCTTGCAGGCATGCTCCAGTTAGAGCGTACCATGTACACTCTTTGATTTGTAGAGTACGAAAGTAGCGTGGCACAATGCTGAAAGGGGTGTGACAACTTGCCACAACCGTTTGAAAGACACTGTTAAAAATTTTTGCTGAAAATTCAGACTTTTTTGACTGAAGTAAATATGCAGAACATCCTACTGAAAATTCAGACTAAATCCTGGTCTGAAATTTTCAGACTTACACAAGTCTTAACCTTTCAGACAGGTCGTAGTCTGAAAAATTCAGACAAAATTGTCTCAATTACTAGATTGTTTTGTCTGAAAGTGGCAGCAGAAAATTTTCCCGTAACTCGGTGAAATGATAATGTTCGCATCCGAACCTCAAAGGAGAGACGTACTCCAAGGAACCGTCTAGGTAAAAAATTGAGTGTAGGGCAATGTCCCCGATGTGGGACTCTTCCCTGCACTCATCTGGAGCTGGCATGACGCACCCTAGGGAACGACGGCACGGAGCCAACCGCGAGAGGTAACTTCAAATGTCAATTGTTAAACTCGCGCGTTTGCTACAGATATAAATTTGGTATGGGAGCGTGTGTTTCGTCATTTAATAGAGTGATGGCCTTTGGTAAAAAATTGAAACTTTAACAGAATAAAAGTTTCCAACATCACTCTTTAGCACTGGCGCCCATAATGGAAGAAAAATGCTTTCTTTTGTCTAAAAGTCCCAAAGGAGTGGTAAAAAATAGTATGAAAACTGAGTTGCCTGAACCCAATGTTGGGTTGCATGAAATTTGCCAAGTTTCTCTTATAAAAGCATACAGCAAGTAGTCTGATGCAGAAACAGCCCTCTTCCCTTCTGAAATTTAAATTCTATGATTTTAGAATGGTACAAATGGCAGACACTTAGTCTGACACCCTTTAGACAAAGCGTTTAGGACTAAGGCAAAACTCTGTTTTTCGAATGAAGTCTGATTTAGATTCAAAACCGAAAGCTGGCACAATGGCTGAATTTTCAGACTTTTTTTAACAGTGGAGATCTCACGCTCCTGGAATGAAAGTCAGCAGAGAAGTGGCGGCAAGATAACTTAGGTTTCAGATCATTTGGTTACGTACTCGACAAAATAAAGAATATTCTCAGCATGCTTGAGCTTGAATCGTGCCTCATATAACACGCATCGCCGCTGCAGCATGCCTGGCCTGTAAAGTCTTGGTGGCGCATACCTGCGCACACCTGATGCCTCTTTCTTGAAGAAATGCTTCGTATTGTGAAGGCTTTTTCCTCAAAATACGAAGGTTTTTTTTTCTGTAGATTTTACAATGCCTTCCTTTCTATCATATTACGAAACGATACTTCATAGCCTTTTCTTCTGTAAAAACAGCAGATAATTTATTTTTACAGTGTCCAGTGAATGTCATAGCATGCTTTTTCGCAGCTGGCATGAGAACGGAGTGGTCGACCACGCCGAGAGCATCGATTACGTCCTCAACAAGACGGGCCACGAGAAGGTGATCGCGATCGGGCACTCGTTGAGCGTCACCGCCCTGGAAGTGCTGCTGGCGACGAGGCCCGAGTACAACGACAAGATCATGGGGCAGGTGCTGCTGTCGCCGCAAGTCCTTACCAAGCACGCCACAGGCTTCGTGGCCTACGTCAGCCACATGCTCAAGCTCATTCCCGGCGGTGAGGTGAGACTGATGCAGAATTTCGCACTCTAAGAACCTTGAAAACGCAGTAAGCATGCGAAGAATTGGGCTCGTTGCCAACGCGAAGAACTCGTTTATAATTCAAACAGCTTGGATGGCTCTGGCTTTGGTCGGCATTTTACGGTATTATACGGTTGTAAACCTGATATTGAGCCAGGATATTTGAATTTCTTGGTATTTTGCGGTTTTACTGGTATGTTCCAGTATTTTAATCGGTTTAAAACCAGTTCAAAATACCAAAAGGTAAAAAATCGTTTATTACCATCCCTACCTTACCTGCAGTTAATCACTTCTTGCGAAGCATTTGCTTTTAAAATAAACGAAAATAAACCACTTTGTGGCTACAAGAAGCAAACCACGCACTGTTAAAAAATTCTGAATTTTTAGACTTAATTGAGTGAAGTACATTTGCATAAACTCGTTATTAATTTTCAAACTTGTCTTCGTCTGGAAATGGAGTCTTAAAATTAACAGTCCATAGTACGATGCATCTTTTCGTAGATTTTACAATGCCTTCATCTCGATTCATTTTCTTCGTATAACAAAGCGATTCTTTCTAGGGTTTTTACTATGTTTGTGAACGCCCACCTTCGAGTCGTCTTCTTCGACGCGTCCTAATTGAATAATCCTAACTGTCAGTGCTGATCCATGACAATCGTAACTGTCAGCGCAGAATTCGCGATGTAAAACGGTTATTTCTTATACAAGGTAGGTTTACGCCAGACCGCGTCTTGTCGTAACAGGCTTCGCGATGTCTCGCGGCCTGTTCCTCCAATCCGCGCCTGGCGTACCTACCTTGGCCTGAGGCGCTAGCCTGCCTTCGGCAGGCATTGGCTTGTCCATCGTCTCAAGAAAACTAATGAGCAGTTTTAGGCTCCTCTGAAACCTCTGAGCAGTTAGGATTGTCTTGGATCAGCACTGACAGGATTATTCTATTAGGAGGCGGCGACTTAGATCTCTCATGTTCCCGGATGTTTTGCCCGTGTTCAGCTAGGTTTTTCCGCGAACGTGGAAAACGACCTGTTCCCCGGCTTTGATAAGCCGTTCCCCCAGGCCTGCTTCCCCTACGACGTCCCGAAGCCAAAGATACGACCTTTCTGCAGGAGGTTGATCGAGTTCATCATGGGCAATTTCCACGAGCCTGTCGACGAAGTGAGTTCAATGTAGAAGTGGCAGTGCACTATTAATTTGAATCTATGGTATTACTTAAGGGGGCACACCAGTGAAAATCGTCAAATTTTTGCCTTCTTTTTTATTTTATCTTATTTTTCTGCTATTCATCCCGAGTCGAATGCCGCAAACCCCACCCCAAAATTCCAATTACTTTGGCTTGTGCACATTTTTGAAGTTGCTAAAAGGGTTATTATTTTTGGATATTTTAGACCAATTGTGAACGTTCAGGTCTTTCACTTAAAGTTTAATTACAAAGCCCTTGAACCACCCAAACGCAGTTAAAAAGAGGGTCATTTTGGCGCAAAACGAACTTAAATACTTCAAAAGGCGCATTTATAATCCGAAAAAACACGTCAAATCTATGTTTCTACTAAAAGGGCTTTTTCTCAAAACACCTTTTTTGTACCTTTGTGCCACTCTCACGGGCGCAAAAGTTGAGATAAATTAATGTGGTTTGCGGCAAAATGTTCGTTAAACTTGCGTCTATGGTCTGAACCTCGGATATGGCCATCCCATAAATAGGACGTGAGCTGCTGCCATGAAAGCGCAAAAAATTAGGTTAAAAAATTTGTTTCTATTTTTGCCTTATGAAAAAACAAATTCAAAATCATTCTTTTTGCATGCCCGTGGTTCAGACCATAGCCACATGTGTCCTGTTGAGAAATTTTCAAATCCCGTGCTCGAGGCTCAATCCAGAGAGGCGGAATCGTGGCAGGAGTGAGACGAGGTCGCAGAAAACTGAAGTGCACTGGCGCTCCGTCTTGCAATCGCCACCCCACCCTCCCATACTGATTTTTTTTTCTTTGATATAATTTTGAGCCACGAAAAAAATATCAATCAAGTACATAGGTTACTTTTCTCAGAATGATCGTTTTTCAAAACCTCTACATTTTCACTGGTGTGCCCCCTTAAGGCAAAAGTGTTGCCAAAGGCACTTTCGTTAGGGTATTGTTGATTCACACATGGACTTCTAAGATCCACAAACATTTAGCAAAGCGTTTTTCTGCTGAATGTGACAACGATTGTTTGTTCATTCCGAACAATCTTCGTAACTTTTCATACAAAGAAACCCTGAGCATCATATTAATGCTTCACTCTGAAAACCTTACGAAGTATTTTGAGCATACGTATAACAAACTAAAATACTTTGTTTTACGAAGAAATAGTTCGTAAATTACGAAGTATTTTCGTTGAAAGCTTACGTATGCTCAAAATACTTTGTTATACAAAGTATACTTTTCTTTGTAAGGCCCAAAATAGTTTGTAAGGTTTTCGCAGTGTTCAATTCAAAAGATCTTATCTGGTTGTTCCCTAAAAGCGATCTTATGTAACATGCCAGCGAATTTCACTTAGTTTTATCATTTGATACGGCTGCAAATCAGTATTTTTTTTTATTCAATTCACTTTAACTGGAAGATGAAACCGAAGTGTATGTAGAAATAGGTTCCGCTTACTCTCCTATCCGTCCCAAATGGTCAGCCATGGCAAAATTCACTTGCGTTTTTGGTAAAGATTCTTTTCGGGGGGGTAGGCCAGATAAGATCCTTTAAATAGGAACCCTTCGATTTATGCCGGAGGATCCTTCACTATAACTCCCTATTTATTTCTCAGCGTGGCCCTCGGTCGAAGGTGAAGGGGGCGACCACGAGAGGTCAACTACTCGCGAAATCCTGTTTACACTTGAGTGGCCCAACCCCGTAAACAAAACTACTATCAAAAGTAGTACTGTCGTACTACCATTTCGGAGCTCTGTACATCCCAAAATGTAGTACGGAAGGAGTACCTTATGAAACAAAAAAGGCATCCGAAAGAAGTACTGCCGTGCTACATTTCAGGACGTCTCTTTCGGGAGCACTTCGGGACGTCGGAAACGGTAGGTCTGTGAGAGGTCTTTCGGAGGTCCCCCACCACCCGTCGCAGCGCCCTGCGGCCATGTAGTTCCGAAGGTGACCGCTAGAGCGCGCACCTGTGTCGTAGTTCGATGGCCTGCCGCTAGGGTGCGCCACTGTTCTGGATATGAATGTGAATGCGTATAGGAATGTGAATATGACACAGATAAACTGTAAGGAAAAAGGTATTTATTCACTGACCTTTTTAAATTAAAAATCAAACGATAAGACTTGTCATGAACAGCAGAAAATATGGAGACAAAAATGGTGGACAGGACTCAAAAACAAAATATTTAAAAGAGGAATCTCGGTTGGACTGAAAAGAAAATACAGCAACCATAACTGTAACACCCCTTGATTAAAAATAAGCCAAAATGACTGAAAGAAATTCCATTAGCACTGATTCCGAGGTGTCATGCTTACTTTGCTCTGTCGCAGGAAATTTACTTAATTTGACACTGAAGCACAGGAGTCAGTTCTTGTTCCACATGTAATTGCATAGTGGTGCAGGTTATCGTTCCAGAATCTTGGGCAACTCCAGTGGGTCGAGGTTTCCGCAAAGAGCCTATTTCTCAAGCATAAAATCAGAAGACGAACAAAATAAACACTTTGACAATAAGAGTATCAAAGTAACAGAATATTGTAGGTTAACTTACACCGGTACTTTCTGATTTGGATTGAAACACGAAATAAGCCTGCACCAGGCTTTGAAGTATTCTTCTTATTGGTGCACTGAACATCTTCGTGCGTGGTTTCTTTTCTTTGGAGAAATGAATTTACTATAGTTAACAGAAAAATAAATAGAAGTAAGGATCCGACGCCACAAGCACAGTGCGCGCCAAAGTGCGCCGACTGTCATCTGCACAACAGGTGAGCATCGCGTGGGCCCGAGGCGCGCTCTAGCGGACTCACTCGGAACTACATGGCCGCAGGACGCTGCGACGGGTGTGGTGGGGGACCTCCCAAAGACCTCACATAGACCTACCGTTTCGGACGTCCCGAAGTGCTCCAAGAACCGACTACTTTGGGACGAGCGACCAGGGCGCGCTCTGGCGGCGAACTCTGGCACCACACACTAGGTCCCCGCGCGACGTACGAGAGAGCTTCATTAGTAGTACGTTTAGGGAGGTCCCGAAGAGCTCCCAAAACCGACTTCTTCGGGACGTCCGAAAGACGTCGGATTCCAGACATGTACTAGCTTTGTTTACGGGGAAATCTTGCTCGAAACAGGAAAAAAATTCTGACGAGCCCTTCCGGAAGCTATAATAATAATTTCGCAAAATCGCGTCTAAATCTCACAAAATCTTGCATAATTTTGGCGCGAAAACCTGTAAAATGTTGCAAAACACCTGCCGCTGGAAAAATCTGGTGTACGAAAAATACTGCCCCATTCCCAGTACCCCTACGTGGAAGCGACACACAAATAGCCTACGTAGCATCTGCTTCGTAACTACAAGAAAGACGAATGCGTTGTCGGTTGATGCCAACTGTTGTCCAACTTGTGTAGGAAAATCTGCAGCTGATCATGCACCACTTCCCCGCGGGCACCTCCATCAGGCAGATGCAGCACTACGCGCAGTGCATTAACTCAGGTAAGAAGTTTTTCGCACCGTACGTGCAATGCCGTAGCCGTATGGCATCTTGCGTGCGATGCGTCCCAAAAATGCCCTAGGATAATGCATGGGAAGGCATAGCACTAACTAGTGACATAGGTCCGAATGCTCTGCACGACTTGTAGCTATATCAATTCGCTCATTCCTGAATTTGTAGCCCAGTCAAACAAAATAGCCCTTGATTCGTGATCCGCAATGGATTTTTTTACCGAAATAAGTATACTTTTAATTTTTGTTCTTTAATTGCGTTTTTAAGACCATTTTGTCAAAAAAGGCAATTTCATTAAGGAAATTGTTAAATTGTTGGTATGTCTAAAAGGAGAACACTGCATATTATTGTTCAAGGATGGTAATTGACGACATGCTCAAGAAGAGGCTGAAAGTGCGGTCTGTGGGGTTCTTAGTGGATCAATGCGACTGAAGATGCGTCGGAACGCTGCGCATCCTAAAATTTTCACTGAATCGTCCCTTTCCTTCTGTTTTATTTTTTGAATTTAGGAAGGTTCGCGCAATACGACTACGGCAAGGACAGGAACCAGGACTTGTACGGTCAGGACTTGCCACCAGAGTACAATCTGACGAACATCAGAACTCCCACTTATATCGTATACGCTGTGGGCGACGGGTCCGTCAACTGGAAGGTAAGTTTTCAAATCTAACCTACGACGCAAAGCCGGTGGCAAGTTTGCTTTCCTCAAAGCTCGGTAAACGTTTAGAATATTTAAAATTAGCAAGCTCGGTCCTGAAATACACTTCAGCTTGCCAAAACTGCAAAGAGCAGGTGTCTGAAGCCCCAAATATTGGCTAATATATGATTTCAAGTCGAGGATTGTCAGTTTTGGACTTTTTTACGGGTTGCTTAATTTGTGTCAAGCAGACTTGCTGCCAGATCAGCAGCGCAGCCCAATCTACCTCCATGGAAAAAAAAAAGAAAAAAAAAACTGTTTCTTGGGGAGTGAGTCTGACATACCTGAAACCTTGTTTCCAGGACTCGGAGGCTTTCGCCAAAGCTCTGCAGCCCGGGGTCCTCCAGAAACTTCACAGGTTACCACCAAAGGTGTTCTGCCACATTGACTTTGTGATCGCCTACGACGCAGTGGAGCTCGTCTACAAGCCCGTCATCAGCTATGTCGACGAAATTAAGGAAAAGTGGGCGAAACAAGACTGAATCCTTCTGTGACTGTACATTTGGATAAGTGCCCACTGAAAACTTAAATTTGCACGTCTTTAAGTCGTCTTAAGACGTCTTTGCGTATACTCAGGAAGAACTTAAGTTTTCAGTGCAGTTATAATTTTTTTCCTTGTACGGCCGTTTTGTAAATTTTTGTAAATTTGTAAATTGTCGTTACAGTAAAATGTGTGTTAGGTAGCTATTTATGTTTTGTATATTTTTGTAACATATATTTTAAGGGAATAAAATACCGTTTTATGTCTATTCAACTAGGAACGATTCACAATCCATCCCTTAATTATTTCCGCCTAAGGCCTCACATCAAGGTAAAGTTAGGTTCAATTTAAGTTATTCTATGCATTACTTTTTTATTTCCAGCCGTTTAAAATGTCAAAAATCGCAAATAAATGTTAAGTTAGCACGCCCTGAGCTGAGCTGCTTACAGTTAACTACTGCCCTTGCTAGTTATCTAAGCCCCGTATGGACAGATAATACCTTAGCACCAGTTGCTAATATTCTTAGCAGACCCGTGTTAGCCAGGTAGCTAAGTCAGAAAATTTTGGGTATTCGAACCTTAGACTTATGCTCGCTCGCCGACTGTCTACCTTTCCCCTTCGGCTGCTGTTGTTCCTTCCCCGGCGAGGAGTGCGGGAGGACTTATAGGCTGGGGGCGAATAAACAGTTAATAGGCGCTAAGCGTCCACGAGCTAATTTATTAGCACCAGCCGCTCAACCTCTGCGCTTAGATTGACAAGTCTTGCTTACTTATGTTACCTTCCACTGCTACACTCTAAATGTCTTACGAAGAAATTTCCCATATTACGAAGGAAATGGCGCAAGCATAATACGAAGGTGGTTTTTCTTCGTATTACGAAGGTTTTTCTTTGTATCTTACAATGAAAAAGCTAAAAAGATTCGTGTTACGAAGGAATATTGCTCCGTATTATGCACTGTGGCTAAAAGCTACGGAAAATTCTGTACACAGCTTGTGGTGATTCTCCGTAGCCCCCTTGTCAGTATTCTCCGTCGGCTCTTACAGTATTTTCTGTAGGACCGCACAGTATTCTCTGTAGAACGTTACAGTATTCTCCGTACGACTATACAGTCTTGCATGCCCTACGGAGAAGACTGTGCGGTCCTACGGAGAATACTGTACGGCCCTACGGAGAATACTGTAAGAGCCTTCGGAGAATATTGATAAGAGGAATCCTGGCAAAAAAATTAACAGAATTTTCCGTACCTTTTTGCCACGGTGATTGAAGGAAGGGCATAGAGAAGGAATACAAAAGGAAGGAAAATCAAATATCTGTTCTTGCTTTGATGTACGAGAAACGCTTTGCACGCGACTCTCAACCGTTCCCGAGGAACCGATTCAAAGACCACTGTTGATTCGAGATTTCGACCCAGCATGCAACTCGGTTGCACTGGCCAATTTTCCATGTGACCATACCCCCAATAGGGTTCGTCGTTATTTCTTCGTTTTGAAACACCTCATGAACACCTTATGTAAAGGGCGTTAGAAGAGATGCCCATCACGATGAAATACACAGCAAGAAAAACCGGGAATAGTACAACAAAAGAACAACAAAAACTGTAAAATGAAAGTACAACAGGGATTGTAGAAAGTACAATGAGAACTGTACAAACCACAACGAGGCCTATGCTGCACAGCACTCCATATGTCAGTCCCATTGTACTTCGTACAACAATTGTGGTACTTTGTAAGTACAAAAAATTCCTGATAAAAAAATTGCCTGAAATTTGTGTCCTTTTGTTGTATTTTCTTGCAGTGTAGTAGAAAAAATATTTTTGTTTGGCACAAAACCACACAGTTAGGGACTTTGCTGTAAAATAACGAGTAATTCCCTGTTAATTCTATAGTACAAATTGTTCGTAAGTTAATGGGTACAGTCGTTATAATTCAAATCTTCAACCATATCATTTTCACATTGTTCTTGGTTTGCCTCGACGAAAAAACGTGAAAAAGAACTAATAATGTACCTTCAAAATTTTATGACTTTCTTTGTAAATTTACGATTTTTCCTTGTTAATTTACGATTTTTCTTTGTAATTTAACAAACTTTTGTAATTTTACGAAGTCCTACTGAATTAACAGGAAATTACTCGTTAATTTACAACTAAACTTGTAAAATTACGATAATGTAATTTCGTTCGTGAAGTGACGCCTGTTTTCGTAATATTACAGCTATAGTTCGTAATTTTACAAGGTTAACCGTAAAAAACTGTAAAATTGTGAAATTTCTCTTTCTATTTGGCCAATAACGAATACGTTCGTGAAATTATGAGTTTATTTTGTAAAATTACGACGGTATTCATGTAAAATAAAGTTGTAAAAATACGACTTCCCCTTACCGTGCAGTTACGCTGAAACCTAGAAAAAATTTCATTCGTCTCAGTGGGAAGGAAGGGAGATGAGGGCAACGCCCCTTCGGTCTGCGAAAGGTCGCACCATTGCCCAGTCAGTAGAAAATGTAGGATCGTCCCCTCAGGCTCATGCTTGACAGAGCCGTTTGTTGAACGTCCATCCTTAAACCTTAAACCCCTTCCAGCAGATCTTTAGATCTGCCCTTGACAGGTCAGCGGCGTTTAAGGTGGCTGACCGCCGCGGACGCGGCACGCCTAGCCGGCGGCCGACTCAGAACCAGCCGCTTTGCGGGAGGCTGACTCCGGCCACTGCTCCAGTCGCTTTCTCTCTCGCTCGTGTGGCCTTGGCGTAGGTGAGGTGGGAGAGGCAGCGCAACGAAAACAACGCCGATTCTCATCATCACCTATTTCGCGGGGTCCTATTCAAAAGATCTTATCTGGGCGTTCCCCCCAAGACAATCTTATCTGAAACGCAGGCGCATTTCACCAAGTTTGATCATTTGGGACGGGTACGAGAGTAAGCGGAATATATTTCAACATGCACTTTTGGTTTTTTGGTCTTTCATCTTCACATTTCAGTGAATTTTATAACAAATTATATTGGTTTGTTGCTGTATCAAATGATCAAACTGGGTGAAATTCGCCTGCGTTTAAGATAAGATTGTCTTTGGGGGAACGCCCAGATAAGATCTTTTGAATAGGACCCCTCGATTTTACCTAAAGCGCTAAACTCCCCTGGCAGATTTAACCTTTTTGGCTCTATACTTAATGTGTTTCAACATGAACTATTTATCTCTTTCCGATTTCTTTTTATAACGTTTTTACTAAAGCACAGTTTTTGGAGTGGCCCACCCCCCCTCCTTTTCACACCAAAAAGGCTGTTTCTGAGGGTTTGGGATTCGCAAACCAAAATCAAATATAGCACCGAAATGTGTCCCGTCTGAGATACCTAAAAAGTGCGAAAATTCGAAACTAGATCGCTCCAAAGGGAAACCACTCTTGTCAAATTTCGATGAATTTTTCAGGCGAACATTATCTTATTTTAAAAAGAATTTCGATAAATTTTAATGAGTTTTCGTGCACATGTTGTATGAATTTAAGCGTATAAACGTGGCTGGAGTCATTTGCCCTTGGATCACACGAGTTTTTAGGAGGTCGAGTTCGGACAGTGCAGGGTCTCAAATTTTCTCAATTTCACAATTTTCACTGAAGATTTGCACTGTTAAGGGAAGTCGTCATTTTACAACAGTAATCCCAACAATTAGTGTTGTAATTTTACAAATAATAATTCGTAAAATAACTACAAGATTCATGAAACGAACAATCGTCATATTTTCGACAAACTTTACTCATAAATTTAGGAATAAATTCGTAATTTTACGATGAAATCTTAATGTTACTGACGAAAGATCGTAGTTTTACTGATAAAATAGTTATCTTACGACTATTCTCGTTTTATCACGCGTAAACTTGTTTTCTTACAAATCAAGCTTATTTTTTATGAATAGTTGCCTGTTAAATCTGTACCACGAACTGCACTGTTTTTTACAGAGTTAATTGTAAATTGACAAATTGTTCATCATTTTACAAACTGCTTCTTAAATTTACAGGTGAAATCGTTAATTTACAAGTATGATTGTAAAAGCAAGTCTGAAAAACTGCGTTTTCGTCCGTTGTTTCCTTACTATATAGGAAGAAAAAATGTCCGTAACGACCAAAATTTGAGGATCAAGTTTGTAAGTTTAAGAATATTTTTGTAAATTGACGAAAAAAAGATGGATGATCAGATCGTTTTTGAAATTTACGAGCAGTTCGTGGTACAGATTTAACAGACAACTAATCGTAATTTCACAAAATAATCCCGAACAGTGTGGGTAGTGGATGCGCTCATGTCTCGGAATTTTTTGGCCGGGGTGCAAGATTTCTCTAGTCTTAAAAATTTTCATGCGTGTCAATAATGAAAACGGATGTTGTTTCTCTACGCTGCGCGTTTATAATGAATTCGTCTGTTATTTTTTCGCTGCGTGTCTGCTAGGATTTGTTTTATTATTTGCACGCAGGAAATGTATTCCTGCGTGCAAATAACTTTTTGACTTTGTTTTAAAACGCTGCGTGTACGCACGGCAACCTATACTTATTGTCACGCAGGACGCTCCCGTGACGTTCCATTTCACGCCGTCAGTGCGTACGTCATCTTTACAGGACTCTCCGTGTTAACAAGAATTCCCCCTCGTTGAGTACATGCAGCGTTCAAAATTCAAAGAAAGAACCTTATTTTGGCGAAGTGTGCCAATTGTCAAAGTGGCATGCAGGGCGTGCTCACTTAACATTTATAAAGATTTTGAGTGCGTTTATCTCGTCAACGACAAAAGGTAAAAGAGTTACGCACAGGGTAACTAGAATTTTAAATTTGATTTTGAATTTAAGTTGCTATATTCATAACTTTTTTTTGCAGCCGTTTACGAAATAAAATGTCAAAAATCACAAATCAATGTTCAGTTAGCACGCCCTGGCCACCTCTGTCTGTCTTTGTTGGATACTCGACCACCGAAATGCCGTGCGTAATGTCGGCGAGAAAGGGAAGAAAGATGATTCTTTCCAGTGTCTCGAGACCCCGAAATTGATGTCCCGGTTTCTGACAAACCTTTGTGCGTGTGTTCCCTACGTAGAAAAGAGCTTCAAAAAGATATTTAAACTTTTTTGGTCGGCTCAAAAAGCTTAAAACAAGTAGTTTGTAAAATACCATTGAAACTTTAACTTAAAATTTGTTTGTTGCCTCGAGGGCAAATACTCGGTGGATTTCCTTTGTTTTCATGATACAGAAAAAAAGTTTCCGAGAGCCAATTTCACAAGTCACTTATTGCTGGAGATATGGACCAACATCACTTTTATTCATGGTGAAAGAAAGCAAGCGATAAACCTCATTCCTAATTTGCAATGTGAATCTGGCGCCACGAGCAACGACTGCACTCGAATAATAGCGCGAGCTTTGATACGCTTGACCAAGAAATACGGATCATCGCGAGACAGGAAGGCTTCTTCTCGCCTAAAAAGTATCAAAGCGGTGCGGAAATCGCCAATGGTCACATTGAGACCCTGGCCGAATCGGCAACGCGGGCCTCATGGTTTTTTAAGTGAAGAACCGAGGAGCGTCATAGGACTCTCGAAAAAAAAAGTGGGCATGGAAAGTTTCTAGGCGGTTCTGACATTTGGTGGAAGACACGCCAGCCTTGGTCGAGAGGGGTCCTGGACTGCGAGGAGGGGCCCAGCTTCCGCCTAGGGCACTGTGGAAGGAGTCATTGGAGTGTCCGCTCAGTCTGCCGAGATGGCTGTGACGCTGCTGCTGCTCGCGGCGTGCGCCGCGGCGCTGCTGCTGGCCGTGCTGGTGCGCGCGGCGCTCTCCTACGCGGAGTTCAGGAAGCTGGAGCTGGCCATCCCTGGGCCGCCCTCGCTGCCCGTCCTGGGCAACGCGCTCACGTTCGCCGCCGTGAAGCGCGAGACGGTCTTCCAGACGTGTCTCGACATGGTGAACGCCCGAAGGGAGCTATGCCGGTTCTCGCTGTTCAACCAACTCGTCGTTGTTGCGTCCGACCCCGAGGACATCGCCCAGATCATGAAGCGCAAAGAGTTCAGCGACAAGGCCCAGTTCTTTTACGGCTTCATCCGCTCCTTCGCGCCGAGAGGGCTGCTGCAGATGAACGGCCCCGACTGGAAGGTGCACCGCCACGCGCTGGAGCCCGCCATCGCCAAGGAGGCCGTCGAGACCCACTTCCACGTGTTCTCCGAGGCGGCCGACAACTTCAGCAAGAGCTTCCCCCGCCAGGCCTTCGACGTGCACAAGGCCCTGGGCCTGCCGCTGGTGCGGGTCTTCATGCGCGTGGCCATGCTGGCCGAGGAGCTGGGCCCGGCCGACGAGCAGCGCCTGCGCGACGCGGCGCACGTGCTGGACGAGACGCTGGAGGCCGTCAACACGCGCAGCTTCCAGCCGCTGCTGTGGCCCGAGTTCGTCTACAACAGGACGCCCATGGGGCGACGCATCAACCGCGCGCTGGGCGAGATACGCGAGTTCGTGGACGCCACCATCGTGCAGCGACGCCTGCAGGCCGTCCGCGACGCCGAGGAAGCCGCCCTCGGCCGCGGCGTCGCCCGCAAGCAGATCATGCTGGACAAGATGCTGCAGAGCGACGCTTTCAGCAACCAGGACATCATGGACGAGTTCTTCACGTTCCTCAGCGCTTCCACCGACACGACCACCACCTCGCTCAGCCTCATCTTCAAGATGATGTCCATCTCGCCGGAGATCCAGGACCGCGTGCGGGCCGAGGTGGACCAAGTCCTGGGCGTCGGCGCCGACGCGCGTAGTGTCGAGCTGCAAGACCTGCCGAGGTAAGGGCGCACTGTAAAAAAAATAGCGTAAAATAACGAAAAAAAGTAAGGGAGATTTTCTTTTTCAAACTGTTTTTAATTTTACAAAAATGTCGTTTAAATACTACATTTGTCGTACATTCTTGAAAATTTTTGGCACATTTTTATTATTATCAGCTTCAACAAGCGTGCTGTAATAAAATGCTTCAATTTTTTTCGTAACATGTTTCGGTGACGAAATGTTTTTATTAAAAAAATGACATTTTCGCAAAGGAAAATTCTCCAAACTTTTGTTTTTTTGACATAATTTCTCGAAACCTCACTCGTTATGATATTGCCTGTAAATCCGCCAATTTTAGAAGAATTTCCTCTCCTCACGAAGTGAGTCTGTGGTATTACGATGTCATATTCGTTTGAGCGTGACTTTCTTAATTTATGGCTGAAATCAACTGTGGCAGAAACCCAAGGAAAATTCTGTTCATTTTTTTTGCCAAGATTCTCCCTACTTCTTTTCTTGATACTCTACCTACGACCTTACAGTATTCCCCGCAGCACCGTAGGACTATACTGTCTTCGAGAAAACTGTACAGTCCTTCTGAGAAGACTGTACGGTCGTACGGAGAAGACCGTGCGGTCCTACGGAGGAAAATGTGAGGTCCAGTGCTGGGAGAGCTACGGAAAATTATCACAAGTTGTTTACAAAATTTTCCGTTGCATTTCGCCACAGTATCCAAATGATTCACCCCTCGGTTTTCGGTCATTTTTAGTGTATTGCTCCCTTGACGGTGGTGACTTTCTCTGCCCCCAGGCTGCAGTACATGGAGCAGGTCATCAAGGAGACCCAGCGCATCGCGCCCTCCACCCCTTTCCTGGCGAGGCAGGTCTACCAGCAGACGGAGCTCGCAGGCAAGACGATCCCCGCCAACTCGACGCTCATCGTCAACGTGCACGGCGCGCACCACGACCCCGTGCACTGGCCGGACCCGTGGAGGTACGACCCGGAGCGGTTCGCGCCGGGCAAGCAGCACCACCCCTGCGCCTTCATCCCCTTCAGCGCGGGGCCCAGGCGCTGCCCGGCGGGCTTCTACGCCATGATGGCCATGAAGACCATGTTCGCCTCCGTGATTCGCGACTACGTCATCGAGCCCGTCGACGACGGCGTCCGGGAAGCCAAAGACTTAAAGTTGACCTTCAACCTTACCGCCAGGATTATCGGCGGCACGTTCGTCAACTTCAGACCGCGGACAACTTTAGCCGGCTAGTTATGGGTTTCCACCAGGGATGACACCCAAAACGAAACAAAACCAGGCCGTCACAACGGCGGCAGATTACATAGGAGACTACTGTAAAACTCAAAAACGGTAGCAGCTACGTCCAAGGGTTCACCTTATCCTTGTTTATCGAAGTATACCGAAATTTTGTACTTATATGGACTGAGTCCAAATTCAGCTTCTCTCGGTTTAATAATTTTAGGCCCCAAAACGCATTTAACGCCGAAAACCGCGTCATTTTTGAAGGAAGAAAAAAGTTGAGCTTTTGACCAAATAAGAGGGGGAGTTGGCGTAGATCGTAAGCGCCTCCATGGTAATAATATTTATGCCTTTGTGTCTGCACAGTAAAAGAACAAGCCACTACTTACGGCAAAGCTAAAACTATGCAATTTTTTGTCATATGTTTTTAAGTCCACTTCCATGGGCAAAAAGTTGCCTAGTTTTCTTCAGGTTTGTTTTTGTATTGATGTAAACTATTCTTGTCATGCTCTTTTGCATAAGATGGTGTTACAGAAAATAAAATTGAGCTAACAAACAGTTTTATTGTTTCTCTTGCATGGGAAAAAAGACGATTTCACGACATTCCAGTACGCATAGAGAAAGCTTTGTTCTTTGGCATTTGTTGTAAGGATTGCGCTTACGCTATGTTCTCTACTTTCCTACGTAGTTCATTTTGAGCAGATTTTCACTCAAAACTGCGCATGCGCGTGAAACGCAGAATTTGATGTTCAACAACTTACACTTTCCCGCTTACGCACAAATTCGTGCATTTAAAAACTCACGCTCCAGGTTTGTCCAAAACTTCTGCAGAGGAAACGACTTAGTTCTATCGTCGCAGGCAGCACTTCCGGGGTGTGCTGCTGATCCAGCCGGGGGCCGTGAAAGTAGGCAAGAATTCGTGGCCAGCGGCGAGAATAGGCAACACTTTACAGCCAGTGACCAGTCAAGAACCGTGAAAAGTCGACCAAACTTCGTGGCCAGCACCCAGCCAAGCACCGTGAGAGTAGGCAACACTCTGTGGCCAGCGGTGAAAATTGGCAACACATTTTTGGGACAGCGGCCAGTCGAGTGCCGTAAGAGTAGGCAACACTTCGTGGCCAGGTGCTAGCTAGCGAAGCACTTTGAGAGTTGGCAACACTTCGTGGCCAGGTGCCAGATAGGCGCCGCAAGAGTACACTGTGGCAAAAAGGTACAAAAAATTGTGTTAATTTTTTTGCCAGGATTCTCCGTAGCCATCTTATCAATATTCTCCGTAGGCTCTTACAGCATTCTCCGTAGGGCCGAACAGTATTCTCTGTAGGACCGCGGACCGTAGGACCTGAAAGACCTACGGAGATCACTGTAAGGTCCTACGGAGAATACTGTGTCGTCCTACGGAAAATACTGCAAGAGCCTACGGAGAATATTGACAAGGGGGCTACAGAGAATTACCACAAGCTTAGACCGTCCCTTATTTTTTCAAATTGAACCGAGACAAAAGTTCGTGGTGCCAAATTGTTCCATTTGGTAAGAAAACACCTCTGCCAAAGTTTGGTGGTGCTACGATATCGCATGGCCGAGCCTGAAGGGCCTAAGTGCAGATTTCAAAAATCGTCCGATTTCAGAATTTGAAAGTTGTCTTCCAAGTAAACACGTCATTTTGATGCCCCTTGGGCGAAAATTTCAAGCGTTTTGCCGTATCTTGAACTGTTATGGCCGAAACGGCGCTCTGAACGCGCTCCGCCACCGCGCGGAAGGCCGATCTGGACCCAACTACGATGCTTTTGGGCTGCACCGAGCCGCCCCGGAGGGCAATGGATCGCTGCGTCGCTGTCAGCACCTTTCCAAAACATGTATCTGAATTATCTCTGAAAATTCCCATGTGGTTAGTGGGATACTTAATACGAAAATGCTAAAATATGCCCTCGAAGTGTCGAATTTAGCCATTTAAGGGGGGACATCACTCCAAAATGATCAAAAATTGCAACTTTTTTTTATTAGTTTATATTATAGACCATTCCTTTCTGCGTCGAATGGTGAAAACCGAATTCCGGAATTCAAAAAAATGCAGTTTTAGTAGGTTGTGCGCCGCAAACATGCATAGGGGAAAAGCCCAGTTTCCCCAACTTCGTTCGCGTTTTTCTCGGAACATGAAATTGCAAACGGTTGCAGGCCTCTAGGGCGCAGTTTTTGAGCTACAGCGGGGAGATTTAGCATGGAAGCTCCTACGACATGCCGCTATGGTGGGTAGCAAAATATTTTGATTTGGTCAGTTTTTATTATTTTTTAACGTTCAAAATTAAACAATTTTGACCCAAAAACTTGAACAATTTTTTTTGGCATGTAACAAATTCAACTTTAAATGATTTTTGAAATGTGATTGAGGTACCCACCATATCCAGACATCTCAGGAAGGCTGTCACCAAATTTCAATGTTCTAGGTCAAACCGTTTGGCGTCCAGCGCTGCAACCGTGCGAAATGGTCTAACCTAACACTCAAAAATGTGTTTTCAACGAAAGCGCTGTACTGCCCTGGCGGATTGACTTAGTGTTGTTTTAAGGTAAAAAATCAATTGTGAGTCACATTTTTGAAAATTCCAAATAAAGGCATTTTATTTTGACCTAGTGACAAAAGTGCATGTGCGGTCTTTAACTATGGTCCTTGGACTAAGTTTGGCAGCATAGTAGCCCCGTCTATCATCCGTATTTACTAAGCTGTGGCTGTTTTAAAAATACAGGGTGAGTTTTCTCAACGTGTCAATAATTTGTAGGTAGTTTGGGCACCCCAAGGCGATCATTTTCTACCAATGAACTAGTGGGCGCAAACGTCTAAGTAGGGATGCAAAAATACCGGTAAGATTCAAAGTTACGTAAAATACGGTAAAATACGGTATTTTACCGTATTATACGGTAAAATTGGGTAACATTGATTTTTCTTGACTCTAAGGGGTAATGGTGGTACCTCTTGTGAAAATAGGGGGAAAGAAGGTACGTTTTGGTGAGGGTGTATCGGTTCCATCGTTTCATCCATACTTCCAAGCCAACATGACTCAAGAACAATGAAGCATTTTGAAAGACAAGGACCAAACACTGTGTGGGTTAAAGATATGAACTATTCTCCGACTTACTGACCCCTCCCCCTTATGTCTGAGTTTTGTGGACTTTCCCTTTTCGTAAATAAATTTAGATTTTGCCTGGTTCTTTTGATCGTAAATTAACAGCCCAAATAAACTGAAGTGCAAAAATATTGCATTTTCTCTCGTTGTCCATGTAAGTTGGCTCAATTTCATGAAAACTCTTTTTCCTGAAAGGCATCGGCGCGGCAGCCCCATGGTGTCCAATCATGTAAATGTTTATTGCATTATTCAGGTCAAATAACTAACAAGTATCTACCCCTATTTTTTCCTAGTTTCTGTTTAAAGTTAGTTTACATTATACTTATCTTGGCAACAAAGAAGTTTCTGGTTTGGATCGTGTAGTTAAATTTTAGTTTCCACAAGTTTTGCAAAAGAAGAGAACATTGACTTCTTGCTATGTTTTAAGTGCCTAGAGATAATGTCTTACACGTAAGATGGGGCGGCGCGAGGGGCAGATACAAACCAAGAGTTCCCAAGAGGCGCTGTTTGCAGTCCCTACGTCCTAATTCATCGTGTGGTAGCAAAAGAAGGGCAAATAAGTCAATATTTCAAAATGACCGAAAAATACCAATTTTACCGGGGTCTCCGTAAAATACCGTATTTTACCGTATTATACCGTTCTTTACCGGTAATATTACCGGCCTTTACATCCCTTCGCGGGCTAGGAGGGGTGCTTCGAGTCTCGTAGGGGTGCGGCGGACCTTGCAAATGTCTTTTGGGAGGGGTTGCCGCGGGTCTGAAGAGGCTGTCATGGTGGCCCCCGTTACAGTGGATCTCACGGCTGTCTTTGCGAGGGTGGCGGGATTCCTCAGATACTTCCGCGAGGTCAGTGGCACTCCCGCGAGTACTGCTAGTCCCGCGACACCCCCTCGACAGGTCCTGCCGCCCTCAGTGGCACCGGGTGCCTACCTCGTAGGCGCAAAATCCAATTACAAAACACCAATTATCTCCGTACCTAGACGTTTGCGCCCACTAGTTCATTGGCGAAAAATGGTCCCCTAGGGATACCCAAACTGCCTGCAAATTATTGACACATTGAGGAAACTCACCCTGTAGTCGGTTTTGGCCCACAATTGATTTTTGGAACCATTTGTGGGTCAGCATTGTAGAAAGCTCAAATTTGGATATGATTTGCTTAAATGCGAGAGGAATTCACTTTTGAATTTATTTTTCGGAATCGTGAAAACTGCAGGATCTGTAGCACAATGAATCAAATCTGGGTCATATCAATTATGGGCCATTTCGTCTTTTTGCTCGTAAATTGACCACTTTTGCAAGATGTTTTCTTATTTCCATTAATAAAAGGTCCCTGGCTCTCAATAAACCAAGCAGGCACGTTTTTCACTCAAAGAGGAAAAATATGTAAACAAGCCTATTTCACTGTGAGACAGATGTGAGTTAAACGTCCTGGAATAGAGACGAAACTTTTATAGTGCATATTCTACGGCCGCCGGTGTGGTAGACAATCCAACACCACACCCTGTCATCGTGAGGTATTGCTACAGTTTATAATCTATTTCAGTCAGAATATTTAGTCTGTAGGGATTGATTTGACTCCTACAGGGCCGGACTGGCCTCGGATGCCTAGCCTCTGCAGTTAGAGAGCGGTCCCCTTCCGGGTGCGATGTAAGGAACGGTTAGGGGACCACAAATCGGCGCGGCGCAGGTCCCCTTCCGAGCGCGCCCGAAGTCCCCCTCGCCGAGCGTGGCCCGAAGGCAAGCCCGAAGGTCCACGTGGGTATTCCGAGGATGGGGATAACCCCGGACCCTCGGGGGGCTTAGTCACTCAAGTAGAGTTGTCGAGCGCCTCCTCAGCAGATGTCTCCGTGGCTCCGGGGTACCACCTCTGCCTACGGCCCTTAGTATTGGTGGTTCAAATACTGGCCAGTTTTTAATTTTTCGGTTTCACCCATCCTTTTTAGTTATGTTCAAATTTTAGGTTGGACAATATGTTTTAAGAATATTAAGGTTTGGTTTATATATGGTACGTTAGGTTACGTAAAGTTGGTCAGGTCGCAAGTGACCGAAACTTGTCGCGACTATAGCATGAAATATTTTGAGAATAGAGTAGGCTAAGATCTGTTGACATTAGAAATAGATCTGCCGCGATGAGAATAAGATCTGTAGCGAGCCCGTTTGGTTTTGATTAGGATAGGTTGGACAAATTATTTTAAAAATATTAAGGGGGCTCATACATGTTAAACACACTTTGTAAAAAAATTTTTTTGATGTAGATGGATTAAGATTTTACAATTTCTGTGTTAAAACCCTTTTAGATAATTGAGTAAGCTTCATTTTGGCTTAAAGGAAAGTGACTTTGGACATTTTTTGAAGATTTAGTCGAAACGTTTAAAATTTTGGTTCTCGTAAGATTTTGTTCGCATACTTGCTCAGATCTGTGGGGAAAAAATCAGGGAGACTCATCCCTAGTAGTGTCATAGAATTGACTACAATGGGCCTTATATCTGCAATAGTTTTCAAGAAAAAAAATAAAAACAATTTTTTGTTAAAAAATTTGTTTAAAAAATTGTTAAAAAAAATGTTTTTATTTTATTTCTTGAAAACTATTGCAGATATAAAGCCCATTGTAGTCAATTCTATGACACTACTAGGGATGAGTCTCCCTGATTTTTTCCCCACAGATCTGAGCAAGTATGCGAACAAAATCTTACGAGAACCAAAATTTTAAACGTTTCGACTAAATCTCCAAAAAATGTCCAAAGTCACTTTCCTTTAAGCCAAAATGAAGCTTACTCAATTATCTAAAAGGGTTTTAACACAGAAATTGTAAAATCTTAATCCATCTACATCAAAAATTTTTTTTTTACAAAGTGTGTTTAACATGTATGAGCCCCCTTAAGGTAGCCGTCTGTCCACACCAACATACTACAATTTCCTTCTGACGAACATGCATTTCCATCTGCAGCAGAATCTAGCTCTGCATCGAAGCCGAAGACCTTCCCCTGGCTAATAGATGTTAAAACTATTAGCATTTAGGGTATTTCGATGATTATGGCTCCTTCGTGCCCCAGGTTGCCGTGCTCGGCACGGCACAAAGTCCCCTTCGGCTCCGGCCGCTCGGCACTCTTCGGCACCGCTCGGCTCGGCCGCCAGGGGGACCTGCGCGGCGGCGATTTGTGGTCCCGTATCAAGACGTGCGATGTAAGCCCCGCAATGCCCCCCCCCCTTCGCCAACAAAAAAAGGCTTATGGCGGACTGGAAGTAAGTGCTAGCGTAGTCATTCGGGGCTGTAGCGTAAGCTTAACAACCTTCGTATTGTAGTACTAAATGTGACAGAGCAGAAAAATGGAATTTACTGTGATACGTCAGTAATTCAGAAGCGCTGAAAACAAAAAATATAAGAAAAACTACCGTAAAATTCGTCTAAAATAATGGGTCAGACATGGTAGCGAACGCTACTTTGCCATCACCCGCGCACCATGGCATCGAATGATTTCGGCTGTACTATGGTAAATTTATGTTCCCTGACCTATTATGAACCTAAATCAGCAAGGGCGTCCCGTTTAATCTCGTAAAAGCTTCACGGTGCAACTTGAAAAAACACACCATTTTTCGCCTCGTTGGATGGGCGCTTTTTTCACGACTTTTTGAAGAGCCTTCCTTTGAAGCCTGATAGGAGCTGTTTCAGTCGTCGCACAGACATACACGCTATTTGGGGGGGACAAAGAAAGGTTGGAGGAAGGTCAACCGCGAAATTCAAATCGATTCAATCTCCACAGGGTCTGCAGTGACCCGTCGAAAAAAATGACCCACAATTGATTCGTGACCCACAATTGATTTTTTACCTTATGCTTTATCTGTTAAAATATGAACAATTTTTCTCTTTCCGTTTGGTTTTTATGACGTTTTTACAAAAGCACTGTTTTTGGAGTGATGTCCCCCCTTAAGTATTTTTCGCGTGTTTTGCTGTAAAATTTGGTCTTTAACACGTCTGTACCGAAATCTAACCTACCAATTACTATGCAATTAGTCAAACACAAGTTTTAGGAAGGTGCTGACAGCGATGTAGCGATCCATTTCCCTACAGGGCGGCTCGGGGCAGCCCAAAAGCATCGTAGTTGGGTCCAGATCGGCCTTCCGCGCGGAGGCGGCGCGCGTTCAGAGCGCTGTTTCGGCCATAACGGTTCGAGATACGGCAAAACGCTTGAAATTTTCGCCCTTCGGGCATCAAAATGACGTGTTTACTTGGGAGACAACTTTCAAATTCCGAAATCGGACGATTTTTAAAATTTGCACCAAATGGAACAATTTGGCACCACGAACTTTTGTCTCGGTTCAATCTGAAAAAACAAGGGACGGTCTACCACAAGCTGTATACAGAATTTTCGGCAGCTTTTTGCCACAGTGTAGGCAACACATCGTGGCCAAGTGCCAGCGATGCCGCGAGAGTAGGCAACACTTCATGGCCAGGTGCTAGCGAAGCGCCGCGAGAGTAGGCAACACTTCGTAGCCTGGTGCCAGCGAAGCGCCGCGAGAGTAGGCAACACTTCGTAGCCTGGTCCAGCGTCGCGCCGCGAGAGTAGGCAACACTTCGTGGCCAGGTGCTTGCGAAGCGCCGTGAGAGTAGGCAACACTTCGTGGCCAGGTGCTTGCGAAGCGCCGTGAGAGTAGGCGACACTTCGTGGCCAGGTGCTTGCGAAGCGCCGTGAGAGTAGGCAACACTTCGTGGCCAGGTGCTTGCGAAGCGCCGTGAGAGTAGGCAACACTTCGTGGCCAGGTGCCAGCGAAGCGCCGTGGGCGCCAGTAGGCGATACTTTGTGGCACGCGGCGAGAATAAGCTCCCTCCTTCTATGCTGCCCCCTCCAGCCTGATTTTTTTATTTTCGCTGTGTACCCTCGACCCTCGGCGAGCTCGCCGTCTGACAGGGGTTTGACGAGTGCAGCCATAAACCCGGACGGTCGCCAAAGCGTCGGACCATCGTATGGACCGAAAGGTGCCTCCACAATGGGAAGCAGGTAGCACGGCGAGCCCGGCAAGAGTCGTGGTCGGCATCGGGCCTCAACGCGATCGCTTTTATTGACCTCTCGGTGCGCGAGCTCGACCCTCGCCGTCCCTTGCAACACGTGTTCAACTGTTTCCTCTGTTCTCTCCAACCTGGACCTGTCCCCCGAATCCTCAGCTTGGAGTAAGGGAGCACTGTACCAGTTAGGATTGTCCTGAATCTGCTCTTAGTAAGGATTGTCATGAATCTACTCTGACAATTAGGATTATTCTATTAGGACGCATTGATAACCTGCACTGAAAAAAAGTCTAGTAACGATAACCAGAATCCTTGTACCAAATACCAGACTGTCTGATAGAATATAACTCAACTAGAATTCTGGTAAAAAATACTAAACTGTCTAGTTGGCCTCGGTCTAGTAAACCGTACCAGATTTATAGTTATCCTCACAATGCCGCCAGGTCCCCTTCTGGTAGTTTTTACCAAACATCCTGGTTAGTTAATGTGCTTACAAAACTGAAGTAAGAAGTCCAAATTTTAATAAAATATTTTTCGTAGTGATGAAACCTGATGTAACGTCGATTTCGTTAACGAACAACCTCTGAATTGTTTTTTTCCCTCCTCCTCCTCTCCTCCGGATTCGAACCGGGATCTCACACTTGTGAGACGGGCACGTTACCACTGCGCCACCACGTCGCCTGTGGGTCGAGGGGATCCCCACCAGGTGACTCTCTACGTGTCTGGCTCAGGGAAATACTCCCAGTGTTTCTTTCGGATTTAAGACTCCGAAAATAACGAAACCGGTTGCAGTTTACTTTTTGACACCCGAACATTTCAATTGAAACGAATATTTCGAAGTTTTACGTATGGTGCCAATTACGGAACAGTCTGGTAAAATTTACCAGGATTATTAACCAGACACCTGGTAAATGTCACAACACCCGATCTGGTTACTGCAACTGATCATCTGGTGAGAGTTACTAGGATTCTCGTATGAGTAACTAGTACTCGTTTAACTAGGATTGGTCTGGTACTTTTAACCAGACTTTTTTCTCAGTGTGGAGCGTGCTAGACTCTTTCCTCCGCACTGCGCCATAGACAAAACCACTGAAAAACCAAACGTCAAAAAGGTGCCATTTGGGCCTCAAGTGTTGGTGTGGTCTGGACCACGATAGGCCACGTTTGGAGTGGTCTGCACCACGTTTGGTGTGGTCTTTACATGCAATGACCAAGAGCAGCTCCAGACAAAAAATCACTTGGCCGGGGACCCCCCTCAGATCTGGCTCCCTCCCGTTTTTTCGGTTCCTCTAGTGAATACGAATCGCCGAAACACAAATAGGGCCGGATCCAACACCGATTGGCTTTTTGGTAGAGGTCAAAAACTCCTAAAAATGGGTGTCGCGAAGGGGCAGCTTCGCGACTTTTATTATTAGTGAATTAATAATCGCACTGATTACCAATATTTGTACAGGTCACAAGAATTTCAATCGTAGTTTCAACAGTTTATAACAAAGTTCCCCTATTGCTATGACGTATCACCAAATTCTTATATATGAATAAAACAGGGATCCCGTAAACCCCGCCGTTGTGGCCACCGCTAAGCAGTGCCTCAGCGAATCCCTCGCCAAGCCCGTCCAGCCCGCCCTCAAGAAGGTGAGAGAAGTCGTGAAATAGACAGTGCTCACTCAAGGAGAACAGAATCGTCACGAAAATCTCATCGTGAGCTATTTCAAGTCACACGTACACTCGTGCTCACATCGTGGTGAAAATCCGTCACCTGCACACAGTAAAGACTCTACGAAGAACCGCTTCGTAATAGGGTCACCGTGGGGAAGAACTGGACAGGGGAAGAACTGAACACCCCATATTTTACTCCGAATGCCGTATGCCTACACTGAGAATCCAAACGCTATGAGTATAGCGTCAATTGGTGCAATGCAAAAGCATTGCACATGAAGAGCAATGCCTCCCATTTCCCATGCATTAGCATAGGGCCTTTTCGGGAAGCATTGCACCAAAGGTGCAATATGGCTGAGGCATTGCACGTATGGTGCGATATCACAGCGCATTGCACCATACGTGCTATACTCATAGCGTTTGGAATCTCAGTGTAGGCTTATCAAGTTTTAAGTAATGAACCACTGATGCCTCTGAACAACTTTTGATGGTTTTTATGCCTGTGCGTATGCCTACGTTTGGGGTAATTTAAGTAAAATACGGGGTGTTTAGTTCTTCCCCTGTCTAGTTCTTCCCCGCCCTGACCCTACGAAGAAAATGAAGGCATTGTAAAATCTAAGAAGTGCTTCGTTTTATGATGCAAAGCCCTTCGTAATACCAAGCATTTCTTCTTAGTACAAAGCAATTCTACAATGCCTTCATTTTCTTCGCAGTTATGAGGCACATGCTTCGTAGGCTTTTAAGAATGCTGCGTGACGATTTCGGTCTCCTTGGGAGTACTACAAGATTGCAAACTCTATCCAGGTGTGCACACTGTGCAACTCTGTACACAGTGTGCATGCACACTCAGAGTTACTCTACTCCACACCAGGTATACTTTGGAGTTCTCCACTCACACTTGGTTTGACGAAAGGGGTGTGTGAATCAAGGATTTTCGTTTCACATAGAGTTCAAATCGAATCTTAAATTTGTTTTTGAATCGAATCATAGAAAAAAGGTGCCGAATTGAATTCGAATCAAAATTAACGATTCGATGCTCACTCATACTTTCCTGTCATTTTCGGATTTTTTGTCTCTAATTTGTCCACCTTTGTTCGAAGACGAACCATCAATGATGTGAAATTTCGAATATTCGAATCATCAATCGTTCGGCAGTGTGCTTTGACCTGACTCTTCCGTGCTGCAGGCTTCCTACAACATCAAGCAGCTCGATGAGATCGACAGGCGCATTAAGGCGTGCCAGTCCGGCATCGTTGAGACCGCGACCTCCACCCCCGCTGCCTCCTGCCGCTACGAAGCCCGTGTCAAGGCCGGCAAGGGCTACCCCAAGGAGTCCCTCGTCGACTTCCTCGCCCCGTGCCTCACCGGCATGAAGGTTGACTCTTCCATTATTTCAGAGTCACAAAAATGCATCACCGCTTCCCTGGCCAAGCCTCTTTAAACCTGATAGGTTAATCACCAATGACGCGAAAGCGACAATGTCTGCCTCTCATGAATATAAATAAAATAGCTCAAATATTGCACTTCTGTTGAGATTATGAGTTACGGATGTTCCCTGAATAGAGTACTCCAGAGAAGCTCTGGCCGAGAGAAGAAGAACAAAAACGGAAGTAAGAAATTGCAGTTTCCGAGAAATATACGCTGCGGATCCTCATACGCAGCGTATATTTCTCATAGAAACTGCACTGCAAGAAAAAGTGTGGATATTATAACAAAAGTACAACAAAAACTGTACAATAAAAGTACAACAGGGATTGTAGAAAGTACAACGAGAATTGTACAAACCACAAGCAGCCCTGGACTGCCCAGCACTCGTCATGCCGGTTCCGTTGTGCTTTGTACAACAATTGTTGTACTTGAAAAGTACACTAAATCCCTAAACAAAAATTTGCCAGAAATTTGTGTTATATTTGCTGTGGTTATTTTCTGCAGTGCACTACAAATCTAACTGTCTACTTAGCACGCACTTTTAGTACATGGTTGGTTACTGACGATAAAGCCCGCAAGAGGCTGAGAGTGCTGCAGCACTCTCATGAGAGTGTAAGAAATTTCCCGTAGGAAATGGCGTAAGCTATACGAACGCAGTTTTTCTTCGTATTACGTAGGTTTTCTGTGTATCCTACAATCGAAGTCAGAAAAAGATTCCTGTGGAGCAATTTTGCTCCGTATTATGCTTGCGCCGAATGCACTGTAACTTTGCTCAAATCTTACAGCAAGACTCTTACACACTCTAAATCACTGGTTTTCGGACAAAGGGGTGTAAGTCCTCAAATGAAAATTTGTGGGTATGTAATGAAAACCTTCCTGCATCTGAACCATTAAGAGTTGCAGGAAAAGACGTATACATTTTAGTATATGAATTTTCATGTCTTATCCGCCTGAATGTGTCATGATTGAGTTGTCACAACGGTTTCGGAAATGTATGGACTTACGCGGTTTTGATCATGATGTTTGTGCTGACAAAAGGGCACATGTCCACCGTTTTCTGAGAAAAACAGCACAAGTCCACGTAAGTCCATACGTTTTCTGACAGAACAGCACAAGTCCACCTATTTTCTGACGAAACAGCGCAAGTCCATAGATTTCCTGGACTTACGCGGTTTTGTCAGAAAACAGGTGGACTTATGCTGTTTGGTGCAATGACAAAGATACACATTCAAGGCCTGCAATCAGTAAGGTTTTGCTCACAATCAAAAGTAGCGCGTCAGGCAAATGGATTCTATAGAACCAGAATCCTTGTAGGCTGCACTATCCTTTTGGAATGTATTCCCCATTTCTGTCAAAACAGCACAAGTCCATCGGTTTTCTGACAAAACCGCGTAAGTCCATAGATTCCCTGGACTTACGCGGTTTTGTCAGAAAACCGATGGACTTGTGCTGTTTTGTCAGAAAACGTATGGACTTACGTGGACTTGTGCTGTTTTTTTCAGAAAACGGTGGACTTGTGCTCTTTTGTCAGAAAATTGGTGGACTTACGTCCTTTGGGACAGTGCGGTATCTCCGCAAGCAGCAGTCATATTGACGATCTGACAACACCAGGTTGTGCGGTTTTGAGTGATATATCCGAAAATACACTTCACTCAATTTTTCGATTTTATGGACTTACACCCCTTTGTCCGAAAACCAGTGAAATAGAGTGTACTTGGGAGTAGGCTACGCCGTGGAGATTGTACCGAGCAAGCTGTTGAGGTTACTTCAGTTCGACCAGTGCGCTGGCAGTTCAGTCGCTGCCCCAATTGGCAGTCCTTTTATGAGCTTACTCGGCTTAAAACAGCTGCATGACGTGATGTCGTCTAGCTGTCGAGGGTTTCTACCAGACACCGTTTATCGCGAACCACCGACATTTACACTCAACGTGCACTTGTCAAAGAAGTATTTTGATATGACTTCCGAGAATATGCGCTATCACATTCGTTTGAACGCTAGTGAAACTCGAGTTAAACACTCTCCTTTTCCAAATCCTCTAAACAGCTTCTTTTAAAAGTGAACACACTTCTCGTTCTTTTCCGTCATTTCCATCACCTGAACAAAATGAGCCCAGCTAGTACAAAGTCGAACAACTTAAAACTTTCAACAATTGTGACTCTACACATTACTTTTCTGTAGGATGGATCCACTTGTAGTGACATCGCCTCCACTGCTTCTAAGTGTAGGACAATTACTCACTTTCGGGCGTTGACCAAAATGTCCTACGCTGCCAAGATCCTGCTGAGCCTTTTCTTCGTAATACTTAGTATTAAGACAGCGCAGCGAGTAGTAGCCTATGGTGAACCTATAGTATCACGACTAGAAGCGTACGGCAGCTTTGTTCATCTATCAGCACACGGTAAAAACGGAACCTGGTTTTCCCAGGAGGCCAATGGTGAAGGTATAGGCGATTTCCAGGAAGTTCCTGGGAAAATCAGGAACCGTTTTTACCGTGTAGCCATTGATTTGTCATAATGCCAAAATTTAAATGTTAATCACAGTGTGGTCGACCCTTGCACGGGCACTAGCACATTTTTGTCTTCACCTGCAAGTGTGTACTTGTCCGACACTTCTTGGATTGGCAGTATGCAATATGCTCTCTTTGCGCTGTCATAACTTGGACGTGAATGCAAGGGGCCCAGCGTCGGCGCTTTTCCACGGACGCCAAACATCCCCGCCGCCTGCCTATTTTATTTTTACATGTGTGCGGTAATGAATTGAGATGTGACGTCATTTCTTCTGGTCATCAGCGGAAAGAAGATAAAGTGGAGTACTACGAGAAGCTCCAACAACGGGAAAAAAAAACACATATGGCCCGACACTGATAGCGCCACCTATCCAACACAGTGCGAAACCTTAAAAACAACCCAGCCATTTTGGGGGGTGTTGAACCCCTGCGACACCCAGGTTCGTGGTCACACGATTTTCTGCAGTTCTTATTGATGAAAGGAATCTAAAAACCGAGTGCGGTACAGTTCAAAAGCAGGTGTTCAAGTGTGTCTGGAGATTCTTATAAGCACGTATGATACAACTTCGTAAGAAGAAGAAGTCTGAAGGGCCCAGATAAGCCCACAGACTGCCCACCATGTGGGCATGTATATCTGGCCCAGACTTATCGTAAAAGTTGAAAGGTATAAAAGGAGTCAGGGCAGGAGCCATGGGCACGCTGATTGACACCATAGCACGGAGTGAGCTTCTTGCCGTCCTCGGACTGCTGGCCCTTGTGGGGACAGTCCCATCAGTATGTGCCTATCGAGTGTTGGGCATATTTCCGATCCCGGCTAGCAGCCACAACGTCATGTTCGAGGTATGCGTCTCGTTATGTTAATTAAGTGCTCTGCCAAACTAAGTGTACTCTAGAAATTCAAGTGCTGACAAAGTATACCCCACCTAGAGCCAACCTGTCATGCACACTCCACCTGGAGTCAGCCTAGCATGTACACTCCACGCTGGAGCGACTCTTCCTGGTGTGGAGTAATTCTCTACACTTGGACGTGTGGAGCTTACAGTCTGCACACACGTGTTGTTGCATGCTGTTTAATACAGAGTTTCTCTGCTTTGCAGGCCACGATGCAGGCCCTGGCGGACAGCGGCCACGAGGTGGTGGACTTGAGTCCCTTTCCGCTGAAGCAGCCCCGCGCCAACTACACCGACGTGGACTTGTCGAAGGAGCTCCCGACCTACGTGAACAGCATGAAGTTCACCGAAATGGTGGACTTTGACTTGATGGGATTGTTCGACTTGCTCGATAGAAATACTGGGCCCGGCCTTTGCCGCAAGGTGTTCCAGACCAAGCAGTTCCAGGACATCATGAGTGGAGCCTACGGCAAATTCGACGTCGTCTTCACCGAGATCTGCGGCTCTGACTGCTGGGGTCTTCGTACCAGCAAAATCGGATTCCTTGTCCAAAATTACGCTTAGAGAACTTTGACGCACTCATCTATCTCATTTATTACCCGATCTGTGACAAGTCTTCACATTTACCGCAATTCTACTTAAAGTAAATGCCTTACGTGATTGCAAAACTTTAGAAAGCTGCCATTTCCAAACTACTTGAGCTACAGCGGTGAAATTTCACACCAACTCTGACATCACTTGGGACAATATTTAGACTGAATATGGGGCGGAGACGGTCACGCAAAAGGTGGTTTATCTGATCTAAAACTCCCCAGAAAGAGGGTTTTTTCATTTTTTTGCAGCGCCACTGTTTTTCACGCGGCGTACACAAACTTTTTATCTCGTAGTATGATAGATTGGCCCTTTTATCTAAAAATCCATCATCGGTTGGCGAAAATCGTGCCGAACCCCAAAAACCCCCAAGAAAAGTAAAAACCACTACGAAACCTGAAAAACAGTCAGAACATCTTTTTGGGTTGTCCTATCAACAAACGGGCACCGGATTCGTGTACCTCGCGTGATTTTACATAAGATATCACATTTTGAGCTCAATAGAGGCCTCAGAAAGGCGATTTTTCAATTTTGGCCATATGATGTGAAAAGTCGTCAGAGAAAACGAAAATTGCCCATAGAATCTGAACGGTGCATATTTCGGCCCAGAAAATTTGTGGCCTTTCTTAGACCCACAAGACTACCTTTGACCAAAAAATGAAGGAAATCGGCATCGGTCGTGTTCCACGATCGGACTTCTTAAAAAATTATGCTTTAATTAAAGTAGTGGCCTTTCTTGCTTTTAACATTAGACTTGCTTGAATTTTTCTATCAAAATAAGATATAGATAAAAATTATCATAATTCAGGGTGTGTTTTAAACACTTCTAAAAACGGGAATTCATCTATCAAATTGAAATCATTTATGTGTGCTTTAAAAATGTGTCAATTTGTTTGCTCTAGAACTTAGTCAGATATTTATTTTATGTTATAACGCTTATATAAGTCAGTCCCACCTTTTCTGTTGATGGTGGGTCCATGGGTCATTTGGGAAAAGTATTTGTAAAAATGGTTGAAGGGGCTACAAAATCGATTGAGTCGATTCAATTTTATGCTCTGGTGACCTTTCCTTTTTTTAAAACACAGACTAACTATAGACTTGCTTAAATTTTTCTTCTTGTTTCTTTTTTAAAAAACCTCTGCTGAGAGCTTTGCTTCAGCTCAGGGGCAGGTCAAGCTTGGGTGTGCGCGGCCGCGGTCCTGGTGGCGTTGGCCGGGAGGCGCCGGGTTCTGTTTTGGCACTTGCGAACTGATGCCCGTGATTGCGCGCAGAACGCATCACGCAGGCTGAATCTTCCCTACCGTCACATTTTTGTGTTGCTTGGTATCAAAATTGCCGTCTCATCATGAGCTATTGGCCTGTCACACTCTAAAAACAATTGGTGTGGTTGCGTACAAAATGCATCGCGAAGACTGAAGCCTTCCATATTGACGGCCGTAAAAATTGGGGACCCGCTGAGCGCCGTTTATGACGGCTCGAACAGGGGCCGCGGCGGCGCGGCCGAGGGGGAGGGGGGCGTCGGGCCTGTCGGGCCAAACAATGCTACACTGTTAATATGGATGTGGAAATTTGTACTTGCCCAGTTGGGAAAACTGGTGCTCCTTGTAAGCACCAATTTTATGTAGTGAAGGAGCACAATTTGTCTAGCCAACAGTTCTTGCCTTTCACTGATGTAAAGGCCAAGAAGCTGTTGTACAAATTGATTTCAAGCCCAAATGAGGAGCTTCCTCCAGAATGGTTTTCAAGTTTGAGAAGTGGCCATGTGGATCCATTTGATGTGGGCACATCTAAGTTACCATTGGACAGTGAAGATACTTGTGTTGATATTCATGAACAAAGTGAAGGAGATGCTGCTATTGACGAAGCTGTCCCTGTTGCTGAAATAGTTGAAGATTCTCCTGGCGGTCCTTGTGAAGAAGCTGTCGCTTGTATTGACGAAGCTGTCCCTGTTCCTGAAATAGTTGAAGATTCTCTTGGTGGTCCTTGTGAAGAAGCTGTCCCTAGTTCTGAAATTGCGGAGAGAATCTCTAAATGCAATGAGCGTACAAGCATGTTTGTGAATTTTCTGCAAGAAAAGCTAACTCAAAGGCCTGACTTATTCCTTCCGGCTGTGGAAAAGATGATGGATCGCTTTGAAACTGAATGCAAAACTGACAATGCATTTGTTTCTGCTCTTTATTCATTTAATAGGTACAACAACCCAAATGCAGTTCGTCAAGGAAACACAATGCCACCAAATCACCATGCAATCTCTAGACGGATGGCAGCTCTTGGCGGGGCAAGAAACATTCATATCACAGGCCGTCCTCCCAACAGTGTCAGAATTGTGCCTGAGCATGGGTATATAAAAGCTGCAACAACATCGGATAAATTTTCAGCTCCACCTCCAACTTCAAAATTACCCCATAACATAAGTCAGCGTGTTGTGGCTTATATGCAAAGTTCTAAACATTAGTTGGTGTACATTTTTAAATGTAATTTTACCATTTTTGTTTTAATTTTAAAATTTTTCCTTCCATGATTTTATAATATGATTTTATAACTAACAGAATATATTTACTGTATTTTTAAATTTTTGCCGTATTTTTATCTCCTAGTCCCACATTTCTACAATATTATTTGTTTATTTTTATTTCTCACACTAGAGAGCCTCTATTCTCACACCCAAGAAACGCCAGCGCCCCTGGTGGGAAGGTCGGAAAGCTGGGCGGCACGGTGGGTATGAGAAATGCTGAACCCACTGCCTCCGCAGCTTGGGTAGGAAGTAGAATCTCGCCACGGCCACGGCCACGGCGACGCTCAGGTCCCCCCTATATATATATTCCTTTTTAGTATGTTTCTGAGCAGTGTACATTGCCTCAGCCCGGGCCTCCCCAGCCTCCCCAGTTCCCAAACCTAGGCCTCTGACCAAACTGTACACACAGCCTCGCACATTTTGCGAGTAATAGCTCAAGCTTTGATACGCTTGACCTGAAAATGCCTCAAAGCGGAGGTATGGAATAAGCAGTCGCCGCAGGGAAGTGCAGAGTTTGCGCCATGCCAAGAGGTAAGGGGGGGGGGGAAACCAGCGGGAAGTTCGAGTATGTTCTCTTTGGACAATCACGGAAGTTACATTTGGGGTATTCCAAACGCTACGTAGACCAATCCAACGAACGTGAACTTTTCGAAATGTGTTCGTTTAGTGGGCAATGGCCCTCCCTAACATCAGAAACAAACCCCATGTCGATATCTGCGCTCGTTTGGGCACAGGAGTCAGAAGAAACGAAACTACCCCGAAACGTGAGAATCGCTCAGTTAGATAATATACTAAGCTAGGAACAAAACTTGGCTCATTATACATTGAGCTAATGTCGTAAATTGCTGATCATTACACTTAACTAAGAACACAACTTTGCTTAACACATTCACGACCGGACCCGTTTTGGGCAAACTTCCGCTCAGCACCGGAGTCTACTTTGACCAAACCCTGCATCTCCCAGACCTCGCGACTAGATATAAGCACGAATCATGCAATAACAAAAACCAACCAGCCGAAAAAAAATCCCGGGAACCCCGTGCCCGGACGGTCGCAAGGGCTATGCCCAGTGACGGGGACGGGGTTCCCGTGTGGACGCCAACGACCCATTGGATGCGGGAACGCAGTATATATGGGAACACGGTCCGGATCGAAGTGAGTGCCAAAACCATTTAATTTTTCGAAAAAAAAAGGAAGAAAACGCAAAAAGTCTAAGTTTGAAGCTCGTATGGCCGTTTTTGAGTCCGGGAACCATGTACCCGGCCGGTCCTTAGAGGCATGGCCCTCCCCCTATTTTTTGAATAGAAGGGCGGGCCAAAAAGGTTACCAAAAACACAGTAATCGGCAGCCAAAATACAGTTATCGGCACCCTTTATGACAGTTATCGGCACCCCTTGTTAAAAAGGCAAAACATGACCGAAAGTGACGAAAATTTCTAACAGTCGTCACAGACACTCTATATCTCCCCTTGACATGTTACGAACCCCCTCTCTCTTCTGTTATGCCTCTTGCGCCCTTCATTTCAGACTCACGGACAACTAGCACCATGAGCTGCGAAAAAACAACCTCTCAAAGCGCCGAGGAGGACTTTCGTAAATCACGTAGATCACTGGGAAATAGTGATCCGATTTCATTCAAATTTGGCAGGGGTCTTCCTACGGTCATAATGCATCAGAATATTAACTCCCGTGCGACGCCCGAAACACCAGTGAAGTTTGAGGCCACCCTGACGATAAACTGTGTTTGGGGTGATTTTTCTGGTGCAGTTATCGGCACCCCCCGAAGGAGGGCATTCAAGAGGAATTTCTGTGCACCAAGCACATTATGCCTTCTTCAATAGATGGGGAGAAGGAACCTGGCAAGGAGAATAGTTTTTTCCGGCCCACTTTCACGAATTTAACGAAAGATTGAACCCCTGTTCCTAGCATGGAAGATAAGAACGGGCGGCCGAAGCAGGTTCATTCTGCACTAGACAAGAAACTTGGCTCTGTTGGCTGACATGCTCAGTCAAACGCGGTGCTGTCTCGGTCCTGCATGCTCAAAAGGTGTCTCTAGCGACCTGCATTGGCCGCATCCCTAACGGACTCGTACTTGCAGAGCAGGACCCAATTATTCGCCGAGATGACGATAACTGTACCCCTGCCGATAACTGTATAGTTTACCCTAAATACTTATGCTATACTGTTTCAAAGATTAAATATCACATCATGACTATCATTAAGAATAAGATTAACTTGCGTTTAGCAATAAGTGGGCTGGACATTGGGTTCTATGAAACGATTCATTGGATCTGACAAAAGGTCTTCTCCGTTAAGTAGTTGCAATCAGCCTGCCGGTAAATGTGTCTCTTTTTAATTAATTGAGATAAATCAATATAGTTTCATCCACTAGTTTAAAATAAAAGGGAGATAAAAGACTTTTTAGGTACTACAAATAACATTGCGTATTCATAAGTTCCATAACAAGGAGGTATCGAATGGTAATTGAAATTTGTGAATCGCATTAAGCAATTCAATGCTGGCTGTTGAATGTTACTCGACCAAGTAACAGTGTCAGGGTTCATGTTACGACACCATAAACAGGAAACACACTTAGAAATTGTGTTCATGTTAACAACTGCAGACCCATACTTTCGACTAGAATTACATGATTTGGGACCAAAATTTCCTTGGTGAGTCATTGTTTCGTGCAGTGCTGATCACAAAAATGCCTTTTATTTTCACCCCAGACCTTTACTTTTCCAAATGTTTACCAATTTTGGACCAAAATTTTTAAGTTGAGTTTTACATAGTTTCCTGCAGTTTTTGGTGTGCTGATCACGAAAATGACTTCCAATTTCATCCCAGACCTTTACTTTTCCCAAAATTTACCAATTTTGGACCAAAATTTTTAAGTCGAGCTTTACATAGTTTCCTGCAGTCTTTGGTGTGCTGATCACGACAATGACTTCCAATTTCATCCCAGACCTTTACTTTTCCCAATATTTACCAATTTCGGACCAAAATTTCAAAGTTGAGTTTCCCATTGTTTCCTGCAGTTTTCAGTAAGATAATCACGAAAAGGGCATGAATTCCGGCCCTTTCGTTACGGAAGACTCTGTATTGGCCTTATTCTGCACATATTCTTCGCCATCTCCTATAAGAATGTGTTCAGACGCATCGCTCGCCTACTACGCGCCCAAACTAAACGGCGCGTACCCCTATAGTATGTTGGTGCAGCCTTTCACCGGAAGACATTTACAGCGCGGTCGGTAGGGAGTACTTGTCCCTAATTGATGTTACATATTGTGCACACCTTACATGATCACAAATATAACAACAGCTATGGATAATGAATATACATAATCTGCCTCTTTATCAGGGCGTGCTAACTTAACATTTATTTGCGATTTTTGACATTTTATTTCGTAAACGGCTGGAAATAAAAAAATTATGCATATAATAACTTAAATTCAAAATCAAATTTTAAATTTAAGTTGCCCTGTGCATAACTTTTTACCTTTTGTCGTTGACGAGATAAAGGCACTCAAAATCTCAATAAATGTTAAGTTAGCACGCCCTGCTCTTTATCACAACCCTATGGCAAAACTGCACACCACGAAATACACAAGGGCAAAGAGAAGAATACCCAATATTATGAGAAACGCGGTTGCGTCCAAAGGGCCAGAACTCCCAGTGTCCGAATCCCAATCCCAGTCCCACGAGTCCGAACCCCCTGAGTCACCGGAGCCCCCCGGAACCCAGTCCCCTGGCGTCGACCTCTGAGGCGCCCACGTGAAGGGGCGCGACGTTCTTGGGGCCCACGTGACAGGGCGCGAGGTTGCTGGCGCCCACGTGAAGGGGCGCGACGTTCTTGGGGCCCACGTGACAGGGCGCGAGGTTGCTGGCGCCCACGTGAAGGGGCGCGACGTTCTTGGGGACCACGTGACGGGGCGCGAGGTTGCTGGCGCCCATGGTCCGGACGGCGACGTGTTCGGTCGCCACAACGTGGACCCCCTCAGCTTCGTCGGTGCTCGTGGAGTCTGCGGGGGCGCTAAGGACGTCCCGAGTGAGTCTGCGGCTTGCTCTCGAACCACTGCTTCCTGGCGAACGCGCTGCGTCGGTCCCGTTCCCGAGGCAGGTCTTCCACTTGAGAGCGTTGCTAGGTCGATATCACCCTCCGCGCCAACGGGCTCTGAAGGCCGAAAGTCCAGGGCGTCTGCAAAGAGAACAGAAAAATATTAGGTATCTGCGAAGCGTTTTATAAGCCGATGGAAACTGCAGTCAAGTGGCGAGTCCATATTTAAAGTTGGAAGAAGAGATGGCGAAGAACGGAGGAATATGGGACAAAGTGCCCTTTTCGAAGATTCAAGCGTGCTGCCCTCTGCACTGAAAAACCATTGGTATTGGCTTGCTTCGCTAGGGCGCTTCGTTTGTAATCACAAAATTTGGCATTCCAGGCCTCCAGAGCACCGAATTCTGCCATTCTCTGCGTGTGCTCTAGGCCCAGGAGGCCAAACGAAGCACTACTGGATTGGCAAGAAAGCTACTAATGGGTTTGCAGTCCATTTTTGAGAGTTTGGGGCGGAAAACAGGACCCGTTTTACTACCGTCCCTCTGCGGGGTAATCCCCGTAGCGCCTTCGAGGGCTCCCGAACCGTGTCGATTGCGAACCAAACAGACACGTACGGGATGGATTTCAGCAATTATGCAGACGATGCACTTGACAGATGATGTGTATACACACCCGTCAACTTCTTATACAGGGTGAGTTTTTTCGATGTGTCAATTATTTGTAGAAAGCTTAGGCACCCCTAGCGGATCATTTTTCGCCAGTGAACTAGTGGGCGCAAACGTCTAGTTACTGAGACAAGAAGTGTTTTGTAATTTAACTTCGCGCCCACGAGGTAGGCTCTCGCCGCCACTGAGGGTGGCGGGACCTCACAAGTGGGTGTCATGGCACTCGCAGTACTCGAGGGAGTGCCACTGACTTCACGGAGAAACCGTGGAGTCCTGCCACCCTCGCGAAGACAGCCGCGAGATCCACTGTTGCGCAGGCCACCACGACAGCCACTTGAGACCCTCGGCACCCCCTCTGAAATGACTATTGAAAGGTCCGCCGCACCCCTGCGACCTTCGTTGCATCCCCGCAAGACCCACGACATCCTGTCGTGAGGTCTTGTGACCCTCACAAGGGAACCTATTCAGGGGGTACGCTCAGATTTCGACCAAACTTTTTTTCTCGTAAGAATAACATATAAGATTAAGAATGCACCTCAAAGCTGGTGCCAAGATATATATCTACACCCTTTACCAATTTTTTAAAACCTAAAAAAGGGGTAAAATAAGCCTTTTTGCATTGTATGGGTCATTTTCAGACATCGAATCGGAAAATTTGAAGTCGAGTTTTTTGTCATTTCCTTCAATGTTTGGTCCCCTTGTGACGAAAATGAGAGAAAATTTTGGTCTGTTTCATATATTATCATATTTTGCACAAATTTGGTGCGACTGCCCAATTACGACCAAAAATCTGCTCGTTGCACGTAAAATCATGGGCCATTTTCGAGGGGGAAACGACTTCGGTTATCCGATGTACAGCAAATTGGTTATCCGCTATCCGGATAACCAGAAATTTCGAAGTAATCCGGGGAAATTCTGAGGTAATCCGGGGTAATCCGGGGAAATTATGAGGTAATCCGGGGTAATCCAATGGTAATCCTGGAAATTTTTCGATGTTATCCGGAGGTAATCCGCGGGTTATCCGGGGTTATCCCTATCCGATGTACACAAAATTTCTCAGTCGTTTCCCCCTTGGCCATTTTACCCCTCTTTTCCGTTAAAAATAGTCAGGAGGGGTGTGGATATGTATCTTGGCACCAACTTTGGGGTGCATTCTTAATCTTATATGTTATTCTTACGAAAAAAAAAGTTTGGTCGAAATCTGAGTGTACCCCCTGAATAGGTTCCCTTGTCAGTGACCGCAGGTGTGTATCTGGCAGGTGCGAATGCCCATTTCTAAATATCAATTATCTCCGTACCTAGTCGTTTGCGCCCACTAGTTCATTGGTGAAAAAAGATCCACTCGGGGTGCCCACGCTACCTCCGAATTATTGACACATTGAAAAAACTCACCCTGTATGAGAACGATTTCATCCTATCTGGTGCATTTCTTTAATTTTCAGGAGTTGCATAAAATTACCGACACTGGAAAACGGGACCAGTTCGGGACTTTGCCTCAACAGGACTAGAACAGGCATTGAACAGACCCTATGTTGTTTTTCAAGGAAGGTCCGTTTGGATTGTTTTGACAAGGCGCTTCTTTTACTGAACTTGGCTACTACAGGTCAATTAATTGCCGTGCAGTAGACTGGCATTAAAACAGCCTCTTTAATGTTAATCAAGGCAGGGCGTTTGGATTGGATAGTCTAAGACAAGGCGGCGGTCAGCGGTTGGACCAAAAACAGTACAGGTTCTCGGCGACACCTAAAAAGATATGTCTACATAAAATTCAAACTTTACTTCTAAATTTTTTGGTGGTCCTAGCCTGTTTAAATTATTTCTAGCCGCCAAATCTCAGAATCTTGCAGAGAGCGCTCTCAATACACACTATTTGGTTTCAAGCTGCGAAGAATTGGGCTTGATTGTGGTGAACTTTCAAGCCGGGTAATTCCGTGCGTAGCGTGCCTTTTCACGTTCTTAAAATCTGTGAAAAAATTCTTTCTTCACTCTACAAAAAATGTCCTGTCAGCGCCGTTAATTTATTACCCATGTTTGCTGTTATGCAATTCACGGCGTTTGCTGTGTACTAGTTCACGGCGTTCACTGTGGTCTCGATTACAGTGTTCACTGTGATCTGGCCCCAGTAAACGCCGTGAATTTGAGCCTGATTTTCAGTACTTCGGTGCTCAGCGGCGTCAAACTCACAGTGCTTACTGGGGACCAGATCACAGTAAACAGCGTGAACAAGATCACAGTGAATCGCGTGAGCAGATCACAGTAAACGCTGTGAATTGACCTACAGTGGAAACTGGTAATAAATTAACGGCATTTACAGGACACTTTTGGTAGAGTGTTGCCCGCGCTTTTTTTACTCAAATGCATTCCTTGGGACCCCTTCATGACGATCTGAGAGTGGCCAGGCTCAACCCTCAGTATAACAGAAGTTTACTTCATAGCGTGATGACGGAAAATTACACACCAGTTCACCGCGGCGCCTCATTTTGAGCTAGCACGTTCAAATTTGGTGTGCATAACACATGTCTTGACCCTAGTGAACGTGCAAAGTTTCAACCCTCTAGCTCCAACCGTCTAAGAGAGAGGGCGTGCCAAAGTAACCAGATATTTTAAGATATATTGAAGTTCAAGGTCAAATTCAGCTTTGACTACAATGCTCGAAATGAATCAAAATGACCTTTTGTGGCTTTTTCTTATCAAAGAAATGCATTGGTAGGTCCTAGGGGTATTATAGAGGTCAAACGAGCGAAGACCATGACGGAATTTACAAATGACGGAAAATTACGAAGTGAAGTTTTTAGGCGTCAAACGGACTGTTCGATTCTAAAAGTTCAAAACCTTCACGGCCTCGTTTTCCCTAACCAAGGACACAACTTTCCCCGCTACGGCTGGTTAATTATCTCACCTGGCTTAGGCTGTGTTAGCCAATACGGAATTTTACATCATTTTTACAATCCACCGTTTTGTCAGATGCTTAGGCGTGCCGTAAATCCACGATGCGTCGCAAACATCTGCCCGAGCGATTGTCTCATGCGGGAGGAGTAACACTTTCAGCACGAAGAGTTACCACACATGCAACCACGAAGAAATGCGGCCTAAGCGTCTTTTTATGATGTGAGCACTAGTTTAGTTGACACACGGAGGACATTTTTTAGCAGTCCATAAGGGGCACAAGCACAACGAGTACAAACGGCACCATTGGAGATTTTGATTGAAAAAGAACAACGCGCAACGGCCGTTGTTTGATTGCGGCGGCCAAGTTTCTCAATTCTGAGGGGTAAAGTTGACCGATGGGTGCTGCGGACAACAGGGGCGCCCACAAGTTTTGAGGACGGTGGTGCGGGGACCTCGTACCTCCCTCCCTCCTGGGCTGAAAACCTCCCTCTTTTTGACCAGTTTCGAATTTTTCCAATATAAGGTCTTTCCTTTTCCTTCTCTCTTCTTCTTTCCCTTTCCTTTCTTCTCTTTCCTTTTCTCTCCCTCCCTCCTTTTTACCTCCCTGCCTCCCTCTCCTCCTCCTAACCTCCCTCTTTTCTGAATTCACGGTGGTGCGGCCGCACCACCGTAAAACCCGTATGGGCGCCCCTGGCGGACAATGACGGAGCTTACAAAATGGGTATTCTCAAGCCTACAGGGCTCAGGCGACAGAACGCTTCGAACCTTTTTTCACCTCCACAAGCTGCACTGGTTTAGAAGAAGAGGGTCAAGCCGTTAGAATGCGTAAAAGAAATTGGAATGACTGTTTCATACCTCTGACTTGAAAAGGCACGGTACGCATGTAACTACCCGCCCAGATAAGATCATTTGAATAGGACCCCTCGAACTTCATAGAAATTTTCTTAAAATCTTGATATTTTACACGTAAAAAATATGACTCGCGTTTGCACATACCATTTGATGCGTCCAGAACTGCCGTCACCGTGGCCATTGGGACAGGTGCCCCGGGAGCCCCCACCGCCGCAAGAATGCATCCGAGTAGGAACAGCTTCATCGCTTCACTGAGTGGCTACGACCTAAGTCTCACCGAGTTGGCAGTCACATGCGCTTTTATCATGAGCTAAACTGTTCGCTATCAGACCCCCAAAGAAAGTACCCTTCAATGTATTGCCAATTGTAAAAATGGCGCATCACGCTGAACTTAGGTTCATTCAGTATAGCTTCCAATGTTTCTAAAGAGCGCTGACCCGGAAGAAAAAAAAAGGAAGTAAGAGGAGACAGTTTCTATGAGAAATGATCCATGAAGCGGAGGAAGGGGATAACTCAATTTTCATCCTTTTTCAGAAGAAACGTAAAACTATTCGCAAGGTGAACTACACTGTAAATAATATGTTCGGAATTTAGGACGAAATATTTTCCGAAGGTTTTTGGGAATGTCAAAAAGTGTACTGGGTGATTTCGTGCGTAGGGGCCGTTTTCGCCACCTTAGAAAGTCACATAATCAACGTCGCTTGTTTTGCCGGAATTTTGACTAGATGGCATCAATTGAACCCCAGGAAGACACTTTGAGCGTGGGCGAGCTACAAGTTGCCTTTCGTTTTCTCTTCCTACAAAATATGACGGAGGTCCGAAACAGGAGTCCAATATTTAAGTATTTACATGGTTCCGTAGGCCGGGGTAATATGAGACAATTTCGAGGTAATATGAGACGCATGATTTTTATCGTTAGAATTATAATGCTCGTGGCATTTGATGACTTATCCCTGTCAAACTTCACGGTGAAAAATGGTACCAACAAAGATAAACTAGGGGTACGCGCCGTTTAGTTTGGGCGCGTAGTAGGCGAGCGATGCGTCTGAACACATTCTTATAGGAGATGGCGAAGAATATGTGGAGAATGAGGCCAATACAGTGTCTTCCGTCACGAAAAGGCCGGAATTCATGTCATTTTCGTGATTATCTTACTGAAAACTGCAGGAAACAATGAGAAACTCAACTTTGTAATTTTGGTCACAAATTGGTAAATTTTAGGAGAAGGAAAGGTCTGGGATGAAATTGGAAGTCATTTTCGTGATCAGCGCACCAAAAACTGCAGGAAACTATGTAAAACTCGACTCAAAAATTTTGGTCCAAAATTGGTAAATATTTGGAAAAGTAAAGGTCTGAGATGAAATTTGAAGTCATTTTCGTGATCAGCACACCAAAAACTGCAGGAAACTATGTGGAACTCGACTCAAAAATTTTGGTCCAAAATTGGTAAATATTTGGAAAAGTAAAGGTCTGAGATGAAATTTGAAGTCATTTTCGTGATCAGCACACCAAAAACTGCAGGAAACTATGTAAAACTCGACTCAAAAATTTTGGTCCAAAATTGGCAAATATTTGGAAAAGTAAAGGTCTGAGATGAAATTGGAAGTCATTTTCGTGATCAGCACAGCAAAAACTGCAGGAAACTATGTATAACTCGACTCAAAAATATTGGTCCAAAATTGGCAAATATTTGGAAAAGTAAAGGTCTGAGATGAAATTGGAAGTCATTTTCGTGATCAGCACACCAAAAACTGCAGGAAACTATGTATAACTCGACTCAAAAATTTTGGTCCGAAATTGGTAAATATTTGGAAAAGTAAAGGTCTGAGATGAAATTTGAAGTCATTTTCGTGATCAGCACACCCAAAACTGCAGGAAACTATGTAGAACTCGACTTCAAAATTTTGTTCAGAAATTGGTAAATTTTGGGAAAAGTAATGGTCTGGGATGAAATTGGAAGTTATTTTCGCAATTTCTAAGTGTGTTTCCTGTTCATTGTGTCGTAACATGAACCCTAACACTGTTACTCAGTCGAGTAACATTCAACAGCCAGCATTGAATTACTTAATATGATTCACAAATGCTTCAATTACCATTCGATATCTCCTTGTTATTGAACTTATGAATACACAATGTTATAAGTAATACCTAAAAAGCCTTTTATCTCCCTTTTATTTTAAACTAGTGGATGAAACTTCATTGATTTATCTCAATTCATTAAAAAGAGACACATTTACAGGCAGGCTGATTGCAACTACTTTACGGAGAAGACCTTCTGTCAGATCCAATGAATCGTTCCATTGAATTCAATGTCGAGCCCACTTATTGCTAAACGCAAGTTAATCTTATTCATACTGATAGTCATGATGTGATATTTAATCTTTAAAAAAGTATAGCATAAGTATTTACCTAACATTCTGAATAAATTAAAAAGACAGCCAACTCAAACCATGACTGACACAAATTACCAGTTGTCGCAGACAATGTATGATGAAGTTAAAAGAATCGTCTCATGAAATCATATGACCAAGTCACTGAATCGTCTCATTGAATCAGATGTCAATGTCAAACCATGTATGCGCTACTCTCACTCACCATATAGTTATCTTTAAGGTTAGTACTATAGTAAACTTACAGCATTGCAATGAAGCCTTTCCCCAGAGTCAGTGCCAAGAGTCAGCAAAGACTATTTATTTTGGCAAGATTAGTGTCTGGTTTGTACTTTTAGATTGCATTGATCTATTTTCTAACTGTTATTGAGCAAAGCAAACAACTAAAAAGTATAATGTCTGAGAATAAAAATGGAAATACACTCTCAAAACTTAAAAAGACCAAATCATTCTTGCAATTATCAAACGATCAAACACACTCCACTGACTAAAACATTTCCCCTGTGGCGGGGGAGGGGAGAGGGCGGACGGACGAAACGCGTAATAATTGTCACTTTCATTTTCCGTATTTCACTGTGTTGACACTCCGGAGGGGTTTCAATCATTCTAGAATATCGAAAAACTAAGACCGAACTCACTTCTAAGCCCTTCTCCTCTCTATTTTGTTTTATTTGCCAATGTTTTGCCAGTCCCGTATTTGAGAGCCGCGGCCGCAAGTATGAAAAATTGCTATATATGCTGCCAACCTAACCACGCTAAGAACCTAATTCAAAAAGATGTTTTGAATATTTCAAACGGTAGTAATCGTGAATATAAAATAAACTCCCCCTGTGGGACCTTTAGGGGATGTTCGGTGCAAAATTTGGTAACTATTAGTGTTGTAGTTGCTGAGAAACGTGAGCGTGTACGCTACAGACAGACAGACAGACGCACGACCAGTCACTTTTCGGAGCGCCCAAACACGGCAAGGGCTCGCTATCGCTCGCCAATTAATTATTTACAGCAGTGGCTCTCTTTGAGGCCGAATAGCGAGCTCAGAGTGAATCTTACGCAAACCAAACTCCGTCTCATATTACCCCGGAATTGTCTCATATTACCCCGGCTTACGGTTTCTATTACTTTTAGGAAAAAATGTACCTCGCATTTCTCTCTCCCCCCCCCCCAACTAGACGAGTCGGGTTACCTAAAATTGATGGAATATTGTGTATTACTTGCATTGCTTCTGCCAAAACATCGCTTGAGCGTTCGATACTCTTTGTACATTTTATTCGGGATCGCACTGAAAATATGATGGAATTTACGCTTGACCGAAATTACAAAAAGATGTTTCTGGCTCAATGCAAATGCCTATCGCTACAGAAATATGCCATAAGTTTCGCACACTAGTTCGACGTCAAGACACGTCTTATCACGTGTAGGGTGACTTTTAAAACCCAATAGGAGAGGAGCGAGAGGGGCATACGCAAATTACATTAATTGTTACAACCCACCGTTTTCACACACAACTTCCACTCACACACTCACCCCTCTCACTTTTTCGCCACCGGGATCCGTTCATGGTGTAAACAGTCCGTGCTGATTCTAAATACGGCGGTGGTTTTGAGCAGGGAGCACTCCTAGAAGGTTTTTTTTGTGGTTACTTTGAAACCACTAAGGTAAAAGTCGGAGTACGGTGGACATTTTGTACGCGTTCCGAAAGGACACTTCTAATCAATATACGATCTTGAAATTCAAGCAAGGCAGTCACTATTCGTTAAAGATTTGATGGGTGTGTGTGGAATTTGAAGATTCGAGTGGAACAAAGGGTTACAGAGCCGCAAAATTGGTGCACTGTAAAAATTATGTTGTGAATTTAAGACGGAATTTTTTCCGTAGGCTTTTAAGGATGTCCAAAAGTGCACTGTAAATGTTTCTTTCCTACAGGAACTTTTGTAAATCAACGGAAGTTCGTCGTTAATTTACGAAGGTTCTTGGTAAATTTACGAAGAAAAATCGTAAATGTACAAAGTCTGTTGTAAATTTACGAAGCCCTTCGTAAATTTACGACGGGCTCCGTTAATCTACGATGGATCTTCGTAAATCTACGGCGGACTTTCGTAAATAAACGAAGGAACTGTTGACAATTTTTCTGCCGAAGGATCCGTCGTTAATTCCAGACGTATTATTACGAAGGTTCTCTCTGTATATTTACGAAGGTTCTTCGTTTATAAACGAAGGTTCCCTGTAAATTTACGAGGGATCTCTGTAGATTTACGAAGGTGCTTCGAAAATTTCCATTAAGATTGTAAAATCGACAGAGATCGTTCAAAAAATTAACGAAGGTTTTTGTAAATATATGAAGAGCTTCGTAAATTAACAAAGGAACCGTTGGCAATTTTTTTTTGCGGAAGGATCCGTCGTTTTTTCCGGACATTAATTTTTACAGTGCAAAGCAAACCTAAAGTTAGGTTAGGTCACCGTTTCGGAACCTCACCCAACCCCACCCAACCGAAAGTGACGGAAATTTCAAACAGTCAACTCAGGCACTCTTTCCATTGTACCTGCCTCACATTTGTCTATTCATTCGGATTCCTTTGCATCCTGCCTTACATTTTACAATGGTTGGCATGACTGCCGATAGCTATCGTTTCAGTGCTGCTGATAAGGACGGTGGAGGCTGTCACGATTCAAAGGTTGAGCGGTACGATGTGCTTTCACGTTTTTCTCTGGCCAGTTACATCACCTTGTCGATTGGAGTGCACCAGCGTGCCATCAACAGTTACAGTGCCGCCGTCTGACACACTTTGCCCCTTCGACACACTGAGTGAGCCCTGCATCCTTGTGCACACACGTACTGTAATTTGTTTATAATCTGACAGGGCAGATGGTTGCTGGGTCGATACACTGTAAAAATTAATGTCCGGAAAAAACGACGGATCCTTCGGCAAAAAAATTGCCAACGGTTCCTTCGTTAATTTACGAAAGCCTTCGTATATTTACAAAAACCTTCGTTAATTTTATGAACGATCTCTGTCGATTTTACAATCACAATGGAAATTTACGAAGCACCTTCCTAAATCTACAAAGATACTTCGTAAATTTACAGGGAACCTTCGTTTATAAACAAAGAACCTTCATTAATATAGAGATCCTTCGGCAAACAAATTGCCAACAGATCCTTCGTTTAAGGTAAAATATCAATTGTGGGTCACATTTTTGAAAATTCCAAATTAAGGCCTTCAATTTTGACCTGGTGACAAAAGTGCATGTGCGGCCTTTAAATATGGTTCTTGGACTACGTTTTGCAGACAGTAGCCCCCTCTATCATCCATATTTACTAAGCTGTGGCTGTTTTAAAAATAGTCTGTTTTGGCCCACAATTGATTTTTGGAACCAGTTGTGGGTCAGCATTGTAGAAAGCTCAAATTTGGATATGATTTGCTTAAATGTGAGAGGAATTCACTTTTGAATTTATTTTTCGGAATCGTGAAAACTGCAGGATCTGTAGCACAATGAATCAATTCTGGGTCATATCAATTGAGGGCCATTTCGTCTTTTTGCTTGTAAATTGACCACTTTTTTAAGATATTTTCCTATTTTCATTAATAAAAGGTCCCTGGTTCTCAATAAACCAAGCAGGCACGTATTTCACTCAAAGAGGAGAAATACATAAACCGACATAAACAGGCTTATTTCACTGTGAGACAGATGTGAGCGATGTGAGTAAAACGTCCTGGACTGGAGACGAAACTTTTATAGTGCATATTCTAGGGCCGCCGGTGTGGTAGACAATCCAACACCACACCCTGTCATTGTGAGGTATTGCTACAGTTTATAATCTATTTCAGTCAGAATATTTAGTCTGTAGGGATTGATTTGACTCCTACAGGGCCGGACTGGCCTCGGGTGCCTAGCCTGCAGCTAGAGAGCGGTCCGGGCGCTATGTAAGCCCCGCAATGCCCCCTTCCCAACAAAAAAAGCCTTATGGCGGACTGGAAGTAAGAGCTAGCGTTGTCATTCGGGGCTGTAGCCTAAGCTTAACATAACCTTCGTATCGTAGTACTATATGTGACTGAGCAGAAAAATGGAATTTACTGTGATACATCAGTCATTCAGAAGCGCAGAAAACAAAAAATATAAGAAAAACTACCGCAAAATTCGTCAAAAATAATGGGTCGGGCATGGTAGCGAACGCTACTTTGCCATCACTCTACAAATCGAAGAGTGTACATGGTATGCTCTAACTGGAGCATGCCTGCAAGCACGCTCTAACTAGCGCATGCCTGCCAAGCATGCACTTACTAGCGCATACATGCCATGTACACGCTTCCTGATGCAGACAACTCCCTATCCCTTATGCACTAGATGCATGCTTCAGTTAGCGTGTACATGGCATGTATGCACTAGTTAGTGCATGCCTGGCAGGCATGCGCTAGCTAGAGCGTGCTTGCAGGCATGCTCCAGTTAGAGCATACCATGTACACTCTTCGATTTGTAGAGCACCCGCGCACCATGGCATCGAACGATTTCGGCTGTACTATGGTAAGTTTATGTTCCCTGGCCTATTATGAACCTAAATCAGCAAGGGCGTCCCGTTTCGGTGGCAATTTGAAAAACAAACGATTTTTCGCCTCGTTGGATGGGCGCTTTTTTCACGACTTTTTGAAGGGCCTTCCTTTGAAGCCTGATAGGAGCTGTTACAGTCGTCGCTCGGACATACAACGCTATTTGGGGAGACAAAGAAAGGTTGGAGGAAGGTCTACCGCGAAATTCAAATCGATTCAATCTGCGTCGGAGTAGCGGTGACCCGTCGAAAAAAAATGACCCACAATTGATTCGTGACCCACAATTGATTTTTTACCTTATTTACGAAGGTCCGCCGTAGATTTACGAAGACCCGTCGTAGATTTACGAAGCCCGCCGTAAATTTACGAAGGGCTTCGTAGATTAACAACAGACTTTGTACATTTACGAATTTTCTTCGTAAATTTACAAAGAACCTTCGTAAATTAACGACGAACTTCCGTTGATTTACAAAACTTCCTGTTGTATGAAATTGTATGAAACTTATCACCAGCGAAGCGCCGTGAGAGTAGGCAACACTTTGTGGCCAGTAACTAGCCGAGCACCGCGCCGTGAGAGTGGGCAACACTTCGTGGCCAGCGGCCAGTCAAGCGCCGTGGGAGTAGGCAACACTTCGGGACCAGCGTTCAGCCAAGCGCCTTGAGAGTAGGCAACACTTCGTGGCAAGCGGCCAGTAAAACGCCGCCGTGAGAGTAGGCAGCACTATGTGTCTTGTGGCGAGCCAGGCGCCGTGAGAGGGGGCTACACTTCGAAGCCAGCGGCCAGCCAATACGTTGTGGCCGGTGGCCTTCTAAGGAAGGTTGGTGTTTTGTTCCCGGCACAGTGTTACAATGGTGGCATAAAACGAGACTTTTTCTGTGGCGTTGCTCTAGTTCTGGTGCTGTGAAAAGGCTGTGGCCAATGGGTACCATTTCGGCGAAATCTTTTATGATTCCTGTTATTTTACACTCTCAGACTCGTATTGACTTTTTATCTGTTGCCATAAAGGTTTTTGTGCAAACGTAATATGTTCTATTTTCTCTTTGGCTATGCACTATTTTGTTCATTGTATAATGTTTATAGTCCATTAAACCTGACTTAATGTCATTTGCAATGTACTTTTCAATTTTAACATGACCTATTGACAATTATATCCCTGAAACGATCAGAATTGTGCATAGTTAAGGAGAAAATAGTACATTTTACGTTTGCTCAAAAACCGCTATAAGCAATAGAGAAAAAAGTCCATATTGGTCTGAGCGTGTAGCAGAAAAAGGCTGTTCAGGGCCAAATTGTTCCTTGAAATAGTGTCAGGAGAAGGGAGTACTCCAGCCGGTTCCAGTACAACTAATTCGAATTCGGATTTGTTTGAAAACCATCCTTTAGCTTATCCTAAGCTTCCCAGTCGGCGAAAATGGTCAAGCAGCTCTGATTTGTCAGTGACTGACATCGGACGTTCGAATGGCTCTCAGAAACAGATGCCAGGTGTGCCCGATGGTCCTTGGCGCATGCTGTGTGCTGTGAAAATGACAGTGAAAATGACAGTGCGTGCGTCGCTTGTTCATGGCTGCTGTCCTGTGGCGTGCCGAAGGGGTGGTCAACCTGCCCGACGCGGAGCCGCATATGCGATAAAGAATTGAAAAGACAAGACAGGCCATAAACCGGAGAGCTTTTGTTTTATCCGCTCAGTTTAAAGAAACTAGGTCCCTTCGTATTTTGATGCAAGGATAAAGTTTGCGAAACAGGCTCATTTTTCTTTTCACGAAAGACTCCACGAGGAAACCACAACGAGACAGATATGATGATCTCGGGGCCGAAGACTGGTGGCTGCTTCACTTCTCGTCCACTGCCCCTGCTGAAGGTGGCACGTAGAACACGCGAGCGCGCCGGGCTGCACAAAAACACACATGTTTGAGACATTTACAGTGACTTTCAGTTTGCATGGGGCAAAATTTTTGAAACGGAGACACAAAAATTACACCTTCACTCACTCCACGAGCGTGCACCCTCAAGGTTTTTGTACAAATTTTGTCAGAGATATCACAGTTTTTTACAGGGGCAATACACTGAAAATAACCCAAAACTGACTTGGGCGATTGCTTCCATACGCGTTGTTGCACATTGTTCAAAGATTTTTTTGTGTTAAGGCCTTACAAAAAGAATCATTTTATGCCCAGAATGGCGTTGATCGGACGTCAGGGAGCAGAGCAGCTACCAATCAAATTTTCATCCAAAATCGAACTGGTGGAAGGCCCTTAGTCCGCAAAAATTAAGATATCTTAACTCCGTTTGCTCCAAAATGTAGGAAATTGAAGTAGCTATCGCGTGAACTAGAACCATGAACATCGAGCAACCAAAAGTACTAAATTTCATTCAAAAACAATTTTTTAAGATCACGGTTATTCCATTTGCGATGCAGGACGCACTTTCAGCGCGATACAAATTTCATCGCTATTTTCTGTGATGATTATTGCAAAAAGGTGTGATGAGCTGCTGCATCGCAGAATTTTGCAATGATCATTGCAAAAAACTGTATTGAATGCAGAGTTGGTGTTGCCGTCATCGCATTTTTATGCAATAATTCCTACTTTCATTGCAGAAATGTGCGATGATCATTGCAAAAATTTGTGATACAAAAGTCATAGCATCTGGGGAGCAATGATTCGTGGGAATCACATTTTGGATATTATCGCACGTTTTTGTGTTGAAATCATTGCAACTTGGATAACAGTGATTTTGCAAAAATGATCAAAACAGGTTTTTTTTCGTAAAATTTTGTACTTTTGATTGCTTGATGTTCATAGTTCTAGTTCATGCGATAGCCGCTTCAATTATCTACATTTTGGCGCAAACGGGGTTGAGAGACCTTCATTTTACGGACTGAGGGACTTCCACCGGTTCGGTTTATGACGATAATTTGATTGGTAGCTGCTCCGCTCCCTGACGTCCGATCGACGCCATTCTGGGCCTAAAATTCTCTTTTTCGTAAGGTCTTGACACATGAAAAGTTTGAAAAACGAACAACAACGCGTATGGAAGCAATCGCAAAGGTCAGTTTTGGGCCATTTTCAGTGTATTGCCTCCTCAAGGAAAAAAGCTTTTCGTATAAATTTGCACGCGACTTTGAACTAAAATAGGGCTATATGAGCAGTTTTTTTGTACACTTGTGCAAAACTGCACAGGATACTGTCAGTTTTGAGCAGTACCCTCCAGCATCCTGTCAGTATCCTGTGCAGTTTTGTACACGTGTACAGAAAACTGCTCACATAGCCCTATTTTAGTTCAAAGTCGCGTGCAAATTGGTCCGAAAAGTTTTTCTCCTTGAGAGGGCAATACACTGAAAATGGCCCAAAACTGAGCTTTGCGATTGCTTCCATACGCGTTGGTGCCTCCCACAAAATTGTACATAACATTCAACATTTGGTGTGATAAAATGTCACCATCCTTAGAGCGTTGTGTCACGCTCGTTTCAACGTGAATAATTTTACTTATGGATGTGTCACATCCAAACGAGTGGAACACAATTATCAAATAACCGTGACATTTGGTTATCAATAGTATAGGGCCTGTGATAAAAGTGTCATTTTGTGATGAGATTATCATCCACGTTTCTATCATAAAGTGCCAAGTAAGTTTTACAGTGTACCCCATATAGTAGTACGATTGCGCTTACTCTGATCATAGTAGTCGTACACGGTGACAGGAACAGGCTTCTGGTTGGACACGAGGTGGGTACGGATGGCGGCTATCTCGACGCAGTACTCCTCGGTGTCCATCTGGAACCGCGTGGCAAAGGCCATGATCGAATCAGTTGGACAGTCTCAGAAAGAGCACCCCAGTATCATTGGGTACTCCATTAAAATTGGAGCGAAAGGTTCTACGTTTCTTTCAAACGATGAATACGCCTGACCGTACAGCCTTCTTCAAGCATAGTTTCCGACATGCACAAAATGTACTCTGCAGTTTTTTTTGGGCATAAACTTTGCACAAAATTGTGCGTGTGTTTAAAATGCACGAATTTGTGTGTAACTCAGCACGAAAGTGTACGTAGTTCCGCACGAAATCGTGCTTTTCACGCACTGTGCATCTAGATTTGAGTTTCTAGAAGCGCGTACAGGCTGCACACTTCACGAGCGGCGTAACGGTACACTGTTATTCCACTGGCGGTACAGACCACACTTTCTGCGCGATATAAATTTTCTCGCACTTTATTGTGATGATGATCATTGCGAAAAGGTGTGATGAGCTTGCAATGATTGTTGCAAAAAACTGTAATGATCGCGGATTTTGCGTTGTCATCATCGCAGTTCTTTGCAACAATTCCGATTTTCATTGCAGAAAGTTGCGATGATCATAGCAGAATTTTGTGCGCTGCAGAAGTCATTGCATCTCAAGAGCAATGATTCGTGGGAATCGCATTTTAGAGATCATCGCACGTTTTTGTGTTGAAAGTATCGCAACTTGGATAACAGAGTACACCTTCGTAGCACCCGTGTGGCAAAGCTTCTGCTGAGACAGTGCTCACCTTGTCGAAGTAGAGCACGACGGCGGTGTCCTGGTCCTTAGTCTCGACGCGCTTCACGTCCGCGGTCTTCTTGAGGGCGGGCAGCGCGTCCTGGTCCACTGCAAAGCCAGACGGCAGCGACACCTCTACCACTGCCATGTTGCTCTCGCAACCCCACGGCCCCGCGATGAAGCTAAAGGGCACATCACACTGTCAAACCAAGTGCAGCATTCAACTCTTTCCAGAGCGGAGTCATTCTCCATACTCGACACTTCAATTGAGGAGGAAAAGAGGGGTTCAAGCGGTGAATCGTGTGTGTATCATAGGTCCGGTAATCATAGGAATCATAAGAATCGTAATCACGATAACGACCTGAAAATCGAGTTCAAAGCCGTTTGCGTGGGGGCAACCACTCGAGAAATCCTGTGTGCCCTGGAGCCCTACAAATCTCAGAATAACCAAGATTTTTCCGGAAAGAGGCCAGAAAACAGCATTTTTGGCCCGTCCCGTTCATTTTTTGTAAAAAAAATGACGGAGGGACGGGCATATAGTATGATCCCTGCTGTGCGTCCGTCCGTTCGTCCGTCCGAGGACTTCCCGTGGTCCGATCTTGACCAAATTTAGTATGCAGCCTCCTTGGGTGACCCTAAGAACCACCCGGTGGCAGCAAATCCGATCCGAGCCCCGGGGGCGCTGCTGCAGGTGCATCATGGTCTACATAGGGTCGAGGAGGATCTCGGCAACGGATGCAGCTAGAAGGGCATGTAGGGGTATTTTTGGAATCGGGGCGACGAGAAAAAAACAATGGTGCCAGTTTCGAGCGAATCGGAGAAGTTCGGACCCGGGTTCAAATCCCAGCGGGGTATTTTTGAACATTCTTTTTATTCGAGTTTTTGCATTGTTTCTGATGTTCTTGAGGGTGCTGATGACGAAAACTACATTTATTTTAACCCCAGACTCAGGTTTAATTCCCGTCAGGGTCAAACATAGGCGAAATTCGTACGTTTCTTAATGTACGGGACGGGCCAAAGTTGCCGATGAATATCGCTACTTTTCCTGTTATTTAAGGCTTAAAAATGGACGGAATCTGACGAAATCTTTTGTCTTTAGAAATCTTGTGTCGTCAAACATCGTACGAGGTTGCCCCTCGGCCGTTCGTCTGCGCCTTAAATGGGCTTGTGGTCAACCAGAAGTGAGGCATTCGGTCTGTTTTCGCTTTGAACAACATATTTAGCAGGCTGGGGAATCCCGCGGGCATCATGCATGTGCACACATGTGTACTTGCGCTCAAATTGATCCAAAAAACGGAAGAAGGGGTTAAGTCGAGTTGATTCAGTGACCTCTCATCAGTCTATCAAGTAAACATGAGCGAAAATATGGTCCAAAAATAAGTGTGGTGAGACAAGTCCCATCCTCTTGCATCTATATTTAGATGACATTCCCCACCTGTTCTCCCACCTGCAAGGTTAAGGCCTTGCAAAAGTGCACGGTTTCAACTCGACTTACCCCCTTCTTCCGCTTCCTGGATCAATTCCGAGTGGTGGACCAATCGGGAGAAATTCACAAACCCCTAACTCCTGGCATGGTGCTAAAGCGGAGAGCTCCACACTTCTAGTGTGCAAAGACTACAAACTCTGGCACTTTGAAGTGCGGAGACTGCAAATTCCGCATACACACAACCGCATTTCAAGTGTGAAGTTCTACTCTACACACTTGCACAGTGGGCCAGAATGGACCGGTCGAGGCCGCCAAAGTCCCGGATAAGTTTTAAGCTTGAGTCACTTAACACCTTCACGCCGGTACGAGAACATGGTTCTCGTACCGGCGTGCAACATTCGAACCAAACGTTTATCCCCACCAATTGATTCCTCGTTTGGAACGTCGCACTTTCGGTTTCAGTCCTATTTCAAGGGGTCCTATTCAAAAGATCTTATCTGGGCGTTCCCCCCAACACAATCTTATCTTAAACGCAGGTGAAATTTACTCAGTTTGACCATTTGGGAAGGGTATGAGAGTAATCGGAATATATTTCTACATGCACTGTTGGTTTCTTTGATCTTTCATCTTTCATCAAGATTTTTTGAATAGGACCCCTCGATTTAGCGTCGCTTGACCTCAAAAAAGCACCCTTCCACCGGCCTTGATGTCCACTGTGATTTGTTTTCACAATCTCACCTGGAGCACACCCGCAGCACGAGCGTGATGGGCGTCGCCTTGGCCGCCTCGGCGCGCAGCTTGAAGAGAGGGTGCTTGCCCGCCGTGGCCTCGTTGAAGCTCCAGGACACTTGCGCCAGCGAGAAGCCGGTGCCGTCGGCCGTCAGCTCGACCTCGCGGACAGAGCGGGGCAGCTGCAACAAGCAGAATAACACTGCACTGGGAACGCAAGGCATGGAAAGAAAGCTCTTGAGGCATCACTCCAAGCGGAAGGTTTTTTTAAAACTTTCCAGGAGAAATAGACGGCATGGTGCAAAAATCTCATACGGAAAAGAAGCAGCGTGAAAATAACAGAAGCATTTACTTCATACATGCTGCGTTGAAACGACGCCTGTTTTGATTTTTGACAAGCAGAAAATTATTTAGAAGAAGATCAGGGTCTTGAACCAAGGGCAAAAAAATTCGCCCGTCATGTTACTCAGGCACGCCCACCGAGAATGCAAGCCGGTGCAGGTCCCCAGGGCAAAGACTCTTTTCAACTCTGCGTGCCAATAACTTTCCGTTGCATCGGAGACGCGCAACGTTTAAATAAAATCTGAAATATTATTTGCACGCAGGAACATTTTGTTCAACATATGCACCGTCAGGGCACGTCAGAAGGAGAAAATGATCCTACGTGTGAATATATTTTTCGTTATGTGCATGCACAGCGTTCATACAAAAGAACATTACACGGTAAAAACGGAACCTGGTTTTCCCAGGAACTGCCTGGAAATCGCCTATGTCTCTACCATACACTGATAAAAATTTTGTAGTAACTTAGCGACACATTTGTCGCTACACATTTGTCGCTAATTTTTTTAACAACAAGATTTGTTGTGGAACGAATAGCCTGTTAAACCATAGTCGTACAGGAACTAAAGGATAATTTCACAACGACTAACTTGTTATAACACATCAACAGTCCACTTTCAAAAACAAGTCGTTGACCAACAACAAATGTTGTAAGTCAACGACAAGTATTGCAAGTCGAAGATTTTGTTATGTCTGCGACAAGTACTCATGGAGAACTTTTGTCGCTAAATTTATTTTGCATGGTTCTTTTTTTATCAAGAGTAATTTCACTATGACTTGGCGAACAAAATAGATGAATTTTCATAATTCGCTTTCATTGAGCAGATAATTGCAAAAGATGTTGTTTGCACACAAATTGTATCGTTAAGGGTGATAACAAGAATATTGTTCTTCAACGACAAATTGTCGCTGACTTGAGTCAACGACATTCGTTTCGCTTTGGTTCATGATGAAGTTCTATGTTTTGGAACGACTAAATTTTCACTCATCTGATTGTTTCTGTACAATCAATTTTTAACAGTGTAGGCTTCCTGGGAAAACCAAGTTCCGTTTTTACCGTGTAATATTTTCCCTGACTTTCCTAACGCGAAATTGCAAATTTCTCTGACAAGTGAGCGCATCGAAACATTGACTGAGTTGAACGGGAACGACCGGTGCCTCGCACTTTCATCCGCGGTTGCCCAGCAAACAGGTCCAGTGCCGCAGTAAATATATTTTTCCCTGACATTTTGCCGCATTTTCCGAAATTCCCTGACATTTCCCTGACTTAATTTTTTTTCCTCGACTTTTCCCTGATTTCAAGGTTTTCAAGATTTGTATTATCGCTGATGCAGCGTGTATTGTATAAGGTCCATTTTATTGATTAAACGCTGCCTGTCTGGGTTTCAAACTTCTCCTGATGGTTTTAAAGTAGGTCCTTGGGAAGAATACGAATTGCAGCCGCCGGCTAGCAAGAGTAACGCCTCAGAGTGACAAGATGCCCCGACAACTAGAACTAGGCGCCTCACCCTGCTGTAGTCTCCCCGCTAATGATGTTCTCGGTGACGACAAAAACCGCCCCCAAAAAGGAAATCAACGTAAATTTCAGTGTACAAATCCAATGAAATTCAGTCGAATTTCGACGAGTTTTTTAGTCGTATTTCGATAAATTTCGGTCAAATTTAGAATTTTTTTTTATAAATTTCAGCGACTTTTACATATTTGATAAATTTCGGTGTACAAGTTTGGCTAGAGTTGTTTCCCCTTGTGCCCCCGCTCACCTCGTGCCGCTGCAGCACCAAGCCAGTCTCGTCGTTGACGACGATGGGCGCGTCCTGCTTGGCGCCCTCGGCCGCGTACGAGAAGACGAGGCGCATGTCGCCGGCGGGCAGCGCCATGCGCTCCGCCATGGCGGCCAGCGCTTGCAGACCCACCACGGTGTCCTGCCGGGACGGCGTTTTAAGAGTCAAGCCTTGGAAGGTGGAAGAGAGAGAGAGAGAGAGAGAGAGAGAGAGAGAGAGAGAGAGAGAGAGAGAGAAGGGGAGAGAAAGGGGAGAGAGAGAGGTGGGGTGGGATCCACACTATCAACTCAAGTGTCACTTTACACTTCCCGGTGCGGAGTGATTCTCCACACTTGGGGTGGAGAAGATTGCGCCCTTGGCACTCGTCCTGCTTGGATCCACGCGTGAGTTCTGTACGCTAGTGATGAATCAAGGCCAAGCGCCTGCGAACGTAGAGTAGTCCAGCCCGCAACACTGCTATGTTCAACGCGTGGCCTACGCCCAGTTCGCAGGCGCTTGAAACACCACCCGTCCAAGAGTGGAGAATTTTACCTCACCAGGCACACCAAGTCAGGGTTGTTGACATTAATTTTCAATAAATTTCAAATTTCAAATAAAATTTCATTTTTCATTAAAATAAATTTGAGTCATTTCTTTGAGTCTCGTTGTTGGAATAGACTCAGGATCCAGTAATCTAAGAAAGTGTTGAGTTCAATGAATATTGTGATGCTGTTGGCCCTATAGGAGGATGAGAAGTCAAAATCAACGGCGTCAATTAACGCCGGTAATTTTGACTTCTCGTCCTTCTGTAGGCAAAGGCATCGAACTGAAAATCGTCCTAGAATATTTGAACCTTTCTGAGTCCATTCCAGCAAAAAGACTCAAAGTAATAATACAAATAAATTTTAACAAAAACCTTGAAGAAAATGTGCACAATTAACGTTAAAATTTACTTTAACAGCTCTTGCTTAAACAGCTCACTCTAATTGTCTTACGAAAAAATATTCCCATATTACGAAGGAAATGGCGCAAGCATAATACGAAGGTGGTCTTTCTTCGTATTACGAATGTTTTTCTTTGAATCTTACAATGAAAAAGCTTAAAAGATTTGTTACGAAGGAATATTGCTTCGTATTATGCTTGCGCCGAATTCACTGTGCCGTAGAACGGGGTAATATGAGACATAAAGGAAAATCGAGGCCAATCGCCCTTTTTTTGGTTTTTGTCGCGTTGCTCCAAAGTGGTTGTTCAGAAGCCCATCGTGAATTTTTTTTCGTGACCTAGGAGGCGTTGGCAGCTCACAGGAAACGCACGAAGGCAATCAGAGACTCGCCAGGATTATTAAGAACCAAACGAAAATCCTCTAAATTCTGACAAGTTTTATAAAGTTCGTAAAAACCTCCCCAGAAACCTCGGTTGGAACTCGGGTTCTCGTCCGAACGAGGTTTAAATGTGTAGACAATCATGTCAACATAATCAGGACAAATTTTGGTTCTGTTATGTCTACTCCCGGGCCGCCTGTTCCAGATGGAATACAAGGTAGGTTTACGCCAGACCGCGTCTTGTCGTAACAGGCTTCGCGATGTCTGCTCGCTGCCTTTTTCTCCAATCCGCGCCTGGCGTACCTACCTTGGCCTGCGGCGCTAGCCTGCCTTCGGCAGGCAATGGCTTCTCCATCTCCATCGACGATTTTCCTAACTTGTTGCGTGCTGGGGGGCTCCGCCCCCCAGACCCCCCTTCATTCTAGAAAGAGTTGCTTCATCTCCAGATAACTCGATCTTGACCCTTGTACTTTTTCCCAACCGAGCTCCGCCCCCCAGACCCCCCTTTTATCACGACAGAAGCGATCTGCCTACAAAAAACTCGATTTTTCGCCGTTTTTTAAGTGTTTTTTGGCTATAAAAACTAAACCAGTTGACCTAGGATGGTGAGATTTCGCGTGTGCCGAGCCAAGGACATACCCAAAAAGTGTGCAAAATCTCACCGAGATCGGCCGAGCCGTTCAGGAGGAGTAGTGCGGACACACAGACACACACACACACACATGGACAGACAGACAGACAGGAAAAATTTTTCAAACCCACTGGAGTAACAGGCTTCGCTATCGCTCAGCCAACAATTTTGTTACCTTGCAGGGAAAATAGAGACACCTCTTTTGGTTTGAAACATGAGGCCAAACATACTCCACTGTTATCAATTTCATTTTTTTACGATTTTAACACGAATTGGTTTTACTACCTGACCGGCATCTATGCTCTTCGTTTAGTATTTTCTTGTGACAGGCACAACTCACAACTTCTTAAACATTTTTCAGCTCTCTTTTGTGACACCCATTTTTCTTCCCTCCAGATTTTATCTCTTCTTCATTGTAGTCCCCCATCATCTTTAAAATGAATGAAAAGAACTTAAAAAGCTCCAAACCCGCCTTATGAGCTAATTTTTCATACTTCTTTACCATTTTTCTTTTTTGTCTCATATTACCCCACATTGCAGGGAAATATGGGACGGCATTCCGAGGGTTATTGCAAGGTCCCTACTGCACCTACAAATCTGAAATTTGGAGGGAGTGTAGCCAAAGGGTCAATGAACAAGTGATGAACACCTCAGCACCTCAAGTTAAAATTAAAAGAGGGAAATTTACAAAAAGCCCCGAAATTTGTCTCATATTACCCCGTTCTACGGTAACATACGAATAACATAGGTCAAATTTCATAGTAAGACATTTAGAGTGAGGGAGCACCTGCGTCGAGGCGAATCCGCCGTTGGAGTTGCGCTGCGCGATGAGCCACTGCATGATGGGGAATGCCTCCCCGGCCAGGCCGCGCTGCAGGTACGCCAGCAGGGCGTAGGCCGTCATCTCCACGTTGACGGAGTTGGGCTGGCTGCGGAACGGGTTTTTAGGGTCGGCCGCGTCTGACTTGCTCCACCACCGGAGTCCGCCTGCGAGGAAGACAGCCATTCATATCCACCACACTGTGACACCAAGCGGGGAAACTCCGCACTTGAAATGCGGAGGTGCGGACTTTGCAGCCTCTGCTTTTGAAAGTGCAAAGTTAACATTCTCCACTGGTCCGGTGCGGAACTTTCCAAGTATAGAGCGTTTAAATCCAAGAGCTACCCCACACCTCAAGTGTGGTGACTGCAATTCCGACTCCTCCACTTGGTTTGATAGTCGGTTGTGTTCCAAGCGCAGAGGCATTAAAATTCACTCCTCCGCATTTTAAGTGCGGAATTCTCCACACTTAGTCTCACAGTGAGATGCATAGAAAACTCATTACAGCACCGAAGAGAGGTGTACACTTAAAACCTATCGAGTATTTTGAGAAAATCGATAGCACAAATTTATTTCTTTGTTTTACGAGTAGTTCATCCACTACGAGGTTTACGCTTCGAAAATTTGCTTGAAATACTTTGTGGTAAAATGCTGGCATTACTTTTTGAACTCTGGCGGTATGCATGCGTAACATTCAGGTGCATATTAGCGTGCGTGATAAATCGTAAGATAACCGAAATTCTACGAATTTTTACTTTTTTTCGGGGCTGTTTTGAGCAATTGTTCGGGTCCTAATATTTCTTTGAAAAATAATTACACTGAGATTCCAAACGCTATGAGTATAGCACGTATGGTGCAATGCGCTGTGATATCGCACCATACGTGCAATGCCTCAGCCATATTGCACCTTTGGTGCAATGCTTCCCGAAAAGGCCCTATGCTAATGCATGGGAAATGGGAGGCATTGCTCTTCATGTGCAATGCTTTTGCATTGCACCAATTGACGCTATACTCATAGCGTTTGGATTCTCAGTGTAGAGTCTTCGAGAGCGAAAACCCCTCTTCCTTCGAAAACAGCTCGTAACGTTTACAGATATTTTGAACGCTTTTCTTACGTGCGGACTGGGCCTTTGCGTTAAGCATCTTGAACGCCTCGTCCTTGGCAGGGTGGCTGGCCAAGTGCAGGGCGTAGGTGGTGATGGCGAGGGCGTAGGGGTCGTCCAGGTCGGACCGGCCCTCGAGCAAGAAGTTGAGCGCCTTCGTGGTTGCGTCCTGGTACTTCGACGTGGCATTCTGCAAGGCACGCGGGCAACGGCGTGAGCACACTGACTAAATATTTTGTTGAAAAATCTTAGCTTACGGTTAGAGATAATATTTTGTAAGACGGCAGATGGCATCTTTTGCAGTAAAAATTGGTTTGTTTGGGTACATAAATTGGGAAGTGTAATTAAGACATCGTCACAGCGCTCCAAGCTCTACCTTGCTGCAGGTCGGTCAGTGAAAGCTGAGCTTAAACTCAGCGGCTGAACGGGGACCATACCACGAGGGAAGTGGCTTGTCAACAATTTGCGTGGAGTTATCAAACTAAACCTTCGATTTACGCAGAGTGTGTCAGCACTATCTGAAGTTTTCAGCTTGTATTTCAAGCACTAAGTTTCAAAGGCGTCGATTTGAACCCTAGTAAAGATTTCCCTTCGAAGAAATTCATAAGAATACATAAAGAAATTGGTGGCTTTTTAAAATAAATTGAGCAGAACAATTAAAAAGGATCGTTAGCACTTATCTGCCTTGTTCGGTACGAATCCTACCAAGAGATTGTGGAGCACGAAACGCGTGTGGGGTTTGGGCCGCCTGCACCGTTAGCACACTGCGGCGCTCACCTTCTCCTGCAGGAAGGCGGTGAGCACGTAGGCGGTGAGGGCGAGCCCCTTGGCCGCGCCGCCCTGCATGTCGCGGTGGCAGATGGAGCCCACCTCCGGGAAGGAGCCGTCCGCAGCCTGATGCCTGGACAGCCACGCCAGGGCCTCGTCGATGACGCGCCCCTCCACCGGCACCACCGACTCGGCCATCCGGAAGGACTTGGCCACGAAGGCCGTCAGCCTGGACATCGTACACACACCAGGGATGATACCCAAACCGAAACGATACCAGGGCCGTTACGACAACAGTTTGCACATATGACTTAAACTCAAAAGAGGGTAGCACCTGGAACCTAGGGAAGAGGTTTTCCTTTGATCAAGGTGTACCGGAGGTTTGTTCCCATATGGGCCAAGTCCAAGCACTTCCCTGAGTTTTGTTGATTTAGGCCCCAAAAAGAACAAAAGTCAGGGGAGCGATATTTGGACTTGGTCCGTATAGAAACAAAACTCCGGCACGCCTTGATCAACAAGGGAAAGCTGTTCCCTTGGTTCCAGGTGCTACACTTTTTGAGTTTGAGTCATAAGTGCAAACTGTTTTCGTAACGGCCCTGGTATCGTTTCGGTTTGGGTATCATCCCTGACACACACTCGTGTAAATTTTGTCAGAATGTCAGAAACATGTCTGAAATCCTGATCAAAATCCGTGCACCTCTGAAAGCTTAATTTCTGAAAACTTTAGCCAAAATTGATGGCTTGAGATGTGCAGAATGTCAGAGTAAGTTTTAAGCTTTCAGAGGTGCGCGAATTTTGATCAGGCTTTCAGACATGTTTCTGACGTTCTGACAAGATTTACACGACTGCACTTAACTAGGGGTACGAGCCGTTTAGTGTGGGCGCGCAGTGTGGCTGATGAGGGGATGGGATGGGTACGTGCGTGTACGTACGCAGGGCGTACAAACTCCACATTTATTTGCGGATTTTGACTTTTTATTTCGTAAACGGCAGGGAATAAAAAAGGTTGTGCATAGAATAACTAAAAGTCAAAATGAAATTTAAAATATTAGTTATTCTGTGCATAACTTTTTTATCTCTACTTGTTGACGAGATAAAGGCACCCGAAATCCTAATAAATGTTAAGTTCGCACGCCCTGTAGGTACGTTGATTTCACGCGGGTTACACTACTAAAGAGAGGGTAATACCACACTCTAGTCACACGGAAGCAGCCACACCCACCATGTGCTGCCGTTGCGGTCCGACTCCCCGAACGCGCTGAAGGAGCCGTCCCTGTGTCGGTACGTCATCTCCTTCTGATAACCCATCTCCGTGAAGGAGCGAGCCTTGCGTTCCAGGGCGGGGGTCAGCTTGTTGGTATGCTGAAAAACGGAGGAAGTTGGAAAACACTTTACTCTGGTGGACTTTTTAAATGCATAGTTATGCACTTTTGATGCACACACTGTGGCGAAAAGGGTACAGAAAATTCTGTTAACTTTTTGGCCAAGATTCTCCGTAGCCCATGTATGAATATTCTCCGTAGGCTCTTACAGTCTTCTCCGTAGGACCGCAGAGTTGTACTATGCAGTCCTACGGAGAAGACTGTACGGTCCTACGGAAAATACTCTAAGGTCCTACGGAGAATATTGACAAGGGGGCTACGGAGAATTACCACGGGCAGTATTTTCCGCACGTTTTTGCCACATTGTACAGCGTAGCATTTGCAAAGTAGATACATTTAGTTTGACACGGTGCTGCAACACGTACATTGAGGTACTTCATGATGACGATGTTGGGAACGAAGTTGAGCATGTTCTGCTCACCACATCCGAACGGCATTCTGATAAGTTTGTCCAGGTTGGCTGTGGTGGGTCCCAGAACGTCACCTGCAAAATACCGTTACATTTTAAGCACGCGTCAGGAGGTATTCAATTCAAACGGGGAAAAAAATGACAGTTTTGATTTTTTTTTTAAATTTGACAATGCAACGGTTAGGAGGGCGACGAAAAGGAATCGTAATATACCGGACAAACGGCAGAAAAATGCGAAATTCTCGCATCTTTTAAGTTGTTTAAACACTGTGGCTAAAAGCTACGGAAAATTCTGTAAACAGCTTGTGGTAATTCTCCGTAGCCCCCTTGTCAGTATTCTCCGTAGGCTCTTACAGTATTTTCTGTAGGACCGCACAGTATTCTCTGTAGGACCTTACAGTATTCTCCGTAGGACCATACAGTCTTCCATGTCCTACGGAGAAGACTCTGCGATCCTACGGAGAATACTGCACGGCCCTACGGAGAATACTGTAAGAGCCTACGGAGATTATTGATAAGAGGGCTACGGAGAATCCAGGCAAAAAAATTAACAGAATTTTCCGTACCTTTTTGCCACAGTGAACAATGCGGGCACCATTCTATCCTAGAATACAGGCACAAGAAATGACGTGCATGCTTCTTACCGATGGCAGACACTTCTACCGTTTCTGAATCGGGCACCGTGTTCTCGGGGAACTCGAGGGCAACGATCGTCTTGAAGGTCTCTGCTTTGGCAAGGGACACCGGAATGGCTTTGTTGCGATACTGAGTCTCCCCCTCCGCCTGAAAATGAAATGGGGGCGTGAGGAAAGCCACACTTCAAATTCAGAGAATGAGACGTCACGTGCGTTGTAACACGTTCGTTTGATATGATTTCACATTCGTTTGAATGTTGATTCACGTTTAAACGAATGTGGCGAAATTCTGAATCTAACGAATGTGACGTCACATCCGTACGATAACAGTGCACAACGAATATGTCTCTGTCTCTTTCTCTCTGTCCCTCTCTCTCTCTCTCTCTCTCTCTCTCTCTCCTCTCACTCTCTCGCTCTCTCTCTCTCTCTCTCTCTCTCTCTCGTCTCTCTCTGTCTCTCTCTGTCTCTCTCTCTGTCTCTCTCTCTCTCTCTCTGTCACATGTTTGCAATTTTTAGAGCAGTACACACTTTCATTCACGTTGAAACGAATGTGACATAATGTCACGGTCGGTGGGGCATTGTTTCACATTCGTTTGGATGAGCATTAGCCTCAAACGAGCGCATTCACACCGCCAACGGATAAGAGCGAGGTGGGAGTACCCAGTGCCCTTGTTTCCACCTTAAAGCACAATTCGATCGATCGTCCAATGTCCCTCACCTTGACCTTCAGGGCCCGCTCCAACGCGTCGCCGGCCTTGTCTCCGATGGCGGTGACCTTGAGCGACACGTGGCCCACCTTCTTGGGGGTGATGTCGAAGGACGCGGAGGCGGCGCCCTGCCGCGGCACAGCCACCTGCCGCGTCTGTCTCGCGGCGCCTGAGAACACGCACCACTGTCAACCGGGTGGGAAGTGACGAAGTCCACACTTTGAATGCAGAGGTGCGGAATTTGCTGATTCCGTACTTGGAAGTGCAGAGTTTGCAGTCCCCACTCCCCACTTGAAGTGTGGAGTTCTCCACGCTTGCACCATGCCAAGAGATACACTGGTAGCCAAGGAATGTGACGTCACGTTCGTTTTCACGTGTAAACGGCGATGTTAGTTTGAGCGTGACAAACGGTGAAAATTTACAGTCAAACGAATGTGACATACCGCACCGCTTTGTCACATTACTTCGGGTGCGACACGCAATCAGCTGTCGAACTGTCACACCACTGCAAATGCAAAGGCGATACTCAAGAACTTTTTTTTGGCGATACAATTCAGTATCGCCAACAAACGGCATTACGGAAAAGTATTGCCTTCAGAACGGCGATACACAGAAGTATCGCCAAAATTTGGCGATACTTTTGGGTATCGCCAAAACCACGGCATTAAACTAACGACTTGTCCCCTTGATTTGTTCAACGTTTAATGCCAAATCTTGGCAATACTCCGAAGTATCGCCAAATTTTGGCGATACTTTTGTGTATCGCCGTTTTGAAGGCAATACTTTTACGTAAGGCCGTTTATTGGCGATACTCAATTGTATCGCCAAAAAAGGTACTAAAAGTATTGCCGTTGGATTTGCAGTGACTAAAACGAATGTGACACATGGTACCCAAGTACACATGACGTGTCAAACGAATGTGACATCCATGTACTGTCACGTTCGTTCGATTGTGACATGTCCACGTCACATTAAAACGAACGTAACACCGCTTAATCTAACAATCATGGCATGTCACATCCAAACGAACATGACAAAGTGGGCATGTCACATGTCACAATTTAACGAATGTGACAGTACATGGATGTCACATTCGTTTGGATGTGACACGTCATGTGTACTTGGGTACCATGTGTCACATTCGTTTTAACGTCACAGTTTGACAGCTGATTCCGTGTCACACCCGAAGTAATGTGACAAAGCGGTGCGGTATGTCACAGTCGTTTGACTGTAAATTTTCACCGTTTGTAACGCTCAAACTAACATCGCCGTTTTCACGTGAAAGCGAACGTGACGTCACATTCCTTGGCTACCAGTGTAGGGGTTCCATGACCTACTCTACACTGCAAAACTGCACACGCACTGCAAATCCAACGGCAATACTTTTAGTACCTTTTTTGGCGATACAATTGAGTATCGCCAATAAACGGCCTTACGTAAAAGTATTGCCTTCAAAACGGCGATACACAAAAGTATCGCCAAAATTTGGCGATACTTCGGAGTATTGCCAAGATTTGGCATTAAACGTTGAACAAATCAAGGGGACAAGTCGTTAGTTTAATGCCGTGGTTTTGGCGATACCCAAAAGTATCGCCAAATTTTGGCGATACTTCTGTGTATCGCCGTTCTGAAGGCAATACTTTTCCGTAATGCCGTTTGTTGGCGATACTGAATTGTATCGCCAAAAAAAAGTTCTTGAGTATCGCCTTTGCATTTGCAGTGCGTGTAAGACTAGAGAATCACTCCGCACCAGGAAGTGAGCAGTTGATCTGACACTGAGCCGAAAGCTTACCAGTGTCGTCACCGGCGAAGTCGAAGTCCCCGTGCTCGTTGTCCAGCGTCACCGTGGCGGAGGTGTCCTCGTCCATGTAGTTGAAGACGATGACGGGCACCTGCACTGTCTCGCCTCGAATCACGGAGTAGGGGAGGTTCAGGGTGGCGAAGAACGGCCTGAACACCGTCAGCTGCAACGCAAGATCCGTCAGTCCACTGCACTGGTAAAAGTAAAGCTTAACAAGCTGGGGCAGCCCTTTCGTCGAACCAACTTGCCAGCTCCACTTCGCTGCGGCGGCAACTCGGTTCGACAGGGGTCGGCCCAGCTTGGCCTGCCGGCGGTTCCTCGGGCCATCAGACCCAACTTGGCAAATCGGGTCAGGCTCTCGCGGTAAATGCGTAATGTAAAACGACCACATTTTAGTATCATTCGTTTGCTGCCTTTACTTCGACGCCTCCTAAAAAGAATAATCCTGTCAGTGCTTATGCAAGACAATGTCAACTGTCAGCGCAGATTGTACGACGTAAAAAGCTTTTTCTTATAAAATTCTGTGACGCCAACATGCTGCTTCAAATTTCTTGGCAATGGACTTGTTAAGGGGGCACACCAGTGAAAATGCAGAGGTTTCAAAAAACGATCATTCTGAGAAAAGTAACCGATGTCTTCCATTGATATTTTATTCTTGGCTCCAAATTATGTCAAAGAAAAGGCAAATCAGTGCGGGAGAGCGAGGTGGCGATGGCAAGATAAGGCGCCAGTGCACTTCATTTTTCAACGACCTTGCTTCACTCCTGCCACGATTCCGCCTCTCTGGATTGAGCTTCGCGCACGGGATTTGAAAATTTCTCAACAGGACACATGTGGCTATGGTCTGAACCACGGGCATGCAAAAAGAATGATTTTGAATTCGTTTTTTCAGAAGGCAAAAATAGAAACAAATTTTTTAACCAATCTTTTCGCGCTTTCATGGCTGCAGCTCACGTCCTATTTATGGGATGGCCATTTCCGAGGTTCAGACCATAGACGCAAGTGTAACGAACATTTTGCCGCAAACCGCATTAAATTATCTTAATTTTTGCGTCCGTGAGAGTGGCACAAAGGTATAAAAAGGGTGTTTTGAGAAAAAGCCCTTTAAGTGAAAACATAGATTTGACGTGTTTTTTCGGATTATAAATGCGTGTTTTGACGTATTTTAGTTCAGTTTGCGCCAATATGTTCCTCTTTTCAACTGCGTTTGGGTGGGTTTTGTAATTGAAGTTCAAGTGAAAAACCTGAACGTTAACAATTTGTCAAAAATATGCAAAAATAATTACCTTTTTAGCAACTTCAAAAATGTGCACAAGCCAAAGTAATCGGAATTTCGCGTCGGGGTTGGCGGCATTCGACTCGGAATGAATAGCAGAAAAATAAGATAAAATAAAAGAGAAGGCAAAAATTTGACGATCTTCACTGGTGTGCCCCCTTAAGCAAGCCAAAACGATGGGTTGGCATTTTTTTCTGAATAAGCGTTCAAAAACGAATAATGCTCTGGTTCGTTGAAAATCGGACAAAAACTGGCCGAGTTATGATTTTTCATGTTATCAGCACTTAAATACTTGAGGTACTAAAAATCATTTTTTTTTCTAAAAAAGGAAAAAAAGACGCATATACTTTTTTTCGGCGATGAATCGAAATCCGGGCGGCGTTGGACGAATCCCTCCCGAGTTTATGAAGTTTGTCAAACCAACCGTCGTGGTGTTGTAAGGGAGAACTATTACACAGAATTGAAGAAAACATGACTAGAGAACCATAGCCTTTTGAAACAAGCCAAACAATTCAACGTCATCATAGAGGGGCAGTTTTAATGCGCGACTGCTGGTGCTTTCAGCTTCGCGATTTTCGCAAGGGCGCAGATGCCGAGAAACTAGTTGCCAACCCGTGAAAATTAATTTACTGCCTTCTTCCTGCTAAGAACATTTTAATAATGATGGACTTTAAAGATGTTCCATTGTCAGAACACTGCTGAGTTCATAAGCATTGGAATTTTTTGAATTTACCAGCATTTTGATTTCTATTTATTGTCAAGTTTGAATTTCGACGGGTGGCACATCGACCACATTGGTACCACTGCCATTGGTAGTCCCCTGAGCCACAACTTCACAACACCACTTCTTTTCTTTCTCCACACTCTTACACAATAATCAAATTAACTTCGTGACTCCTAGGATTTCATGAAATCGTATTTTTTCTTGGTGAAATGGGGTCATGTATATCATTTTGAAGGTAAAGGTCCATACTTAACTCTCCTGTAATAACATTTGACCCAAGAAGCGAATTCAAGCTCAAAGACCAAAAAGAAAGAAAAGCGTCCGGAATTACCCCACTCCCCCTTACTATGGCCATCACTGGGCACACTACCCTTAGCGGCGAGCTACTAAGTGACTTCTCACCGGAACAAATGAACAGCGCATGAACAGGGCACCTCTGGTCTAAATGCAAAACCACCTAGACAATGACCGCTCCCTCGGCAAGGCCGTCGACACAATCTGTCAGATTTTTTTTTTTTACTTAAAAAAAAGAAAAAACTTTTCTGTTTCACTTACTTTATATTTGTTTTTAATACCTGATAATACATGCTAGCTCTATACCCGATTTAAGTTATCTACAACTTTCCCCACAAGCCTCTGGCCATGAGACTAGGGGTAATGGACTCGCAACGGAGCTGGCCGGAATCTCTGCTTTGCTAATTGTAGTTCACTATTTCTCCGACTAAATATGCGAGTTTTGAGATGGGTCGGGCATTTTTGGAAAGAAGACATCTTAAAGTATGCCCTAAATTCAAAAAAGTTTCAATTTTCCCACCAGGGCTCGAACAGGGACAGCTTAACCGTTACGCTACTCAAATGCGCAGGGCGACGGCCATGGTGCCAGGGGCGACGCAGGGGGGGCGCCTCTTCAACTTGCGCTAGAAGCTTCCGGATGCCGCAAAAGTGATGGGACAAGTGGTGCACCTTGATATATGTCGAAGCCAAACTATGTCCCATCACTTTTGAGGCATCCGGAAGCTTCTAGCGCAAGTTGAAGAGGCGCCCCCCCTGCGTCGCCCCTGGCACCATGGCCGTCGCCCTGCGCATTTGAGTAGCGCAACGGTTAAGCTGTTCCTGTTCGAGCCCTGGTGGGAAAATTAAAACTTTTTTGAATTTAGGGCATACTTTAAGATGTCTTCTTTCCGAAAATGCCCGACCCATCTCAAAAATCGCATATTTAGTCGAAGAAATAGTGAACTACAATTAGCAAGGCAGAGATTCCGGCCAGCTCCGTTGCGAGTCCATTACCCCTAGTCTCATGCTCTGGCACAGGAAGATTTTTTGCACAAATCATGAATTTTGTATGATGAACCCCAGTTAGGGTGGTCCGAAAGAAAATGAAGTTGCTCGGATCGTCCAACGCCGCCCGGAATTCGATTCTTCGCCGAAAAAAAGTATATGCGTCTTTTTTTCCTTTATTAGAAAAAAAATGATTTTTAGCACCTCAAGTATTTAAGGGGGCACACCAGTGAAAATCGTCGAATTTTGGCTTTCTTTTTTATTTTATCTTATTTTTCTTCTATTTATCCCGAGTCGAACGCCGCAAACCCCACCCCTAAATTCCAATAACTTTGGGTCGTGCACATTTTTTAAGTTCCTAAAAAGGTTATTATTTTTGCATATTTTAGACCAATTGTTAACGTTTAGGTTTTCCACTTAAAGTTCAATTACAAAACCCTTGAACCACCCAAACGCAGTCGTAAAAAGGAACATTTTGGCGCAAACCGAACTAAAATACGTGAAAAGGCGCATTTATAATCGGCAAAAAACACGTCAAATCTATGTTTCTACTTAAAGGGCTTTTACTCAAAACACCCTTTTTGTACCTTTGTGCCACTCTCACGGGCGCAAAAATTGAGATAATTCAATGCGGTTTGCGGCAAAATGTTTGTTAAACTTGCGTCTATGGTCTGAACCTCGGAAATGGCCATCCCATAAATAGAACGTAAGCAGCAGCCATGAAAGCGCGAAAAAATTGGTTAAAAAAATTGTTTCTATTTTTGCCTTCTGAAATAACAAATTCAAAATTATTCTTTTTGTATGCCCGTGGTTCAGACCATAGCCACATGTGTCCTGTTGAGAAAATTTCAAATCCCGTGCTCGAGGCTCAATCCAGAGAGGCGGAATCGTGGCAAGAGTGAGCCGAGGTCGCAGAAAACTGAAGTGCACTGGCGCTCCGTCTTGCCATCTCCACCCAACCCTCCCATACTCATATTTCTTTTCTTTGATATAATTTTGAGCCACGAATAAAATATCAATTGAATACATTGGTTACTTTCTCAGAATGATCGATTTTCGAAACCTCTGCATTTTCACTGGTGTGCCCCCTTAAGTGCTGATAACATGAAAAATCATAACTCGGCCAGTTTTTGTCCGATTTTCAACGAAACAGAGCATTTTTCGTTTTTGAACGCTTATTCAGAAAAAAAAAGCCAACCCATCGTTTTGGCTTGCTTAAGGGGGCACACCAGTGAAGATCGTCAAATTTTGCCTTCTCTTTTATTTTATCTTATTTTTCTGCTTTTCATTCCGAGTCGAATGCCGCCAACCCCGACGCGAAATTCCGATTACTTTGGCTTGTGCACATTTTTGAAGTTGCTAAAAAGGTAATTATTTTTGCATATTTTTGACAAATTGTTAACGTTCAGGTTTTTCACTTGAACTTCAATTACAAAACCCCTGACCCACCCAAACGCAGTTGAAAAGAGGAACATTTTGGCGCAAACTGAACTAAAATACGTCAAAAGACGCATTTTTAATTTGAAAAAAAAAAAAACACGTCAAATCTATGTTTTCACTTAAAGGACTTTTTCTCAAAACACCTTTTTTGTACCTTTGTGCCACTCTCACGGGCGCAAAAATTAAGATAATTTTATGCGGTTTGCGGCAAAATGTTCGTTACACTTGCGTCTATGGTCTGAACCTCGGAAATGGCCATCCCATAAAAAGGACGTGAGCTGCAGCCATGAAAGCGCAAAAAAATTGGTTTTAAAATTTCTTTCTATTTTTGCCTTTTGAAAAAACAAATTCAAAATCATTCTTTTGGCATGCCCGTGGTTCAGACCATAGCCACATGTGTCCTATTGAGAAATTTTCAAATCCCGTGCCCGAAGCTCAATCCAGAGAGGCGGAATCGTGGCAGGAGTGAAGCAAAGTCGTTGGAAAATGAAGTGCACTGGCGCATCATCTTGCCTTCGCCACCTCGCTCTCCCATACTGATTTTCCTTTTCTTTGACATAATTTTGAGACAAGATTAAAATCATTAAAATATCATTCGGATACATCGGTTAACTTTTCGCAGAATGATCGTTTTTCGAAACCTCTGCATTTTCACTGGTGTGCCCCCTTAATTTTGAGGGAAAAAATGACTAAATTTTGGCCTAAATGGGCAAGAGTTTCAGCTTATGGGCCGCTACAGCCGCTCCAAGGCCACCCTTTGAGCATGGCGGGGTGCTCCCACCACAAGGCAAGCCCAATCGACAGAACTGGAGTACCGGGTCCCATTTGCCTAACTCCAAGGGGGCATCAAATCTTTATTTTTTTCGAAAATCTTTTAATGTTGATGTTTCTTTGGGCCCTCTGGCTCTCAGATGGCCACCCGTTTTTGGCCCACCCTTCTAAACGAAAAAAAGTGGGCAGGGTCGATGCACTTGCCTCTGTGTCTGAGGGTCGTCGTTGTCGTCGTCTGTGTACAAGGTGGGAGTTCGAAGGCACTGTAGGAGTGCTTTGGATCATAAACAAGCTAAGGCCTCCCCTTTCGACGAAACGCACGGTGAAAACAGAACCTGGTTTCCCCGGAAACTCTGTCACTGTCACATCTGTATCACAAAAGTAGATGTTTCGGTACCTTTGTCGTCTCGCTGAGCCCCAGCCCCTGTTTCGGATCCATGGCCAGGGCAGACACGACCCACGACGTGATGGTGTCCGGGACGATCCTCTTGAGGGTCACGTTCCCGTCAGCACTGCAAACAGAGAGCACTTTGACGTCAAGCAAAACTGTCGGCCTCACTCAGCCTTGTGTTGACTTTTCCTCTCTCGGAAGTTATTTTCTACAGACGCCACATCTTTTATTCAGGGCATGCTAAATTAACAACAATTAGGATTTTGAGTGCCTTTATCTCGTCAACGACAAAAGGTAATAAAGTTATTCACAGGGTAACTTAAATTTAAAACTTGATTTTGAATTTAAGTTATTCTATGCATAACGATTTTATTTCCAGCCGTTTACGAAATAAAATGTCAAAAATCGCAAATAAATGTTAGGTTAGCACACCCTGCTTTTATTTTCCCTTCAGCTCTTCACAATTTATTATCGTTTTTGGATTCAATTGTTACTGTTATTAACGCATGAGAAACTACACACAGTCATAACAAAATATCAATGTGAAAGGACCAAATCAATCTTTATAATGAACAAATTTGTATAAAGCAGAAGAGAAAATAAGGCATTTTGCGTCTGTTAAAACTACGTAATAGCAAGATTGCAAAAGTTAATTAATAGACGAAAATGTCAGTACGAGGCTGAGAGTGCATTGCGCAAGTGGAAGCAATTTCTAGACACGCGGGCTTACCCCGAATTGAAGTTCTCCCAGAGCCACGTCTCGGGGAAGAGCGTCCGCAGCCTGGGCGGTTGCGTTTGCAGAGCCGCACCTCCAAATGCTCCCCCCAGACCCGCTGCGGGGGCGGCCATGGGCGTCGCCATGCTTACGGAAGTGGCCCCGAAGAGAACCCCTCTTGAGTTGCTCGGGGTTCCGAACCCGAAAGTCGTTGCTGCACACAGGGAGAGCATCACACCAGAAGCACAGGCGAACAGGTATGATACCCAAAACAAAACAATTCCAGAGCCCTTATGGCAACAGTTAGTCCTCACGATGAAAACTAAAACACTGTAGCAGCTAGATCCACGAAAAAAGCTTTTCCGTGGTGATCAAAGCGCACCAGAGTTTTGTTTCCATGTGGATCAAGTCCGAAATCCGCTTTCCTGCGGTTTGTTATTTTTTGGGCCTAAATCAACAAAACTCAGGGAACCGGAAATCAGACACGGTCCATATGGAAACAAAACTTCTTTACGTCTTGATCATCGAGGACCAGCTTTTCCGTTAGTTCCAACTGCTGCCGTTTTGGAGTAGTTTGCGTCATAAGTGTTGACTGTTCTCGTCATGGCTCTGGTATTGTTTCGGTTTGGGCATCATCCCTGCTGGCGACTTGAGGTGTTCACGTGGCATAGTGGGCCAAAAAACGATTGACGCGACCAAAGTTCCGGATGCCCCAAACCTAACGAGATAGTCTGAAAATGGGTAAGGTGGAAACAATTTAGCTTGAAATACGAAGAAATAATTTGCAAATTGAAGAGTAATTTGTGACGTATTTCCAATTTGTAAAGTGATGTGTGCTCAAATAGAAATATGCTTTTTGGCTGAGCGATAGCGAAGCCTGTTACTTCAGTGGGGTTGAAAAGTTTTGTCTGTCTGTCTGTCTGTCTGTGTGTCCGCACTACTCCTCCTGAACGGCTCGGCTGATCTCGGTGAGACTTTGCACACTTCTTGGGTATGTCCTTGGCTCGGCACACGCGGAATTTCACCATCCTAGCTCAACTGGTTCAGTTTTTATAGCCGAAAAACACCTAAAAAACGGCGAAAAATAGACCTTTCTGCAGGTAGATCACTTCTGGCTTGGAGAAAGGGGGGTCTGGGGGGCGGAGCCCGCCAGCCTCGACAAGTAAAAAAGTAACAAGGGTCAAGATCGTGTTATTTGTAGACAAAACAACTCTATTCAGAATGTAGGGGGCGGAGGCCCCCAGCATTCAACAAGTTAAACAAGGTAGGTGTACGCCAGACCGTGTCTTGTCGTAACAGGCTTCGCGATGCTGCGCCAGTTATGACAATCCACGCCTGGCGTTACACCTACCTTGGCCTGCGGCGCTTGCCTGCCTTCAGCAGGCTAGGTTTCTTTTCCAGGCATCCGCACACCAATTCGCGTGATTGAAGGTCAAAACAGCATTTGATTTCGTGCCTAAGGCTGCATTGGCCTGACTTTTTAACTTGTCGAGGCTGGGGGGTCCCGCCCCGCCCCCCAGACCCCCCTTTCTTCAAGACAGAAGTGATCTGCCTGCAGAAAACTCGATTTTTCGCCATTTTTTAGGTGTTTTTCGGCTATAAAAACCGAACCAGTTGAGCTAGGATAGTGAAATTTCGCGTGTGCCGAGCCAAGGACATACCCAAAAAATCTCACCGAGATCGGCCGAGCCGTTCAGGAGGAGTAGCGCGGACACACACACCACGCACGCACGCAGACAGGAAAAAATTTTCAACCCCACCTGAGTAACAGGCTTCGCTATCGCTCAGCCAAAAAATAACCGACAATGGACAAGCCATTGCCTGCCGCAGGCAGGCTAGCGCCGCAGGCCAAGGTAGGTACGCCAGGCGTGGATTGGAGGAACAGGCAGCGAGACATCGCGAAGCCTGTTACGACAAGACGCGGTCTGGCGTAAACCTACCTTGTTTGAAGCCATTTCACTTCGTAGGGCTCAAAAAGTCAGTAGCGTTTTTAGAAGGAGCACATCTCTTAATAAGACCGAGCGTGTGACCCCACCCCACCAATAGAACGCTCTCTGAAAGGTAAATCCATTGGTGGCATCACGCGTTTTGGTTGGGGCATGCTTAACGACTCTGGAGCGGCTCTGGACTCTTTGCGGTAGCTTCGGCCAAAATTACGGCTGAATTTTGAACCGTTCTGTGCGTGTTGGTCGATGAAACCTTAACGATGCCATCCTTAAAACTCTTACGCAAACTTACATAGTGGCGGCTTCTGCACTGTCTTGGCATTCGTCATGAAGGCCACACCCGCATCCTGGTTAAACAGATAAAAGGTTATTTTACATTTCACGTTCAGAGGTACGGTATTCCTGCAACAGTGCACTGTAAAAAATGTTCGGAATTTTACCATACAGTGGTCTGAGAAAATTCCTATACATGTATAGGAATTACTGAAATTCCGATACATGTATAAGAATATTCCGATTTATTTAGGTTTTTTGCTATACGGGCTGAAAATGTATAGGAATATTCCTATACATGCATCGGAATATGGGTAATTCCTATACTTGTATAGTATTTTGCAGCCTGTGTATTAGTAATATGGCCAACTGGAAAAAAGAATCTGCTATCCACCTTATTAACAGCGATACAAATTGTTGTATGTTCTTAAAACACTTGTAACAAGGTAGTTGTACGCCAGACCGTGTCTTGTCGTAACAGGCTTCGCGATGCTGCGCCAGTTTCGACAATCCACGACTGGCTTACACACCTACCTTGGCCTGCGGCGCTAACCTGCCTCCGGCAGACCGTAGAAATGGGCGTGATCCCCTCAAAAATTAGCATTTGGTCATGAAAATCCACACTAATGGAATATAACTTTGGGTCGGGGATGCGAATGGGTTCTATTTTCGTCATCAGCAGCTTAAAAAACATAGAAAACGACACGCAACTTGACAAAATGTTGAGAGTACCTAAAAAGTTGTATTTTTTTCTGCCGTTTTTAAAGTGTTTTTTGGCTAATGTGACCGAATGGATTGAGATAGAAAGCTGAATTTTGGTGTGTGGCGAGCCAAGGATACACCTAATGACCCTGCAAAATCTCAGCCGGATCGGCCGAGCCGTTCAGGAGGAGTAGTGCGGACACACAGACACACGCACACACACACACACAGACAGACATGAAAAACTTTTCAACCCGACTGGAGTAACAGGCTTCGCTATCGCTCAGCCAATTAATAAGATTATTTTTTAACAACGTACAAAAGTCACAAAAGCTGCTTGTTTGCCCGCTGTCCGGATTATCCGCTAGATGGCGCTAGTGTCGTTTTGACGGACTTACTTCTCGGTGTACGCTGCGGCTAGGAATTTGGTTGGGTCAGGGGGCTCGCGTCTTATCTCATTGCAAGAAAGTTGAAAGCATTTCAACTCTTACATCATTTTAACTCAGGTGTTCATTTCACCTTGGGTGTTCAAGTGGTGAAGTCGTACTTGGCCAATGTGGAAAACCGGGGTGAAGAATTACTAAAGATTAATACTCGATGATCTATTCAGGCGGAAAATGCAGCCGTTGTATTGAATATCTGACAGTACATCCGCTTCGGCCTGCCTAATTTACACATTTTGGTGGAAGTCCTATACATACATTGCAGTTGCGCCATTCCGATGTATAGGAAAAATCCTACACAGGGGATGGGAGAATGCCGTACCGATGTATAGGAAAATTACCATACGAGTGCATGGTAAAATTCCTATCCGTGTACATGTAAATAGCTTTTTTACAGTGTGTAAGCGACAGTACTGACCGAGGGGTCGGCAACTTCCCTTAGCCGTGTACGAGGGAGTATACGTATATTACCAGTAATATAGGTAACATATGTGTAATACAAAGTTATACAAAGTAATATATAGTAATACAGGGGTATTATAGAGGCGAAATTGTGGTAATATGCAAGTAATATATGGTAATATAAGGTAATATACGGGTAATATAGCCACCGCGTACGAAGTAATATAGGAGTTGCCGACCCCTCGGTACTGACCTGCAGCACCTCCTCCACGGACAACCACCGGGGCCTCCCCCTGCTCAGCAGGCTCTGCGCATCGCAGCCTCGTCCCCAGCGCTTCTCGGCCCTGGACTCGTAGCTGAGGAGCTCCTTGACGGCGTCCTCCCGCGTCACGACGTTGTTGGCCTCCTTGAGCAGCAGCACGCTCTGGTCCACGGCCAGCAGCGCCACCGTGGCGTTGGGCCGCGCGGACAGAGTCACCGCCACCTCGCCGCCCGGCTCGCTGCGGCCCGGCAGCACGCGGACCTCCACCTGGAACACAGTCACTTCGTTGGTCACCACTGTCTACCAAAGTGTCGAGGAGTTCTCCACACTCGGAAGTGCACACTGCAAGGAAAAGTGAACAGTACAACAAAAAAATCGAGTTAAACATAGTTTTTTAAACCTCCCATGTGAAATTTAGATAATTGACTCAAGTTTTCCTATTGGGACTTTCTCGCGTCGAAAGAGGTGTTTCCGCCTACCAGCGCGCGGACTGTTGGAACTGGTACAGCACCGCGTAGCCCGTTATGGGAGGTTGCCAAAATTGTGGGTCCTTTTGTGTCTTTGGGCCACAGTTTCCTTATTTTTCGACGTATCGACCTGCGGTTTGATTCCTATGACTCAACTTCATCTCCCCTACTATCCCACACACTAACCGAGCATGCAGTTCAAGCATTTCCCTGTCAAAACAGGCTAAAACTGGGCAAAATGTAACTTCCGTGCTGTCCATTGTCCAAAAAGTCCGTGTTTCAAGGCGAAAATCTCCTGAACTATTTGTCGGAGAGCAAATCCGCGAACAGCCTTTTGTTCCGTTGGCAACCCTTTATGACACCCTTGGATAGCAATTTATTCCAGTGACTCTCACCCCCTGCTTTATTGGATGAAAAAATGTCCACCGTGTACTGGTTTTCAAACATCGTCAGCTTTAGTTTCGCGCCTCAGCGCCGAACCTGTAGCGAGAAAAGTTCGGCTCAGCGACCAGAATGAGCAGCGCGGTTTCCTCTTTCCGGCGCGGTAGGCGGATTTTCGCTGCAGGGCTCCATTCCGGCTGGCTGGACCATCAAAGGTTAAAATCCGGCATGTGTCAGGTTTGTGTGTAACATTCCGTGTCATCAATAGCAAGCGTGTTACTTGGCCTATCGATTTCGGTCCACCTGGCCATTTTGCGCTTTCACGTCTCTTAAACTTTAGGCGAGACACCTGTTCGATTTGGTGAACGGGTTGGTCCGTTTTCGCCGTTTGTTTATGATGTAACTTCCGTGCCATGGTAACTTCCGTGCCATCTCCCCATGTTAAAGTATAGGGGAAAAATCAAAGTGCGAGAAAATACTGGCCTCCTTCGGAAATGCGTTTAGAATGACCCCTAGAATACAGGAAAAATACTAAAAAAAATTTAGAACGAGATATTTTTTTCACTTTTTTAGGAGCCAAAAGGACCCACAATTTTGGCAACTTCCCTTATGACAAGACACGGCCTGGCGTACACCTACCTTGTTGAATAGCTTTGCTGGCTGTGAAGGTAGAGAACAACTCCACTCCAGAGTAGGGGTGTGCGAATAGTTCGGAATCGAATCAGGGGTGATTGGATTCGATTCGGGGACGGATCTCTTTGCTTCGACCCCGAATATTCGAAATTTTCGAATCGACAGTGGTTCGTCTTCGAATCGGTTGCTCGGGAACGGTTGAATGTCACGCGCATAGCGTTTGTTTTTAAGCGAAAGCAAGATCAGATATTTGATTTCTCATCATTTTGTATTCCTACTCTATGCCCTTCCTTTATTACAGAAAATGTGTGTTAAAACACACTAATTTTTTTTAGTTTCAGTTCGAATTTGATTCGATTCGACAACTTTTTCCAGATTCGATTCGAGTTCAATGAGGTATTTTGCGATAGTGAAGAAGAGAAAGAAGAAGATGCGGAGGTGGGGGTAGAACATAACAAACCCTCATTTGTTTAGGCAGTTACTCTGCTTGCGGCGCGAGGTGCGGGCGGGTGGGGGGCATCATGGCCGCCAAACAAATGAGGGTTTGTGATGTTCTACCCCCACCGCCGCATCTTCTTCTTTCTCTTCTTCACTTACGCAAAATACCGTAAATGCGGGTAATATGGACCACCAGTGGGTAATGTGGACCACCCCTGAAATTTTCCTGAATGATTGGTTCGAGCCAAGTAACTTACAAGTTCGAATGCTAGTGACTGACACGGTTTTCCATGCCACAGGTAGGCGGAATCACCGATCACTTAAGAGAGTTTTAGGGGTGGTCCACATTACCCACCGCTGGTCCATATTACCCGCTTCCACGGTACCTCATTCGAAACTTTATTTTGAGATTCGATTCGAAATGAAAATCCTTGATTCGCACATCCCTACTCCAGAGACGTGGCGGCACTTACCGGCGCGAGGTTCGTGTCGACCTTGACGGCCGTCACATCCGCCGCGAGGGAGCCGTCCGCCGTCACCGCGTACACCAGGACGCGCGAGACGGGGGCCATGTCGGCGGTGGCGCGCACGCGCACCGTGGTGCCCGTCTCCGAGTCCTCACCGTCCTTCTTGGCGTCCAGCCCGGCGGGCAAGTCCCGCACCGTCCGCAGTCCAAGCGGGCCCTGCACCACCAGCGTGGCCTGCCGCAGTGGCACCAAGGCCCACACGCGCACCTCGATGTCGTCGCCGATCTGGAGACAAGGGGAGAACAGACATTAAAACAAGGTACCGTGGAAGCGGGTAATACGGACCACCGGTGGGTTATGTGGACCACCCCTAAAACTCTCTTAAGTGATCGGTGATTCCGCCTACCTGTGGCATGGAAAACCGTGTCAGTCACTAGCATTCGAACTTGTAAGTTACTTGGCTCGAAGCAATCATTCAGGAAAATTTCAGGGGTGGTCCGCATTAGCCACTGGTGGTCCATATTACCCACATTTACGGTAGGTGTACGCCAGACCGAGTATCAGCGTAACTTGCTTCGCGCTGCTCCCGGGTGGAAAGATCTGTAATTTTTTCTGTACTTGTAAAGTGCAACTTAACTCAGTTTAAGACCGCAGGACAACTATTGAACGTCTCGAGATGAAGTGAAGTAAATCTATTCTTTCTGAGTTTAAACTGTTTGCAAAACAATGGTAGTCAGACTGCAGATGGATCAATGCAGTTTCAGTGCAGTTAAACTACAGTAAACTACACTTAGAGTGTAGTTTTTTTAGTGAAACTACAGTTTGACTGCAGTTTGAATACAGATATTCTGGTAGTATTTTCGAACACTGCAGTTTCGGTTGCAGTTTCGACCCTAATTAAAAGTAGGGTCGCAAGTGTATGCGACAGTTATAATGGTAGCTGTAGTTGCGAGTATAGTGTTCAAATTTCAATCGCAAAATTAAAAAATTATTTTTTTTTCCTTTTTTGGGAAGCTTTTTTGAACCCCGTCGCCTCTCATTCTGTAGAGAAACTGTTTTTCGATGTTGAAGTTGTTGGACTTGGGCGGTACTCGATCGTCGGTCCTTTCGGTTGCGAGTCAGGTGTGTTATCCACTACGCTGGCAGGCGGTCATGCGAGCTGCTGCATCCGACCTGGACCACATGATAAGGCCTGTTCTCGGGGCACACCGGTCGGATGGTGCAGTTTAACTGCAGTTTCATTGCAGTTTTACAATAGATTATTTGCACTCGATCCTTATCCACATCGTTTTTCTTCGCCATTGTCATCCTTTAAGTGACGTCCACCGTGTGCCGGTAAGGCAGAAATTTTTCGAAAAAGGGGTTGGTGAAAAATGACAGAGTAGCTAATTTCTGTCTCACTGCGGGGTTGTTTTCGTTTCCACGGGTAAACAAGACAAAATTGGAAACCCCGTAAGAACCCCCAAAGAACTACTGCAGTCGATTGACGTTCCCATCTAACGTTGCGTCTGCAAATCTGTCCGCAATCCCCGCGTACACCAGGACGGGAATTTTGCCATGTCGGCGGTGGCGCGCACGCGCACCGTGTGCCCGTCTCCGAGTCCTCACCGTCCTTCTTGCGTCCAGCCCGGCGGGCAAGTCCCGCCCCTGCAGTCCAAGCGGGCCCTGCACCACCAGCGTGGCCTGCCGCAGTGGCACCAAGGCCCACACGCGCACCTCGATGTCGTCGCCGATCTGGAGACAAGGGGAGAACAGACATTAAAACAAGGTACCGTGGAAGCGGGTAATACGGACCACCGGTGGGTTATGTGGACCACCCCTAAAACTCTCTTAAGTGATCGGTGATTCCGCCTACCTGTGGCATGGAAAACCGTGTCAGTCACTAGCATTCGAACTTGTAAGTTACTTGGCTCGAAGCAATCATTCAGGAAAATTTCAGGGGTGGTCCGCATTAGCCACTGGTGGTCCATATTACCCACATTTACGGTAGGTGTACGCCAGACCGAGTATCAGCGTAACTTGCTTCGCGCTGCTACACCAGCCACACACACAGACAGACATGAAAAACTTGTGATGCTTCGCTATCGCTCAGCTAAAAGGTGTTAACGTTTTTAATATTAATAACAATAATAATAAAACCTTTCAAGACAATAATTACGATGTTTATTCTTTTAGTTACGAAGAAGATAGAGTATGGAGGTGCTGTAAAATTACGTATGATTTGCAAGATAAAGATTATGAAAAGTGTTAACGAAACTCTTGTAAACATATGACTCCTGTTTGTAAACGTAGTTAAACAATGTGTTCTAAAAAGTTTGTAAATGTACAAAAAGAAATTGAATGTGCTGTGAGCGACGATGACGGCAGTTAACAAGAAAGACCAGCGGCCGTCAATATTTGCTGCAGAAATAAGATAAAGTTCCGGGAAAGGAAACGGCGTGCAGTGAGACAGCAGAATAAGACGTGTGTGCCAGTTGATGTACTATAAAAGCGCCAGCATCGACCGCTCGTCAAGAACTCTAACCATGGCCTCCAAGATCGTCATCGTCCTCTGCTTCGCGCTGTTTGTAGCTGCTGTAAGTTAAGAGTTATCATCTCTTAAAAAAATCCACATCTGCAAGAAAATATATCCTTTTTTGTCAATCAATATGTATAATACGTCTTAGATGGCAAGAGATTGACCATAGAATGACCTTACTGTTGCAATAATGCGCACGAAAAACCATTCAAATGACCGTCTTTACTTAAAGATGAGACCGGCGACGACGGTTTCTTCTTACTTTGAAACCAAAGGACCCAAATGTGGTTAACTTGATGCGTTTTACTGCGTTTTAAGCGCAGTCCACACATGGTGGGGCACCTTTTGATCCAAGCCCACAAAGGTGGCTTTGTCCTTCATACCGGCATACAATGTATTGACATTACGATAATTATTGATGAGTGTTTTTCTTAATCCACTCGCGAAATCCAGAGTTAAGATGTTCGGCCGAAATCTTGACTGATCTCAGTCGAATTCAGCTAAACATTTCGTGATGCTATTTCAAAATCCAGAACTATCTCGCAAAAGTCCTCAAGAATCTCGCAAAATCTTACACAATACGGTCAAAAGAGCTTAAGACGCCCTCTTCAGAGTTTTGTGACATCTCGCAAGGTCCCTTCCTGGGACATCACTCCAAAATAGTCAAAAGTCGCAACTTTTTTTTAAATAGTTTATATAATAGATCATTCTTTTCTGTGTCGATTGGTGAAAACCGCATTCCGAGATTGGAAAAAAAGGAGTTTCTAGAGGGTGTGGGCCAGAGGCATGCATAGGAAAAAAGCCCAGTTCCCCTACACTGAAAAAAAAGTCTGGTTATAAGTACCAGACCAATCCTAGTTAAACGCGTATTAGTTACGCATACGAGAATCCTAGTAACTCTTGCCAGATGATCAGTTCAAGTAACCAGATTGGGTGTTGTGACATTTACCAGGTGTCTGGTTAATAATCCAGGTAAATTTTACTAGACTGTTCAGTAATTGACGCCATACGTAAAACTTCAAAATATTTGGTTCCATTGAAATGTTAGCGTGCCAAAAAGTTAACTGCAACCGGTTTCGTTATTTTCGGAGTCTTAAATCCGGCAGAAACACTGGGAGTATTTCCCTGAGTCACAGACGAAGAGAGTCACCAGGTGCGGATCCCCTCGGCCCACAGGCGACGTGGTGGCGCAGTGGTAACGTGCCCGTCTCACAAGTGTGAGATCCCGGTTCGAATCCGGAGGAGAGGAGGGGAAAATTGATTCGGAGGGGGTTCGTCAAGTATATCGACGTCACATCAGAGTTCAGTGCTTTGAAAATATTTTTTTTTAAATTTTGGACTATTTGCTTCAGTTTTGTAAGCACATGAACAAACCAGGATGTTTGGTAAAAACTACCAGAAGGGGACCTGGCGGCATTGTAAGGATCAAGGTTATAACCTTGATTTTCTCGGAACAGGAAATTGCAAACGGTTGCAGGCCTCTAGGCCGCAGTTTTTGAGCTACAGCGGTGAGATTTAGCATGGAAGCTCCTTCAACATGCCGCTATTGTGGGTAAACAAAAATAATTTGAATAAGTCAATTCGTATTACTTTTTTAGCGTAGAAAATTGAACAATTTTAACCAAAAAATGAAGAATTTTTTTTTGTATTTAACAAATAAATGATTTTTTAAATGTGATTGAAGTACTCACTATAGCCAGACATCTAAGGAAGGCTGTCACCAAATTTCGTTCTTCTAGGTCAAACCGTTTGGCGTCCAGCACTGCAACAGTGCGAAATGGTCTAACCTAACACTAAAAAATGTGTGTTCAAGGAAAGCGCTGTACTGCCCTGGCGGATTGACTTTGTGTTGAATTTATACTTTATCTGTTAAAATATGAACAATTTATGTATCTCTTTCCGTTTGGTTTTGATGACGTTTTTACAAAAGCACTGTTTTAAGAGTTATGTCCGTCTTAACACACTTTATGTTCATGGATTATTTGGTCCTGGTTACTTGTTTGGAAATAAGTTTGGATTGCTTTATGTTCTAGGTGGCGAAGGTGAGTGGCTGTGACACAGCAGTGGACGCAAGGATCCCCATCGTAACTCGAGTGCTGCTTCCGAACTACACTGTTATTCATCGGACAGGACTGCATATTCGTTAGGACGTGAATTTTGACACGATCCTTCTAATACGATGGCTCATGCTTTGCTGCGAGACACGGCTCAATTATTGGGAATTCACGTTTGTTTCAACGTGCACTTATATTAAAAGGAATGTGACGTCATATTGGAAGTGCAACAGTTAAAATGTGAACAATTTATCTCTTTCCGTTGGTTTTTATGACGTTTATACAGTAGCACTGTTTTTGGATTAGTGTCCCCCTTTAAAGTATTCTCCTTTGCAAACCAATATTATTATGTGCATAGAGAAAACTGAAAGCACTCTGCAGCATGCTACATGGCTGCACTGTTGGGTTCCGTCTAAGTCTGACAAGAGACAATGTACAGGCAAAGTAGGGATGTGCGAATAGTTCAGTATCGAATCGAATCAGCCCTGATTCGATTCGATTCGAGGACGGATCTCTTTGCTTCGATCCCGATTATTCGGAATTTTCGAATCGATAGTGGTTCGTCTTCGAATCGGTTGCTCGGGAACGGTTGAATTTCGCGTGCATAGCGTTGTTTTTAAGCCAGGGGGGAACAGCTTCCCACATTCGTTGTCCAAAATTTGACCACATTCCACATTCAGGTGGCAAAACCGCCTGTAAGTAGGCAACATGTATGGCAAAAACGCCAGAAATCTTGCACATTTTCACACAATCATTGTACACCAAATTTTACAGTGGGTCACCCCTCGTTTTTATGCCAAAGCAAGATCACATATTTGATTTTTCCTCTTTTTGTATTCCTGCTCTATGCCCTTCCTTTATTACAGAAAATGTGTTTTGAAACGCACTCCTTTTTTTTAAGTTTCTGTTCAGATTCGATTCGATTCGACAGCTTTTCCCAGATTCAATTCGAGTTCGATTCGAAACTTTTTTTTGAGATTCGATTCGAAATAAAAATCCTTGTTTCGCGCATCCCTAAGGCAAAACTGGTACACTGAATTAATAAAGGCCTCTAACGGACCGCTTCCAGAGCCTCTACACCGACAAACAGGTGGCTGACCTCAACGGCCGAATCGCCAAGTGCCTGAGCCACCTGCCAGCCGGGCCCAGCAATGCCTGCCGCGTCAGTGCGGGGACGACCCCCATCAAGCAGGGGGCCAAGAGGGAGTCCCGCGTCGAACCGATCGTCGCGTGCTTGACCAAGGCCGGCATCTCGCAGGGAGGGCCCCTCCAGGGCGCCAAGCAGTGCCTCACCGAGCAGCTGTGGAGTCCTATTTAGACAGGTGTGCCAATTTTGTGCCCATGTCTGATTTTTCAGAAATAAATGGACTTGTCTGGATTCAGACTGCTTCGTTTTCATTTTTAATTCTTACACGGTGTCTTTATTGCTTGACTGTGCGTTGGGCATATTTATAAACTCCGATGCTAAGTAGGCATGGCAATTTGGTTCCTGTTTCCTGCAAGGTTTCATGTCTTCTTTAGAATGGTGCCCGGAACTTAACCTTAAGACCTGTTCGAGTGCGGGGCCCTCACTGGTTTTCTAATGGGAATAATGAACTCATCTCAGAAGCAAAAACATTTTTATAGCATTAGCGCCATAAAAAGTTCTCACGGGATAAATGTTGTATTGCATCAGCGTATTCACTTTATCCCACCAAAACTGTGATATTTTGGGCCCGGACCAGCCAAAGCCTATAGAAGACCTATAAGTAGCATCTTTAACGCGATAATTTTTTATAGACCTTTCCGGGCTAAGCTTCTTGTGCAATAACCCAATCTTTGCGCCGCCACACTGTAAGACCCAACCTATTTGCAGCGAAATGGCATTAAACTCGTTGTTGATACACCAGTAGACACCGAGTTCAATTCCGTTTCGCCACAAGAGCTGGATCTTAAAGTGTGGCGGCGCAAAGATCCGAGTGTACTGAACAAGTTGCTTAGCCCGGAAAGGTCTATTGCTGTCATCGGTTTGATATTTTGAAGAAATCGCATTAGCCTTTTGAGCGCTGCTATGAAACTTATCACAATAGAAAAAGCAGCACTGTTAAAAATCCAGCCGTTTTAGGATGGAAAATTCGTGCAAAGTTTAAAAACAACTACTGATGTTTTCAAAAACGGCAAATCTCTGTTCTAAAACAAAAAATAATAATTCTGGAACAAAAATTTTACCATTTCGTAATGAAAAATGCGTTTTCAAAACAAAAATCTGATTGAAAACAAAAATTACGTCTTCAAAAACGAAAAAAACATCATTTATGACCTTGTGTCACTCCTGCCACGATGACTCATCTCTGCATTGAGCCTCGAGCACGGGATTTGAAAATTTCTTATCAGAACATATCGAGGCATCGAGGGGTCCTATTCAAAAGATCTTATCTGAGCGTTCCCCCCAAGAGAATCCCAGCGAACACGACGTGACATTCGTTGAATATCACTAAAGGTATTACTCACCTTGACGCTGTCCTGCTCCACCTGCACGTTGACCTTCTCATTCCTCCTCTCCCCCATTGCGTGCATGTGCTGGACGGTAGTCATGCTGCGGTAAGTAGCCTGAAACGAAGAATTCAACACGTTGTGCTGCTGCAGAAAAGTGAAAATGACGAGACAGCCCACTATTGGTGTAGTAGTGTTGAAAATGCACGTAAGTTGAATCGGATACGTCTACAGAATTCATCCACGAATTTCACTGGTTTTTTGACAAAGAGGCGTAAGTCCACTGAACCAAATTTTTCAGGACGGCCAAAAAACATACAGTTTTTAGCTCCTAAGATCTATAAATTCCCACACAACACTCAAATTTTTGTGACAAATTCTTTGAGAAAGTGTGCATCTTTTGGTAAAAATCTCATGTGTGTAACTCTTCTGTAACTCCTACAATGTCAGAAAAACCCTTCCAAATGAGGTGTTATTTTCGACAAAGAGGCGTAAGTCCAGGTGGATTTTTGACAAAGAGGCGTAAGTCCAGGTGGTTTTTTGACAAAGAGGCGTAAGTCCAGGTGGATTTTTGACAAAGAGGCGTAAGTCCAGGTGGGTTTTTGACAAAGAGGCGTAAGTCCAGGTGGATTTTTGACAAAGAGGCGTAAGTCCATTAGCCATTCTGACAAACAGGCGTAAGTCCATAGGCCATTCTGACAAACAGGCGTAAGTCCACAGACTATCCCGATAAACTAGTTCTGATTTGTAATTAACCACTTACGAATGTCCACAGCTAATGTGGTGAAAATGGCGAATGTCCACTCATGAGGTCACAGAGTGGTTTGCAACATGTCAACACTGTTTTAATCAAATAATTGGCTGAGCGATAGCGAAGCCTGTTACTCCAGTGGGGTTGAAAAATTTTTCCTGTCTGTCTGTCTGTGTGCCTGTCCGCACTACTCCTCCTGAACGGCTCGACCGATCTCGGTGAGATTTGGCACACTTTTTGGGTATGTCCTTGGGTCGGCACACGCGAAATTTCACCATCCTAGCCCAACTGGTTCGGTTTTTATAGCCGAAAAACACATAAAAAACGGCGAAAAATCGAGTTTTCTGCAGATAGATCACTCCTGTCTTGGAGAAAGGGGGGTCTGGAGGGCGGAGCCCCCCAGCCCGGACAAGTGAAAAAGTTACAAGGGTCAAGATCGAGTTATCTGCAGATGAAGCAACTCTACCTAGAATGTAGGGGGGTCTGGGGGGCCGAGCCCCCAACACAGCCCGCAACAAGTTAGGAAAATCGACGATGGAGAAGCCATTGCCTGCCGAAGGCAGGCTAGCGCTGCAGGCCAAGGTAGGTACGTCTGGCGCGGATTGGAGAAGCAGGCTGCGAGACATCGCGAAGCCTGTTACGACAAGACGCGGTCTGGCGTAAACCTACCTTGTAATGACTAATGGTTCCTCTCATCTCAATCCCATCAGGCTAACAATACATATCTCAAAACGGACTCTTAAATATTTGCAAGGGGTATCAGATAAAAGACCAGCATTCTTCGTCACCTGAGTCCGATGATGATGGTGAAACCAGAGTCCGATGACGATGGTGAATGTTGCATTCGTCTTCTTAGGCAGCACTTGGCCTAAAAGTCATTGGCCCAACACAGAGTGTGCTACATGGAGGTTATCAGCATGGATGAGTCCAGGTTCTCCCCTGCTGCAGACGATTAATGCGCCAATCACCATCTCCATCGGACTCCGGTGAGGAAGAATGCTGCTCTTTTAAATCTGATTACCCTCGCAAAGATGTAAGAGTCCATTCTGAAATACGTATTGTAAGCCTGATGCGATTGAGATGAGAGGAAACGTTACACTTCAAACCTAACTGTCTACTAAGTACACAGTTACAAATGCATGCTTGCAAGTCCACACTTACAAACGCATGCTTCACGCATGGAGTTATACGGCGCCAGGGATGCGTTTGTTAGTGTGTACTTGCAAGCATGCATTCGTAAGTATGTACTTGGCCAAGCATGCGTTTGTACTTAGTTGACTGTTAGGTTTGCACTGTAGTCATTATTATTTGATTGGAACAGTGTTCACAAGTTGCAAACCACTCAGTGACCTCATGAGTGGTTAGTTGATTGGGATGGTCTGTGGACTTATGCCACGGACTTACGACTTAAGGTCCATGGACTTACGCCTGATTGTCAGAATGCTCTATGGACTTACGCCTGTTTGTCAGAATGTTCTATGGACTTACGCCTGTTTGTCAGAATGACCCATGGACTTACGCCTGTTTGTCAAAATGGCCTGCGGACTTACGCCTCTTTGTCAGAATGGCTAATGGACTTACGCCTCTTTGTCAAAAACCCACCTGGACTTACGCCTCTTTGTCAAAAACCCACCTGGACTTACGCCTCTTTGTCACAAAACGGGTGGACTTACGCCCCTTTATCAAAAATGGAATGGACTTACGCCCTTTGGACACCTTCTGTATGTTCTGAACTAATTGAGATATTTTCATTTTTCAAAAACCAGTAGGCTTGTTCTTTAATTTTAAATTCTTTTCTGAAAAAAAGTGGATTTTGCCAATTTGTGGACTTACGCCCCTTTGTCAAAAAACCAGTGATTTGGCATTGGTTTACGTGAGTAACTTAGTGCACCCACCTCCATTCCAGGACCGTAACACTACGTTGAAACGAATGTGACAAAGTGTCTTGTTCCATTGAGTATTGCATCACCTTCGGTTGATTGTGAATAAGCTATTGAATGGCGGATTCACATAAATTTGACACAAAGATCACGCGAACGTGACTTCTTGTCACATTCGTTACGTGCTGACACGTTCCTGGAAAGAGAGTGCCATATCCACAACTCTAAATGTCATACGAAAAATTTTTCCTTAATACGCAGGAATTTGCGCAAGGAAGATACGAAGTAGTGCTTTTTCGTATCTCGAAGTTTTTCTCTGCATCTTACAATGACAATATTAAAAACACTGAAAGAATGAAGGGACATTGCTTCGTGTACTGTTTGCACCCAATTCACTGAAACAAAAACATCAAATGCTTGTAAAGAATTTTGCACGTGTAACTTGCAAGATTCTGTGCATACGTGGAATTTGCATGTTTTTGCGTAAAAATACATAAATATATGCAAGTTTTGGCACAATTATATGCAAAACGTTTCGCAGGTTTACAAGCAACGCCTCCTTTGAATTTGTACACGAACATTTAACGAGTATCTCAAATTTCATTGATATTTAGAGTGTAGGATTGCAGAATGAACGGATTCCAATGAAAGATAAAACCGGATAAAACACAGAAAAAGAATGGAACATGTCGGTTCATTTTTTTACCGTTATCATCTGTACGCCAACCACAGAGGTTCCGTAGTTTTCTGTACCAGTTTACAGGGGACCCCAGTAAACCAGAATGGAAGGCCTGAACCTTTTCCGTACCCAATAGACACTTTCAGTCGTCACCCTGTGCAGGACAAAAGTAATACCAGTTGCACGCCACCTGGTGACTGTTGTCAACTTCATCCAGACCCACAATGCTTGTGACCAATCAGGGTTCAGCTTTTGACTACACGGTCAAAACGGTTCCTGGTTTTCCCAGGAACCCCCTGGAAATCACCTATGTCTTCGCCATAGGGCTCCTGGGAAAACCAGGTACCGTTTTTACCGTGTACAGTAACATTCACCGTGTAGATGGTGCGCTGCTGGTTGCAGAAGTTTTTATTACTTTTGTTCGTCACTAAGCGATGATCGAAAGGGTCCATGTTTCGTACAGTTTCCGAACCGCACCACTGAAGTTTTGGCAGTCCACCAACGCAAACACTACCCGACACTACCGCGTGTGGTCACTGTGGCAAGAAACTACAAAAAATTCAGTGAACAACTTGTGACAATTCTCCGTAGCCCTCTTGTCAATGTTCCCCTTTAGGACCTTTCTGTTTTCTCCGCAAGACCCCAGTGTTCACCAAACGGCGTTACGGTGTTCCCCATAGGTTCCAAACCCTCAGTTACTGGTTCTGTATTCGCTGTACGTATCAACCGATTATTTTTCAATGATCGATTTTCGATTAACTGTCTCTTAATCGGCTAAGGTAACCGGCATCTGCTAAAATTCTGAGCGGGAACGGTTCGTGGACGCCTGAAAAATATTCAGTGAAGAAGGCGTACATGTTGTCACAGACATTTGAGGTTGGTTACATGCTTTTTCTATCCTCTCACTACATTCTAAGTTTATTCCAAGTATCAATCTTTGTTTGTAAAACTTTTAATAATCGCGGTTTTCATCGTTGAATCGCTGTTTTACGGTTAACCGTCTGCGTTTTCGACTACTGATTACCAAACTGCCAATCCAGACCAATTGGGATTTTTTAAGCGGTCTTGCTACCGCTTCTAGCTCTTCATCCGATCCCACACATCCCATCCCATCCACCCATCCATCCATTCAGCGCGCTCGGAGGGGACTGCATGGTCGTGTTGGTCGTCGTCGTCGTCGTCTGTCGTCGTCCTGCGCCGCCACGCCGCGCCGCCTCGCCGCGCCAGTCCCCACTCCTCACAGCCACCCCCACCCTTCTTGCCCCCTCTCTGCCCGGCCTCCCCTGCCGAGCCACGGCAAGACCGCTTTGCTAAGCTTGCCTTGGCGGAACTTTTTTTTCTCATCGACCGATAGCGATTAAGGGGGCACACCAGTGAAAATCGGCAAATTTTTGCCTTCTCTTTTTTTTTCTCTTATTTTTCTGCTATTCATCTCGAGTCGAAGGCCGCAAACCCCACCCCGAAATTCCTATTACTTTGGCTTGTGTACATTTTTGAAGTTGCTAAAAAGGTAATATTTTTGACCAATTGTTAACGTTCAGGGTTTTCACTTGAACTTCAATTACAAAACCCTTGAACCACCCAAACGCAGTTGAAAAGAGGGACATTTTGACGCAAACTGAACGTCAAAAGACGCATTTATAATCCAAAAAAACACGTCAAATCTATGTTTCCACTTAAAGGGCTTTTTCTCCAAACACCTTTTTTGTAACTTTGTGCCACTTTCACGGGCGCAAAAATTAAGATAATTTAATGCGGTTTGCGGCAAAATGTTCGTTACACTTGCGTCTATGGTCTGAACCTCGGAAATGGCCATCCCAAAAATAGGACGTGAGCTGGAGCCATGAAAGTGCGAAAAAATTGGTTAAAATATTTGTTTCTATTTTTGCCCTCTGAAAAAACAAATTCGAAATCATTCTTTTGGCATGCCCGTGGTTCAGACCATAGCCACATGTGTCCTGTTGAGAAATTTTCAAATCCCGTGAAGCTCAATCCAGAGAGGCGGAAACGTGGCAGGAGTGAAGTAAGGTCGTTGAAAAATCAAGTGCACTGGCGCTTCATCTTGCCATCGCCACCTCGCTCTCCCATACTGATTTTCCTTTTCTTTGACATAATTTTGAGCCAAGAATAAAATATCAATCGAATACATCGGTTACTTTTCTCAGAATGATCGTTTTTCGAAACCTCTGCATTTTCACTGGTGTGCCCCCTTAAAGTCAAAAATCGCCAAGGGCTACGGAGAATGTTGGAAGGCTACCGAGAATTGTGCTAAAAAATTAACGTACCATAGCTTTTCGCTACCATGATGACTTGAGCGTTCGTTGGACATGATAAATACGTTCTTGGACCCACGCACTGACCTCCACTAAATAATTTTCGTACGTGGTCTCTCACAAGCAGGGATGATACCCTCCCTACCCAAACCGAAACGAAACCAGGGCCGTTACGACAACAGTTTGCACTTATGACTGAAACTCAAAAAGTGTTGCACCTGGAACCAAGGGAACAGCTTTTCTTTTGTTGATCAAGGGGTAACGGAGTTTTGTTCCCATTTGGACTTGGTCCATATAGGAACAAAACTCCGGTACGCCTTGATCAACAAGTAAAAGCTGTTCCCTTGGTTCCAAAACTTTTTGAGTTTTAATCATAAGTGCAAACTGTTGTCGTAACGGCCCTGGTATCGTTTCGGTTTGGGTATCGTCCCTGCTCATAACATAGGGCATGCCTGCTCAGAGTACAAAAGAGTGCAAAACTACATACAAATTCGAACGAAAAATTTCACATGCTCGAAACTGAGACGCCACGTACAAAATATGATGTGTGGCTTGTTCAAGCGTTTTGTTTCTTGACGGCAAAGTAACAGTTTTGCAAAAAAAGGTGTACCTACGGTCACAGTGATCTGCGTCTTGTTCTTCTCGGGTTCCAGTTCGAACGTGACGATCCCTGTAGATGGAACAGTTTTCTCTGCAAGCGTTTTCTGCTCCTGGTCCATCCATCCGTAAGTGTACGTCAACTTGACGGTGTTCTTCTCGTCCTGCACAGGGGCGCCGTCAATGTCCGTCACTTTCACCTGCGGAAGAAACACCGGGTCATAAGTGAGCACACGTAGCTGAGATATCAAAATCACTGCAGAAAAAAAATCCGTACTTTCACACAGAATTAATACACAAGAAAATAGTACGGATGGACGGAAGCTTCGTACTTGCTCCTCACGAACCCAAATTTGAACGTAAAACCCCTAAACACCTAAAAATCCTATGCAAAGCAAAGTGAGACTTTTTACGGTGTCCAATGGGGCAGCCAAGAAATTTGTTTTTGAGGCAAGAGATTTCATCGGATTTTGCACGATTTCAACCCATTTCACGCCCAAAATGTTCTTATTGTGCTTCTATTTCGGGAAGATCTAGAGGTTTCTGGCGCTCAAGGGGACACAAGATTTATGAAGCCCCTCGCCCTTGTCTACTTTTCAACCCACGGGGTTGGTGCCAGGGACGTCCATAGTTTCGACTGCCGCAGTCTCATTCGAGGAACCCGACATGACATTGAAATGAATGTGACGAAACATCACGTTCCTTTGAACATTGTGTTACCGTCAACGGGGGTAACTTGGGAGAGTCTGCCCTGTACAGCTTGTTGGTGCTGCCATTCAGCGACGGGGGTTCCTAGCGTCAAACCCGCGGCAGGGTTTTGTTTCAGAGGCCTCAGGGCACGCGCGGAAAAGTAGAAAAGGCGCATAACATCACAATTAGTATTTGAGAAACGGGAAACTACATAATAGGGTTTTTGACAAAATATGTCAAACATTGACAAGTTGACCCTAGTGCAAGGAGTGAAATGCAGATTTGGCCGATTAGCCTCTCTGGGCTGTTAGATCATACACAGACAATAACGTTCGCAAAAGGGCGTTGATTATAGTTTTGCCATGTTCGGTCCAGACTGCATTTTATCAAAAATCGAAATTTTACGGGGTAACTTGGGACAGTTTTTTCCTCATGTTTCCAGCAGTCCTAGCCTCCAACGAGTTGACTGACCCGGTCCCTGAGATAACATAAACTTCAGATTTTACGCTGATGATGGAAATCATCTTCTGGTAATCCATAATTTGAAATTTTCAGAAAATGCCTAGAAAATACTAGTAGAAAAGAGAGTTCCACGTAGAGCCCTGGATATAGTCCAATATCGGTCCTACAAGAGTGCCTAGGCCTGAATTCTTGGTTTACATGTTGTGACTTTAATTTATTACATCCATTAACATCAATAGATGCATGGGAATGTAGCTAATTACCTACTGTCCCAAGTTACCCCCGGTCATGGGGTAACTCGGGACACACTTTCGAGACAGCTTGGAAACGAGGTAATCAATTATATGGGTTGAAAATCTTGCCTCTGGCGTTCAAAAAACGTGAAAAAGTGTCCCAAGTTACCCCCGTTGACGGTACATTCAGGAATCCTACCTCGAAAGGGCATCATAACGTTATCGTAATCGATAAAGTACAACCCGTAGGCTTAGCTTGGTACATCTTTTTATTAAAAAGGGAAAGTTATTTTTCTAACCTTTTGAATTTGTATTTGGAAGACCCAGCTACAGTCCATACCCTTAAGGTAGGAAATACCCATTGCAGCCCCTTTTTCAGTGGCTTCCATTTTCAGTGGCCATTTTCAGTGTATTGCCCCCTTTATTTCCCATCTAAACCAATGTGATGTGTTGACATTTTTTGATTGTCTTGTGGAGACGAATCCCAATTTCCGTAAAAAGATCTACATTTGGACCACTTGGAAAAGCCACCAAAACACAACCCCTTTGGAAATAAAACCAAGACATCTCCTTGGATTTCAAGGTGTCACTTTTACCGTGAACCTTCAGTGGACATTGGCTTGTGTAACGTGCGCTAGATTTAGCTGATTCACCATCCAAACGAACGTGACACATTGCTCAAAGGAGCGTGACACTGCATCACACTCGTTTCGACGTGATGTCGCGTTTCTGGAAAGAGAGTGCCCTGCGCACAGTGGGCGAGAAGACCAGTTGGAGGCGGACAAAACCCTAGACGCGATTTTAGCTCTTGTGTCGCTAAATGGGAATCGAACCAAACGTGTGACCCCACCCTGCTCTCCGAACGAGGAATCCATTGGCGGGGTCACATGTCAGTTCGTTTTCCGATTAGCGACTCTGGAGCTCAAAACACGTCTAGAGTTTAGGCCGCCTCTACGGGTCTTCTGGCCCACTGTGGCTGTGGCAACGCTTGTCACGCGTCCAATGACTTACGTTGGTGCCATTCCACGTATTTGCACCCTCCGCATGTCTTGTTTTTTTTCTCGACGCGCGTGACTCTGATTAGAAGAATGGCTGCAATTTTCCTGGTACAATAAAGACTTTCCAAATGAGTGTAGTGCACGAATCATTGAAAAATCGTGAGCTCTCACATGCGGCCTGACCTTTATAAGCTCCAACTTGAGCGTCAGTTTCACAAAATCCAACCATGGCCGTCAAACTGCTCACCGCCTTCGCTTTTGCAGGCATCTGCCTGGCGGTGAGTGCCACATTCGACGATACGTGTTACACTGTGGGAAAAAATCACAGTAAATCCTGTAGTGATTAGTACAGCTGTCACTGTAGTTCAGAGTACAGGATTTGCTGTACTTTTTTAACAGGATCTGCTGTACTTTGTACGGGATTTACTGTACCACAGGGGTGGAGTACGGAATATCCTGTACCAGGTACAGTAGACACTGTAGCCAGGCACGGTAAATCCTGTGTACTGAACTACAGTAAATCCCGGCAAAAAAATTAACGAGATTCACTGTGGTTTTTTCGCACAGTGTATGCGTACGTTTTTAAGCTGGCAAGTTAGGACAGATTTGTCGTTGGAAATTTGTTCCGTAAGACAGACGTTATCCTTTCTACCTTGAAGCGATATTGTTACCTGGCAATCACCAGGTGAGAAAGTCCCCGGAAGTGTTTCGAATGTGCTCTCATATTCAATGTGTTTCAGTCCTATTCTAATGATCTTGTCTGCGCGTTCTCCCCCAGACATTCTTATCTTAAAGGCAGGGGAATTTCACTCAGTTTGACCATTCGGAACGGAGGGAATATATGTATACATGCTCTTTTTGTTTCTGTGATATTTCATCGTCACAGTTAGGTGAATTTTATCAAAATTATATTGATTTCTAGCTAAATCAAATGATCAAACTTAGTGAAATTTGCCTGCGTTTAAGATTTGGTGGATTGGGTTTAACGCCCAGATAAGAGCTTTTGAATAGGACCCCTCAAGGGGCAAACAACTTGAATTTTGGTGTACATTTTCCTTGAAATAACGTGAAATACCGGTGAAATAACGTTGAAAAAACGCTGAAATGACTTTGAAATGAGGCGAAATGACGCGAAATAACGTTGAAATAACCATGAAATAACGGGGAATAACATGAATTTGAAATACCGGTGAGCAAATTTTGACGAAGTTGTTTGCCCCTTGGGCCCTCTCGATGTGTGCATGCACAACTGTCTGCATACAAAAATCATAATTTTTAAAAGTCGACAAGACTTCAGTGTGCATGGACAGAGGAACGTTCGGAAACTGGTAACAAAAATGTCCATGGCTACGTGGAGCAGTGTCGATGAACTGTTGGGTTCATTTCCAGGCCGCGCTGCTGGTGTCCGCCGAGGAGCAGGGCGAGCACGTGCTGGTCAAGCGGTCCGGCCACGGCTGGTTCCAGGCCCCCGGCAGCCCCACGAGCCGCCGTACCATTAAGGACGGTGCCGGCCAGCAGATCGACCACACCGTGAACCACGGTTCCGGCCAAATCACCTCCGGGTACCTCGCCAAGGGCAAGAACGCCCGCGATGACTCCCCTCACCGCACCGGCCAGCCCCACTCCGGTGGAGCGCCCAGCACGAGCGGGAAGACGAAGAAGAGGGGGCACTAACCGACAGTCGCACGCCTAAAACCTTACCACCCATTTGAGCATATATTCGGGAAAAACTAAGTAATTTGTTATTCAAAGAAATGGTTCGCAAATGTCTAAGCATTTTCTTTGAAAGCTAATTTATGCTCAAAGCTTCTTATAGCAAGCTTCTCTTGTTTGTAAAGCTTAAAATAGTGTGCAAGTGTTTCAGACTGCGAGATTTGAGTTCTCTGCAGTCAATAAAAAATTTCAAACATGAAATCCATCGCCATTGTCAAACTGATTCCTCACGTAGAGGGCATTTTTGTGTCCAAGCCCTTCCCAGAGCAAACTGATTCGAATGCGGTCCATTTCGGCACTCGAAAATCTTGTTTGGCACTGAACTTGCTTTTCCCCACAGTCTATGGAGTTTCAAATCTACCGTAGAACGGGGTAATATGAGACAAATTTCGAGGTTTTTTGTGAATTTCCCCCTTTTAATTTCAATTTGAGGTACAGAGGTGTTCATCACTTGTTCATTGACCCTTTGGCGACACTCCCACCAAATTTCAGATTTTTAGGTGCAGTAGGGACCTTTCAATAACCCTCGGAATGCCGTCCCATATTTCCCTGCAATGTGGGGTAATATGAGACAAAAGAAAGAAATGGTAAAGAAGTATTGAGAATTAACTCATTTAGGCGGGTTTGGAGTTTTTTAAGTTCTTTTTATTCATTTTAAAGATGATTGGGAACTATAATGGAGACGATATAAAATCTGGAGGGAAGAAAAATGGGTGTCACTAAAGAGAGCTGAGAAATGTACAAAAAGTCATGAGTTCTGCCGGTCACATGAAAATTCTAAACGAAGAGCATAGATGCCGCCGGTCAGATAGCAAAACAAATTCGTGTTAAAATCATAATTACCGTCAACGGGGGTAACTTGGGACACCGGGGGTAACTTGGGACAGTCTGCCCTGTACAGCTTGTACGTGCTGCCATTCAGTGACGGGGGTTCCTAGCGTCAAACCCGCGGCAGGGTTTTCTTTCAGAGGCCTCAGGGCACGCGCGGAAAGGTAGAAAAGGTGCATAGCATAACAATTAGTATTTGAGAAACGGGAAACTACATAATCGGGTTTTTGACAAAATTTGTCAAACATTGACAAGTTGACCCTAGTGCAAGGAGCGCAATGCAGATTTGGCCAATTAGTCTCTCTGGGTTGTTACATCGTACACAGACAATAAAGTTCGCAAAAGGGCGTTGATTATAGTTTTCCCATCTTCGGTCCAGACTTCATTTTCTCAAAAATCGAAATTTTACGGGGTAACTTGGGACAGTCTTTTCCTCATGTTTCCAGCAGTCGTAGCCTCCTAGGAGTTGACTTACCTGGTCCTTGACATAACTTAAACTTAGGATTTGACGCTCATGATGGAAAGAGATGCCTTGCTCTACAGTTTTGTCTTCTGGTAATCCATATTTTGAAATTTTCAGAAAATGCCTGGAAAATACCAGTAGAAAAGAGAGTTCCGCGTAGAGCCCTTGATATAGTCCAATATCGGTCCTACAAGAGTTCCTAGGCCCGAATTTTTGGTCTATATGTTGTGACTTGAATTTATTACGTCCATTAACATCAATAGATGCATGGGAACGTAGCTAATTACCTACTGTCCCAAGTTACCCCCGGTCATGGGGTAACTTGGGACACTCTTTCGGGACCGCTTGGAAACGATGTAATCGAGGCAAATGAACCAGACAGGCATGAAATCATGGGAAAAGGGTCAAACTTTAACATAGTTAGGATCCAATGGTCTGGGTTGAGAATCTTGCCTCTGGCGTTCAAAAAACGTGAAAAAGTGTCCCAAGTTACCCCCGTTGACGGTACTTGAAATTATTAACAGTGGAGTATGTTTGGCCTCATGTTTCAAGTGAAAAGAGGTGTCTCTATTTTCCCTGCAAGGTAACAAAATTGTATTCCATCTGGAACAGGCAGCCCGGGAGTAGACATAACGGAACCAAATTTTGTCCAGATTATGTTGACATGATTGCCTACAGATTTAAACCTCGTTCGGACGAGAACCCGAGTTCTAACCGAGGTTTCTGGGGAGGTTTTTACAAACTTTATAAAACTTGTTAAAATTTAGAGGTTTTTCCTTTGGTTCTACATAATCCTGGCGAGTCTCTGATTGCCTTCGTGCGTTGCCTGTGAGCTGCCAAGGCCTCCTAGATCACGAAAAAAAATTCACAGTGGTCTTCCAAACAGCCGCTAGAGAGCAACACGACAAAAACCGAAAAAAGTGCGCTTTGTCTCGATTTTCCTTCATGTCTCATATTACCCCGTTCTACGGTACCATGTGACTCGAGAGGGAGGCCAGAAGGGTCGTTTTCGTAAGTCCATTCGCACCTTACACCAACTTTGCGGCTCTGGAACCTTCTGCTCCATTCGAATCTTTGAATTTTACGCACTTCCCCCAAATGTCCACAGTACGTACACACTTCTCTATTAAGATTGTATGTTCATTGGAAGTTTCCCTGGAAGTTTCCTTCGTACAAACTGTCTACTCTACAAATCGAAGAGTGTACATGGTATGCTCTAACTGCAGCATGCCTGCAAGCACGCTCTAGCTAGCGCATGCCTGCCAGGCATGCACCAACTAGTGCATACATGCCATGTACACGCTAACTGAAGCATGCATCTAGTGAATAAGGTATAGGGAGTTGTCTGCATCAGGAAGCGTGTACATGGCATGTATGCGCTTGTAACACTGCAAGGAAAAGTGTGAATAGTACAACAAATGTACAACAAAAACTGTACAATAAAAGTACAACAGGGATTGTAGAAAGTACAACGAGAATTGTACAAACCACAACGAGGCCTGCACTGCCCAGCACTCGTCATGCCGGTTCCATTGTACTTTGTACAACAATTGTTGTACTTTGAAAGTACAATAAAAACCTGATAAAAAATTTGCCAGAAATTTGTGTACTTTTGTTGTGGTTATTTCCTGCAGTGAAGTGCATGCTTGGCAGGCATGCGCTAGTTAGAGCGTGCTTGCAGGCATGCTCCAGTTAGAGCATACCATGTACACTCTTCGATTTGTAGAGTACCGTGCTTCGACTTTCGTCATGATAGTTTGGAAGAAACCACCAAAACCACTACTAGGGGTGCTTCCTGCTCAAGACTATATACGTGTTGAGAGTCAGCATGTTCAAATCCCGGTGGCCAAAAACAACAAAAAAACACACAAAACAAGAAAGGTGTGCGGGGGACTGAAAGTTGCGTGACAGTTGTGTGAAAGTACTTGCTGTAATTTTTGCATTTTTCTTAAATTTGGTTGGGGTTGGAATATTTGGAAATTTTCACAATGGGACATTCCATGTGAAGTCGACCAGGCCTTAGCCACCATGGGCTCCGATCCGGTTCTCGTTTTCAGGGTTTGTTACCCCTATGGTCCCATGAAATAATCGGTACTTGGTTTGGGGTCCGGCCCCCCAGGGGCTGGGCTATGGCCAATTTACTTTTTTGCTAAATATAGGAACAACGCAACTTTGGAGGGCAATATCTCAGCAACCATTGGTCGTAGGTCAAATCCGAGACCAGATTTGGAAAGAGGATGAAAAACTGAATCTTTTATGTCTTTGAAGTTTTTACGTCCAAAAACTTTTTATAACTTTAAAACTTTAGTGAAGTTTTCAAATTAGCGCCATCTCCTAGATCCTCAACCGATTTTGACCAATCTGGGCTTAAAAGATAGCTTAAACCCTTCCCTAAACGAAAATGTTAACCAAAAAATGTGTTCGGCTTCGTTCCCGAGAACGAGCCATTTTCGTGAACCCCTGCAACCACGTATTTCACCAAATTGTAGTGACGGCCGCACTCGATACCACACTGGACGCTCTCTCAGGTGTTTTCGGCTCAAAGCAAGTTTCCGGGTTGCTTTTCTTAGGTTAGGGGACCCAAGCGCCTGTCAGGTAGGCCAACAACCAGCAGACCTGCAATGCACTAGTGACGACAGGGTGGCCTACACAAATCAAACGTGTGCTTAGTACACAGCTGTGGGAGTATGCTTGGAAGCATACATCTATAGGAGTGTGCTTGTCAAGCATACATCTATAGATGTGTACTTGAGCAAGCATGCATCTACATTTGTGTTGTTGGGCAAGCATGCACCTATAGCTGTGTACTTGGGCAAGCATGCATCTATGGCTGTGTGCTTTTAGATGGGTGAGATGAATGCATGCTTCTCCAAGTACACAGCTACAGATGCATGCTTGCCCAAGTACACATCTATAGATATATGCTTGTCAAGCACACTTCTATTAATTTGAAGGCATACCATAGTCATTAACATTGAAGATAGAGGTTAGTAGTGTCAAAGAAGATACTTTTATTAGCTTAGCTTTAGCTTAAGCTACACTCTCATTCTAGGAACGTGACATCACGTTGAAACGAACGTGACAAAATGTCACGTTCGTTTGAGCATTGTGTCACGTTCGTTTGAATGTGAACAAGCTGTTTTTTGGACAATTCACACTCTAACGAATGTGACACAATGCTCAAACGAACGTGACATGTTGTCACGTTCGTTTCAACGTGATGTCACGTTCCTGGAATGAGAGTGTATAGTTAAAGGAGATACTTTTCTTTATGCTTTCCTGCAGACTTGACAGCCCGCTTAAACGGCATTTTGGCATTAATCTGAAGGCATACCAATAAGATACTCTCCTTGGCCAGCTAAATAAAAGTATCTTCTTTAACACTACTAACCTCTATCTTCAATGTCATTGACTATCGTATGACTTCAGATTAATTCTAAAATGCCGTTGAAGCGTGCTGTCAAATCTACTGGGACTGACAAAGAAAACTCAAACATGTATTTTTACCCAATTGCTGACTGAAACGCCTGGAACATCCCTTACCCTGGCGTGCAACAATAACTAACAACAACGACACCCACCCCCACGTGTAGATATCACGGCGAGGTGGCGGAGTGTTGTACTGGTCCGATCGCCCAGAGCGCGCTGCCTGTCCCACCCTTCAGGAGGCAAAGTACACTGCAAGGTCAGGTGTGTGCTTAGTACACAGCTGTGGGAGTATACTTGGAAGCACACAGCTACAGGAGTATGCTTGAGTAAGCATCTATAGAAGTGTGCTTGACAAGCATACATCTATAGATATGTACTTGGGCAAGCATGCATCTGTAGCTGTGTACTTGGAGAAGCATGCATTTATCTCACCCATTTAAAAGCACACAGCCATAGATGCATGCTTGCCCAAGTACACATCCACACTTAATTTTCTACGGTGAAATCTATTCGCAATATAGATAAAACTCACAGTACCTTACGGTACCAGCTGCGCAGCCGTAATACGAATGAGGAGTACCACAGTGTACGATGGACTTTCACCGTAGAAGAGCTTGGTTTATACTTTGCGAATAAAATGAAGGAGGAGCCATAAATATTCGTAGGAACAAGAAACCATCCGTAAGCTATGAAAAATCTATTTTGGATCGTAAAATACGATGAATCTAAAAGTCCCATTATCCTGAAATACTCCCCCGTTGATTGGTCTGGGAAAGCGGTGATCAAAATGATATGAAAATACCGGACAAGTTCATTCAAACAATATCTGTCGGGCAAACTTGGCAACCATCTATTAACAGGTGAAATCAATTGATTTCAACTTTCCTATTAGCACATTTTAGTTGAATTATTTACACAATTCAATAATAATAAACAATTCAAATCTGAGCATCTAAACCTTTTAAAGAGGACTGCATCATAAGCTTCAGACAGTCTGCATATCCCCTACCTCTCACCTGTAGTTAACCTTGCTGCAGGGTGCTGAGATCATCAGTCCGGCTTTCTCCACAAACTACCAGTTGCCAGGAACGCCCAGGCACACTCTGGATATCCTTACGTACTTCACTTCCATGGTGGAGAAGTAAAACCGCAGTAGGAAATCACTGTTTCATTAAATCTAAACATAGTTTCTCTTCGTTTTGTACCATCTTGTACCGGCTGACAACAAAGAGCAGAAAACTAACCACAGAACCAAAACAAAAGTCTTCAATTGTTTCCCAATGTTGCCAACCCCACGACACTGGAAGGCCGTGCATTTGTGGATACTCCAAGATCCAACTGGATCCAACCACAGCGCCCTGTACGTAGGCAACCAATCGGGCAGCAGCATAGGTTGCCTACCCGTCAGGCGCCTGGCCTGTTATGGTGAGGTGGCAGGGATAAAATGGAATTGTGTGCTGTTCTCAAGGATCCCCCAACTAGCTCAGGGCGAAGCCTCTTAGATCGAGCCAGTAGGGGCTTGTCGGGCTTGTTTTACTTGCAAGTGAATGCCTGGCCTGCACTAGAGCCTGTACTGGTGGAAGAGGTAAAACAGAATCAGGAAAAATAAAGGAAAATTTACACAAGAACAAGAAAAAATGCCTGTTATATTTAGAACAAAAAGTTAAATGCTCTCTCAGGAATTACAAAGCATAAAAAGGCAAAAATAATTTACAAAAAAATATAAATTACATGTAATGGCACATTGCTCAGTTTCCCATTATGGTTTTAAATTGATCAGTGAAAGCTGAGTGGCGAGGATTTTCTAGCTTCATTTTATACACATTGGCAATTAAAAACCTGAAAACATATTTCCAGCCAAGATAAAAGTGTGTTCCAAGTACATAATTGGCTTTAATTAACAAATCAACTGCTCTCAGTGGCATTGTAGTTTGAGACAGATAAATGTACTCCGTGTCGCCCAGCACCAATGCCATACTCTCAATGTTCTTGTAGGTGCCCTTTGCAAGAATGTATGGTTGGACTGGTCCGTCCTCCTGTTCCCTTCTTTCAATCACATAAGTTCTCATATCATTGTTGCTCTGTAACAAGTAACAACACATAAGAAGTGGAAGGGTACTAATTATGTTCAAGTAAAAACAGACTGAATATAAGAGAAAGGAAAAGACGGAAAAGAAAGAGAAAGAGGGAGGGAAAAGAGAGAGGGGGGTTGGGGGATGAATACTCACCGGTATAACTACAAAAAAATCTTGGAGTAACGGCAGTGGTTCCATACTTTTCTCCCACAAATTAGCTTCAACTCGTTTAGGTCTCGGCAAATACAATGACAAGATGACTAAAGAATTCATCGCAGCTGTAACAACAAGAGAGCAGAAGAAGATACATTAACTACATGGAACAAGTTTTTTAGTTCATCAATATTATTAATATCAATAAAGCCTCAAAAGGATGATAAATATACTTACAGTCTGCAAACTTAAAACACTTTTCAGGAGGGAACTTTTTCTCATCGTCCTTCGCAATTGCCAGCAGTTTGGGCACAAGGTCTGCATAATTCCGAATCAGCATCGAGCCTTTGTCTTTGAACATTTTCTCAAACTCATCATCAATCTGAAACACATGTCATGTACATAATTGTTGTAAAAGTTCTTTTAACTTTGGTCAAAATTAAAAGTATTTAACAGAAAAACTCAAAATTTTAAGGTGATTATGCTTACCATTCTTCCTTCAAAACTCTTTAAGTGAGGATATGCTTGAAGCAAAAGGTACACATAGCACCTGGTGTCAGCCACCAGTTTCCGTCTTTCATCAAATGTTTTGTCCATTAATTCCTCAATCTCTTTCTTCTTTCTATCATCTGGAACAATGAGTCTCAGGTAGCGAGCCTGAAAATAAAATCAGTTTTAAACTATTTGTGTGAAAATTATCATTACAATTAAGAAATGAGTTTAACATACATCTTTTGACAAGCCAAGATCGTCTATATTGGTGTATCTAACCACTTCCTCAATGTCAGTCTTTCTGGCTTTGTCCTTGTCCTTGGGCTTCTTTGCCTTTAAACCACCACCTCGAAGACGAGGTTTTTCTGAAGTCCTTTGCTTGTGAGCGTGGTAGTTGGCCAGCTTTCCTTTATTGTTTTTCCGGTCATAAATCCAAGACTAAATTAAAAACAGAAACAACAAATTTAGACTAAGTTCATGGAATGAGTCACAGATTCCCTTCCATCAAAAAAGAAAAGACAAGAAAAACTGGAACGTACCCAGGGCTTCTCTTCATGAGTTGAAGGCTGATGTGCCAACCTCGGGAATGTGGCCACCAAGCAGACTGCCAAACCTTCTCTCATTTGAGCTGTTATCAAACTTGGATTGCTGAAAAACAATATAAACATGAAAAATTTGATACATGAAAAAACTAAGACTAGATAATAAATTTTACTCACTCAGTTTGGGCATACAAATGCTCCATAAGAGCAGCCACCAATTTTGTCACATCAGTACCAAAAACTACACCATCGTTTTCCAATGTTTCTGCCAGAGATGTCACAGCTACATTGTTCTTAGATTCAGAAGATAAAATATCGAGGATTGAATACTGGGAAAAGAGACCATTCTATGAAAATTACTTGTAAGCTAAACTAATAATAATTTTTTAAAACTGAAACTCACTTTGGGACTCAAATTATCCTCCAAGTAGTTTTGAATCTCCTTCTTGTCAATTGGTCGCTAAAACAAAGACAACCAGGTGAACTGCAGAAAGCAGGAATGAGTTTAGAGGGGTGTCAGAAATACTTAAATCATAATTACCAGGTTTTCATCCGATAAAAAAGCTGTGTGTTCTTGCAATATTTCAGCTCGAGGTTTGTCCTTTTCAGCATTTCTTCTTTTCTGAAAAACAAATAGAAGTCATTACAAAAAGAAAGCATCAACAATAACTTAGTATGGGCAAATCTTGGGAAGGACTAAATACTCATGCATTACTGAACTGCCAAGAAAACAACTCTGCAGGAAATAATTTACCTTCTTTGAAGAAAGTCTTCTAAGTTTTGTTCCTGAAGATTGCATACCAACTTCTTCTTTCGAATGTGACCTTTTTTTAGATTTCTTACTCCGTTTATCAACAACCATACCACCACCTAAATTTTTTGGCACATCTTTGTGTTTACTCTTTGTTTTCTCACTTGGAAAACACTGAACAGCAGGGATGGTGGGTTTTTGCTGAGTTTTGAAGCCTGTAAGGGAACACCTATTTAGTTGAGTTTGCAGTACATGAAGTATTTAAAACTTAGAAGAGAAAACATGTCTTACCTTGTGATATGAGACGCTGGTATGCATTGATTCGGGCTTTAAAAGCAACTCGTTCATAAGGAATCAAGTTGCTCACTTCACTTCGAGAAGCAAAGCCCACAAAAGCTTCATCATCACTCTATAATGGGGGGAAAGCAAGTCAAGTATAATGTTAACATTAGAAAGTCACCTGAAATTTGCCACAAGATGATAAACTAGATATTGGTTAAAATCTTACCGGCACTGTGTCTGAATTGTCACGTTGGTCTGAGTCCAAATCGATGCGGTCAATGCTCTAGGAAAAATAAACATTTCACAATTAGAAAATAGTAAAGAAAACTGAAAATAGACACAGTAATACTGAGAATTACAAGCACATATGATATTGATTTCATACTTACATCATCGTCATTACTTTCATCGAAATCATCTGAACTGCCTTCATAGCCAAGTCCAGCACTGGTTCCAGCTTTCCCACCTTTACTGCTCGAAGCAATATTCAAGTCATTGCTTTGTCTGATCATAATTGAACTGCTGGTTCCAGCTTGCCCAAATTTACTGCTGGAAGCAGTATTCAAGTCAGCGCTTGATCTGATTGTAATTGTACTGCTGGTTCCTGCTTGCCCACTACTGCCAGAAGTAATATTCAAGTCAGCGCTTGGTCTGTTCGTAATTGAACTGCAGCTGGCACTTTCTCCCAGTCTTTGAGAAGTGACATCGGCACTAGTATTGACACAACTGCTACTTCCATTGCCTTCATTTCTGCTCTGATCTCTCTGTGAACAAGATAAGATACACATTAGACTGCTACAGATATAGGGTAAATAACATAAAGAAGCTTAATGATAGTTACCCCTATTGGTGTTGTATGGTTTATCACCACCGATGGATAAATCACAGGAGAAATCTTAGGAGGCTAAATGGAATAAAAGAAAAGTTATTACTTCTAAAGAACCAAAGAAATTCAAATTTGTATGAGTAAAAAAGAAGATTACCAAAGACTCTCGAACCAGTTCAATTAGGTCCAAAAGATCGCCTACATTCAAGCCATATCTCTGCAGATCATCACATCCTAGTTTAGAGAGCATGAGTAAATGCCTGCCAGCAATGCCTTTTCCTGTAAATAAAAAAAAAAGAAAATTAATAATAATACCACAAAAAGCAAATACCGTGAACAAATACCTGAGAAGAAAGTTAACATACATTAGCGAACTTTCCCAAACTTTTCAGCATTATTAGACATGATAAACAATATATTTTTAAAAAATCATAATCTAATCATTGACATTTTTCTTAACATTTTAAATTCTGTGTATTTTGAAACTGAGAATTGAAATTAAAATACATATCACTGTGGGCAATGTAATAAGTAAGGCTTGCACCACAAATTGATTGGCTTGAGGAGAGAGAGAGAGAGCAGGTCATGGGTTTTGCATTAAAGCTTCAGCCAAACATCTTCTTGGTGACAAGTAGAAGGACTCCGAGTTCACAGTCCATGCAGTCATCGGCTTGTCGAGGAAAAGATCAGTTAACAATAATGCTCTAACAAGTGGAACGGCTTCACTTTCAATCAGGAAAGCATCAAATCTGGAGTCATATACTCCCTTGAAATCCTTCGTGATCAGATACACATTTTCATTGTGAACATAAATGTTGCAAATACGTCCAAACAAAGGTGCATTGTCATTGTCAGCTAATTGCAGATTCACATAAAGTCCCTCTTGGTGCAGAAAACCAGCAATCTCCACTTTGGTTACTTCTTCCAACACTTCTTCTTCATTGATCCCGTGGACACTGAGAGCATTGAAATGAGGACATTCTCCAGCAACTTTCAAGGAACCTTTAGAAATAAATATTTCATTCAACACTTCTGTGTCAAGATCCATTAGTTCTGCGCATTGGTACATTTGTTGGATGTCAAGAAATGACACTGGTAGATTTTTGTGATTGCAAACTATTGTTCCAAATCTTTTGGCCAGGGCATGCTTGCCTTCATACCTGTGATAAGAAAGAAGAAGAAAATTAAATCACAACATGTTTTATAAAAAATAAAATATTACTAAAAGACACATCAGAGCACTGCTCTTTAAACATTTGAATTAAATAAAATGTTTAAACAAAAAAAAAATTACCTCATACACCAATACAAAACTGCTGGGCCAAATTTCCGCATGAGCCAGATGTAGTGGAGGAGGTGGTGATGTTTATGGAGTGGGCGAATTTTCTTTGGCTTCTTCTTCTTTTGTTTCTTCTTTGGCTCATTTGTTGAATGTCCTGCCTCATCACCAGGATTATTATTTTCTTCTTGAGTGACATGGCCATCTACCAATAATTCAACTGGATCCTGCAAAAAATCTTCATTCTCTTCTGGATTGTCTTCATCTTCTTCAACAGCAGCATCAACATCAACAGCAGCAGCAGCAGGGGGCTCTTCAGTTGGAGGATACAGAGTGAAAAATAGTTTGTGATGATCATAAATATTTGTATCAAGCTCTTGAAAATCACTCTCAGCAAGGACATGACTAAATATGACCCTGCAAATACACTTCAGATGAACAATAAGTCTGAGATGGGGGTTGTCCAAAGGCACTTTATCACCAACCAGAAATGGGAACACTTGTAATAAACACCAAGTTTGCGCAGCTGTTTGGTGTAATGTATAGCAGCCTTTGTTCTCCACTGAGGCAATGGTAAAGTTTGGTGATGGCTTGTTATTGGAGTCACCTGGCCCATAATTAAAAGTGGCAATTCTATGATTAAAATAAAACACATCAAAATATTTCTTTACAAAACAAAATTCGTGCAGAGCAAGTTTGATTTCCATTGGAACCACTCCCTTCAATAAATCATGCATGCCATCTTTGATTAGAGCTTCAGGAAATTCTGCATACTTAGCTCTTCTCTGCAGGGCAGCATTTAGCTGGACACCATAATTTGCCTTCATAAACTCTTCAGATCTTTCAAGCAGTTCCCTCAAATGAAATTGGTGGAGCTCTTTTGTTCTAAGTTCACCTTGGGCAAAAATATCCTGGTAGAAATCTTTCTTCAAGATAGTGCAGATAGAACAGAATCTTCGGCATGAAGGTGAATAAAGTCCCAAAGCTTCATGTGCTGCAAGATCATCAGCAGCACCAGCAACAAGTGTTGCACGAAGGGTATAGGGACGACCATTTACATTTATTTCTACCCCATCAGCTGTTTCTAACTGCTCCATTTCCAGAAAGAATGGATCCAACATGGCACCAATTCCATCTACAGGTAGATCCTCTTTGTAAGCATATGCCATTACAAACACAGACCGAAGTCGTGCATTCTCTTCAGCAGGTAGATTTTGAAGTTGATAATTTATTTCTGAAATTTTATGGATGCCTGTTTTGGAACCTAATGGATTTGGAGTGTCAAAGTCATCAGTATGCAATGTTATGCGTATGGTAAATGGATACTCAGATATTAGAGGATGTGTGGCAGCAAGAGACCCATCTAAAAAAGATCGAATTTTCCCATCAGTGCTCTTCTTTTCTGAGTGTATGAGCTTATGGAGAACTTTGTTGTTCAAGACAGCTGTGAGCATTTTAGTCACAGAAACATATTGAAAGTTAACCCGCACTTGAGTTGGTATGGAAACTCCATTTGAGTCAACTTTATGATCATCTCGATAACCAAGAAACTCGGGTTGTCTTTTTACCAAGCCAAAATTCTTTTCAAAGTAGTTTTGCTGTTGGTCCTTGGTTTTTAAGAATTTAAAGGGCTCACTAGCTGATACATTATTGACACACTGTTGAATAATACCATCTTCTACATCTTTGTTCTTCAGATTGGTTGCAATCTCCTTCTTTACAACATCAACTATAGTAGACACAAATAATTGTGACTCTTCAATGACAACAGAGACAGCTGTTCCTGTGACATTTCCTCGTTTCAGCAGATCTAATATCAAGCGAGCAGCAGCTCTTTCAAGAGAAATATCAAACTCATTACGAGATATAATTTCTTCAGTTACATCATGAATCGATTCTTCTGAACTATTGATGTTGTTGCCATTGGTGTTGTCATCAACATTGTCACTGCTTGAAGTACTATCATCTCCTTCATGACTCTGATCAGATTCTTGGCTTGACGACTCTGAACAAGTGGCAGATGATGATGCTGAAGAAGCAGATGATGATGCCGAAGAGGAATCAGAGGATGAATCACACTCTTCAATATGGTGGTCTCGCAGATGGCGATACAGGGAACTCTTGACAGCAAACTTTCTTCTTTGACAATCTCCTTCGCAGCATATAAAAGGTGATGCATGGCGTTGCAGGTGTTTCTCAAAAGCATCAATTCCCCCACTTATTCTTTGCTCACAGCTAGCACAGTAGATTCCCATTTCACAAGAATTCTAAAATATGATAATTCAAAAACAAAATTAACAGCTAAAAGCACATATATCCTGAATAAAACATTTTTGAATTAAAATAAACCGGTGCCTGTTCAAAATGTGTTCTGTTAAGTCACAAATCCCTTGCCTCGCTTTATATCAAGCTTTTAAAAAAGTCAAAGATAGAGCACCCTTCTACTAAGTGAGAACAGTTTTGAAACACTTTCCTCCCTTAAATAGCATTACAACTTACAAATATTTAGTTACAATATTAATATTTTAAAAGTATGATTAAGATTTGCACCTCGTAGTGTTGTTACAGCACTCTCAGAAATTTCTCCTTTCGTAGCGATCTCTTGTAACTGATCCACAGTGATGGCTTTAACGTATGGCTCGGACAGAAACTCCATGGCTGAAACAGAACACCAAACCAATCATTAATACAGGCACTCCATAATCAACAGGCTCAAGTGTAGCCAAGGGAAAGAAGGAAGGGTGAGAGGAGAGAGGTCCGGGGAAACTGCAGACCGATTCCGAGAGTAGCTTTCATCGCTCTGTCTCTCTCGCACTCATGGGGCGTCGCTTATGGGTGCGAGAGAGACAGAGCGACAAAAACGACTCTCGGAATCAGTCTACTGCACACTGGTACCGAACAGCGTTTCGTCGCACCGTCTCTCTCGCACCTCTCTCGCCCCGTGAGTGCGAGAGAGACAGAGCGATCAAAGCATCAAAAGCACAGTCCGATGTCATCGGTCGGCTGTCTCTCTCGCACCCACGGGACACGCGTGCAAGCGAGTGCGACGACACAGCTGTGCCGAATCATTCTCTATCATTCCAAATCTCGAACGCTCACCTGCAACGCGTGCTGTGCACGACGACGTCAGTTCGATGTGGGGCCTCACAGGTGAAGGGGCACTGCTCCAGCACAACGTCGCCAGCTGACTCTCTGCACCACCCCGGCTCGGCGAGGGGCAGGGCTTGAAGCTGGCGGCGGACGGCAACGCACTCGAGCTGCTCGGAAACAGGGGAAAACAGTATTAGTCGTTTTTACCGTAGAAAGGTGGTCGATTCCGTTGGACGTCGTTCTCAGAGCCTAAAGCAACTTCCTGATCGGCCGAAGTCGATAAGCCACATAAGTCCCGTTTAAAAATGTCTCTACCTGGCCTGGATACGATGCGAAAAAGTTGAATTCTAAACAGGGACGCCTCTACTAGCGACGAAAACCTTATTAAAAATCAGACAAACAGGACACGTCCCACCTCCTGAAACTAACGAATGTCTACCGTTTGGCGCGGCGCAAACGGTTTGAGAAAAGCGGGAACTGCCCCGCAGGTTGACAAACGTCAATCTCCAAAAGCGACATTTAAAACTCAATACATGAAGATAAAGTTTTTTGAAAACGGGGTTACAAAGAACGAAATAAATAAGAAATTTGTTTTGTTTTTTTTATGCAGTATTTTAAAGAATCTTAAGTCAAATTTGAAATGAGATTCCTGTCAATTTTACTATGCACCCTGAGGTTGGCAAGGTAACAATGACGTCACTTGTTAGTCTTTTATTTTTTTTTAAATGATTTCCACCGGATTCAAACTTCCAGCAAAGCATTTATCATTTTTCCCCCCCAAACATAAAATAAATGAACTATTTTCACTTAATCAATATTGAATTGACCTGCGACGAGTGGCTCGCTCGTCACACCACCTTCCCTTTACCCTCCCCCACGCTCCCTTGCCCCTTTCCCCTTGCCCCCGCCGCCCCCGCCCACTTCCCCTCCCCTCCGCCGTCCTGCCTGTTGCATGCAATGCATCTCACTCTAGCTTTGGCTAATTTGTTCATAAGAAAGCACAAGTACAGGTTCAGTTACTGATACTGAACACAAACTGAGATACTTCAAAGAGCGAAAGCTTCAGAGGCGATAACTATGCACTCACATTAAAAAAAAGTGAGAGAACGGAGACATTGTTTAGTGAACTGAATACTTAGCTTTCAAGTCAAATAAATAGTTGTCACAGCCCAATCCCCAAACAGACATGGAAAGCTCGCTGTAAAGAAGTAAAATTGTTATGCCATATTAAAATGAATCAGATACTTCCTTTACACGCAAATTTGATCAAACCGACACTTTCAGTAACTCATACCATTGATTCACTGAAAACATTTGCCTCCGCGTCTCGATATAAAATTTTAATGCCTGGCCACGCTTAGCCACATTCGCAACTTCATAAAATACGTGATTTTTAAAATGCTATGACGTTAGAACAACTAACCTCTCGAAAATCACCGCAACTTATTGACTTTGGGTTTAAAAAAGGACTAAACTCACATCACCCAAAGACTAGATTCGATACTTAGTTTCTGTAGAGCACTCAATGCCTCGGTACCTGGACCAAATCTCGACGAATCACGAAAAAAATTTTACCACCGGGTTTCCGAATTGTTTGTTTACATTTTACTTGAATCCTAAAATTGTTGTTTCGAAGGCAGCCGAGCCAGCAGAGGACACGGGGGAAAACAAAACACTCCAGTCCTCTCACGTTATTGGCAGTACGCCTAACGTGTGAATAACCATGCGCGGCTTTTGAAAATTTAAAAGCGACTTCGCGACGTCTGCTATTTGGTGTGTTTTTTTGGTTTGTGGTTTGGTGATGAGCAATGTCAAAGAAATAATTTTGAGCCGTGAGTCAAGGACATTTCATAGAGACCGCCTTTCCTAAAGTGTGTCTTTCTAATTTCACTTTGTCGGCGAAATGGCTGCGTTCAAGCAGGCCTTCTTGGACGAGTATTGCGAGCTGTGACACTGTTTACAATGCTGCAAGTAAAGGTTAGTCAATGAGCAGTGTATGGAGTCCATGGAGTCCTAGTACCATTATTGTAAATATACATTTATATTTCAACCGTCTGGGTTTGTAGGTTAGTTGCGCACCACAGGTGTGAACAAAAGTAGGGCTAATATAGTCTGCTTCAGTTTTAATTCCTACAGGTGATACTTCAACTCTCAAAGATATGATGTTGATTTGTGAAAACTCATCTTTAGCTGTGTAGGGAGAGAAAAGTGATATCCCATTTGTTCTAAATTTTCAAGGCCATTTTTACATTTTAATGATTTGTAGCATACGGATTGTTTTCTAACTTTCTTCGTACTCTACCAACATCGGCAGAGAGCAGACTCCCATTCGTATCTTACCAATTCCTTTTTTTCTCCATACGAAGAGGCCTCACCGTAAATTATAGTTCTTTATGAATTGGCTTGACTTCATCCGTATTACCAATGAAATTATCAATTTTCATTGTAGCATACGAAGGAAAATATTTCTCCGTAGCTTACCAGCCACATTTCTTCGTAGAAAATTTAGTGTGTCCATAGATGTATGCTTGACAAGCACACTCCTATAGATGTATGCTTCCAAGCATACTCCCACAGCTGTGTACTAAGCACACGTTTGATTTGTGTAGGCCACCCTGTCGTCACTAGTGCATTGCAGGTCTGCTGGTTGTTGGCCTACCTGACAGGCGCTTGAGTCCCCTAACCTAAGAAAAGCAACCCGGAAACTTGCTTTGAGCCGAAAACACCTGAGAGAGCGTCCAGTGTGGTATCGAGTGCGGCCGTCACTACAATTTGGTGAAATACGTGGTTGCAGGGGTTCACGAAAATGGCTCGTTCTCGGGAACGAAGCCGAACACATTTTTTGGTTAACATTTTCGTTTAGGGAAGGGTTTAAGCTATCTTTTAAGCCCAGATTGGTCAAAATCGGTTGAGGATCTAGGAAATGGCGCTAATTTGAAAACTTCACTAAAGTTTTAAAGTTATAAAAAGTTTTTGGACGTAAAAACTTCAAAGACATAAAAGATTCAGTTTTTCATCCTCTTTCCAAATCTGGTCTCGGATTTGACCTACGACCAATGGTTGCTGAGATATTGCCCTCCAAAGTTGCGTTGTTCCTATATTTAGCAAAAAAGTAAATTGGCCATAGCCCAGCCCCTGGGGGGCCGGACCCCAAACCAAGTACCGATTATTTCATGGGACCATAGGGGTAACAAACCCTGAAAACGAGAACCGGATCGGAGCCCATGGTGGCTAAGGCCTGGTTGACTTCACATGGAATGTCCCAATGTGATTTTGCACGGTCTGTTTGCAGTGTTAAACAGAAACGGCCGCCGCCTACTCACCCTGGCTATGACAAGCTTTCCGGGCTGGAAGTCGTACGAGAGGAACTGCAACTCGAAGTCGTGCTGGCGGACTTGGGTGATCTCCACGTCACTGGCTTTCAGCACGCGGTTCGTGTGGTCCTCCACCACGGACACTTCGTAGGTCAGCTGGTTCCAGGGATAGTTCTCGTCCAGTCTGAGAAAGCAGAGCGACATAAACTCAAAGAACGATGTGGCGGTCGAGGAGTGGGCCGAATAGGCGTTCTCCCGCCAGGACCAGAAAGACTGTATTAGGGAACTGTATTAAGGGGCTGACTTTCGAGACTGCTAAAGAGGGATAAGCACTAAATTGTCCATGACATTACCAGAATTTCCATGACAAAGTTTTTTTTTTCATGACATTTTTATTATTTCCAGGTATTCCATGCCATCCGCGGATATGCGCAGCACCACTGAAGATCTACCGGCGGCGTGACTTCGGGCTGCTGCGAGGGCGTGAATTTAAGTCGCGCGGAAAACGGCATGACAAAAAAGTCATGCCAAAAATGAGCGTGTTTCAGAATTCACGCCTAGTATTGGCGTGAATTTCCTGTTATAACGAATTTTGGCATGATTGTTTTCATAAAACGCATTGGACGCACCAATCTACATGGTACTGTACATTCACGCCAGAGGACGACGGCGTGAGACACACGCCATGCCGTTTTTCGGTGTAAACTTCCTGTCATGCCAGTTTTGGCTTAAATTTTTGTCTTGCCATGATTTGGCCATGTGTCCGACCATTCAATTTTCAGTAACAGAGCTAAACGGTGCAATAAGCATGCAGTTGTAATGTAGCAGCAAACTTGTCGACATGGTGTCGTCTTCTTACTTGAGATCATCCTTCATGTCGAACTCGACCGTGACGCTGCCGTCAATCGGGACCACCTTCTCCACGTGAGTGGGCCTGGGCGGCGTGCTGGTGGGGAGGCTGACCACGCCACTGCCAAACAGGGAGAATGGCCGCGGCGAGACGGGGTTGACCCAGTAGTGCGGCAGCGCGGCCCGCACCGTGGCCTTGCCGACCACCGGCTTGCCGTAGGTGTACCTGCAACCAAGCAAAATCGCGCATTCGTAACTTCTCGTCCTTCAGTTCCAACAAGGAAAATCCACACTTGGACGTCATCAGTTTGCAGTCTTGCCAGCTATGCAGGTCCATAAGTGGATACTACACTTGGTTTATCAGTGCATGGCATGCACAAATATGTACGCAAGGTGTGTACAATCGGTCATTTTACAGCAATGTAACAATTTTATGTCCCTGCCCCCTTTGTGACCAAACGGTTTGTCAAAGAGAGGCGGTCTGCCCGATAAGATGGTGAACATTGTGCTTCGAAATGATCTAATATAGGGTTTCGGATTTCGGAGGTTTTCAGGTTGCTTTCGTCTCAAGAAGGTGCAAAATGTAAGATCTGTAGTTGTCCCACTGCATAATTCACTAAGTTTTTGCCCTCTTAAAACCTTACGAAGTATTTTGAGCATACGTATAACAAACTAAAATACTTTGTTACACGAAGAAATAGTTCGTAAATTACAAAGTATTTTCTTTGTAAGCTTACGTATGCTCAAAATACTTTGTTATACAAACTACTTTTCTTTGTACCGTAGAACGGGGTAATATGAGACATGAAGGAAAATCGAGACAAAGCGCACTTTTTTCGGTTTTTGTCGTGTTGCTCTCTAGAGGCTGTTTGGAATTCCAGACCACTTAAGACCACTGTGAATTTTTTTTCGTGATCTAGGAGGCCTTGGCAGCTCACAGGAAACGCACGAAGGCAATCAGAGACTCGCCAGCATTATGTAGAACCAAAGGAAAAACCTCTAAATTTTAACAAGTTTTATAAAGTTTGTAAAAACCTCCCCAGAAACCTCGGTTAGAACTCGGGTTCTCGTCCGAACGAGGTTTAAATCTGTAGGCAATTATGTCAACATAATCTGGACAAAATTTGGTTCCGTTATGTCTACTCCCGGGCTGCCTGTTCCAGATGGAATACAATTTTGTTACCTTGCAGGGAAAATAGAGACACCTCTTTTCACTTGAAACATGAGGCCAAACATACTCCACTGTTAATAATTTCAAGTAATTGTGATTTTAACACGAATTTGTTTTGCTATCTGACCGGCATCTATGCTCTTCGTTTAGAATTTTCATGTGACAGGCAGAACTCATGACTTTTTGTACATTTCTCAGCTCTCTTTAGTGACACCCATTTTTCTTCCCTCCAGATTTTACATCGTCTCCATTATAGAGTTCCCAATCATCTTTAAAATGAATAAAAAGAACTTAAAAAACTCCAAACCCGCCTAAATGAGTTAATTCTCAATACTTCTTTACCATTTCTTTCTTTTGTCTCATATTACCCCACATTGCAGGGAAATATGGGACGGCATTCCGAGGGTTATTGAAAGGTCCCTACTGCACCTAAAAATCTGAAATTTGGTGGGAGTGTCGCCAAAGGGTCAATGAACAAGTGATGAACACCTCTGTACCTCAAATTGAAATTAAAAGGGGGAAATTCACAAAAAACCTCGAAATTTGTCTCATATTACCCCGTTCTACGGTAAGGCCCAAAATAGTTTGTAAGGTTTTCTCAAAGTGCCTCTCGTATTTCTTAACGTGACACGGGACAATCGTTCCCGAGAGCTCTTTTTTAAAGGGCAATCCCGTACTTCTACTAAATCTTAACGTTTTGCGTTAAAATTTTGAAGTTTCGTGCCAGCACAGAATCACTGTTGTCCCGACATTTTTACTTCGAAAAAACTCACTTGTTCACTTCATTGAATTTGGCACTCCACAAGACAAATGGGCAGTTGCAGCCACAATCTGATGGAATGGATTCCGTATGAAATAACAGGAAAAGTAGCGATATACATCGGCAACTTTGGCCCGTCCCGTACATTAAGGGGGCACACCAGTGAAAATCGTCGAATTTTGGCTTTCTTTTTTATTTTATCTTATTTTTCTTCTATTTATCCCGAGTCGAACGCCGCAAACCCCACCCCTAAATTCCAATAACTTTGGGTCGTGCACATTTTTTAAGTTCCTAAAAAGGTTATTATTTTTGCATATTTTAGACCAATTGTTAACGTTTAGGTTTTCCACTTAAAGTTCAATTACAAAACCCTTGAACCACCCAAACGCAGTCGTAAAAAGGAACATTTTGGCGCAAACCGAACTAAAATACGTGAAAAGGCGCATTTATAATCGGCAAAAAACACGTCAAATCTATGTTTCTACTTAAAGGGCTTTTACTCAAAACACCCTTTTTGTACCTTTGTGCCACTCTCACGGGCGCAAAAATTGAGATAATTCAATGCGGTTTGCGGCAAAATGTTTGTTAAACTTGCGTCTATGGTCTGAACCTCGGAAATGGCCATCCCATAAATAGAACGTAAGCAGCAGCCATGAAAGCGCGAAAAAATTGGTTAAAAAAATTGTTTCTATTTTTGCCTTCTGAAATAACAAATTCAAAATTATTCTTTTTGTATGCCCGTGGTTCAGACCATAGCCACATGTGTCCTGTTGAGAAAATTTCAAATCCCGTGCTCGAGGCTCAATCCAGAGAGGCGGAATCGTGGCAGGAGTGAAGCAAGGTCGCAGAAAAATGAAGTGCACTGGCGCTCCGTCTTGCCATCTCCACCCAACCCTCCCATACTCATATTTCTTTTCTTTGATATAATTTTGAGCCAAGAATAAAATATCAATTGAATACATTGGTTACTTTCTCAGAATGATCGATTTTCGAAACCTCTGCATTTTCACTGGTGTGCCCCCTTAAGAAACGTACGAATTTCGCCTATGTTTGACCCTGACGGGGATTAAACCTGAGTCTGGGGTTAAAATAAATGTCGTTTTCGTCATCAGCACCCTCGAAAACATCAAAAACAGTGCAAAAACTCGAATAAAAAGAATGTTTAAAAAATACTCCGCTGGGATTTGAACCCGGGTCCAAAGTTCTCCGATTCGCTCGAAACTGGCACCATTGGTTTTCTCTCGTCGCCCCGATTCCAAAAATACCCCTACATGCCCTCCTAGCTGCATCCCTTGCCGAGATCCTCCTCGACCCCATGTAGACCATGATGCACCTGCAGCAGCGCCCCCGGGGATCGGATCGGATTTGCTGCCACCGGGCGGTTCTTAGGGTCACCCAAGGAGGCTGCATACCAAATTTGGTCAAGATAAGACCACGGGAAGTCCTCGGACGGACGGACGGACGAACGAACGGACGCACAGCAGGGATCATACTATATGCCCGTCCCTCCGTCATTTTTTTACAAAAAATAAACGGGACGGGCCAAAAACACCACTAGACACTTTGTGTGAGGGATTTGAGTCTAATGGATAGCATCAGATTGGTAACCAAATTTCAGAAAAGCAGGTGGCGCAGTTTTTATGTATGTAAACACTGAGAATGAATTGGTCACCACCATTACCCTTTAAATGGGTGATGCAACTTCGTTGCCCAGATTTTGGTGACGAAAAATTCATCACCCGAAATTTGGTAACAGGCGTTTGGTCGCCTAAATTTGGGTAACGCCGTCGGCGACGCCGTGAGGTTCCCGATGACGTCCTTCCACGATGACCGGAGGCCTCAGCGCCCCATTGAGTCATCGTGGTGGCCCCGAAAGAGCGTCATCGGGGACCTCACGACGTCGCCGACGGCATTACCCAAATTTGGTGGCCCAAAATTTGGTCACCGCGGGCTCGTCGCCCAAATTTGGGCAACGGTGCGTGCGTTACCCAATGAAAGGGCGATGGTAGTGACTCTTTCATTCTCAGTGAACTCCGCACAAGAAAAACCCCACGAAGAGTCGCTTCGTAATTCAAAGAAAATAATTGCGCTGTAAAATCAACAAAGAATTGCTTCGTATTATGAAGCAAAATCCCTATGTTGATACGAAGCATTACTTCATATTTCGAAGCAATTCTACAATGCCTTCATTTTCTTTGTAGTTACGAAGCATATGCCTCGTGGGCTCGTGAAAAACTTTCGAAATGTGCAGAAAAACAATGCTTTGGTGGTCCTTTGAACAGCTGTGTGTGCGCGTTCTGTTACTCATACGGCTGAAATCCAGGTATTTGCTTTAAAATGTTAACTCCTTAGGCGTCAATTTATGTAAACACACAAGTCATTTCCCCTAGGCTTTTGGGGAGGAATTATTTCGGCGGAAATGTAGCTGCAGTTCATTGATGCTCTTCCAAACTTCATGTTGAATTCAAAAAATTCTGAACATTAAAATTGAATGTTACTTCACAGAAAATCAAAACGCTATGCATATAGCGTCAATTGATGCAATCCAAAAGCATTGCACGTGAAGTGCAATGCTTTCTGATTCCTATGCATAAGCATAGGGCATTTTCAGGACGCATTGCACGTAATGTGCAGTATGGCTGAGGCACACGTATGGTCAGGGGTGATACCCAAACCGAAACGATACCAGGGCCGTTACAACAACAGTTTGCACTTATGACTAAAACTAAAAAAGTGTATCACCTGGAAGGGAACAGATTTTCCTTGTTGATCAAGGCGAATCGGAGTTTTGTTCCTTTATGGACCAGGTCCAAATTCCGCTTCCCTGAATTTTGTTCTTCCGCTTCCCTGAATTTTGTTCTTTTTGGGGCCTAAATTAACAAAACTCAGGGAAGCGGAATTTGGACTTGGCTCATATGGGAACAAAACTTCCGTACGCCTTGATCAACTAGGAAAACCTCTTCCCTTGGTTCCAGGTGCTACACTTTTAGAGTTTAAGTCATTTGTGCGAACTGTTGTCGTAACGGCCCTGGTATTGTTTCGGTTAGGGTATCATCCCTGCGTATGGTGCGATACCTCAATGCATTGCGTCATGCGTGCTATATTCATAGCGCTTGGAATCTCAGTGTTCCACCTCGGTTCACTCACTTGGCTTTGACGGTGACGGGGATCTTGCCCTGGCTGAAGGCGACCGCCTTCGGCGCCTTGGCCGTCACCTCGAACGTGGGCAGGACGTACTCGGCCACGCTGAAGGTCTTCTTTACCTCGCCGGAGGCCGATGGCGCGGCGGACAGCGAGGTAGCAACCGTCCAGTCCCCGAGGACGGGCCCCTCGGACAGGGAGAACGTGCCAGACCACAGCCCGCCCTCCGGCCGCTCGCCCAGCCACTGCTTCACGCGGTTGCCTTTGCCGTCCTGGAATCGCACAAACCACTGTTATTTTGACGTCATTCGTAACACTGCAACAATAAGCCTCCGGAATTAAATAACAGGAGAAGTGGTGATACCTATAGGCAACTTGGCCCGTGCCGCACATTGTAAACTTCGTGGATTTCAGCTAGGTTCAATCGAAACGGGATTGGCACGTGACTTTGGGTCAAAATGTCGTTTATATTTGTCATGAGCTCACTCAGAAACAATAAAAGGCCCCAGGATCGGCGAAAATTGGGTGAAGACTTTTGGGCCAAATGTCAATGCCTTTTCCAAGGCATTCTCATTACGTCTTGAACGGCCTCGAAGACTGTTATCCCCTTGAGAGTGTAGCGTTTATACTGTCCTTCGAAGTGTGGTGCAGACTGCAGATAATCTGTGGTAGGTGCAAAACTGTGGTAACCCAAATTTACCACACGTGGAAATGCGGTCGATACCCCTTGAAATCAGTGGTCAGCGAAGTACCTCATAAAATTCATGGTGAATACCACAGCAAATCTGTGGTCAGTCCTGTATACCTCATAAAAGGGTGGTGTTGACCACGCAATACATGAGGTACCGGCTAAATTATAGGCATGTACGGTACGCCACTAATTTGAAGGGGTGTAATGCTTACCACATTTGTACGTGGGGTAGAATGCGGTAACCACTCTTTAGGTCTCACCAACCACAGCCAAATGTTGTAACTTCACCTCACTTTCGATTTCCTTGTATACCTGTCTTACCAGTGAAGGCACCATGGTATTAGCAGAATGGGTGCACTAACCGAGACAAACACGTTGATGGGATCCCCGATGGTCGGCCTCAGCTGAGGGTCCAGGACCAGCACCCTGATGCGCACGTCCTGCCCCGGCTTGTACTGGGCCTTGTCGGTCTGCACGAACAGCGAGGCCGTCTTGGCGTCCAAGTGCACCGTCGTGGCGTTGTCGAACGGCACGCCACCCTCGCCCTTGGCGGACAGGCGCACCTTGCCGGCGTGCAGCTCGCCCACCTGCGAAGCACTCAGTCACATACCATTTTCAAAGTATAAAACACACTGAAACCAAGTGCGGAAGAACCCTCGCTTCCTGGTGCAGAGCAATTCTCCACACTTGGACGTGTGCACGCAAAGCAAATGTTGATGAAATTTTACTGTCCATAACTTTTTCTTCGTAACACGTTCTTAATAGTTTTTACCTTACACGCGCTCACCATACTTTGTAAGGATCTAAGCCTGCACCTTCGCATTCCAGGTGTGTAGCTCTCCACACTCCGGTATCAGAATGGGGGCACTGACCTTGAGACACGCCGTCTTGGTGCAGCCGGCCGGCACCACCAGCTTCTCGGTGTAGGTGGCATTCTGGCCGTTGTCACCGCTGTTGACGAGGTCCAGCTGCACGGACGTGTCCTGGCCGGCGCCGTGCACCGCCACGGCCACGAGATACTCGGAGTGCGGCCGCACGGAGCAGGGGGAGACCACCGTGTAGGTCCTGGGATTGCGAAACACGAACATCATTCACACAGAAGACCTTCCGAGGCCAAGCGTCTCGTGCGAAAGATGCCATTATCTTTGTGCCGCCACACGTCAAGAGTCGACTTATCGAGGGGCCCTTTTCAAAAGATCTTATCTGGGCGCTCCTACACTCCCGTCCCTGGAACATGACATCACGTTCAAACGAATGTGACAACATGTCACGGTCCTTTGAGCATTGTGTCACATTCCTTTGGGTATGAATAAGCCATAAATTAGCTTGTTCACATTCAAACGAATGTGACACAGTCCTGAAACGAACATAACATTTTGTCACATGCGTTTGAACGTGATGTCACGTTCCTGGAATGAGAGTGTATTCTTAGAAACTTATCGGCAACGGAAGCAAATTTGAATGAGTTTGATCATTTGAGACAGCTACAAATCAAAATAATTTGAGACTGAAGTAAAAAAACTTGATGCAAGATCAAAGAAATTAATACGGTATGTGAAAATATGTTCTGCTTACCCTCTTATCCGTCCCAAATAGTCAAACTTAGTGCAAATCTCTTCCGTTTCATATTAAATTCTTTGAATAGGGGCGTGCAGGTAAGATCTTTTTAATAGGACACCTCGTTCTTGCAAGAACGAGGCCAATAGAATGGAACTCGGTGTTGTTGATGCTCTATTCAACACTGAGTCCAATACCGTTTCGCTGCAATTCTAGGGGTCCTCTTCAAAAGACCTTACCAGTGTGATCTCCCCAAGAGAAAGAATCTTATCTTAAACGCAGGAAAATTTCACTTCGTTTGATTATTTGATACAGCTTCAAATCAATATAATTTGTGATTTAATTCACTTTAATCAAAAGATGGACGATCAATGAAACCAATATTGCATGTTGAAATAAATTCCGCTTTCTCTCGCATCCGTTCAAAAAGTCAAAATGAGTGAAATTCGCCTGCGTTTAAGATCAGGTTCCCTTGGGGGGAATGCCAAGATAATATCTTTTGAATACAACCGCTCGATATAAGCACGATCTTAAAGTGTGGTAATTGCAAAGAAGCGAGTACCACACGAGAAGCTTAGACTGGAAAGGTCAGTTGAATTCAAGTGACGAGAACTCCTGGCTTCCTGGAGCGGAGTAAGTGCTCCACATACGTGTGAATCTACACTCTCCGACTAGTATTGACTTTTTTCTCACCATAATTGACGTTTTGTCCTTTGCTGAAGTAGATTTTTTAAACGGCAATAATATGTAGTATTTTCTTTGTGACCATGTAAGGGAGGGTGGGGAACCATGACCACTTTTTTTTTGTGCCTCCCTCTACTCCACCGTGTGGTTCGAAAAGTTAAGTTTCCAGCATGAGGGGATTCATTGGACCTCCAGGGACCTCTTCCACCCATTGGAACTTGTCTGCAATGCACGGCAGGCTCACGGAACACTTTGGAAAATAAAACTCAAAGTGGTCATGGCGCCCCACCTATGGGGTACCATGACCACCCCTTGGGGCACCATGACCATAGTAATTTTTTGGCCCAAAAAAGTGTACTTTCTACCAGTATTCTCATTGAAATTGTTTATATCGCTGTCCTTACCATCAGGCCAGTCATCTTAACTAAAAAACACTGTAAAGACCTTCGAAGTATCAAAGTTCTAAAATGCCTTAAAATGGACGGTTTAAAACAGTTAACGCTCTGAGGCTTCCAAATTTCACATCCAAAGCTATGACATGTGTTAACATTTTATGTTTGTCTTGCTAAGACGAATCGGAATTCGTATGCAGATTTCAATTTGGTAAATTTTAAGAAAATTATCACGGTTACTACACTGCAAACAAGTGAATTAAATGCTGTTTCTTATAATGCCAGAGCCATCTTGGTGCAAAGTAGCCACGGATCGCCTTCGCGGCCAACTTTTGCGGTTTGGAGCTCATTTAGTGCCAGAGAGACTACCATTCCAAGTCTCAGTTTCAGAACCATTCTTAATAATCCTGGTGATTCACGATTTGTGGTAAAACTATCTATTCTGCAGCAATTATTCAACCTTTATACATTTTCAGAAGCAAAAAGCAAATTTTCGACAAAAATAAATCATTATCAGGCCAAAATATGAGAAAAAACACTCAAATATGTATGGTCATGGTGCCCCACTAAAAAGTGGTCATGGCTCCCCACAATGCAGTTTACGACTCTAAGGCTCCCCGAGCAAGCAAAAAGCTACTTAGAATTAAATGTGATGTTGGATATTTTGCCGGAGAGCCGACATTTTGAGAAAAACCTAAGACATCGAACTTATCTCCTCAAATGTGAGAGTGAGAAAAAATATCTCAGATTTGAAAAACGCCCAATTTAGCCAAAACGCTGTAACAAAAATTTCGGCGGGGTGCTATGGTCGTACCCTTGAAGCTAGAAGGTAGGGCTCTCGCTGAAAATAGTTAGAATTCTATTCTCTCGAAAGTCCGGTCGACCGGTTGCCGTCGGCAAAGTAGTTCCCGAGAGCGAGGGGGGTGGTCATGGTGCCCCAGTGGTCATGGTGCCCCACCCTCCCTTACAATATTGTTCACTGTAAAGACTAAATTGTCATCAATTACTGACTCTTTTTGAAGTCAATTGCGTATTGACTCTTTGTCAATAGCAAATTGACTTAAAGTCAATATAACAAATGAAATCTTACATAGATATTGAGGAAATAGTACTTTTTATTGCTGTGTAAAATACCCTTTCACTAAGGACAAAAAGTCAATAACAGTCTGAGAGTGTAACAAGCAACGAAGTCATGTCGACTTTGGTTGAGTAACCCCCATTTTCCGATAAAATTTAGACCGTAAAAGATGTCAAGTTGAGTTGTATCCATTTTTCATGTGGATTTTTTCCTGAACTGTTAGGAGTTGGATCAAATAATTTAATGTAGTGCACTGATGCAAACCATCCTGAGGCACAAAAGTAAGATTAAAACTCAATTTGGAGATAAGTTGAAATTTTTCCTTCTTTCGCTTCCAGGATCACTTACCCCTGGCCCAGCTCAGCGGCGGCTGCCATGGTGAAGCCCCCATCGCCCAACGCAAACATCTCAGCGGCACCGAACAGGATCTTCAGAAGCACATTTGCAACGTGCTGTTGTCAATAAAATTGTAATGTTACAACTAAACGTCAGTTAATTTTACAACAGAAACGACTGGTAAATGTACGAGCTCATTCTGTAAAACAAGCCAAATATTAAAATGCCAATGGCATCAGAACAAATGTTATCCACCAGTTCCACGGTGCCGCTTTTAGAGAACGGCGGATTCCTTTTCTCTTTAAATTTTACGACTTTTTTGTCATATTAGATACGAACAAGCTAACGGTATGTTATCACCAGCTTAAGTTTTAAAATTATTTGACGTTTACGGGAGAGAAGGGTGAATCCGGCTCGCAGCGTCATTCTGAACACTTCGAGTCTCAGGGTTCCGCTCAATGCAGCTCCAAACAGGGATGATACCCAAACCGAAACGATACCAGAGCCGTTACGACAGTTTGCACTTATGATTAAAACTCAAAAAGTGTTGCAGCTGGAACCACGGGAGCAGCTTTTCCTTGTTGATCAAGGCGTACCGGAGTTTTGTTCCTACGCATATGGACCAAGTCCAAATTCCGCTTCCCTGTTTTTGTTCTTTTTCGGGCCTAAACAAACAAAACTCAGGGAAGCGGAATTTGGACTTGGCCCATTTGGTATCAAAACTGTTCCGGTACGCCTTGATCAACAAGGAAAAGCTGTTCCCTTGATTACAGCCGCTACACTTTTTGAGTTACAGTCATATGTGCAAACTGTTGTCGTAACGGCCCTGGTATCGTTTCGGTTTGAGTATCGTCCCCGGCTCCAAAGCCCCCCTCACAGAATAACATAAGCCATTTAGCCACAACCACCAGGGTAAAAGTTCAAGCCCTTTGGCTGCGGTCGCTATCAGACTTTGAAGTTTTAGTAGAAATGGGAAAATGCTACACATCTCTACCTCGTACTTTACATAAATTGTTAATGGCACATATCTTGTATGTACATATCGTAACCAACCATCCCATCCCATGAACAGGGCGTGCTAACTTAACATTTATTTGCTATTTTTGACATTTTATTTCGTAAACGGCTGGAAATAAAAAAGTTATGCATAAAATAACTTAAATTCAAAATCAAATTTTAAATTTATGTTACCCTGTGCATAACTTTTTTACCTTTTGTCGTTGACGAGATAAAGGCGCTCAAAATCTCAATAAATGTTAAGTTAGCACGCCCCGCCCATGAATGTGATTTTTTATTTATTTTTAAGTTCGTAGGCTTTTCTTGGGCGTTTCGGGAGTGGTCGAAAACCCAGACAGTATGTGTTTTCTTTTATTTCCGCTTTTATGCTTGTGGTGGGTTAAAAATCGTGATAACGTTCGGCACAAATAGCCATAAGAGGATGCCGGATGAGCGAAAAAAATGCATTCCATCCAAAGACAATAGTCAATAAAGGGCAGTTGTTTCAATTTAGAGGTTAAAATATGAAGTATTCCTAACAATGGTACTGTGGCATACAGGACATGAGCCCCGTCCCGTTTGAGCCCCGATGGTCTGAGCCCTGACCTGAGCCCCAACCTAAGCCCGGGGTGAGCCCCCACTTGAGCCCCGACCCAAGCCCCAATTTCCAGAGCCCGGATTGAGCCCCGACCTGAGCCCCGTTTGAGCCCCACTTGAGCCCCATTTGAGCCCCGCGACTTGAAATCACGCATTTTTGCATAATTTATTGCTATGGGGCTCAAATGGGGCTCAAAAGGGGCTCAGGTCGGGGCTCAATCCGGGCTCTGGAAATTGGGGCTTGGGTCGGGGCTCAAGTCGGGGCTACACCCGGGCTCAGGTTGGGGCTCAGGTCGGGGCTCAGACCATCGGGGCTCAAACGGGACGGGGCTCATGTCCTGTATGCCGGTACTGTGAGGAAATTAACATGGTAGATTCTCCAGCCACTCGCCTTGTATGCCTTCCCAAAGCACGAAACCTTTCCCTCCCCCATGTAATCATTTTCTAACCTATTCTGCCATGCATCAAGCATAGGACGTAACCAATGCGTCCTCCTCCCACTCCTTCCGTCGTGGTTTCGTGTGGGTGACCGGACGCCCATCAAGCGGTGTCGGAGAACGCGGACATTAGGCCTGGCTGGACGACGACGTGTGCCAAATTGTAAATTTCTTTCAGAAAATGTGCTCGCAGTCGGAACCTGCCGCAGTTGAAACGTGCTGCAGTTAGCTGGGACATGACGCAGATAGAAGCCGCCGCCGCAGTTCCGCACGGCGCAGACCCTCAATTCACTTAAATCTGAAGACGGAAGATCAAAGAAACCAACAGTGCATGTAGAAACACATTCCGCTTACTCAGGGCGTGCTAACTTAACATTTATTTGCGATTTTTGACATTTCATTTCGTAAACGGCTGGAAATAAAAAAGTTATGCATAGAATAACTTAAATTCAAAATCAAGTTTTAAATTTAAGTTGCCCTGTGCATAACTTTTTTACCTTTTGTCGTGGACGAGATAAAGGCACTCAAAATCTTAATAAATGTTAAGTTAGCACGCCCTGCGCTTTCTCTCGGATCCGTCCCTTATGGTCGAAATGAGTGAAATTCACCTGCGTTTAAGATAATCTTGGAGGGAACGCACAGTGGGTCAGAACCCCTATTTCCGTGATCATAGGGTCAAAATTTAAAGTGACTTTGGAACCCATCCAATACCGCTTCTCCACTTAAAAATGTCCAATGAACTCAAATCAAGCTTTGGTTTGGCGATAGGACGCATCGCATTTGAATGGCAGGGCTGCAAAGTCAGAATTTGTATCTATATTTTCATGATTTTGTGTAAATCGCACATTATCGCTTCCTCCCAGTTTGGATGCAAACCATTCCAGGTAGCCTGCATATCAGCACGGAACTTAAATTAATACTGTATAAAAATGTGCTGGGAGAGAACCAGACCCGAACTTCGTCCATCTAAGGGTTATACAGACAACACTTCCAAGCAAACTATTGCCCAAAATGCCCAAATTCGACATAAATTGGAGGAAAAGTTATGTTACCCCCCTTTACCCCCCGACCATTTCAACTGGGATCGGTAGGTGGATGCTGTAGCTACATTGGGCAACCGGCCGTTCAACCGCACTCAGCCGCAATTTTTTTTAGCACCGATTTTTGATAATATTAGCATGTCTAAAAATAATGGTTTTTGACGGTTATGTGTTTTTGATGCCAAATCGGCTTCAGCGCCTCTCCGCATCTGATTTATGTAGCTTCCAGAGTACAAATGTCTTGTTCGAACGTGTTTGAACGTGTTCAAATGCGTCCAAACCTGCTCGGACGAGATCAAACATGTTCGGACGTCTGAAAGTGTCCAAATGTGTTCAAACGTGTGTTCGAACGTGTCCGAACACGTCTGAGCTTGTCGGGACGTGTTCCAACGTGTTCGAGTGTGTTCAAACGTGTTCGAACGTACTCGAACGTGTTATCGGTACGCGTCGACGTTCTAACGTTGTGGTTAGTGTCGGTGTGTGTCGGGAAGTCTCCCGTCTTGTTAAGCGTAAGAACTTGATGAAAACTGAAACTCGTCGATACGTGTCGGAACAAGTCAAAAATTCACTATACGTGTTGGTACCGTTAGAACGTCTCTGCGCTAATACAAAATGTTCAGTGCGTGTTGGAACGTGTCAGGTTGCTTAGACGTGTCAACCCTTGTTAATACTAGTCCACGCTCGATATAAGAATGAATGCGCTCTCATTCCAGGAACGTGACATCACGTTAAAACGAACGTGACAAAGTGTCACATTCGTTTGAATGTAAATCTACCAAAAATTAGTTTTTTCACATTCAAACGAACGTGACACAATGCTCAAACGAATGTGACATTTTGTCACGTTTGTTTCAACCTGATGTCACGCTCCTGGAATGAGAGTGTGAACTAGTTTTGGGTGCCGTATTTACATCATACCCCAAATAAACCATACACCTTACACCAATACACAAAAAATAGTCAAAAACCTCCATTTTCACCCAATTTTAACCTTTAATTGACGAAATATGCATGTTTCTGTTGTCCTGTGGTCCTGAAATTTTGCACAGCACCTGCTTATACCAAAATCTATGCAACAAAATAGCATTTTTTGCAATTTAGTGTTAATTGGATTTATACATTAGCCAAATATACCTTTTAAACACAATTATGCAAACCTGACTTTTTCCATCTCTAAAGGGACCTTTTAGGAAGCTTCTGTTAAAATTTCATCCAATTCGGTCAAAAAACGGCTGTGCAGGAGGCCGTGATCACGAAAATAGGGGTTCTGGCCCACTGTGGAACGCCGCACAGTGGGACGAAATGCGAAAAAGGTGGTTACAATTAAAGGAACCTCCAAATCATCGCCAAAATCTCTAATCGGGATTATTCGAAGGTGAAAAACTCATTTCTGTCAAAACCTGGAAAATTACTTTGGAATGTTACGTTAGTACCAACAACCCACACCTGATGTTTTCACCAACCATGCCCTATGGCACCAGCAAGCTTTCTGCAATCTTCTTTGCCAACCATTGGCATGCAAACCGAAGTGTTCGCAAATTAAGACAGCATTCGTCAGTTTTGCTTTAGGCCTGGGGGCTCGCTAACGCCGAAAAAATGCTTCATCAAAGCTAGTTTGCAAGGCACTTTTGACACCGTTTTTCTGTGTGCCTTTATTTTGAGTACCTTTATCTCGTCAACGACTAAACGTAAATAAGTTATCCACAAGGTAACTAAAGTTTACAATTTAATTTTGAATTTAAGTTATCCTACGCATAACTTTTTTTATTTCCAGCCGTTAACGAAATAAAATGTCAAAATCTCAAATAAGTGTTAAGTAAGCACGCCCAGCGCCTGACTGCCACCTGCAGACTGATTCCAAGAATCGAATCCGCGACAATGTCGCACGCGATTGCCCGCCGGCTCGGACTCAACGCGCAGCCACGAGGAGGCGGTCGGCAAGACGCGACTTTGAAAGGGGGAAGAGGGAAATGGGAGGGGGAGGCCCCCCCTCCTCCCTCTTTCCCTCTTCCTCTCACTCCTAGCGCGCGGACTGCGTGCGAGTAGTGGGGGCCTCTCCGCATGCGGTGCCAAGGCCATGGCAACGACCTGCGGCAGGCGGGCCGGCTGCCACGCTGCTTTGGCTCACAAGTCGCACAGTCGGTCTGCCTCCGCGACGACGAGGTTGAGGACCGTCCATCAATTACTCAACGGGGTTTTTCGACACTTTTTCCCCCTTCGGACGCTCAATCCCTTTGCGACCGAGTTACATTTTACCGTATGAAGCAAGTTTTCTACGGGCCACTCGTGAAAGTAAAGAGCCGTCTCATTTTCATTTGCACCTGAAATTTGCACTCTTAATGTCTTGCAATGAAATTTGCCCTATGTTATTCGTATGTTACAGAGGATTCGGCGCAATCATAATACGAAGCAATATTCCTTCGTAATACGATTCTGTTAAGCGTTTTCATTGTAAGATGCAAAGAAAAACCTTCGTAAGACGAAGAAAAACCACCTTCGCATTATGCTTACGCCATTTCCTTCCAATTGTGGGAAATTTCTTCGTAAGACATTTAGAGTGCGAATTTTAGCGAACGGTTCGGATGTTCAGGGAGGCGGACGCAGGTCTTCCGCGCGCATGACTCACGCGGCAACGCGCACTTTGCTGACGTGGGGATTGGCAACGCGGCGGCGGAGAGGCGAAGTGGGGAGCGGGACCCAGAAAACGGAGAGGGAAACCGGATGGAAAAAGAGAAAGAATGGGGAGGAGGAAGACGAAGAAGAGTAGAAAGAAGAAAGGAGAGTTAACAGCAGGAGAAACGTGAAAAGGAATAGGAAGGGGAGTGAGTGGCAACGAGGCAGGCAGAGCTGGCTGCATGCGAAGAAGAAGGCGGTCTGGGGGAGGGGGAACTCTGAGACAGGAGAAGGGGCAAGCGTAACACTGACCAGCCCGACGCCGGCAAGACCAATATAGCACTGGCCGTGTGCGGGCTCTTATTTGTGCCGCGGGGACTGTCATCTCACAACTTACCGTGATGCGGCCGCCAGACGAAATCCTCTTCTCGGACGAAAATGCAAAGTCGAGTTGGGTGCCGATCCGCGCGGGGCGGAGTGCGGCGAGCGACTGGAACCGAAAGCGCGCCGGGGCCGAAGGAAGGAGGAGAGGGGGGCGGGGACTCGATGACGTCACTGGCGCCTGTGCGCCGTCACTGCAGGGCCGCCAGCGCACAGCACACAGGCTTGCAGCTCGCGATCTGAGTGAGCGTCAGACTGCGCGAGCCCAGAGCACGCTGCAGGCCAGATGACGCAGGGCGGTGTGTCCGTTGAGATAGCAGTGGCAACAAGAGATATCGATAACGGAAAATTCTGTAATTTTTTTGCCAAGATTCTCCGTAGCCCTCTTATCAATATTCTCCGTAGGACCGTACAGTTCTCCGTAGGACCTGGAAGAGTGCACCGGTAAGCAAAGGCCTCAAAATCATGCCCCATAGGGCATAAACACTCTTTTACGCCCTTCAAGGGCTTAAACCATTTTATGCCCTTGGGAAGGGCGTGAATAGTATGGGACTTAAAAGCAAAATTTTAATGCCTTACTCGCAAAATAAAAAATTACGTGGGAGCTAAAAAATTAGCTCCGGTGCGAACTAAAATAGTTGTATGCGCGCAGCTATTTTTTTAGCCATACAACTGAATTCTGTAAGCTGAGAAAAATTAGCAGTGATTCGAACAGGGACTAGCAAATACACAAAATTTATATTTGCTGTTTGTGCAAGAAGCTTTTAGCTACACTGAGAATGCAGTTATTAGTTTGGCTAAATATTTTAGGCACACTGATACTCCACCATAACTGCAGAACTAAAATTTTATCTGTCTTGCTCTTTTGTTTAATCTGTGTTGCAAGAGCAGTTTCCTCCCCCCCCACTCATTGGGGCACGTTTAGTACTTTCCGAGAGCAAACTTTGATTCACTGCTGTGTGTTATATTTGTTTGTTGGAGTAGGAGAAATTACAGGAAAATGTTTTGAATTGAATAATTTATTTAACATTATTTAACAATTAACATTTAAACAATTAACATTTTAACAACATTATTTCACATTTTACAACAAGTCTCATTATACAATGTAACGAGATGAAATATACATCTCCCCTTCACTAAAGTTACCATTGAAATTTTGCGAATGAGTCAACTCCTGAACTGACACACATTTATACAAGAACTCTTTAGGTGAGGTCACATAGGCATGAAAATGGTCAGAGAATTCCCTTGTATCATAGGCATGGACAAGAAACTCTTCCTCAATATTAAGGGGGCACACCAGTGAAAATCGTCAAATTTTTGCATTCTTTTTTATTTTATCTCATTTTTCTGCTATTCATTCCGAGTCGAATGCCGCAAACCCCACCCCAAAATTCCAATTAGGGTCAGGGCGGGGAAAAACTGGACAGGGGAAGAACTGGACACCCCACATTTTACTTCAAATGCCGTATGTGCTGGCCTGACAACTGTCATGTAATGAACCGCTGATGCCACGGAACAACTTTTGATGGTTGTTTTTCCTGTGCCTCCGGTATTTGAAGTTAAATATGGGGTGTCCAGTTCTTCCCCTGTCCAGTTCTTCCCCGCCCTGACCCTACTTTGGCTTGTGCACATTTTTGAAGTTGCTAAAAAGGTTATTATTTTTGGATATTTTAGACCAATTGTGAACGTTCAGGTTTTTCACTTGAAGTTTAATTACAAAACCCTTGAACCACCCAAACCAGCCCCTGGCAACTCCCATGCCCGGGCTGTCCACACGCTCGCCGCGCTTTTCCGAGCGCCGGAGCGCTGGCGACGCCGTTCCGCGACATTTTAAATTGCAGAAAATATTGAATATCAACTATTAGAAACATATGATGACCTCTGGGCGATGTAAAATTTCACGCAGAATCGTTTTCTGTACTCAGTTTGCCAATATAATGAACGGATGTGGAAATAAATGCGAAATAAGATAACGCCACGACGCCCGTTTTGCCCGCCGCATATTTCCCTTTTGTTAATGCAAAGAAACTATAACATTTAGAGACAAACGGGCACTTGCAATCGAAAGGTCACACTTTTTTCCTTGGATTTTGCACTATGGAATGAATGCGAGTCCAGCGGAACGATCAAAAAGGTCGAGAAAGAAAGACGCGTTGGGATGAAGAGGTTATGTTGCCCTAATTCATCAATCACGTTCTTTGAGTTACCGTAAGTGTTTCAGCGGACTCGCATTCATTCCATAGTGAAAAATCCAAGGAAAAAAGTGTGATCTTTCGATTGCAAGTGCCCGTTTGTCTCTAAATGTTATAGTTTCTTTGCATTAACAAAAGGGAAATATGCGGCGGGCAAAACGGGCGTCGTAGCGTAATCTTATTTGAGCAGTTCTCGCGAAATGGTTAATTTTGGGCCCCGAAACTTTTTGAAAAAAAGTTCAATTGAATCCGGGTTTTTTGCATTTATCTTGTTAAGAACACCACTAGGGATCATGGATTCATCGGGGCGAGCTATCACCCCACTAATATAGAAAATATCGCAATTTTAATTTTTTTGCTGTCCACGGAAATTACACAGCCTCAGAATTTGTCCACGGAAATTACATTTTAATGGGCCCTTAGAATAGGTGCGATACGAACGCAAATGCTTAGCAGTTTAGGCAGCTCCCTCCACATCTGTGCATTCTGGTTCCATGTTGCGTGCCTAACAATAAGATTTCGGGCTAGACCACAGTTTGATCGTATGCCGTTAATTTATTACCAATGTTTGCTGTTATGCAATTCACGGCGTTTGCTGTGAACTAGCTCACGGCGTTCACTGTGATCTCGGTTACAGTGTTCACTGTGATCTGGCCACAGTAAACGCCGTGAATTGGAGCCTGATTTGCAGCACTTCGGTGCTCAGCGGCGTCAAACTCACAGTGTTTACTGTGAACCAGATCACAGTGAACACCGTGAACAAGATCACAGTGAATCGCGTGAGCAGATCACAGTAAACGCTGTGAATTAACCTACAGTGAAAACTGGTAATAAATTAACGGCGTTGACAGGACATTTTTGGTAGAGTGTATGCCCGCGTGCACTGCCTAACGGGACATGGCCGTCCTTACTAGGGTGCCACGTTATACTGGCGGAGGAGAACCTCATGCGGCTACAAGGACCCACTCGTAGTGTGACCAGTAAGTGAGGAGGTATACATTCCCCGGGAGGGGTGCGGGGCCCCCACCCTAGAACAGCCTTTTTGAGCAGGACTGGGTCCGGTGTCCACCTCCCCCGGCTTAATTCCCTGTCTCGGGAACAACTGTGAATTCATTTTCTTCTGACCACGGTTGCATAGTGTTTACCTCCCAGGCGGTACCTCTCACACTTGGCAAATGATTGGCCCTACAGTGGACAACGGAGGAAAGTCCCACTTGATCAGCTCCTGCGTGTCCTCTATGTTCGGAAAGTATTAAATAATGGGTGCGGTCAGTTAAGGAAAAGTTGATCGGCGGTGCGGTCTATTTAGCCCTCCTAGCATATATGGCAACAACGTTTACTAACCTATATTTTCGGAAAGAGTAAAGTTTGAGGAACAGATTGCTGTAATTTATTCGATAAACTGGGTCTTAGCATTCGAAAGGCAGGCTTAGGAAAGACGCCCAAGGAAAACGGAATCGTCACGAAAAGGTCACCGTGAGCTGCAGGTGACGAAATTTCGTCACGATTTGAGCACATATAATGTCACATGTGACCCGAAATCAGCTCACGATGAGCTTTTCGTGACCATTCTGTTCTGGGCGTCATGTTGCTTAACATATCGGTCAGGTTAAGTCCACCGCAAGTCTTAAATGGTCTGGTCAGCTAGACCCCAAAATACAGCGACCCTATTTTTCGCAAGACTCAAAGTTTTCGGTTAAGCTTTCCGATCTGAATAATCAACGTTGAACGGTTTCACTGACTCGCAGTCAAAACTGTTATGGCAGTATGCCGGCCGCGCCGAACAAAGCAGCATAAAACCGCTTGGTTGTCCAGAAAATACATTGTTTGACCAATCTGATGAGTGGAGTCGAAAGCTTAGACTCTTGCAAAAAGTCGGGTCGCTGCTCGTTTGGGTCCATTTTGTGACTTGCGGCGGGTTTAACTAGATGGATGTTGTGTTAAACTACGCCACAACTTTCCTCAGCTTGCCTTTCGGGTGCTAAGACCCAAAACGTCAAATAGATTACTGAAACCGTTTCCCCTTTTCGAAAATGTATAGGTTGTTAACTTTTGTGCCTGAAATGCCTGAATTTGCATTTGAGACGGCTAAAAATACCGCGGCGCGAGCAGTGGGCCGCTCGATCGACCTGCCGATCAACTTTTCTTCAAGTAAACGCACCTATGATTGGCCAGTGACCAGGGTGTGCAAACTTTACATTATCATTACCTTAACGTTAACTAAGGAATTAACGTTATTACTATGACTTTTATTTTGTTAGTTAATGTTAGTATCACAACTATAATATGTTGAGTTTATTAACGTTAATTCTTTAGGGCGGCCATTAACGTTATTGAATTATCGATAATAGGTTATACCGAAAAAACTACGTCGTAAAACATTGTTGTTAAGGTTTATAACAGTTATGAAGAAATAACGTTAATATTTTATAACGTTAATGTGCACATAACAATTGTGGACTTTAACACAAAATTCGAGGTTAGCAAATAACGTTAATTATTTTAACTAAAATCATTCGTGGATTTCGTGGCACGCAAATAACGTTAATTGCTACAGTTACAATCGAGAATGTAATTGCCACCCCGCACTTTGCAAACGCAATTGTGCATGGCACGCTGTTCTGAACACTGTGCTTGTCAGGTACACAACAACAGTGTGTCTGACTAGGTCCTGCATGGGTCCTAGGTAGGTCCTAGGCACAATAAAACCCCCCGTCTCATGTCGCGAGGCACGGCCGGCACGGGAAATGGCTTCCACTGAATTAACGTTAATAATCGTTATGGTTCCTAACATTTAATATTGGTACATCTATCAATAGTTACAACTAATTAACGTTGTGACACGATATCATAAGATTAAAAATAAACAATAAAATGCTACAAATAAAAACCCCTAACTCTTCTTTTAGGGAGAACCTCACTCAGCCGAAATCTCAAGTAGCCGAATGCCCACAGAGCCGAAATGTCACTAAGCCGAAATGCCACTGAGCCGAAACTCCGACACGACAATACTAATTCATTTACTGTTCCACTGAGCCGAAATCTCACTTCGTCGAAATGCCACTGCGCCGAAAACGAGTAAAAGAAGACTGCGATCTCATTGAGCCGAATTCTCACTCAGCCGAATTCCCACAGGGCCGAAATTATAAGCTTGGTGATGTTTGTGCATTGTGTCTCACTGGGCCGAATTCACATTCAGCCGAAACCCTTCTGCGAATAACGTCAGATCTGTCGCGGGTAGCGTAAGAACTCGCACGGTAGCGTAAGATCTGTCGCGAGTAGTCTAAGATCTGTCGCGAGTAGCCTAAGATCTGTCGCGAGTAGCCTAAGATCTGTCGCGAGTAGCGTAAGATCTGTCGCGAGAAGCGTAAGATCTGTCGCGAGTAGAGTAAGATCTGTCGCGAGTAGCGTAAGATCTACCGCGAGCCCGTTAGGTTAGGTTAGGATGGGTGGCAACCCATTAGTTTTAGGTACTGCTCAACGCCAGCTGTGTAACTTTCGGCTCTGTTAGACAACCATACGAGTGAGCCTTTGAACTAGTGCTACTCATCGGCTCTCCATCTGCAGCATTCGGCTGAGTGGGATTTCGGCTGAATGGGATCGACTTTTTTTTTCGCTTGCTTTCGGCCAAGTGGGATTTCGGCTCCGTGAGCATTCGGCGGAGTGACACGAAACGCTCACATTTGAAGATGGTCTGCACATTCGGCCAAGTGAGAATTCGGTTCTGTGGGATTTCGGCCGAGTGACACGTGGCTAGAGCACAAGCATGATCATATTCGGCTCTGTGACAATTCGGCCCAGTGGCATTTCGGCCCAGTGGGGATTCGGCCCAGTGAGAATTCGGCTGAGTGAGAGCGACTCTTCTTTTAACATAAATTGCTCTGAAACTGGATTACCGTTATTCTTTTACCGAAAAGTAATTTGATAAACTTAAATTCGGTATAAAAAATAACCAGATAAAAATTAACGTAAAATTTATGAGTGAAGTGAATAACGTTAAAGGACGAGCAAACACTTAAAGGTTACTAGTTATAACTTTTAACAAATAACTTAACGCTAACTATAATGATAATGTTATGTTATTACACCCTGCCAGTGACCTATATTCAGTGCACTGCTAATCCAAGTGTGGACCAAGTCCACGCTAAATAGCGTGGACCACGGTGGTCCACGCTAGGAAACGTGGACCACGAATGGTCCACGCTAGGAAACGTGGACCACGAATGATCCACGCTATGAAGCGTGGACCAAGCCGTGGTCCACGCTAAAAAACGTGGACCGAGCTGTGGTCCACGCTTCACAGCGTTGAACTTCTCATAGGCCAATCACACTTCCAAGTGTGGACCATCCGTGGTCCACGCTTCCTAGCGTGGACCATTCGTGGTCCACGTTTCCTAGCGTGGACCACCGTGGTCCACGCTATTTAGCGTGGACTTGGTCCACACTTGGATTAGCAGTGTGCATGCTTTCTTGGGTTAGGCCATAAGAATGGCATTCCCTCCATAAGAGAGGTTTAAAACGAAAAATATCGACATACTTTAGAGCTGAGGCCCCTTACGAGGCGAAAATCACGTGAAACGCAACGAAAACTCCATTTTGTCCACGGAAATTACAGTCCACGGAAATTACATTATTGCATGAAATAGGGTTTACAAGCCAAACCACAAGTGCCACCGGAACCAAAATTTTCCTGGAACAACTTGTCCACAAGGCAAACACACAAGGATTGGTTCGCATTCAAAATTTTGAATGGTCTGCTAGCAATGGGTGGAACGGAAATTACACTTATTGCTTGCTAGGCCAATTTTTTCGCCGCTTTGAAACTTATTTAAGTTTATATTTTCCGTTCTAATGGTGCCACATTACTCCGCCACTTTGCAAATTGTGTAGAACGAATGCACCAACAATATGAGAAAAGTTTCAGAACGATCGCACATAAGGTAGAAAAACCGTCCAAAAAAAAAAACCGATTTTAGGCTTTTCGAATTTTAGTTGTGGAGGACAATTTTCGGAGTCATCTTGTGTCTGCAAATTTTATCCGAGAGATACGTTCTACACGTCAAAACGTAGCCTCACTTGCGTAAAACAAAATGCACTTCGCGAAAGTGATTTCTCATACTCCCTTGGGCTGTAGTAGAGGCGCGAAGCCCCAAATCTGGAGCGTAGGACATCAAAAAGTGTCCACGGAAATTACATTCTGGGGTAAAACTTGCAATTTAATGGTGGAAGGAGGCAAAATTTCATCCTGATAAGAATTGTACCTTGTCCGCAAGGTCAAAAAACATTAAGGTCGGAAAAGACCTGGTTCAAATCGACTTCAGGTTGGAAGAACCAGAGAGAGGACACGAAATTATCACATTTCGCGAGAACTGCTCATTTCGCAGTTATTTCCACATCCGTTCATAATATTGGCGAACTGAGTACAGAAAACGATTCTGCGTGAAATTTTACATCGCCTAGAGATCATTATATGTTTCTAATAGTTGATATTCAATATTTTCTGCGATTTAAAATGTCGCGGAACGGCGTCGCCAGCGCTCCGGCGCTCGGAAAAGCGCGGCGAGCGTGTGGACAGCCCGGGCATGGGAGTTGCCAGGGGCTGCCCAAACGCAGTTTACAAGAGAGACATTTCTAGACCACGCTACGCGAGTACCACACCTCCGAGAGAAATGGAAAAAATTTGCCCGTGAAGAGAAAGGCATGGCCTAGGGGATGTGAAAGTCCATTTTTTCGCCCTTTCATTAGATTCCGCTCCGGAGCTTCCTGAAAATCACTTATCTTTAAGGCGTTCCAGTTACGTTCCTAGACGTTAGAGCCCAAATTGGAGTAGACGATCCCCTGCATACAGTCCCTGCCAACAAGTGTGCAAAGTTTCAAGACGCTGCGACCCTTGATTTCTCCGTCGTGCGGTCTGGAAAATGTCAAACACCGCCAAAATTTCGAACTTTGGGGCGTCGCGACGCCGAAACTATGCGTCGCCGGGCAAAACGGTTTGACATGGTGCCTTACCACATCGATCACTATCAATTGACGAAACAAAAATTTTGTGTCTATGGTCTGAACCTCGGAAATGATCATCCAATAAATAGGACGTGAGCTGCAGCCATGAAAGCGCAAAAAATTTGGTTAAAAAATTTGTTTCTATTTTTGCCTTTTGAAAAAACAAATTCAAAATCATTCTTTTTGCATGCCCGTGGTTCAGACCATAGCCACATGTGTCCTGTTGAGAAATTTTCAAATCCCGTGCTCGAGGCTCAATCCAGAGAGGCGGAATCGTGGCAGGAGTGAGACGAGGTCGCAGAAAAATGAAGAGCACTGGCGCTCCGTCTTGCCATCGGTACCTCACCCTCCCATACTGATTTTTCTTTTCTTTGATATAATTTTGAGCCACAAATAAAATATCAATCGAATACGTAGGTTACTTTTTGGCTGAACGATAGCGAAGCCCGTTACTCCTGTGGGGTTGAAAAGTTTTGTCTGTCTGTCTGTCTGCGTGCGTGTGTGTGTGCACTACTCCTCCTGAACGGCTTGGCCGATCTGGCTGAGATTTTGCAGGGTCATTAGGTATGTCCTTGGCTCGCCACACACCAAAATGCAGCTTTCTATCTCAATCCATTCGGTCATATCAGCCAAAAAACACTTCAAAAACGACAGAAAAAGGACAACTTTTTTGGTACTTTCAACTTTTTGTCAAGTTTCATATCGTTTCATATGTTTTTGAGGCTGCTGATGACGAAAATAGAACCCGTTCGGGCCACCGATCGAAAGTTAAATCCCATTGGTGTAGATTTTGATGACCAAATACTATTTTTGGAGGGGATCACGCCCATCTCTACGGCCTGCCTAGGGAAGCAGCCTGCCGGAGGCAGGTTAGCGCCGCAGGCCAAGGTAGCACTGGTAAAACTAAAGCGTAACTCTATGCTTGAGTCAAGCATAGAGTTATGCTTGAAGACGTTACGCTTGAAATCAAGCATAGGCTAGAAATTCCCCCATGCATTTAGATGGGGGAAATCTTGGCGGATGAGCCTGTTACGCTTGATTTCAAGCGTAAACTGATTACGCTTGAAAACAGTGGGTAATATTACGCTTTAGTTTTACCAGTGAGGTGAATACACCAGGCGTGGATGGTCGAAACTGGCGCAGCATCGCGAAGCCTGTTACGACCAGACACGGTCTGGCGTACACCTACCTTGTATTGGCGACGAGGATGAGATCGAATCAAACATCATATTGACGACGAGGATGAGATCGAATCAAACATCATATTGGCGACGATCATGAGATCGAATCAAACATCATTTTGGCGACGAGTATCAGATGCAGAAGTATATTCGCCAAATACAGTGCAGAAAATCATTGGAGCTAGTACAACATGTTTCGGTAATCCACCTGGAGATAATGATGAATCATCAACGGACGAAGAAGGAATGTTTGTCAATAGAACAAAGGATACAACTACTGTAGAAAATCTGCAAGAGGATGATGATGATGACGATCTCAGAATAGTTTTACACCAGAAAGATGACAAACTTTTAGGTTCCAGATTGCCAATCAAGGAAGAGGACATGGAGGTCGACCAGACAGAAGACGGAGATGTCAACAATGATCAGCGGCAACGCCAGACTACATCTGAATCAGACGGTGCCGGCACAAGCCAACAGGGACAGACGGGACAGCAGTCCATTATTATTCCTAATTACACCAATTGAGAGAACGATTGACATCAATTTTGTAAAGCCAGATTTGGTGGATTACATTTTCAACCAGATTGATTTCAACCAAATACCCCCGGAATCCAGACTGCAATCGGGGGCAGTTATAAAAGTCTCGGTGCTGTACAACAACATGATGCTGGAACTGGGTTCGGGGACCGTGCCCTTGCGAGAAGATCCCGAAGATGATGATATCAACACCACCGTCGCCGTGATAGCTAAGTATCGAGAGAACATGGTCGATCTGGCGACGGGGGTGTTGAGGTCAAGTTGGAAAGATGATTCCATTTCTGGCCTGTATGGCGACAAGGATATAGAAAGATACGATCCTTCCATGCGGTTCGTCACCATTCCTCATATCAAACTGTTTGAGTACAACACAACTACCATGTGGGGCAACCACAAATGCTCAAAGTTGATGCAGGAAGCCTTTCATGAACTGAAGAGGGATCCCGACGGCACGTATGGCAACCTCATACGTGTGAGCCGGAGAGGGTACAAACCGATAGCTGCATCAAATGTCCGAGCAGTCATTCGATTTGTGAGAGCTGGACTTGGCGGCATACTCTGTGAAAATACTGAAAGAGTGCTTATGTTTCTCTTCATGTCGATCAACTGTGTCAGTTGGACAAGGCACCCCAGGTCCACATTTGACTTTCCGTACTATGGCTATGCTGGTGCCATGTACATTCCACTTGGCTACAAGGATGAGAGACCAAACATCATATTGGCGACGATCATGAGATCGAATCAAACATCATATTGGCGACGATCATGAGATCGAATCAAACATCATATTGGCGACGATCATGAGATCGAATCAAACATCATATTGGCGACGATCATGAGATCGAATCAAACATCATATTGGCGACGATCATGAGATCGAATCAAACATCATATTGGCGACGATCATGAGATCGAATCAAACATCATATTGGCGACGATCATGAGATCGAATCAAACATCATAGGTCTGGCGTACACCCACCTTAAAAATAAATACGCAGTTTCGTCTATGCACGGGATATGTAATTTTATATTCGGACCATGTTTCCGCTCACAAGATACAATAGCGGATCAAATTTACTTCTGGAACCACCCTGACGATGGCTGAGAACTTTCGTTCCTTTCGGACCACTATCACGAACTGCGGGGAACACTCCCCCAGTTCCACCCGCCGCGCCGGCCGTGGCTCTGGTCACGCCTTGTCGTACAGCACGCGGTTGAGGGCGGCGTGCAGCTCGAGGTGGAGCGGCTCGCCCTGCAGCACGGGCGCCCTGACCACGAAGTTGGGGCGCGCCTCGAGCCACACGGCCATCTCGGCCGGCCGGCGCTCCACCACGAACACGTGCTCGCCGTCCGGCAGGCGGGGCGTCAACTGCGGCTGGCCGAGGGGGTCTCGGTAACTGGGCAGGTGCGCCTGCAGAGGAGAGGGCGCCCTCACAGGAAAAACTCTACAAAGAATCACTTCGTAAAAAGAAGAAAATGAAAGCATTGTAAAATCTTTCGAAGAAATGCTTCGTCTTATACAAAGCAAAATCCTTCGTCATACGAAGCATTTCTTCATGATGGAAGCAATTCTACAATGCCTTCATTTTTTTGTGGTTATGAATCAAATGCTACGTAGCTTCCAAGAGTGCTGTCGAAATCTTGCAAAGCTTGGGAAAATATTTCACAGTACAAGTATTCTCCGGCTTTCATTACGAACACTCTCGCATCGCAAAAGAAAAAGTTTGTGAGTTGTGAAGTCCAGAACGTTGCAAAGCATTTTCCGTTCAAGTTACTAAGTAATAACCCACAATGCGGAAATTTTGGGAGTTCGTAATAAAATGCCAAAGAATACTTCGCAAGGATGTTATGAAGCCACCATGCAATAGATTAACAAAAAAAAGGGAGAAACGCTACGACGCATTCGTCGTCATAAACTCATTCAAAGAACGTGAAACGATTTCGCCACGTTACAACATTAAAAAAAGTGGTTTTCACTGATGCTACACGTCATAAAGATCAGGAAAATTCTGTGAACAGTTTGTGATGATTTCCCGTAGCCCTCTTGCCAATATTCTCCGTATGACCTTACAATACGGGGTCAGGTTCTTCAATGTCACTCTGAGAAAAAATGACGGTAAATCCTGGATATTTTTTTTGCCAAACTTTACCGTACTTCAAAAACCAGTATCCACCGTACAGTCTACAGTATTTTCCCTACTTGTTATACAAAATGTGTCGTAGTTTTTTTTTATCAGTAGTTACCGTTCTTTCGTACAGTGCATGCCGTAGGAAGGACCAGATCTGGTCCCATCAAAGGCCGCTCCCAAGAATTGTCCACATCAGGATCTTGAAAAAAGGGGGTCGACCGACTGAAAATTTTTATTGCACCTTTCGATAGGTCTCGTCAAGACCTTTCCAAGGAGTGGTCGGAAGGGGGGTCCAGGAGTCCGACTTCGCAAGTTATGTACATCAGAATCTTGAAAAACGAGGGTCGACCGACTAACATAAATTATAGCCGTTTTTGATAGGTATTAAAAGAACGGGATTGCCGGGTAAAAAAGGACGGGATTCCTTGTAAAAAAGTACGGTGTTGCCTGTAAAAAAAGTACGGTATTGCCTGTAAAAAAACGACGGTTTTGCCTGTTAAAAAAAAGTACGGTGACGTCTGGAGTAATCAGTACAGGATTTACCGTGATCTTTTCTCGCAGTGGTGTCAATAATTTGGAGGTAGCTTGGGTACCCCGAGAGGATCTTTTTTCACCAATGAACTAGTGGGCGCAAATGTCTACGGAGATAATTGATATTAGGGAATGGGCATTCGCACCTGCCAGATACGCACCTGCTGTCACTGGGGGTCACAAGACCTCACGAGAGGATGTCGTGGGTCTAGCGGGGATGTTTCGAAGGTCGCAGGGGTGCGGCGCACCTTTCAATAGTCATTTCAGAGGGGTTGCCGAGGGTCTCAAGTGGCTGTCGTGGTGGCCTGCGTAACAGTGGATCTCGCGGCTGTCTTCGCGAGGGTGGCAGGACTCGACTCCACGTTTTCCCCGTGAGGTCAGTGGCACTCCCTCGAGTACTGCGAGTCCCATGACACCCACTCGTGAGGTCCCGCCACCCTCAGTGGTGGCGGGAGCCTACCTCGTGGGCGCGAACGTAAATTACAAAACACTTATTATCTCAGTAACTAGACGTTTGCGCCCACTACTTCAGTGGCGAAAAATGATCCGCTTGGGGTGCCAAAGCTTTGTACAAATTATTGACACATCGAAAAAACTCACCCTGTATTCTCCGCCGCAGGACTTCACAGTATCCTCCGGACGACCGTACAGTGTTCTCCGCAGGGCTCAAAAGTCCTCCAGAAGACTGTTTGGTCCTACCGAGAAGACTGCACGGTCCCACGGAGAATAAGGGCTACGGAGAATCTTCGCAAAAAGGTTAACAGAATTTTCCAAAGCTTCTCGCCATTGATGACGCCGACGGTTGGCCCAACGCTACACGGCAAAAACGGAACCTGGTTTTCCCAGGAAGCCTATGGTTGAGACATAGGCGATTTCCAGGAAGCTCCTGGGAAAACCAGAAACCGTTTTTACCGTGTACGAACGCCTCGAGCCAACTTACGCTGCTGACGACTTGGCCGTCCGGCCCCCTGGCCAACGAGCCCCACGCGCGGCGGTCATCCGCGATGCCCGTCACCGCGACCGCGCTGCTCGCCTCGACGGCGTCCTGGGGGCGCCGCATCACCAGCTGGAAGCCCAGGTCGGTCCTCTGCACGTCCACGCCGACGCGCACCTTGCTGCCGGAGGGCAGCACCATGCCCTGGTGCCCGCAGACCCCGCCCGCTGGAAAAAAAAGTGACACAATGCTTCAGGGCTACGCTCAATGTGAACGTTGGAAGGCTGCACGAACATCATGGTGGTGATTCTCCATAACACGAAGGAAATTCGTCAAAATATCCGTATGATGTACAGGGGATGTTCAAAGCCAAGTATTATACAGTCAGCTACCCTTAATTGGATAATTTTGATCACAACACATGGAGAATCTTCTGTCTCTCTACGACTTCAAGAGTGTTGTGTAGATGAAAAGGTAACCCGTAGAATTTTGGCATTTCAACCCGAATTTACCGCGTGTCTGGAATCACCCTGTTCTACGGTACTTAAGGCGCGGTAACGGAGCCCGTGATAGTGAAAATGTTCCATATTATGGTGGTGCAGCTGACGTGGTAACATACCATTGAGAATTCACTGCACGTAATAGACATTTTGACGAATTTCGTTGGTATTATGGTCAAAATTTCCACTATAGTATGTTGGTGCAGCCTTTCACCGTAAGACATTAACAGTGTGTGATGCGTTTAAGGAATCTCCCAGGAAGCGCCTCGCCCCCTCACAAAAGAAAAAAGACCACTGCGGTACACTGTAAAAAATCCGTACTAGTTCGGAAAATGGAAAGATGAATTTAGTACGGAAGTAAGGGAAGGTGGGGTACCATGTGACGGTTTTTGTTAAGTGCCCGTCAACCCAATACTACCAATCACATTCCATCCTTAAGTAGTCATGTGAACAAAATGAATCTTCAACTTAAAATTTCTGTTGAGATCTCTAATTTATCTGTTTTGGTTGCTGAGTTATCCCGAGTTGAATGGGCCAAGTCAAAGTGTCACTTCGTACCCCACACGGTTAGCGCGACTCCTTGAAAAACAAGGACGGTTTTTGAAAAACAAGGAAATATGGAACACTTCAAGGAAGTTCCTTGGAAGTGTGCTCCCATTCCAAGGAGGCTCCCTTGTTTTCCAAGGCCAGTTCCTTGTTTTCTTGGACTCCAGACAAATTCCAAGGGCCCGCCTTGTTTTTGGGTGCACTTCCAAGGATACGCCTTGGGTGGTCTTGCCGATTCAAGGAACCGCCTGTTGTCCGCAAACGCTCGAGTTACGTCGTCGAGCACGTCATGAGGTCCCCGATGACGTCCCCCTGGGGTTCACCATGACGACCCCCATGTTTCACTGTGCCGTTGAGGCGGCCGGGTCTCACAGTGGCCAACGCCGAAGTCCGTTTTCTTCTACGTCCAGTACTTTCGGAGATACGAGGACGTACCACGAGGCCGCCGTCCAGGCGGAGGAGGAAGTGGTGATTTTTTCGAGGCCAAAGTAGCTCTGGCCACGACCTATTTGGTGTCCGGGGCTTTGACTTCGGAATCGGATTAGGGGGGTGCCGGCCCACCTCGAAACCAAATTTGGTCAAATTCCGGCCAGCCGTTTGCCCGGATGGCGTCAAACATCATCCAATCAGCAAAAGAAGTCCAAAATTCAGCTGTTTGACGCCATCCTGGACAAACGGCTGGCCGGAATTTGACCAAATTTGGTTTCGAGGTGGGCCGGCACCCCCCCTAACCCGATTCCGAAGTCAAAAGTCCCGGACACCAAATAGGCTCGTGGCCAGAGCTACTTTGGCCTCGAAAAAATCACCACTTCCTCCTCCGCCTGGACGGCGGCCTCGTGGTACGTCCTCGTATCTCCGAAAGTACTGGACGTAGAAGAAAACGGACTTCGGCGTTGGCCACTGTGAGACCCGGCCGCCTCAACGGCACAGTGAAACATGGGGGTCGTCATGGTGAACCCCAGGGGGACGTCATCGGGGACCTCATGACGTGCTCGACGACGTAACTCGAGCGTTTGCGGACAAACAAGGCGGTTCCTTGAATCGGCAAAGACCAACCAAGGCGTATCCTTGGAAGTGCACCCCAAAAACAAGGCGGGCCCTTGGAATTTGTCTGGAGTCCAAGAAAACAAGGAACTGGCCTTGGAAAACAAGGGAGCCTCCTTGGAATGGGAGCACACTTCCAAGGAACTTCCTTGAAGTGTTCCATATTCCCTTGTTTTTCAAAAACCGTCCTTGTTTTTCAAGGAGTCGCGCTAACCGTGCACGTAGTACACTATGTGACAGCCTTAGTGTACCATGTAACAGTGGCCTTTTGTCAGGGTTTGAATCCTATTCAGCGTACCTATACTCAAAGAATGAATGAAGAAGTCTTCCAGCTTTTTATTTCCGTTGAGTTCATCAATTTATCATCTTTGGTTCCCGAGCAATGAAGGTTTTAGTTATTAGTGTACAAATGTCATGAGCTGAACACATTCAACCGGGTGAATCGTGGAATCCCATAGCGAATGACAGTAGTGTCACATGGTGCCCAGATCAACAGTTTAAGGGGAAACAGCAATAACGCTCAAAGTTTATGCCGTAGAGAATCGAGCCAAAGCTTATTTTGCGCCTAAAACATCAAAAAAGAACATCTTGCAGAGCATATGTCCTTCAAATGTATTTTAAAGGTGAAAAGCGGACGCGGCGGGAAATAGAAAAAGTTTCCAATGACCTATTTTAAGACGGTTTCCAATTCTGATCGCTACCATTCCCGTATTTTTCGAAGGAGAGTCACGACCTATTGCACGTCGATTCTCCTTCATGATACCTTCCTTTGAGTCTTCTTACCGCTGTTGGATAGCAAGCCGTTTGGGAGAAAAAGCCAAAGTCACATAGTGGCCGTGTCACATGGTACCCCACCTTCCCTTACGGAATGTCCGTACTTGTCCCATAAGAACTGAACGTAATCACAGGGTGAGTTTTTTCAATGTGTCAATAATTTGGAGGTAGCTTGAGCACCCCGAGAGGATCTTTTTTCACCAATGAACTGGTGGGCGCAAACGTCTAGGTACGGAGATAATTGATATTTAGAAATGGGCATTCGCACCTGCCAGCTAGCCACCTGCTGTCACTGAGGGTCACAAGACCTCACGACAGGATGTCGTGGGTCTTGCGGGGATGCAACGAAGGTCGCAGGGGTGTGGCGGACCTTTCAATAGTCATTTCAGAGGGGTTGCCGAGGGTCTCAAGTGGCTGTCGTGGTGGCCTGCGTAACAGTGGATCTCGCGGCTGTCTTCGCGAGGGTGGCAGGACTCCACGGTTTCTCCGTGAAGTCAGTGGCACTCCCTCGAGTACTGCGAGTCCCATGACACCCACTCGTGAGGTCCCGCCACCCTCAGTGGTGACGGGAGCCTACCTCGTGGGCGCGAAGTTAAATTACAAAACACTTCTTATCTCAGTAACTAGACGTTTGCGCCCACTAGTTCACTGGCGAAAAATGATCCGCTAGGGGTGCCTAAGCTTTCTACAAATAATTGACACATCGAAAAAACTCACCCTGTAGAAGTTCCGTAGTAGGTCAGGTACAGACAGTCCGGGCAAATTATTGACCAGACATGTTCCGTAATTTTTCCGTACTTTTTTCTCGCAGTGTACTCACAGTTGTAGAACTTCGGGGAGATGGAGCCGATGAAGGTGGTGGTCCTGAGGCGGTCGCAGCCCTCCTGCACGCGCACCCTGGCCACGCGGTCGGGCCGCTCCTGCAGCCACACTGCTATGTGGTCCGGCACGCCTCCAGCGGCCGGCCGCCGCTCCACCACGAACGTGTGCTCGCCGCCGGGGAACTCCTGCTCCGGGTAAGGCCCACCGCCATCCTCGCTCGGCAGGTTGGGGTCGCTCGGCTGGAGCGGAGATCGAAGTCAAGTCTGGCAGCCTCGAAGCAACGTCCGTTGTTAGGAGTTAATATACACGGTAAAAACGGTTCCTGGAGACTTTCTTCGAAAACCAGGTTCCGTTTTTTACCGTAAAGTACGGTTTCAATGCTCACCGGTGCGTTGCCGTCCCAGAAGGCGCTCCAGCGGATTGTCTTGTCGGTGGGCGACAGTCGCCAAATCATGATGGAGGAACTCTTTCTGCTGTCAGTTGGACACGTCAGCTCGAAACCGAGGTTCGTGAAAAGGCGCGTCCCCATGACAGTGACGTTCACCTACAATGCAGTGACAGCGCTCAGAGAAACACAAGCATGACTTTAGACAATGTCGTTGGGGGTCTGAGCAACCAAAATGCACACTCAGACCCTATGGAATTTTTGTCTCTTCCTTATTAAGTTTGTTGAGCAGACGTATTGTGTCCTATTTTCTCTATAACTATGCACAATTCTGATCGATTTAAGACAGAATTGTCAATAGATCATGTAGAAATTAAAAAGAACGTTGCAAATGAGAAAACGTCAGGTTTAATGGACCAAATACCCTATGTTATAAACAAAATCGTGCAAAGCAAAAGTGAAAATGCTTCAGTGCATCCCTTCTACTCTACAAATCGAAGAGTGTACATGGTATGCTCTAACTGGAGCATGCCTGCAAGCACGCTCTAGCTAGCGCATGCCTGCCAGGCATGCACTAACTAGTGCATACATGCCATGTACACGCTAACTGAAGCATACATCTAGTGCATAAGGGATAGGGAGTTGTCTGCATCAGGAAGCGTGTACATGGCATGTATGCGCTAGTAATTGCATGCTTGGCAGGCATGCGCTAGTTAGAGCATACCATGTACACTCTTCGATTTGTAGAGTAAACCGTGTCGGTCGAATTGCACATGATCGCGACGGTTTAGGCGGGAAAACGGTTGACGCGGGTGAATTTTCCGGTGTTTCGCTTTATTTGGAAATTACATTAAGCAACAGCTTAAGCGGGAAAACGGTTTAAGCGGGACACAGTTCATGTGGGATCACAACGAAAACTTCCGTGGTTTGGTACGGAAAATGGTGTTCGGAAAAGGCACACGCTAAAACTTTTTTCGAAAAGCCCCGCCGAAAATTCGGCGTAAATAGCCTTCTTCGGCGGACTACTGTCGCGCCGCGTCTAAGTTCGGTGGAATCACCCGCCGAACGCCGCCGAAAGCTGATGACGCGGCCGATGAAGGTCCGCCGAAGCTCGGTGGGAGTGCCCGGGCCCATGAGGCTCCGTTGTGCTTCGACGGCCTTCCGCCGAACGGCTTGCCGTCCATGTTCGACGCTCCATCGTCAAATCAAATATAATTGGGATTTTATGTAACAGGACACGAAATATACTAGCAAGGCAACGTAAAATTTCGCGTAGAATCTTATTTTGGGGTCAGTTGTGTAAATTGTCCAAGGATGTCCCGGTTAAAAGCGGATATGCAACTCAGAGCTTGGTTATGTCAGCCGTGACGTGCGCCTCGCACCGTGCTTCGACGGCAAACCCCTGTCGCGATTCACGCCGTATTTTTGGCGGTATTCCTTCGAAGGTTCGAGAAAAGTTTTAGCGTGCACGGACCTTCCGTACTGGTTCTTTGTGACTGGTACGGAAAACATGCACAGAACTTCCGTGGTTGAAAGGTACGGACGGTCCACGTAAAAAATTGACCAGACACGTTCCGTACGTTTTTCTTCCAGTGATGCACTGTAAGTATTACGTTTGCACGCAAGTGGTTACGTTTTTGGCAAGTGATAAAATGTCAATACGAGGCTGAGAGTGTGGAAGTTTTAGGCCGATTACTCGGAAACTAAATGTGGTATCACTATGACCGGGGTCTCAAAAGATTCAAAATGTGATCATCTTTTGATCGAGCATAACGCGAGCCCTGTAGGCCGATCTCTTGTTTTAGAAAACATGGCAAAGACTGCGAGAAAATATGTGCTCTTATGATGAGTCCTCATCAGAGTCAGGGAAGGACTCGTCGTCCTACAGAGCTCATCTTATGCCTAATCGATGTTAGTATCTTTTATCTTTTCTATCCCCGGCCATAACGACCGGATGCATATCTTTCATGCATTGCTTGTAAACGTAGGTGGACGCTTGGTTTAATCGTACATCCACCCAGGTGACTTAACGCATTACGGCTTGACAGTGCGCTACAGTTCATAGTCGAGTGTGGGTGTACCTTCACTCTTTCTCCCGGGGCCAGCGAGTCGCCCTGGCCACGTGTTCCGGCGGCCGCTGAACATTGGGACGACATGGCACTCCAACTTATCGGGACCTGGAACAAATTAAAAACATTGTTTGTTTAAATCTGTGTCATATTTTTTTTTATGATCGGCACATTTCCCGTGGTGTTAATTAGTTTGTACTCCATCTATTGCCTGAATTTTGACGCGCAAGAAGGATAATACTCCAAGGGTTTACCTTAGATTTCGGCCCAATTTACCGAAGAGTTTTCGCTAAAAGCTAAACGAAGATATTCGGCAAAGGAAAGACACACTCTTGAATCAAAAACAGGGGGAAAACGGAACTGCAAGATGCAACTCAAGGAGGTGTGATTTTTGAAGAAAGCTGCACATTAAATACCCTTCTAATGAACATTAAGGTGATAGAACAAATTATGACTAAATGAGGTAGGAAATGGGGGGATCTACGAGCCCGCCTCCAGCAGTTGGCCCGATCAGTATCTTCGAAAAAGGGGGTCGACCGACTGGAACATTTTATTGTGATTTTCGATAGGTCTACACTGTTAAAAAAATCGTAAATTTACGACATTTTGTAAAACAATTATGTCGTTTTTAATTAAACGACATAATTGTTTTACAAAATGTCGTAAATTTACGACTTGAGTCGTAAATTTACGACATATTTGTCGCTAATTTTGATAGGGAGACGTTCCGTTTTGAAACGAATTAAGTCGTAAATTTACAAGGTAGGTTTACGCCAGACCGCGTCTTGTCGTAACAGGCTTCGCGATGTCTCGCTGCCTGTTCCTCCAATCCACGCCTGGCGTACCTACCTTGGCCTGCGGCGCTAGCCTGCCTGCGGCAGGCAATGGCTTGTCCGTTGTCGGTTATTTTTTAACTTGTTGGATGCTGGGGGGCTCCCCCCAGACCCCCCTACATTGTAAATGGAGTTGTTTTATCTAAAAGATAACACGATCTTGACCCTTGTCATTTTTTTTGGGGCTGGGGGGCTCCGCCAACCCCCTTTCCCCAAAGTCGGGTTTTGGGAAAAGTTTTTCGTCTGTTTTTTGGTGTTTTTTCCCCTATAACCCTGAACGGCTCGGGTCTGGTGAAAATTTTAGGTGTGCCGGCCGGCAAAACGCGAAAGTGTAAAACCACCTAGCTCGACTGGGTTCAGTTTTTATAGGGGGAAAAACACCAAAAAACGGCAAAAACAAAAGACTGCAGATAGACCACTTTTCAATGGAGAAAGGCTTGGGGGCGGACCCCCCCCCAGCCTGAAAAGGGTTAAAGTTTACGGGAAAGATCGTTTTTCTTGTCTCTAAAAAGGCGGTCGGGGAGCCCCCTGTTCCTAAAAATCCACGCCGGGACAACCTTGGGCCTCCCGGCGGCAGGCTGCCCCCGGCGGGCCCAATGGTACGCCGGTCGTGGATTTGGAACTTGGGACGAGGGGTCCCAACCCTACTGTAAGGAGTTAGTATATATTACCGAATAAAGAATATGGGGACCTTGGTCACTTTTTGGCTGAAACAAGGAATGTTACTCAAAGAGGGGTGACACAGTTTTGACTAGGCTAATCTGGGTTTCTGGCTGTTTCGGTCTTTTTGCCGCCTTTACCCTCCTGAAGGGGCCCCCTGGTGAGTTTTAAAAGGTATGCCCCGGAAACCACGCGAAATTAATCCTAGTTTAAAGGGTTCAGTTTTTATACGGACATAAACCTAAAATTCCTGCGAAGGAAACCTAATAGCTTTCTGCTGAAAACCAAAGTTCTGTACGGAGAAGGGGTTGGGGCGTTAGCCCAGCTTAAACAAGTTAAAAAGGGAAAGGGTAATATCGTGTTATAGGGGTAATATAGAGGAATTTTACAATGTAGGGGGTAGGGGGCGGAGAATTAACAATTTAAAAAAATAAGAGGAAGATAACCCTTCCTCCCGTAGGAGGTAGCGGGAAGGTGGGTCGCCCGTGGGAAACAGGCAGCGAGACATCGCGAAGCCTGTTACGACAAGACGCGGTCTGGCGTAAACCTACCTTGTTAACTTGTCGTAGCGGGGGGGCTCCGCCCCCCAGCCCCCCCTTTCTCCAAGACAGAAGTGGTCTATCTGCAGAACTCTCTATTTTTCGCCGTTTTTTAGGTGTTTTTCGCCTATAAAAACTGAACCAGTTGAGCTAGGATGGTGAAATTTCGCGTGTGCCGAGCCAAGGACATACTTAAAAAGTGTGCAAAATCTCACCGAGATCGGCCGAGCCGTTCAGGAGGAGTAGTGCGGACAGACAGACCGACAGACAGACAGACCGACAGACAGACAAAACTTTTCAACCCCACTGGAGTAACAGGCTTCGCTATCGCTCAGCCAACAACTTAATCGTTAGTTTACGAACGATCGTAGTTTTTCTAAGGAATATGTCGTGCAGTTATGACTTCAGTCGTACATTTACGAATGTTTTCGTAAATTTGAGTAATGAATCGTAAACGAACGACACAAATCGTAAATAAGCGAGCAAAATTGCAACTTTTCATCAACTTTTCGGGGATTTCAGATTTCTAAATATGTAATCGCGATTACGACGTTGTCGTAGAGAAATGATTTTTTTGTCGTTCAGTTACGACGAAGTAGTTTCAGAACGATTTCTGTCGCTATCAAAATTAGCGACATTTTTGTCGTTAATTTACGACAAAATTTCTGACAGTGATACTCAGATACATTCTACTTGGAACCTTCCCAGCAAAACCTGGTGAGACTTTATACCTGCACACAAAATCTATGTGTGTATACTGTGCGCCCGAGTGGGTAACCGTCCTTAATCAGGCTTCCAAATCGCTTTCGATCCACATGGCTCGATGTCGCGGTGGCCGTGGTGGCGAGCTGGATCACTATTTGCGGGCCTGCCTTCCTTTCCAAAGCTATCAGTCGTGTCCGCGGCACCTGCCGGGGAGGCCCCCTCTCTGCCTCCCACTCCTAGCAGGCGCGGACTGCGTGCGAGTAGTGGGGGCCTCTCCGCATGCGGTGCCAAGGCCATGGCAACGACCTGCGGCAGGCGGGCCGGCTGCCACGCTGCTTTGGCTCACAAGTCGCACAGTCGGCCTGCCTCCGCGGCGACGAGGTTGAGGACCGTCCAGAGAATCGTTCATTAATCACGCTACTGGTTTTTTTCGACACTATTTCTTCCTTCAGGCGCATGCTCAGTTTCTTTGCGACCGAGTTACATTTCACCGTATAAAGCAAGTTTTCTACACACCACTGGTAAAAGTAAAGGGGCGTCTCACTTTCATTATCGCCCGAAATTTGCGAATTTTAGCGAACGGTTCGGATGTTCTGGGAGACGGAGACGGGTTTTCCCAGCGCGCATGACTCACGCGGCAACGCGCACTTTGTGGACGTGGAGATAGGCGGCGCGGCGGCGGAGAGGCGGAGTAGGGAGCGGGAGGCGGAGAACGGAGAAGGAAAACCGATGGAAAAAGAAGACGAAGAAGAGTAAACAGCAGGAGGAAGGTGAAAAAGAAGAGGGAGGGGAGTGAGTGGCAACGAGGCAGGCAGAGCTGGCTGCATGCGAAGAAGAAGGCGGTCTGGGGGAGGGGGAACTCTGAGGCAGGAGAAGGGGCAAGCGTAACACTGACCAGCCCGACGCCGGCAAGACCAATATAGTACTGGCCGTGTGCGGCGGCTCTTATTTATGCCGCGGGGACTGTCATCTCACAACTTACCGTGATGCGGCCGCCAGTCGAAATCCTCTTCTCGGACGAAAATGCAAAGTCGAGTTGGGTGCCGATCCGCGCGGGGCGGAGTGCGGCGAGCGACTGGAACCGAAAGCACGCCGGGGCCGAAGGAAGGAGGAGAGGGGGGCGGGGACTCGATGACGTCACTGGCGCCTGTGCGTCGTCACTGCAGGGCCGCCAGCGCACAGCACACAGGCTTGCAGCTCGCGATCTGAGTGAGCGTTAGACTGCGCGAGCCCAGAGCACGCTGCAGGCCAGATGACGCAGGGCGGTGTGTCTCCGTTGAGATAGCAGTGGCAACAAGAGATATCGATAACGGAAAATTCTGTAATTTTTTTGCCAAGATTCTCCGTAGCCCGCTTATTAATAGTCTCCGCAGGACCGTACAGCCTTCTCCGTAGGACCTGGAAGACTGCAATTGTAAACAATGGCCTCAAAATCATGCCCCATATGGCATAACACTGATTTAAAATGATTTACGCCCTTGGGAAGGGCGTTCAGCCTTAGTTTGGGAGTAGTATTCTCTGAGAAAACCTTACAAACTATTTTGGGCCATACAAAGAAACGTAGTTTGTATAACAAAGTATTTTAAGCATACGTAAGCTTACAAAGAAAATACTTTGTAATTTACGAACTATTTCTTCGTATAACAAAGTATTTTAGTTTGTTATACGTATGCTCAAAATAATTCGTAAGGTATTAAGAGTGTTGTCTCAAAGTTGATCGAAATCATCTTAAATGCCTTGGAAAATTCGCGATTTGAGTCGAGTTAAAACAGTCTCCGCGTCTGATCCGAGGCGGGCCTTCGTACTTTCTCAACGAGCAATTCGTCTTTGGACCTTCCTTCAGCATGCCTTTGTTACGGAGTGCGATTATAAGCCTTAGTTTGGGAGTAGTATGGGGTACTTTCGTAGAATCCTGAACCGGAAGCAAGCAGACCAGCAGACGCCAAATTGGCCGGAAACTTACCTCTCTTCGGATCCAAAACTATAGCCGAGCTGTACAAATATTGCTCGCCAAACACATATGCACTGCAAACAAGTATCCAACAACTGTTTATGTTCAAGTGTGGCCGATACGTTTGATGAACGTCTCTTTCCCATGTCAAGTTTGGATCTACTTCCGCCAACATGGCGTCTGTGTGCTTCCGGTTCAGGGATCTACGAAAATACCCTATTGTCTCAATGTTGATCACAATGGTCTAAAATGCCTTGGAAAATTGGTGTTTTTGGCCGACTTTCAGCAGCCACTGCGTCTGATCCAGGGTGGGCCTTCGTACTTCTCCAACGGGCAATTGGTCTTTAGACCTTCCATTAGAATGTTTTTAGCAGATGATACCTTTAGTACTTTAAAACGTACCTAGAACAATATAAAACACTTAAAGGTGTCAGCTAGCTTTTACTCGAGAGTTCAGAAACCAAGGCTGTATCCTAACAATAATGGGGGCTGGCTGCCCGGGCGGGCTGGTGAGTGAGTGAGGCACAGCCTGCGCGACGCATCGACAACTCCTCCTCCGGGTACAGCGCGAGCGGCACCGGCCAACAATGCCCTCCCCCCTCTCGCACAGTCCCTCCCTGGGTACAGCGCACGGAACAGCAACAATGCCTCACGGCTCGGCACGGCTCAGCGCGCTCGAGGCACGGCGCGGCGGTGCAAACCACAGCTCGGCTCGCACCAACACTGTCCAGCTCGCTTAGGTCTATGTATTTTATTGGGCCATCTATTTCATTTCATACACAATTATGAATAATCCCGAAATACTACCTAGAAGAAAACCAAACGAGTATCATCTGCTTTCATTAACGTTCGTTGAATGATATTTTTGTTACGGAGTGCAATTATCAGCCTTTGTTTGCGAACAGAATCGTCTCAAAGTTAATCAAAACAGTTACAAATGTCTTTGAAAAATCGGTGTGACCGTTTTAATCTCTTTTGAGACAATACTGCGCCCAAATTAAGGGGGCACACCAGTGAAAATGCAGAGGTTTTGAAAATCGATCATTCTGAGAAAAGTAACCTATGTATTCGATTGATATTTTATTCTTGGCTCAAAATTATATCAAAGAAAAGAAAAATGAGTATGGGAGGGTGGGGTGGAGATGGCAAGAAGGAGCGCCAGTGCACAGTGGGCTGAGATCCGTAAAAACGACATTTAATACCATTTTTTCAAAATCATTTTTTGGATTGGCTGTGTGTGAGTTAATGTTCAGAAAGGTCCACTCTTGAAGAAAATGGACATGCCAGCCCAAAAACCTAGCCGTATCACAGTGAAAACTACCCGTGAAAACTTGGTTTTTTACGGTTACCGAGCTAGTGCCGCGGAGCACAAAAATTGCACAGTCCCAAAACCCCTTTCCGACCAGCCAGGGCAAATTTTTTATCCCTGTTTTCGGCAGAATCTATTGTTTGGGTATGCAACTCGAGATGAAGACAGAATGTGGACTCATTTTGGCCTTGGTGGCGTGAGAAGACACATATTTATAAATTTAGGTAAATATGCGAATTTTCATTTATTCCCAATATTCAATTTGAGTTTCAAAGCGACTCCTTCGTGTCCCGAAAGAGATCTATACGCCAAAATGTTCCTTGGACCTTCCTCTACAAGATCCAAATTCTATCAAAGGCTCATCGAGGCTCCTCTCGGATTGCGACGCGTCGAAAGCTAGCTCTGTTCGTCATTTCGCCGCGCCGCCGCAACGACATGTGGCGCTGTTGACGCTGCTGCTTGCGCGCGCCACTGCCACCGCGTCGCCGCAAAAATCAGGAAGTAACGCGCGCATATCTCTGCAAGTTTCTAGGGTATAAGATTTGCATGCAGTGACTGGACTGGACACTGGACAGGTATGTTTGAGTGTTTACGTGAGACATATCCGTGCGTACTCGCTCTGCCCTCGCATCAGACAAGTTTCATTAGACAAGTTTAAACTTTCTGTGCAGTGCTGTAGTTGAGTTTATCTTGGTGTGTCTAGCGATGGCATGTGTAACCCACTGTAAACACCTAAAAGTTTGTCTGAAAACGGCAAAAAGGTTAGAAAACACGAAGTTAGAAACACGGACTTTTAAAAAAAATTTCAGGCTGTTACGGTTGTTACGGATATTACGCATGTTACGCAGGAGTTTGGGGGTGAGGGTGGAGACTTGTGGGGATTCTATTAGCCTTGCACTTCCTGTTCGACAAATTTTACATAGGATGTTACTGTTTTGTAGGGTAGCTAGGACATGACCCAAGTTTCTCGCCTGGAGCTGTACCAAATTACTTTTGTTGTTATTATTTACTGTTTTGTTGATTTCATTTTGTTTTTATTTTTTCCTTGCGATGAACTTATTTTGACTTGTCCTTGGCTACCAAGTTGATAATGTGGTGTTAAAATAAATTTATGAACACTTTTTGGTCTTATTTGATGAAACCCGTCCTCTGAAAATTTAGACACATAGTCAGATCGATAGAGCGGCTCAAGACGAATCGATTGGTACTAGTTTGACTGCTGTAGCACAATCCGTTCGGCCACAGTCGAATTAAATGTCACATTTCGCTCCCTCAGCCCACTGTGCAGTGCACTTCATTTTTCTGCCATCCGTCTCACTCCTGCCACGATTCCGCCTCTCTGGATTGAGCCTCGAGCACGGGATTTGAAAATTTCTCAACAGGACACATGTGGCTATGGTCTGAACCACGGGTATGCTAAAAGAATAATTTTGAATTTGTTATTTCAGAAGGCAAAAATAGAAACAAATTTTTTAACTAATCTTTTCGCGCTTTCATGGCTGCTGCTTACGTTCTATTCATGGGATGGCCATTTCCGAGGTTCAGACCATAGACGCAAGTTTTACAAACATTTTGCCGCAAACCGCATTGAATTATCTCAATTTTAGCGCCCGTGAGAGTGGCACAAAGGTACAAAAAGGGTGTTTTGAGTAAAAGGCCTTTAAGTAGAAACATAGATTTGACGTGTTTTTTGCCGATTATAAATGCGCCTTTTCACGTATTTTAGTTCGGATGTCCCTTTTTACAACTGCGTTTGGGTGGTTCAAGGGTTTTGCAATTGAACTTTAAGTGGAAAACCTAGACGTTTACATTTAGCAACTTAAAAAAATGTGCACGACCCAAAGTTATTGGAATTTAGGGGTGGGGTTTGCGGCGTTCGACTCGGGATAAATAGAAGAAAAATAAGATGAAATAAAAAAGAAGGCCAAAATTCGACGATTTTCACTGGTGTGCCCCCTTAAGATGGACATTCGCACACCGTAACAAAGGCAAGCTAAAGGAAGGTCCAAAGACCAATTGCCTGTTGGAAAAGTACGAAGGCCCGCCTCGGATCAGACGCAGTGACTGCTTTAACTCGACTAAAAACGCGAATTTTCCAGGGCATAAAAGACGATTTTGATCGATTTTCGATTTTGATATCCTGTAGGGCCGATGACTGCTGCTTCCTCAACAGTAGGGTGATTCCGCGCGTAGAGGGCGTTTTCGTGTCCACACCCTCCCCAGAGCGAATTTATTCGAGTGCAGTCCATTTATACACTTAAGAATCTTGTTTGGCACTAGAATAGCTTGTTCCCTTTGTATATGGACTTACAAAGCTAACATGTGACGCGGGAGGGGGGCCAAAAGGGTCGATTTTGTAAGTTCCGTCATGTCCATTCGCACCTTACACCAATTTTGCGGCTCTATAACCCTTTGTTCCATTCAAATCTTCGAATTCCACACACACCCATCGAATCTCTAACTAATTGTGACTATCTTGCTTGAATTTAAAGATCGTATATTGATTGGAACTGAACTTTCAGAACGCGTACTAAATGTCCACCGTACTCCGTTTTTTACCTTAGCCGTTTCAAAGTAAGCTCCAAAAAAACTACTAGGAGTGCTCCCTGCTCAAAACCACCGCCGTATTTGGAATCAGCACGGTCTGTTTACCATGTGAACGGGAGTCGGTGGCGAAAAAGTGAGGGGGGTGAGTGTGCGAGTGGAAGTTGTGTGTGAAATCGGTGGGTTGTAACAATTGGTGTAATTTCCGTATGCCCCTCTCGCTCCTCGTCTTTTGGGTTTTGAAAGACATCCTACACGTGAAAAGATGTGTCTTGACGTCGAACTAGTGTGCCAAACTTATGGCATATTTCTGTGGCGATATGCAGTTGCAGTGAGCCAGAAACACCTGTTTGTAATTTCCGTCAAGCGTAATTTCCGTCATATTTTCAGTAAATTTCGTCATATTTTATAGGGGGAGAAAACGAAAGTCAACTTTTAGCTCACCCACGCTCAGAGTGTCTTCCTGGGGTTCAATTGATGCCATTTAGGCCAAAGTTCGGCCGAACAAGCAAGATTGATAACTTGACTTTCTAAGGTGGCTAAAACGGCCCCTACGCACGGAATCACCCAGTAGAGGTTGATCCAGATGGGCTGCGGTACTCACTTGAAAACACACAATTTAGGGAAGAAACAGTAAATAAATAAGTGAAGAGAACGAACTGTGTGTTGAAGCTTGTGGTGCAAGGTCCAATAGTAAATAATCTGCCCATCCCCGGCCACAAAGGGGTGCCTGATCGCCATGTCACCCACGTTGCCATTTGCCAGGGCCGAGCCAGCGCCTGCCAGGGTACAGCGTAGGCCAGCCTGCTCAACAGGCGTGTCTGCGGGGCTGCCTACCCACTATTTACCATTTCCATTAAGGACTAGGCCACACATGATCGTATGCCATTTCGGGCCCGACACACGCTCGCCTACCCTCTAATACCGCGGTACCGAAAAAGGCGCCGGGAGTGTTATGGGGAGCCTCGGAAGCGCTTTAGACAGCAAAAATACCCCTTTTCGGCCGTTCAATTAGTATGGCCGGAATGGGCCGCGTGCTGGCCAAGCAATGGCGGGGTGTTGTCCGAGGCCGGGTTTGGCCGGAGTTGACCGGGCCCAGGCCGGGTGTTGGCCGGACTTGGCGGGGTGGTAGCCGGGTGTTGGCCGGGCCTGGGCCGGGTGTTGGCCGGGTGATGGCCCGCTGGCCTGGACTTGGCCTTCGTCTAGGGTAGACGTGTTGGCCCCTTTCCCCGCTCCCGGCCGCCGCACAGTGGGACGAAACGCGTAAAAAGCGGCGAGAAGTAGCGTTTTGAAATTTGAACTGCAGGGTCCGACAAACTCTTCGATGTTCATTGGAAAGTGTTGGAAAGGACTCAGCTATGCGTGACACTTGTTAGTTTGACAGTAAATGACACGAGCGAGCTACAGCAGACCGCAAAACATGACACATTTTCAGCTTTTCGTTTACTTATTACAAAAGGTGTAAAGTGTTCGCTCTGGTGGGCGCCCTGTTCAAGATGAAGGTACCATATTGTATGGTTTTAGAAAGCTTACAGCCTCACCAAATGTAATACAGCAGTCAGGTTTACTCTTGGGTCATCCGAGTGAAAGTACAACGCTGTTAAAAGCGTTACAAAATCAGCGTTTGAACGATTTTCACGATGCGATAAGTTGAGTTGCGCACATTTGCGCACGGTTCTGTAGCATGTCGGTGATAGGGCAGCCAGTCCACATTGGCTCCAAGCTGCCGAACGTTTCGGAATGTTTCTTGTTTTGAGGAAATCGCCTCCAAAAGTGAGTTATTGGCTGGCGCCGCACAGTGGAACGCGACGCGAAAAAAGTGGCGATAGTTGAACGAGGCTCCGATTACGGCGAAAATCTCTCCTCGTAGGTTTTCAAGGTCGTGGAACTCATTTCTGATAAAATCCAGAACCAAAATCTCAACGCCATGCGGAACCAGCGTTCAGGTTAGGGGAAACCGTCCATTTTGCACCGATACCGGCAAAAATGTCTTCTCCGGGGTTTTCGAGAATGAGGAACTCATCTCAGACAATATCTTAAGCAAAGTCTTAACGTGAGGGGCGAACCAGGAACTGAACAATTGGACTTCAAGACAGTTTTTTTTAATGTATTCGTAAGAAAAAACAGGTCATTGACTCAAACATAGTGGTCAACGAAAATACGGTTTCCCCCTTACCTGAGAGCTAGCTCCGGACCAGAGGTTTAAATTTTGGTTTTAATTTTATAAGAAATTAGTTCCTCAGCCTAAAAATTCCGAAAAAGAGATTTTCGCCGCAATCAGTGCAAAATGAACGGTTCCCTCCTGACCTGAACACACGCTCCGCCCCTGGGGTTTGGTTTTTTGTTTTGATTTTATCAGAAACAAGTTCCTTGACTTTAAAAACCTCTGAGTAGAGATTTTTGACGCAATCGGAGCCTCCTATAATTATCGCCGCCTTTTTCGCGTTTCGTCCCACTGTGCGCCGTGCCCTCTGACCCCGTAATCGGCCAGCCCCGCGCGGCCACGCTCTGCAGGCTTGTCGCTCCGCAGCAGTAGTGCCCGCGCCTCGCCCGACGATGGCCGCCAAGTCCCTCACTCTGCTCGGCCTTCTGGCCGCCGTCTCGACAGGTGGGCCGTGCCCGGGGGGAAGCAACTTGTGTACCTTGTGCGTAGGGACGATACCCAAACCGAAACGATACCAAGGCCGTTACGACAACAGTTTGCACATATGACTAAAATTCAAAAAGTGTAGCACCTGGAACCAAGGGAACAGCTTTTTCCTTGATGATCAAGGCGTACCGGAGTTTTGTTCCTATATGGACCAGGTCCAAATTCCGCTTCCCTGAGTTTTGTTCTTTTAAGGGGGGACATCACGCCAAAATGATCAAAAATTAGAACTTTTTTTATTAGTGTATATTATAGACCATTCTTTTTCGCGTCGTATGGTGAAAACCGCATACCGAAATTCCAAAAATTGCAGTTTTAGGAGGTTGTGGGCCGCAAACATGCATGGAAAAGCGCCGTTTCCCCTACTTTGACCGCGTTTTTCTCGGAACATGAAATTGCAAACGGTTGCAGGTCTCTAGGGCGCAGTTTTTGAGCTACAACGGGGAGATTTAGCACGGAAGCTCCTACAACTTGCCGCTATGGTGGGTAGCAAAATAATTTGCATTGGTCAATTTTTATAATTTTTTTAACGTTCAAAATTGAACAATTTTGACAAAAAAAAATTCAACATTTTTTTTTTGGTATGGAACAAATACAACTTAAAATGATTTTTTAAATGTGATTGAGGTACCCACCGTAGCCAGACATCTCAGGAAGGCTGTCACCAAATTTCGTTGTTCTAGGTCAAACCGTTTGGCGTCCAGCGCTGCTACAGAGCAAAATGGTCTAACCTAACACTCAAAAATGTGTTTTCAACGAAAGCGCTGTACTGCGCTGGTTGATTGACTTTGTGTTGTTTTTATCTGTTTGTACACTGAAAGTAAACAGATAAAGATAACAGACAAGAAGGCGATACTCTTAAACTGACGGTAACTGTATACTTTACCGTACTTGTGCACTGTTTGGTTAATGTGTAACTTTTTGACTGAATAAACGGCTATTCTGACTAAACCATTTCAGGCCAATAAATGTATGAGCGAGTTCCTGGACGAAAAGTCAACATTGGAACCAGCCTTGGGAAAATGGGTCTTGCGGATCTGTGTGGATCAAGCTCGTGGGCTTCTCCTTCTAGGGAAAATTCCCCACTGGGCTTTGCATGCTGGTCCGAGGGGTGAATCACTAGTGTTCGTGTACAAGTTACCCCGTACTCAGTGTACTCACAAGTTGAAGAAGGGCGAAATTTACTAGTTTTTCGACCGATTTGGCGTTAAGTGCCATTGAAAACGCTACACACTAAATGTCATGGGGCCATGAATGATGCAATTTTAAGCACATCCGGTGGTGATGCAATTTTGTGTCCGCCAGGTGGGACAAATTGTCTTGTGAAAGTACAATTTGCAGCGGGCGTCGGACAAAATGTGTCTCCAGACGGCAACAAAATTGTATCAGCGTCGGATGTGCTGAAAATTGCATAAATCGTGGGACAAAAAAAGTCCCATGACATTAAGTGTGTAAATAAGGCCTTAAAATGTTTACAAATGTGAAATTTATGAGAAAAGCAAGGTGTACTCACCCGTACTCATGTACTCATATGGACACCAGAACGCAGAGAGATTCATCCCTCGTGCTAGTCTCACTGCGTCGAGCGAGTACAAGGGACAGCCTGTCCGCGTCGCAGCGCCGTCTCACGGCCTCTCTGTCCGCAGTGGCCGGCTTGTGCAAACCGTGGGAGTTCCGGTGCGAGGACGGCAAGTGTGTTGGTGGATGGGGGAGGTGCGACGGTGGAAGGCACTGCGGCGACCGCTCCGACGAGGAAGGCTGCAACGGTGAGTGCGCCGAGGCTGGGTCTGCCACAGGGCTGGAGTGGGGCGTGGCGACGGCAAGACGGTCGCACTCGGCAGGGCAATTCCGTGCGTAGAGTGTTTTTTCTTCACGGTCTGAAAATCCGTGAAAAAAAAATTCTTTCTTCCCAGTGCTATTTTGACTCTACACAGTAAAAACGGTTCCTGGCGGTCGTTGGTTTTCGCAGGAACCCCCTCGAAATCACGTATGCTTTCCCCTTTGGCTTCCTGGGAAAACCAGGTTCCGTTTTTGGCTGAGCGATAGCGAAGCCTGTTACTCCAGTGGGGTTGAAAAGTTTTGTCTGTCTGTCGGTCTGTCTGTCTGTCGGTCTGTCTGTCGGTCTGTCTGTCCGCACTACTCCTCCTGAACGGCTCGGCCGATCTCGGTGAGATTTTGCACACTTCTTAGGTATGTCCTTGGCTCGGCACACGCGAAATTTCACCATCCTAGCTCAACTGGTTCAGTTTTTATAGGCGAAAAACACCTAAAAAACGGCGAAAAATAGAGATTTCTGCAGATAGACCACTTCTGTCTTGGAGAAAGGGGGGTCTGGGGGGTGGAGCCCCCCAGCCTTGCCAAGTTAAAAAGTGACAAGGGTCAAGATCGTGTTACCTGTAGATAAAACAACTCTATTTACAATGTAGGGGGGTCTGGGGGGCGGAGCCCCCCAGCATTCAACAAGTTAAAAAATAACCGACAACGGACAAGCCATTGCCTGCCGCAGGCAGGCTAGCGCCGCAGGCCAAGGTAGGTACGCCAGGCGTGGATTGGAGGAACAGGCAGCGAGACATCGCGAAGCCTGTTACGACAAGACGCGGTCTGGCGTAAACCTACCTTGTTATCGGGGCGATTCCATGCCAAACCAACGAACTCTTGGCAATTCATCTCTTCGATTTGCAGGAAACTTTTTTTAGGGGTTGTGATCATTATGAAAAGATTCAATGTCAAAGGGTTTTGCGCTATCTCTCCCCGTTTGGCTGTAATAACATAGGGAAGTTTTCACTTTGGTCAGAATCATGATATTTTCTTTATTTTTCTCTGTACTCACTGAAAGTTTTCAAATAATACATCTTTTCTTGTGCAAATAAAAAACGACTTCTCTTATGATATACCAAATGGTGAGTACCCTTTACACAAACAATACAATTTTGTTCAGTTCCGTTCTTTCAAAATAATATTTTTCATGCTTTGCAAACAATTTTTTTTAAATCTCTAGATTCTGCTCCTTTGCCCCCTACTGTTACTTCTCCTGTGGATGAGGAAATGCCAGAGACCTCTCCCTCTCAGGATGACAACAACAATAGAGGAGGTTTGTACTTTAAATATTGATGAAACTGATAACTTCGTTGTGTCTGAATATTCATTTGAGCTCTCATTGCAGAGAAACGAAGCCATCCTGAGGATGATGAGGAGTTTCTGGCATTTGAACCAGTTGACAAGTCTCCTCATATGGACATTCCACCAGCCGCAACTCCTTGACGTAAGACTATGCAATTTTTCCTCATTTCAATTTTTTTTCTTCTGTTTTGAAGGTTGTTGGCTTTGAGAGGGGACAAGAGAGAGATCTCCCCCTCCTCAAAGAGTGAGCATAAACAAATTGGCTTCTATGTCTGGAGTTAGTAATCTCACTGGTGATGTACGAAATGTGCTCAGAACTGCTCAAGAGTACAGACAAATTGCACTTTACTTCAAGAGGAGATTGATTCTTTCGCAGAGAGTGGGTTTTAAACGAAAGAAGTTACTTAATCAGAAAGCCATTGATATCCTAACTGAAATGTCACCATCCCGGGGAGCTCGATTAATCTTAGAAGGAGAGCTGCGGAACATTAAAAAGAAACCAAGAGGGAGAACATGGACAATGGATGATAAATTGTTTTGGCTTTCTGTATACAAAAGAAGCCCTAGATCCTTTCGCTTCTTGAGAACCTATGTTGTACTGCCAAGTGAGTCAACTTTAAAAAATGTGTTGAAGAGTCTCTGTTCTGTCCAGTCCTCAAAAAAAAAAAAAAAAAAAAAAAAAAACATTGTGAGAGGTTTTGAAAACTTTGGTTCTAGAGGAAAGACTCATTTAATTGCTGACCATGCCCTTGTCTTCATGGCACAGGCCCTGAATACAAAGTGGGTCCTGCCCATAGCATTTTATATGGTTTCCAAAACGTGTCCCAGAACTATGCTTTCTATACTTCTCAAGGACGTAATTACTTCTCTCTCCAATTTGGGCCTTAATGTCGTGGCCAGTTTTTCTCATCAAGGCCCCACTAACAGGGGGCAATTACTGACCTCAAGGCAGAGAGTGGTGATAGTGTCTTTTATTGTGTTGGAGAAACAAGAGTGGTTCACATTTGGGATGTAGCCCATATTTTTAAAAATGTGACAAACAACCTCCTTACTAGTGATGTTGAGTACAAGCCTGGTAAGGTTGCTCGGTGGCGAGATCTTATTGAATTCCTAATGTTAGATAACTCTTTTTGCAAGCTGTCCTCATTGACACCTAGACATTTGAACCCCAAAGGTAGGGACAAAATTAGGGTGGATTTCGCTGCAGAAGCTATAAGTTCGACAACAGCTAGTGGCATGGAACAGTTCTACACAGTGACCAATGGTTCAAAGTTGCCTAACTGCATGACCACTGTAAATTTTATCAGGAAAGCTGACTTTTTTTTTATTTGACAAATGGTCCACGTGCGAGGTCTAAAGAAAAAAAGAGGAGCACCCGAGTTGACATTACAGCTGATTCTTTGCATTTATGAAGAATGGTCTAAAATGTCAGAAGAGCTAAAGCAATGGACATTCATCAGGAAGAAGGATGGATCCAGGCATGTCCCACCCTGTATAACAGGGTGGATTGACAATATTCAGTCGTTAAGATTCCTGTGGCGCAAAGTGCAAGGAAATGGCATGAAGACTCTCAAACTTCGGAATCTCAACCAGAATGCTCTAGAGAATTTATTTTGTTTGATTACGCAGTGTGGTGGATCAAGCTCTGATTTGACATATGATCAGTTCATTGCAGCCATGAAAACATGCTTGATTAGCAGATTTTCTTCTGTTGTTAAAGGAAAGAATTGCTCTGATTATCACTCTGTATTTTTAAGTGATTTAAAAATACTTCTTCAAGTTGGTGCTTGTCAAGGAGCTGATCCCAATGTACCGGTACCTCAAACATCCTTGATTCGAGGTGATGTCCGAGAAGAAGTAACACCTGTGGTGAACAATGCAATCCACAGGCAAGGAGTTTCATCGCAGTTGGCTTCCTCACTCACCCAACTGACCAACACAATTAAGTGCGATGCTTGTTGTGCTCTTCTTACAACGAAGTAAAGAACTTTAGACTCCAATTCTTGTTTGAGTGATCTCTTTCCTTCAACAACATTAATCACTATGTTTATGAAAGTTCAGTCACTATCTGAAAGGAAGTGGAGGTCTCTTTTGTACCTGGACAAGGTTACCGAAAAAGTGTCTTTGTTTTTCAAAACTTCCCTGAACTGGGCTTTTTTGTTTCGTACTGAGCATCAGCAGAGAGATGATATCCTTTCTCAATTTTTTAATATTGTTGCTGAAAACTTGATATCATTGCGAGTTGCTCTTTGCAACAAAAATTAGAAAAGGGGCATCATGAGGTACAGCAGGCAGGTACAGAGTTCAAAAAGTTTTGATGGCCTTCGTCAGGATGAGGAGGAATTGGAACTGCATTCCACAGAGGCCCAACTGCTGGAGCCGGCTGCAGCCATTTTCTTCCAGTGAAGGTTTTAACAAAATTTCAATGGGTGTTTTGTGGTTTAATTTTTCGCCACTGAATGTTTTAAAAATTTTTGTTGCGGAGGACATATTGCCCCAGTAGTTAGACACATCCTCACTTAATCACATCCCAGGGGTTCGGATTATTTAGCATGAGAAATTACATGTCTTGCCATTGAGCGACCAGGCTCAAACTCATCATCACCAGTAACATAGGTTGTTCCTCACATTAAGGGGGCACACCAGTGAAAATCGGCAAATTTTCGCCTTCTCTTTTATTTTATCTTATTTTTCTGCTATTCATCCCGAGTCGAATACCTCAAACCCCACCCCGAAATTCCGATTACTTTGGCTTGTGCACATTTTTCAAGTTGCCAAAAAGGTTATTATTTTTGCATATTTTTGACCAATTGTTAACGTTCAGGGTTTTCACTTGAACTTCAATTACAAAACCCTTGAACCACCCAAACGCAGTTGTAAAAAGGAACATTTTGGCGCAAACTGAACTAAAATACGTCAAAAGACGCATTAATAATCCGAAAAAACACGTCAAATCTATGTTTCCACTTAAAGGGCTTTTTCTCGAAATACCTATTTTGTACCTTTGTGCCACTCTCACGGGCGCAAAAATTAAGATAATTTAATGCGGTTTGCGGCAAAATGTTCGTTACACTTGCGTCTATGGTCTGAACCTCGGAAATGGCCATCCCATAAGTAGGACGTGAGCTGCAGCCATGCAAGTGCGAAAAAATTGGTTAAAAAATTTGTTTCTATTTTCGCCTTTTGAAAAAACATATTCAAAATCATTCTTTTTGTATGCCCGTGGTTCAGACCATAGCCACATGTGTCCTGTTGAGAAAATTTCAAATCCCGTGTGCGAAGCTCAATCCAGAGAGGCGGAATCGTGGCAGGAGTGAAGCAAGGTCGTTGAAAAATGAAGTGCACTGGCGCTTCATCTTGCCATCGCCACCTCGCTCTCCCATACTGATTTTCCTTTTCTTTGACATAATTTTGAGCCAAGAATAAAATATCAATCGAATACATCGGTTACTTTTCTCAGAATGATCGTTTTTCGAAACCTCTGCATTTTCACTGGTGTGCCCCCTTAAGTCCCTGTCACCAGTCTCTGCCTTGAGATCACTAATAGCTTCTCTGTTTGCGGGATCTTCGTCAGAAATGTCACTGTGAGTTCTGAAGTCACTCATGATAAGTTTCTTCTTCACATTTATTTACCATATTATTTATTTTTGTTTTAGTATTTGCAAAAGTTACATCAGTGATTTATTTAAATAAAAAAATTACTAATTTGCTACAATATTATCTGTTTCAGAACTTAAACAGAATTTTGCATGGTTGGAAACACCCAGGACTAACAAGTGATCAAGATTATCATTCATTAGATAAGTCAAAGTAAGGTAGGTACGGCCGATACCGAGTCGATTCTTGGAAGTATCGATACTTTTGCCGCAAGTATTGAGACTTTTTACTCGATACCTTTGTGTTCGATACTTTCAAGTATCGATACTTTTCAGTTGATTTCCCTCGATACCTCGATACTCACGCCCCGTTTTCCGACACTGCGCTCCCAAAACCATTACAGATCAGTCTTCACTTGGCAAGGCCACATCAAATTCTTGGTTAACGAAGAATGTCTCTTCGATGCGCATGCACGGTCTGAAGGCGGTGAACTTTTCGTCGCGCAGCCAAAATTTCCAGCTTTTCTTATGTTTTTATGCTGAGTAATAAGTTCAGTGAACTTTTTACAGCAGCAATTTAACGCCGTTTTAGAAGCTGATTAAGAAATAAGTTACTACTAGAAATAGTTACTCTTTTCACAAAGATAGAATTAAATTTTGATCCTTTTCAATCTTGAGAACCCTTACTCTATCATTTATGCATGCTCCTGAAAATACCCCAAACGGTACGAGGATTGAGAGACTTCGTTAATGGGTGAAAGGCGCAGCTGTGCGCTAGAAGTGGGCATCACTGGGCACCTTACCCTATCGGCCATCCCTACCGTAAGGGTTATGTAGGTCAAAAGGTTTTCGGTGTTTATTGCGGGTCACCATATCAGTGCGAGAATAAAGTACAGAAAAAGTACGGAACATGTCTGGCCATTAATTAGCCTGGACCGTCCGTACTTGCCAACTACGGAACTATCCGTACTTTTTTCCGTACACGGGTGTACCCGTCTACATGGGTTCGTATGGAGCAAGTACGGACGTTCCGCACTTTTCCCCGTACCTCCGTACTACATTTTTCTGTACCATTACCGTACAAAAGTCCGGATTTTTTTTACTGTGATGCAAGGGCGTCACGGGTGAATGAACTGGCCGATGTCTATCACCAATGCTCTATCAGTCTGTACTGTAGCGGTGACGTGTCTCTCCGTTCCGTGCAACGAAATGGTTCTCGCTTCATCCGATCACCACCGCTCTGTGGCTGGCTAGCCAACTAGCCCAAGCTCTTTCCACAGCTCGCTGGCGCACGTTCTTCTGCTGAGTTGTATGAAAGAAGAGAAACTCGTATGTGGCTGCTCCACAAACTGAAGTGTGTACCTAGTATGCGTCTACAGATGCATACTTGCAAGTACACATCTACATATGCATACTCAGATGAGTAAGGGAGATTGGGGTAATTCCGGACACGGGGTAATTCCGGACACTTTGATTTTCACTGGGTTTGAGTAAAGATAACTCAAAAGCCCGCCTAACAGAGGAAGATAATCATTTAAAAATGATAATTCCAGATCGCCAAGGTAGGAGGTCAAACCGTTTGGCTGTGGTTGCTTCACGAAATTTGAGAACCATCAAAAATAGGCAAAAGCTGCATCTTTACCTCGTATTTCCATGTACTTACCGTACCTTACCGTCAAGTTCAGTCCCACGACTAAAATTTTATCATACTATTATATAGTCTTTGGACTTTACTTTGACCTTTCGGGAGTGCTCGTATGGCTCGTCGTTTTCTTACAATTGAACATCAAAGGTTTTCACTACCTGTGGGGTAAATCCGGACAAGAAGTGTCATTTTCCTCAATTTCCCGGATAATGTTAAGGAAGTGGGTTTAAAATTGTGGACATGCATCCCCACCGTTAAGAAGGATAAAGACCGAACGAAAAATAGCCTTGCAGCTACGTTTAAGAGCTTTACTCAAGACAGTGTTGTCAATTTAGGGGTTTTAATACTAGAAACTTTTCCATAAAATATGCTTTAAGTAATAATCAAACACTTAAGTTCTCAGCAACTGTCCTTGTACGCCTTCTAAAAGCATGCCTCACATCGAAACAAGCGAAAGTACGCTCAAGTGGTGTCAAATCGTAAGGTCGTCCAGACTGGTATAAAAATCAGGCACATTATTCTCTTTCTAGTCGGAGGCCGGTACCTTAGCAAGATGCCACTTATGCTGCCGCATGCAGATTACATGATCGTTCTCTGCATATTTGCCTGCGGATCCGCCGCGAAGAGCATTCCTGGCTATGCAGTAAGTGTTCATAACGGCAACAAAGGTATCACCTTTCACTGTGTCCGTGTCTAAACCATGTGGGTCATTCCCCGCCGAATCGACGATGGTCTGTTTTTGAGGTCGATTGATTTGGTCCAAACCACTTTTAATCGATGCATTGGGACCCCAAAGGAACCCCTTTAAGAGGATTTTTTTAAAATCATTGTTCCCAGAGTTATGGCCAATACCATTTTGGGAAATTTAGTGAAATTTAGTGAAAACAGTACTTTTCATTTTATCCTACGAAAGTGTGATGTGAGACCCCTTTGGCTTCTATTTCCATTTCAACTAGGTAAGAGGGGTCCTGAAAACCTTCTCCTCTGACTGAAGGTAAAAAATCAAAAAATTTCCATTTTTTATATAGGAAAATTTATGAAAAAAAGTGAAAAATGAGCATAACTTTTTTACGTGGTCTGAGAATTTTGACGATACTTTGTCCTAAGTTTCACTTTAGGTGACCGCTTAAAACCACAAAATATTTCATCTGGCAATACATATCTTCACTGAATCGGGTTGAAAAAACTAAATTTTGAGCTAAAATTTCACTCGAAACTTTTGACGAGAAAACGCATTGACTCCAAAATCAGTTTTTAAAGGGTAGAAAGTTACTAATGATACATCTTGAATCTTGAGGTCAGGGCAGAATAAATACCTCAAGAATCCATCCCATTGATGCTCAAACTGTTGAACACTCCTTATTTTAGGTATTTTGCTCTCCATTTAAGCCTAGACCCCTACTGTACATGGTGGTGGGTGGTAGTGGTGATTCTAGTGGTCCGTTGTTTCTTCAAACGAGCAGGACTACCTATGTTGCCTTCACAGACCACTTACAGACAATGCAGCCACTGTAGAATCAGCTCACACATGATGAAAAATGTAACCAGAAGAAGGGGGATTGGATACTAAACAGCTGCATGTTGCGCCAACCCTGAAGGTTAATAACTGTAGCTGGTATGTTTGTTGTGTTGTTGAATATTGAGGTAGGTTAGGATCCTGCCGTCTGCTCTGACGGGGTTGGGGGTGGAGGAGGGTGACGGGGGAAGTAGTGGGAAGAAAGTATGAAAAAATACATCAAAAAGTTCAAAAAACTTCCAATTTTTTAAAATTTTTCATACTTTGACCAATCCGAATCTGGCTTACCTGTTTTTTGGAAGACACATTGAATCACCTTTTGTTATTTCTGTCTAAGAGTGGCGAAAGTTGTACCGATTTTCGGTAGCTTGTTCTAAGTTTCAGAATTTTCCTGTGACTTTTAGAAACGTGAGTTTATTTTTTGGATGCAAGAGGTGTATGGATGTGATCCTGTTTTCCCTAAAAATATGCGTCTATTCTGTTTTCAGGATGTGCTCCCTAGATGGCTATCGTGGAGCTTGCAATGGCTCTTTGTTTACTAAAGATACCTTCACTCACGAAGACTGGTACCTCCTTAAATTAAGGACCAAAGCACCTGTTCTCATAAAAGTGTGTAAAAACCATAGGATGAACTATCTTTTTTTCTATGCATCTAATCAAAAGAAGTGTTGCGATCCATACAGTCGCCACCACAAACCTGTTGATGGAACCAGAGAGATAACAATGCATATGCATATGAAGAGCAAAGCTTGTACTCTCTTTTCCACTTTAATTCCCGGCCAAAAACTTTGCAAAAATTGTTATAGTATGATATCTAGTGAGCTCGCTAAGATTTTCTCAGACTCATCTCCTGCCGACTCTCAAGAGCGGTTCCAAACATCTGGGGAATTAGCAGCTCGGGTTGTTGCTGTGGCAGGCTCAGTTGGAAATGTGATTGGAGTACCTACTCCTCCCGAAGCAAATTTAGACCTTGACCAGCAGGAAGCGGGAACAGCTCGTGATTCAACTTCATCCAGAGGCCACCAAGGAGCTCCACCAAGTAAGCCAATGGACGAATCACAAGATCTTTTTGCTGATGAAGAGGAAGACGGACAACTAGAAAAGGAAGAGAAAGAAGGACAACATAAAAAAGAAGAGGAAGGAGAACAACATAAATACAACACCAGATCCACAGGTAAGAAAAGCGTTAGTCATTTTAATAGTGCTAAGTTCTTGTAATTATTTTGTTCATAAATTAATCTTTTTGCAGATCCTGCAGCTTCCAAAGACAAAAACCGAGGCAAACCAAATTTGGGCGAGGGAATGTCAAGTAGTTCAAGCTCTGAAGAAGTTGTCTACACTCTAGGTTACCTTCCGAGTCACAGTCAAGAGGCTTTAAAGAAGTTGGGTGTTGTGACAGATGCTGTTGTTGAGTCTCCCATTCAGAAGAGGAAACTGGCCGGACAAACCTATGCACCCAATAAGATTCAAAAAATAGAGGACAAACTTGAGGACTTATTCATAGAAGCAGGTGCTTCCCCTTCAATCAAGACACCTGAGAAACTGTTTCAGACTCAAACTATGGATGCATTAATGCACAAATTTGAGGTTTCCAAAAGCAAAGCAGAGAAAATTAGGGTTTTGTCTGTCGCTTTAGTCTCTATGACACAAACAGCAGTGCTGGAAACGTTTGGACCAGTGGGAGCCACTAGCTACATGATTAAGAAAACTGCAGAATTGATGAAATTGGATAATCAAGGTATTCTTCCTGTTCCTGTGCCAAAGAAAGGTCGTCCTCTGCCTGAAGAAACTGTAAAAGCAATACAATCATTTTATGAAGATGATGAGCACGCAAGTAGGGTGATGCCAGGAAAAAAGGATTTTGTTTGTGTTCTGGAAAATGGAGTGGGGATTCAGAAACAAAAGAGACTTGTCCTGTGCAACTTGAAAGAACTGCATGTATTATTTGAGAAGCACACTGGCATTAAAGTATCATTTTCAACATTTGCAAAACATAGGCCAAAGCACTGTGTTCTAGCTGGAGCTGCAGGCACCCACACTGTCTGTGTTTGCAAATACCACCAGAACTTTAAGCTCATGAATGATGCCATTGATATGAAAGAATGTGATGAAAAGTTTTGCTCGTACAAGGATGTGATGGCTTCGGTATTGTGTGATCCTCCAACTGCAGACTGCTATCTCAACGCATGCTGTCCAAAGTGTCCAGGATTTCAGCCGTTGCAAAAGAAGATGTTGGAGTACCTTGATGCAAACTTTATCGACACTTTAACGTATGATCAATGGACCTCCACTGACCGCTGTGACCTGGAGACTCTGCTTAAGAAATCTGATGATTTTGTGGAAACCTACATTGAAAAGTTGAAGATACTGCTGCCTCATCATCACATTGCTAAGGAGCAAGCTGCATACTTAAGAAAAGCCAAAGAAGAATTAAAACAAGGGGAGGTCCTTGTTATTTGTGACTTTGCTGAGAACTACACATGTCTTGTGCAAGACTCCATCCAAAGCTATTACTGGAAGCAGGACCAGGTCACACTTCATCCCTTCTGTGCCTACTACAAAGATGAGAACTATGAGTTGAAACAGGTATCATACACAATTGTCTCAGAATATATGAAGCATTCTATTACAGCTGTCCATACATTTCAAAAGAAACTTGTTGAGTTCCTGAGACCAATTGTACCTGGTATGAAGTTAATTAAGTACTTTTCAGACGGAGCTGCACAGCAATATAAAAATCGATTCAATGTAATGAAAATAGACTATCATGAAAAGGACTTTGGTGTCAAGGGTGAGTGGAACTTTTTTGCAACCTCCCATGGAAAGGGTCCCTGCGATGGCCAAGCTGGTGCCCTTAAAAGAGAAGCATGCAAAGCCAGCCTTCAAATGAAATTGATTAGAAACCCAACAGAGTTCTACAAGTGGGCAAAAGCACGCCAGGACACACAAGATGGAACTAAAGTGTGCTTTGTCTCGTCACAAGAAGTACTTGAATGTGAAGCTGATCTAGAGCCAAGATTTGCCAGAGCTCTCAAGATCCCTGATCTAAGAAGTTCCCATGCATTTATACCTAATGTTCCCAGTGAAGTTGAAACCAAAATACTGTCATCTGCCGTCTCTGGAACAATTGTACCTGTAGAGTTGAAGAGAAAGGAGCCGTTAGCAGAACATCGAACCCCTGGCCAGTGTGTAACGGTAGTTAGTGGGGCTGGTTGGAAGCCAGCACTAATACGTTAAGTTAATCATTCATCAAGCAAAATTTCAGCAGTGTTTTTAAGAAAGAAAAGAGAAGTGCCTGATAAATTTGCTGCCCCACCTCAAAATTCAGAAATAAAGCAATTTCAGTTCAAGGAAATTTTAACCATTCTGAACTCTCAACTGGCGGATGGACTCTACCATATATCCAAGAATGAGAAAATCAAGGCAGCTTGGCGACTTCAATCGTTTCAAGAGCTAATTCAAGCTGGAGAAGAAGTGAACGTTCAGCCATCACCAGAACAGCCAGCACCAAGATTTTTGTGGGCTGATGTCTCAGCAGAACAGTTTGTCATAGTTCAACATGAAGATTCTTGGATTTTTGGGCAAATTCTCTCTCTTGATGCTTCTAGCCAGGAAATTCTTGTGGCATGCTCAGTGAAAACACAGTCTAAATACAAGTTCACTTTTCCTGAAGATGCAGACCAGTGGCCCTTCCAGTTGAGAGAATTAGTATCAATAGTTCAACCAAAAATTGAAAGTAAGGTCTACATCTTGTCCAAAAATAATCTGAAAAATATTGAGAAAATACTCTATTAGTAGTTCAATTCCAGAAAAGGTATGTATTTGTTATCTACAGTTTTTATGAAACTAAATTTTAAAAATATACCATACTTTAAATATTTTTTGCTTTTATCTTTCAGGAACATTTCTTTATTTTGTTACAGACCTTGTCTAACAATTGACATTAAAGCTCAAATTTGAAAAATATTATTAAACAAGTGTGCTTCTCTCTCTATTTTCCTTAACTTTCCCATCATGTGTGAGCGGATTCTTCAGAGGCTGCATTGTCTGTGAGTGGTCTGTGAAGGCAACATGGGTAGTCCTGCTCGTTTGAAGAAACAACGGACCACCATAATCACCACTACCACCCACCACCATGTACAGTAGGGGTCTAGGCTTAAATGGAGAGCAAAATACCTAAAATAAGGAGTGTTCAACAGTTTGAGCATCAATGGGATGGATTCTTGAGGTATTTATTCTGCCCTGACCTCAAGATGTATCATTAGTAACTTTCTACCCTTTAAAAACTGATTTTGGAGTCAATGCGTTTTCTCGTCAAAAGTTTCGAGTGAAATTTTAGCTCAAAATTTAGTTTTTTCAACCCGATTCAGTGAAGATACGTATTGCCAGATGAAATATTTTGTGGTTTTACGCGGTCACCTAAAGTGAAACTTAGGACAAAGTATCGTCAAAATTCTCAGACCACGTAAAAAAGTTATGCTCATTTTTCACTTTTTTTCATAAATTTTCCTATATAAAAAATGGAATTTTTTTGATTTTTTACCTTCAGTCAGAGGAGAAGGTTTTCAGGACCCCTCTGAGCTAGTTGAAATGGAAATAGAAGCCAAAGGGGTCTCACATCACACTTTCATAGGATAAAATGAAAAGTACTGTTTTCACTAAATTTCACTAAATTTCCCAAAATGGTATTGGCCATAACTCTGTGAAAAAATGATTTAAAAAAATCTTCTTAGAGGGGTTCTTTTGGGGTCCCAATGCATCGATCAAAAGTGGTTTGGACCAAATCCATCGACCTCAAAAACAGACCATCGTCGATTCGGCGGGGAATGACCCATGTACTTCTCCATGCATTGCTCACACTTAAAAACTCTTGAGCCGCAGCCCCAAGCTAGTTCCGTCCATTCATTGTTAAGCGTGCACCCTACAGATTTTTGATCTATGAAGTGGAAAAAACGGGGAAAGGGGGAGGGGGGGAGGGGGAGCAGCGAGCTACCGACCTTGTTTAAATTTGGGCTGAATTTTTCTTCTTTAGTAAGTTTTTTAAGTGAAAACAACACTGATTGGATGTTAGTACGTGTATTTACGAGCAGAGCGAGCCGCAAGCCGCTGGTTTTTTTTTAGGAGTTGCGTTTTGTTTTCGTTTAAGGGGGGACATCACTCACTCCAAAATGATAAAAAATTAGAACTTTTTTTTATTATTTTATATTATAGACCATTCTTTTTCGCGTCGAATGGTGAAAACCGCATACCGAAATTCAAAAAATTGCAGTTTTAGGAGGTTGTGGGCCGCAAACATGCATAGGGGAAAAGCCCAGTTTCCCCAACTTTGATCGCGTTTTTCTCGGAACATGAAATTGCAAACGGTTGCAGGTCTCTAGGGCGCAGTTTTTGAGCTACAACGGTGAGATTTAGCACGGAAGCTCCTACAACTTGCCGCTATGGTGGGTAGCAAAATAATTTGCATTGGTCAATTTTTATTATTTTTTTAACGTTCAAAATTAAATAATTTTGACAAAAAAAAATTGAACAATTTTTTTTGGTATGGAACAAATACAACTTAAAATGTTTTTTTTAATGCGATTGAGGTACCCACCCACCATAGCCAGACATCTCAAGAAGGCTGTCACCAAATTTCGTTGTTCTAGGGCAAACCGTTTGGCTTCCAGCGCTGCTACAGTGCAAAATAGTCTAACGTAACACTCAAAAATGTGTTTTCAACGAAAGCGCTGTACTGCGCTGGCGGATTGACTTTGTGTTGTTTTTTACTTTATCTGTTAAACTATGAACATTTTTTCTCTTTCCGTTTCGTTTTTATGACGTTTTTACAAAAGCACTGTTTTCTGGAGTGATGTCCCCCCTTAAAAGGTCTAATAAATAAACCATTGGGTTGCGATGGCTCGTGCGAAGAATTATATGACAGCTGCAGTTATTGCCTGGCGAAAGCAGCGAGCCGCAACCTCCATTATAAAAAAAAACGCAATCTGCAAAAGCAAGTTGAAGTATCCTTCACTGTAATAATGATTATAGGGTCCGTACATTGCTATAGTTGAGAGGATACTGTCTTGCAACGATGACGATCCGAAGTTGAGAATGTTTCTGCACGTCTCGCACTTCAATCGCTACAATCCCACAGAGAAGCAACGTGTATCTGGGAACGTGACTGTATTCGAAACCTTTGATGATGATGTGTGGGTAAGTAAGATTTCAGCGGGGGAGTGTTCAACATTGAGGCTCTACACATTTGAGAAAAGAAAAACAGTCCCCTCACTGAGAATGAATTGGTCACCACCATCACCCTTTAAATGGGTGATGCAACTTCGTTGCCCAAATTTTGGTGACGAAAAATTCAGCACCCGAAATTTGGTAACAGGCGTTTGGTCGCCCAAATTTGGGTAACGTCGTCGGCGTCGGCGACGCTGTGAGGTTCCCGATGGCGTCCTTCCGGGGCCACCACGATGACCGGAGGCCTCAACGCCACATTGGGTCATCGTGGTGGCCCCGGAAGAGCGTCATCGGGGACCTCACGGCGTCGCCGACGGCGTTACCCAAATTTGGGCGACGATTTTATGACTGCCCAAAATTTGGTCACCGCGGGCTCGTCACCCAAATTTGGGCAACGGTGCGTGCGTTACCCAATAAAAGGGCGATGGTGGTGACTCTTTCATTCTCAGTGCTCTACCATGAACGATTCACCACCATGGTCCTTCAGTGTGGGGTGTCCTTCTGTCTTGGCGCTTAGCTCAGCGACCCTGTTGCCCGTGCTCCCTCTGCCCGTCTCTCTCGCACTCATGGCGTGTGCCGCGCCGCAGGGTTGCGAGAGAGACAGAGCGACTGGTGCGGGCCACGAAATCGGTTGGCGGGTGAGCAGGAGCGGGCTGTAGTGCAGCCATGTCAACAAGTAGCCTTACTTGAAGGATGCCAGGGAGAGCATGCCGGAAACGGGCCGCCTCGCAGGGCTTGTGGATCCTTCGGCCAGCACATTTCCAGCCGCAAAGCACGTCCTCCAGGCGTGAAGCGCGCCCGCGAGCTACATATGAAAACCCGATTAAATAGTTCATTGGTTGAAAACTATTTTTTTCTAGTAGCATTGTCTAGCCGATTTAAAGCCCCGTGATTCAGTGTGTGGGGCAGTTTTATGCTCTTCCAGATGTACTTTACCGATAGCGAATAAGTTGTAAACTTTGGATGAAATCGTGCCCGCAGTGACACTATGTAAGAATTATAAGGACTTTTCCATCGTGATTCATACCCCTCCCTAACTTAAGGGGGCACACAAAGGAGAGAGGTTCCGAAAAACGAAGAAAAGTAACGGATGTATTCGATTGATATTTTACTCTTAGGCCAAAACTTTATCAGATAAAAGAAAAATCAGTTTATCACTGTGGCAAAAAGGTACGGAAAATTCTGTTAATTTTTTTGCCAGGATTCTCCGTAGCCCTCTTATCAATATTCTCCATAGGCTCTTACAGTATTCTCCGTGGGGCCGTACAGTATTCTCCGTAGGACCGCACAGTATTCTCCGTAGGGCATGGAAGACTGTATTGTCCTACGGAGAATACTGTAAGGTCCTACAGAGAATACTGTGCGGTCCTACAGAAAATACTGTAAGAGCCTACGGAGAATACTGACAAGGGGGCTACGGAGAATCACCACAAGCTGTTAACAGAATTTTCCGTAGCTTTTAGCCACAGTGTAGGAGGGCGGTGTGGCGATGGCAAGACGGAGCATCTGTGCACTTCATTTTTCTACGACCATGCTTCACTCCTGCCACGATTCCGCCTCTCTGGATTGGGCCTCAAACATGGGATTGGAAAACTTCTCATCAGAACATGTGTTGCTATGGTCTGAACCACGGGCATGCTAAAAGAATGATTTTGAATCTGTTTTTACACAAAGAAAAAATAGGAACAATTTTTTTAACCATTTTTTGACGCTTTGATGGCTGCTGCTCACGACCCATTTATGCGATGGCCATTTCCGAGGTTCAGACCATAGACGCAAGTTTAAGGAACATTTTGCTGCAAACTGCTTTAAGTTATCTCAATTTTTGAGCCCGTGAGAGTGGCACAAAGGTACAAAGATGGCGTTTGGAGTAAAAGTCCTTTAAGTAGATACATAGAAATAAGGATTTTTTTAAAATTATAAATGCGCCTTTTGACACATTTTAGTTCGGTTTGCGCCAAAATGTTCCTTTTCTGTCCCTGATTCAAAAGTCAAGAAACAAACCCATTGATCTTCAAGCGCTGAATCTCACCGCCAACTATAAGGGGAAGGGATGCTTATTAAAATCAAGTCAAAATTAACTTGTAAAATGTTCCTTCCTCAAAGTATTTTGAATTTCCAGGTCGGGTTTATTGCATTTGACTCAGTATAAAAAGTAGAAAAAAAACGGTAAAATAAAAAAAAATTGCAAAATAATTGACAGTTTTCACTGGTGTGCCAAAACTTTTTTAATTTTCTCGGAATTTCCGTAAAAACTTTGTTCTCTAACATGGTCACCGCCGTTTTTGTCCAGCATTCATGCCAATGTTTTTTATCGAGGCTTAAACAGAAAGTACTATATTAATTGAGGGCATAAAGGGCTACTTCCCCCTTGTTTTGGACAGTGCCCCTATGCCAGTTTGGATTTCATTCTAGAAATTTGTTTTATCTTCAATTTTGCAGATGGATATCAGGTTGGGTCTTCGATCTAACAATGAATGGAAGAAGAACGCGTTTGTTTTTAAGTTTCCGAACCAAGGCTGTTCGAGATTCAGGGCATTCCTTCCATCTTTCTTCAGTGTCATGTACAAAGGTGTCAGCATGGTTGGCGCTTGTTCGGTGCCGGCGGTACGTTGAACGTGTTAAAATGACCAATTTAATTGACTGAGCGATGCGAAACCACACTGCAGTGTGAGAAAAATGTACTGTTCACCGTTAATTTATTAACGGGATTTGCCGTACTTGGGAGTACGGTGTTTACCGAACCTAGAAGTACAGCGTTTACCGTACCCATAGAAGTACGGTGTTTACCGTACCTGGAAGTACGGCAATTCCCGCAGTTTGTAAAAACACAGTAACAGTGCCGCCTTGAAATCCAAGGGAATGTCTTGTTAATTTCCAATGGGTTTGAGTGAATTTTCAAACTGGTCCAAATCAAGATTTTTTTAAAAAATGGATTCGTCTTGACAAGACAAACAAAAAATGTCAACACATCTCATGGGTTTGGATGGGAAATGCCAACGTTATTGAGCTTCAAAAGTACTAAAAAGGTCATTTTTGACCATCTTTGAGCGATAGCGAAGCCCGTTACTCCAGTTGGGTTGAAAAGTTTTGTCTGTCTGCGTTTGTGTATGCGTGCGTACGTGAGTGTGTGCACTATTCCTCCTTAACGGCTCAGCAGATAGAGCTGGGATTTTGCAGGCTGATGTTCTTGGCTCGGCAGACACGAAATTTCACTATCCTAGCTCAACTGGTTCAGTTTTAATAGCCCAAAAACGCCTAAAAACGGTGAAAAATCGAATTTTTTGCAGGTAGATCTCTCCTGTCTTGAGGAAACCCCCTTTCACCCCCCGTCTGCCCCCCCCCCCCCACTTGCAACAAACTAGAAGTAACTGATGATGGACAAGCATTGCCTTGGGGGGTCTGGGGGCCGAGCACCCCAGCATGCAGCAAGTAGGAAGTAGCCGACGATTGATAAGCCATTGCCTGCCTAAGGCAGGCTAGCGCCGCAGGCAAAGGTAGGTACGCCAGGCGCGGATTGGCGGAACAGGCAGCGAGACATCGCGAAGCCTGTTACGACAAGACGCGGTCTGGCGTAAACCTACCTTGTTAAAGTTTGTAGTTATAAAGCCTTTTTATTTTCCATCCAAACCTTCGACATGCGTTGGCATTTTTTTGTTTGTCTTGACTCGACGAATCCATTTCTGTTAGAAGATCTTGATTTGGACCACTTTGAAAATTCACTTGATTTGGACCACGTTGACAATTCACTTGATTCGGAGGACTTGTAAAATTCACGCAAACCCCTATGGCAAATCCTGTTAATAAACAAGGTTGGTTTACGCCAGACCACGTCTTGTCGTAACAGGCTTCGCGATGTCTCGTGGCCTGTTCCTCCAATCCGTGCCTGGCATACCTACCTTGGCCTGCGGCGCTAGCCTGCCTTAGGCAGGCAATGGCTTGTCAATCGTCGGCTACTTCCTACTTGCTGCATGCTGGGGGGCTCGGCCCCCAGACCCCCCTTCATTCCAGATAGAAGTGCTTGTTTTTTAGGTGTTTTTCGGCTCTAAAAACTTAACGACGTGAGCTAGAATAGTGCTGAGCCTACAACATACCTGAAAAGCCTGCCAAATCTCAGCCAGATCGGCCGAGCCGTTCAGGAGGAGTAGTGTACACAGACAGACACAGAGAGACAAAACTTTTCTACCGCACTGGAGTAACGGGCTTCGCTATCGCTTAGTCATTTAACGGCGGATACCGTACATTTTCCTCACAGTGTGTCCTTCATTTAGAGATACTTTTACTACAATTTTTTGGCGATGAAACCGAGTTTGCGAGTCCCACGATTTATTGCACCCTGGAGTGCAATAATGTAGGTATTGCATTCTTTGGCAATAACCACCCCTTGGTTTTGGCGATAAAAGAGCGATTTGTAGTAACTTTATCACAATTTTTTGATATTATTGTTTTATTGCGCTCTCTTTGTAGTCATTATCGCGAAAAAGCCATACTTTGTTGCAAAATTTAGCTACAAATTTTTTATTGCAAATTTTTAGTAGTCATCATTGCCAAATACTTGAGACAAGTTTTTTTTTATTGCAAAATGTAGGCAGCGGTTAATGCAGTTGGAATTACAGTGCAGTTCTAGGGTTGGCTTAACGATTTTTTTCCCAACTAAGTGTTCGGACTACATCTCCAACAGCTTCGCCGATCCGGCCAAGTCTGTGGCATTACAACAAAGTGACGTAAGTGCACTTACGACAAAAACGAGTTAGTCGCACGGTTGGAACCCTCTCATTGATGCGGACCTTTTCCAATATGCACAATTACATTTTTCTCATTTGGGCTAGGAGATAATGACAAGTAAAATCTGACGTAAGTCAATTTCATTCAGAAGTCAATTTGCCAAAATGTCGTTAGTGCACTTACGACATATTTTTTGAAATCATGTCGTAAAAAATGTGTCGTAAGCACACTTGCGTCACAGATTTTTTTCACAGCTGGGCAGGGATCTCGAGTACGATTATGTCATACAGCTAATGACTTGCACTGTCTAAACTTTAATATATAGAAGGGGTCACAACGGAGTAGAATATAAACTTTCAAAGTGACGTAAGTGCACTTACGGATTAAAAATCACAAATCATGTGACGTAAGTCTAGCGAAGTGGAAAACCAATCATTATTTTAACTTTCTCTTAACATAAAAGTATTTTTGGCTGAGCGATAGCGAAGCCTGTTACTCCAGTGGGGTTGAAAAGTTTTTCCTGTCTGTCTGTCTGTGTGTCTGTGTGTGTGTGTACACTACTCCTCCTGAACGGCTCGGCCGATCTGGCTGAGATTTTGCAGGCTTATTAGGTATGTTCTTGGCTCGGCACACGCGAAATTTCACTATCCTAGCTCAACTGGTTCAGTTTTTACAGCCGAAAAACACCTAAAAAACGGCGAAAAATCGAATTTTCTGCAGGCAGATCACTTCTGCCTTGAAGAAAGGGGGGTCTGGGGGGCAGAGCCCCCCAGCCCCGAAAAGTTAAAAAGTGACAAGGGTCCAGATCGTGTTATCTGTAGATGAAGCAACTCTTTCTAGAATGAAGGGGAGTCTGGGGGGCGGAGCCCCTCAGCATGCATCACGTAAGAAGTAACCGACGATGGACAAGCCAATGTCTGCCGAAGGCAGGCTAGCGCCGCAGGCCAAGGTAGGTACGCCAGGCGCGGATTGGAGGAACAGGCCGCGAGACATCGCGAAGCCTGTTACGACAAGACGCGGTCTGGCGTAAACCTACCTTGTTTAAGTGCCACAAGAAATTCTCCTATCATCGGTTAAAGTTTTAACCTGTTGCTTGATTTTGAAAAGTGTTTTTTACGTCTCCTGAAATACTGATGTTTTTGACTTACGTCACTTTGTTGTATTGCCACAGAAGTTTGAGCCTGATTTTGGGGACCTGACAGGGATTCTTAACGTAACATTTTATTACTGCTCTGCAAACGCAAGTTTGTGCACTGTAAAAAATTATGTTGTAATTTAGCAGTAAATATGTTGCTTATTTTCTTAGCGATCAAAGTTGTTTTCAAATGACTTTCGTTGTTTACTAACGAGTTGCGTCGTTCGTCCACAAGATGTTTGTAAACCGGTAGACAGCCTTATTTGCATCAATTTTTATTGCCGATTAGGTCACAGACCTAGTAGAGTCCCGGTTACCCCGCAGTAACCACTTCTTAGATTGTCCGGGTTGTTTGTACGCAGCAAAATATTGTTTTGAAACAGCATAAGTCATAACAAGGTAGGTTTACGCCAGACCGCGTCTTGTCGTAACAGGCTTCGCGATGTCTCGCGGCCTGTTCCTCCAATCCGCGCCTGGCGTACCTACCTTGGCCTGCGGCGCTAGCTTGCCTTCGGCAGGCAATGCTTGCCCATCATCAGTTACCTCTGATTTGTTGCATGCTGGGGGGCTCCGCCCCCAGACCCCCCTTTCATCAACACAGGAGAAATCTACCTGCAGAAAACTCGATTTTTCGCCATTTTTTTGGTGTTTTTCGGCTATAAAAACTGAACCAGTTGAGCTAGGATAGTGAAATTTCGCGTGTGCCGAGCCAAGAACATACCTAATGAGCCTGCAAAATCTCAGCCAGATCGGCCGAGCCGTTCAGGAGGAGTAGTGTACACACACAGACAGACAGACAGACAGACAGAAAAAGTTTTTCAACCCCATTGGAGTAACAGGCTTCGCTATCGCTCAGCCAAAAATAATTATTAGCGAATTCGTCGTTTTAAAACAAGCAAACATGTTCACAAACAACAGCGTTGTCGAGGTTGGTAATTGAGCGATTCTCACGTTTCGGGGTAGTTTCGTTTCTTCTGACTCCTGTGCCCAAACGAGCGCAGATATCGACATGGGGTTTGTTTCTGATGTTAGGGAGGGCCATTGCCCAGTAAACGCACACATTTCGAAAAGTTCACGTTCGTTGGATTGGTCTCCGTAGCGTTTGGAATACCCCAAATGTAACTTCCGTGATTGTCCAAAGAGAACATACTCGAATTTCCCGCCCCCAGTGTGGCGGTGGGGTTCGAAAATGCTGCCAACTGTCGATGGGGATTCGAAGCTTGGCATGTCTCGAGCTAATTTCAACCGAAGACCAATAGGCCAGACTTCTTTCAAAGGTACTAATGCTGCAACGAAAAATGTCCACCGTATGTTCAATTTCACTACACAAATTTCGAAAAGGCAGCTCTGGACTTCTCCCCAAGCCAAACTTTTAACTTTCCATGACACAAGCCATCAAAGTGGAGTCCCTGGGATATAATTGCATGGGTCGCGGAAATCTAAGATGCTGTACACGGTCTCAAAGCGGGCGAGAGCATTATAAAATGGCGTGTATCAACAATTATCTGTAACTTCCGTGGCACCCTTTACCCAATGTTGCAGCAGCACTAGGTGAAAAAATTTTCCGCTTAAATGTCGGGCTTAGAGTATCATTTGACCCTGGAACGACTTTTAAGCCACAGCAGGCCCGAATCAGCCTTTAAAGCCGATTTTCACACTTTGTAACTTCCGTGATAACGTAATTTCCGTGATCAAAACACCCACTAAAACGTATGGGAATACCTTATGGCTCATGTTTTTAGGAAGGTAGTACAAAGGTCTTTACTATAAATACCATTGCCATAACTCTAGTATCATCCAGGACCCCAATAATCAGAAAAACTTAATTGGATATTTCTCACTTTCGGCAAATCAGAGACGCCAAAACTACCCCGAAACGTGAGAACCGCTAAATTGTGTTGTTGTTTTAAAACAACAATTTTTAACAGTGTGCCCGGCCCACAGTCTAAAATATATGCCTACCTGCACACTTAATTTGTAGAGTATCAATAGACGGTTACTGAGCTGATTATGCATTTGTAGACGTGTACTCAGTTGAGTATGCATCTGTAGGTGTGTACTCGGCAAAGTATGCATCTGTAGGTGTGTACTCAGCAAAGAATGCCTCTGTAGATAGTCAGCTAAGTATGCATCTGTAAGTGTGCACTTGCAAGTACGCGTCTACAGAGGCATATTGAGTACACACTTCAGTTTGTAGAATATTAATAGGCATGGTTGCTTCTAGGGAGTGTACGTCTTCGATGAACCCGTGGATTGGACCTTCCCCAACGTGCCTGTCTTCCCCTACGGTCACTACCTTGCCACCATGAAAGGCGGAAGAGGAAACACCAATATTATCAAAATGTGCAGTCAATTTGAACTGCGTATAATTCCGAAGTCCCAGTAGTGGATTCTCGAGGTCCCGCTTCAATGAGACGTTGATGGTGGTGCTGTGTAATGAAATACACTCACACAAGGTTCTACCATCAACGAGGTCAATTATTTTCCACTTTTTCGAAACGACTTGACGAAAGGTGCGTGAAAACCATCCACTGCACAGTGCGCACTGTTGGATGAGCGATAGCGAGACCCGCGCTCAATTCAGGTTGGAAAGCAGTGAAAACATTTGCGCAGGTATGCACTGTGGCAAAAAGCTAGGTAAAATTATGTGAACAGCTTTCGGTAATTCTGTGTAGCCCCCTTGTCAGTATTCTCCGTAGGCTCTTACAGTATTTTCCGTAGGACCTTACAGCATTCTCCGTGAGACTATACAGTCTTCCAGGTCCTGCGGAGAAGACTGTGCGGTCCTACAGAGAATACTGTAAGAGCCTACGGAGAAAACTGATAAGAGGGCTACGGAGAATCCTGGCAAAAGAATTCACAGAATTTTCCGCACCTTTTTGCCACAGTGTATCGACCACTCAGAACCCACCCGCCCTAACCTATTGCACCACTGATGACCACCGACTGGCCCGGCCATGCCCCGCTACTGAGCCTTGTATTGTAGCCACTGCCCCGGCAACTTTCGCAGCCACCGTTCGTGCCTCACTGTTTTTTTTTTTTTTGCTAATTTTTTAAAATTTCAAGATGTCTAACCACTGCTTAAAAGTCACGGACGTTGTTAAGGTTTTCGACGGACAGGACCCTAAATTACTGTGCAGAGAGTTGCAACACGAAGGTTTCCTCAGAAATTGTGGGACGTGAGAACAAATACTACAAAGGAGGCTATACGGAGCACGGTGCCCTGCGTGCCGAAAGTTCTCCAAGCTCATAACTGGCACCCTTTTTGACGGTACTTTCCCCTCCCCCTCCCCTTCCTCTCCCCCTAATCACCTCAGTGTGACAAATGGGTATTAAATTGCAGGAACCAAGCTGTCATTTGCTCGAAGTTTTCTTACTAAATTCATATGGTTTGCTGTGGCGTCAGCCAAAAAGAGACGGGCCCCCTGGTGGGCATGAGGGCAGGGCGGCAGCACACTCGCGTTGACCACTACTCATTCTTCCGCGACGTGTGCTCCCACAAGCTCCTGCACACCCCAGGCCTGTTGCAGTTTGGCGGGGCAGGTCGGAAAGTACAGATTGGCGAGAGCATAATGGTGAAGCGGAAATACAACAGGGGTCGGCGAGTGCGCGAACAGTGGGTCTTCGTCATCTATGATCAACAGATGTCCCGGGGGTACATCCAGTTTGAGGATAAAAGGGACGCAGCAACCCTACTGCCAACCATCCAGCAGTGCGTACTCCCCGGGACTACACACAGTAAAAAAAGATTCGCCGATTCAGTAACGTCTGGGCGCCGAAACGAGAATATTACAAGAACAGCGACACCCTCAGACTGTTCTGGCGGCCCTCTGTTCGTTTCGGCGAGGCTCGGTCTAGTTTCGGTGGCGCTCGGTCCGTTCCGGAGCAGCCACCTCACCAAAAGGGCAATGCAGTCACCCTCCCGGGCCCCTCGGCAGGCCGAGCTACATGTAGCTGCAGTGACGTTCCCTTCCCTGTCCGCAGTGATCCCCAGCGTGGCGCTCCCCGCCAACGCCTCGGTCACGGCCCGCGTGCAGTACGCGCATGTACACGAAGCCATCGAGCTGCACCTGTGCAGCGCCCATTTCTGCAGCACTGTGTGGCTGCGGGGCGTGGGGGAAGACGGCACGCTGAGGTACGAGACATTCGGCGGCTGCAACCGCCTCGGTAGGCGTGGCGGCACCCGCAAGGTGAGTGCTCTGCAAACTCAACAGTGTACCCAATACACTCTCTTTAGCGTGTACTCACGAGTACACTCTCTTCAGCGTGAACTCACGAATACACTTTCTTCAGCGTGTGCTCGTGCTCACGAGCAAACTCCCACCAGCGTGAACTCAACTGCATATATTTGCAGGATCTGAGCACACTCTCTTCAGAGTGTGCTCATCTAAGCACACTCTCGTTAGAGTGTACTCATCTAAGCGCACTCTGGTTGGAGTGTACTCATCTGAGTACACTTTCGTCCGGGTGTACTTGCTGTGTACACGCTGAACAGAGTGTGCAGAGCACACTGTTGAGTTCGCAGAGTGTCCCCGGTCGGGCCGCCTTGCGCTGCCCAGGCGCCTCATCGCGTGCTCTCTGTGCAGGACCACACGGACGGCTACGATTTCTTCCCTCCCGGCGAGAAGGTGCTGGAGGCGCAGCACCGGCCCGGGCGGCTCGCCGTGTGGCTGCAGGGCCGGCCGGACGACGTGGCGGAGGTCCCCGTGGAGGCGGACTACGGCACGCTCAGGGTCAGGCCTTGGAACTGGGCCACCGACATGCCCGTAGAGTTCAACGGTGAGTACCTGCACTGTTTTCACTTTACTGTATCCTTAAGTGTATCACGGTGAGCGCCGCACAGTGGGTCAGAACCCCTATTTTCGTGATCACGGCCTCCTGCAAAGCCGTTTATCGACCGAATGGGATCAAATTTTAACTGAAGCTTCCTAAGAGGTCCCTTCAGAGATGGAAAAAGTCAGGTTTGCATAATTGTCGTTTAAAGGTATATTTGACTAATGTATAAATCCAATTAACCCGAAATTGCAAACAATGCTATTCTGTTGCATAGATTATGACATAAGCAGGTGCTGTGCAAAATTTCAGGACCACAGGACAGCAAAAACATGCATCTTTCGTCAATTTAAGGTTAAAATCCGGTTAAAATTTAGGTTTTTGACGAATTTTTGTGTATTTGTGTAAGGTGTATGGTTTATTTAGTGTCTGATGTAAATAATGCACCCCAAACTAGTGCACACTCTCATTCCAGGAGCGTGACATCACGTTGAAACAAACGTGACAAAATGTCACATTCGTTTGGGCATTGTGTCACATTCGTTTGAATGTGAGCAAGCTAATTTTTAGTAGATACACATCCAAACGAATGTGACACAATGCCCAAGCCGGATCAAACGAACGTGACACTTTGTCTCGTTCCTGGAATGAGAGTGCATTCTTATATCGAGCGTAGACTAGTACCAACAACGGTTGACACGTCTAAGCAACCTGAGACGTTCCATCACGCACTGAACAGTTTGTTTTAGCGCAGAGTCGTTTCAACGGCACCAACCCGTATTGTGAATTTTGGACTTGTTCCGACACGTATCGACGAGTTTTAACAGTATCAAGTTCTTTCACTTATCAAGACGGGAGGATTCCCGACACACACCGCCACTAACCACAACGTTAGAACGTCGACGCGTACCGATAGAACGTTCGAAAACGTTTGAACATGTTCGAACATGTTGGGACAAGCTCAGACGTGTTCGGACACACGTTTGAACTTGGACACATTCCAGGGGCGTCGGAAGTGGGGTTCAAAGGGTACGCTGCACACCCCCCAAAATAATCTGGGGGGTGCGCAGCACCCCCCATTTTGATGCACAAAGAGTGAGAGATTAATGGTAACAAAACTAGTTAACACTCATGAGATGATATTCGATCTGAAACTTGCTTTGCTTACTGGTTTTGATAATTTTCTTTTTTAAATCAAAACCATTTGGCTCGCTTCGCTCGCCAAGAACTCGTAGCGCTGTACTCTGATAACAGGACCAAAACTAAATCCTGAAACCAGCTTGCTTCACTCTCTTTTTTCCCGTTCTTTTTCAAAGATTCTGTACAAAAAAAATCCGTTTTAATGCCTTTAATGTTTTTATGAACGCATAAATTTAAAGCTTTACCTTTCACTTCCCCTGAAGTCTTACACTTGGTTTATTTTCAAGGATTATTGACTTGTTTATCACAAATTGCATGGTCTCAATCCATTTTACACATGTCTTTTGTTAGTTCTCGAAACAAACCTGTTGTTTTTGCTTAGTCCTGAGCTTTTGGCTCGCTTCGCTCGCCAATTATACCGGCTTTGGGAGGTGCCGCCTGAAAGGTAGGCAACCCACGGCACAACCCTTTAAATTTGCACACCCCCCACCCAAAAGTACTTCCGACGCCCCTGACACATTCAGACGTCCGAACACGCTTGAACGCGTCCGAACAGGTATGGACACGTTCAAACACGTTTGAACAAGACGAAGCAACATAAATCAGATGCGGGAATGCGCTGAAGCCGATTGGGTAGCAAAAACACATAACCGTCAAAAAACAATTATTTATAGAAAATGCTAATATTTTCAAAAATCAATGCAAAAAAAAATTGCGGCTAAGTGCGGTTGAACGGCCGGTTGCCCGTTGTATCTACAGCATCCACCTACCAATCCCAGTTGAAATGGTCGGGGGGTAAAGGGGGGTAACGTAACTTTTCCTCCAATTTATGTCGAATTTGGGCATTTTGGGGCAATATTTTGCTTAGAAGCGTTGTCTGTAGAACCCTTAGACGGACGAAGTTCGGGTCCGGTTCACTCACGGCACTTTTCTACACAGTATTAATTAAAGTCCCGTGCTGGGATGCAGGTTACCTGGATTGGTTTGCATCCAAACTGGGAGGAAGCGATAATGTGCGATTTACCCCAAATCATGAAAATATAGATACAAATTCTGACTTTGCAGCCCTGCCATTCAAAAACGATGCGTCCTATCGCCGAACCGATGCTTGATTTGGGTTCAGTGGACATTTTGGAGTGGAGAATCGGTGTTGGATGGGGTCCAAAGTCACTTTGAATTTTGGCCCTATGATCACGGAAATAGGGGTTCTGACCCACTGTGCGCCGCGGCGGGACCTCACGAGTGGGTGCCATGGGACTCGCAGCACTCCACAAAAAGTGTCATGTGAACGTCGTTAATTTATTACCAATGTTTGCTGTTATGCAATTCACGGAGTTTGCTGTGAACTATTTCACGGCGTTCATTGTGATCTTGGTTACAGTGTTCACTGTGATCTGGCCGCAGTAAACGCCGTGAATTGGAGCCTGATTTGCAGTACTTCGGTGCTCAGCGGCGTCAAACTCACAGTGTTTACTGTAGACCAGATCACAGTGAACACCGTGAACAAGATCACAGTGAATCGCGTGATTAGATCACAGGAAACGCTGTAAATTGACCTACAGTGAAAACTGGTAATAAATTAACGGCATTGACAGGACATTTTTGGTAGAGTGAGTACTCGAGGGACTGACTTCACGGAAAAACCGTGGAGTCCTGCCACCCTCGTGAACACAGCCGCGAGATCCACTGTTACGCAGACCCCCACGACAGCAACTTGAGACCCTCGGCAACCCCTCTGAAAAGACAATTGAAGGTCCGCCGCACCCCTGCGACCTTCGTTGCATCCCCGCAAGACCCACGACATCCTCTCGTGAGGTCTTGTCACCCTCAGTGACCGCAGGTGCGTATCTATCAGGTGCGAATGCCCATTTCTAAATATCAATTATCTCCGTACCTAGACGTTTGCGCCCACTAGTTCATTGGTGAAATATGATCCTCTCGGAGTGCCCAAGCTACCAACAAATTATTGACACATTGAGAAAGCTCACCCTGTATGGAAATTGCCTTTTTTCTGCGCAGCTGTGGCTGAACTATTGAGTTGCCCCAGACATAGTAACTTTCAGTTACTGTAAAGGATAGAGGAAGTGAAAAGAATAAGGACAGATCGGATTTGCCTCAAAGCAGATTTGAAAAATTAGAAATTCGACCAAAAGCAGCCGGTTCACAAAATCTTTTCTAATCGTCTCCGCATGCCTAAATCTCATTTGGTCGTTTTTTGGGATGGAATCTTATTTTGAAATGAAAGGTAATTTCTCGAATCATGGTCACGTCGCACACGGCAAAAGCGGCAAAACATAAAAGGAGATCTTAAAAAATAGCACCATAAACAAATTTTTGCCGAGATGTAAAGAAGGGTAAACACTTTCGTAATACCCTGTACACAAAAACTGTGTATTACGTTTAAGGGGGCAGTAGCGTCTTTTGCACGTGTTTTGACGATTTTTGAACCTCCTGTTTAGACGTTAATATAAAGATAAGTATGAATGCCAGAGGCAAACGGCAGGCACCATTTGAAAGATAAAAGTTTTTACAACATTTTCAAAAAAAAATATTTTGTTTTAGCATTGAATTAGGATGTTTTGTGTTATATGCAAAAATGGTCTGCAAAATTACATGGTTTCACTGCGCGCACGATTGTGTAGTGTAGGGCACTAATAGTGATGAGGAACGGATAAGTGACGAGAGAGAGTAGGGATTCACTGGTTTATTAGGGAGGTGCGCACAGACCGAGACCAGGCTACAGACTGTTGACCGGCGCTGAGGCGCGATCCAATTTATAGTCTGGGCAACAGTGACACCTTGCTTGGTGGGTGAGTTCAGAAAGAGGAGTATTGTAGGGCCTTGGCCAGGAGTGAGGGAAGCAAGCCAGAGAGGGGAAGAAGACAAGAAATAAAAATACTGACTGACACTTGTTTAACTCCTTTTAAAACCGTCAAATCTCTACACCACTCCCCCTTTAAAAGAATTTTCTCAAATTGCTTCCTTTCCTTCAAAGTTATCACTTCTCCTCCTTTTAAAGTTATCACTTCTCCTCCTTTTAAAGTTATTACTTCTCCTCCTTTTAAAGTTATCACTTCTCCTCCTTTTAAAGTTATTACTCCACTCCTTCTTTTAAAGAAAATTATAAGTTGCCCAAACTTTGACATTCATTTAATTTTTTTCTTTCTGCGTCATCTTGTGTGAGCTGAAACAATATCCGTCTAGGCCCATCTGACTCAAGTAAGGGTGTCCATCCTTCCTTGACACGCCATCAACGTCAAACAAAATTCATATGATCTTCTTAAAGAGTGGTTCAACAGCGACTCCATGCACTTCCAATAACAGGAAGTACGATCATGGCAACTTTGCCCGTCCCGTGTACAAAGAAACGTACGAATTTTGCCTATGTTTGACCTTACGGAATTAAACCTGATCTGGGGTTTAAATAAAGGTCGTTTTCATCAGCAAACTCACAAAACATGAGAAACAATGCAAAAACTCGAATAAAAAGAATGTTCAAATACTGCTGGGATTTGAACCCTTTTCCCGTCAACTTCTCCGATTCGCTCGAAACTGTACCATTGTTTTTCTCTCGTCGCCCCATTCCCAAAATAACCCCTAATTGCCCGGCTTGCTGCATCCGTTGCCAGATCCTCCTCGACCCCTTGTGACATGTTCTCCTGCAGCATCGCCCCCGGGGCTTTTACCGGATTTGCTGCCACCGTTCTTAGGTCCCCAAAGGCTGCATACCAATTTTGGTCGATCGGACCACGGAAGTCCTGGACGACGGACCGGACGAACACGGACCAACAGCAAGGATCAAACAATATGCCCGATCCTCTTCATTTTTTTAACAGCGACTCCCATGGCACGTCCAAAAACTAGTTAGGGACGCCATCCTGGGGTGCAACCATTTAGCCTGATCATTTTAAAATAAAGGAATTTTACAGAATTGGATTATTCTTGCTGTGTTGGTCTTGTTGACTCTAGAAGACAGTTCTAGAAGAATTCTCGTAGATCCTCCTGTAACACACATAACACTGCGCACAGAATTTTGTAACCTAATCCCCTCTAACTAACAGTTGGGGATGATGCCTTGGTGTTGCAAATCCTGACTAGCTAGCTAAATCCTATCTAAAACACCAGTTTTGATCTAAGAAGACTAATTAACACCAATGTTTTACCACACTTAACTTGGTAATTGTCCCAAGGCCTTGATGACTTGTTGTTGCACAGTCTCTGGAGATCCTGTGGCATCCACTACTGCATGAAGTCCTGGTTCGTTCTCCATCCAGTTGTCCAGAATCAGATGAAGCTGTTGGATGTAACCTTTGGACAATGTGCTCTCTTCATCCCTTGCCCTTTGATGGATCCTTTTGTAGGCTGTCGAGGCACTGCCTCGAAGATATATGAAGTATTCCTTTCTCTTGTACTGAGATACCATAGTCTTGGCTGTGTTGTCAAGCAATACATACTGCTCTTCGTTCATAAATCCAGCGTCTTTCTGCGTTTTAGCGAACATCTTGACCACACTATGTAGAGATCGCTCTGCGATGACAGATTTTCTTGTTGTATAGCTTCTAGTTGAGCCTGCCACAATGTACTGAGCACCATTGATTGAAAGGTAAACGCCCACTTTTGCATATCTTGAGTGTACAATTCCAGGAAATTAATCCCATGATAGTTTGTCCACTGGGAAACTGGTTCTTGCACTACAAGGTATCCTTTTTCTTCCAATTTCTTCAGTAACGTTGACTTGCCAACTCCTATGTTTCCTTCAATGTAAACAATCACCGGCTGTTTGACAGCTGTCTGCTTGAATTTGTTGTACCATGGCTGCCGACTTAACCAGGCAAGCGCCATGTCTGCGTCTCTTGGCTGTCAAGTGCCGACTGACCGTGAGGCTTGACCGGGCAACGGCCCGCGTGTTATGCATTCCAGCACGCATTGCCTCGGTGCGTTCATATCGAGTGCGATTGATCCGCATGAATGGCTATTGTTTTCACTGGGTTGGCTACCCTGTTCGCACTGTTGCTTCGTCGTGCGGGTCACTTCGTGCCGATGGTGGGGTCACGTCGCTGCGCTGATTGGCTCCCGAGTTCGTCGACGCTCGCGTCGGTGGTGGGGCAGAGCGGTTCTTCAGGACTAGCGCTCCGCTCCGTCCGATGTATTGCAATGGTCTAGTGGGTAGCGTGAGTGACTGAGATGGTTGACAACCGGTATCGGTGGTTCGATTCTCCACATTCAGCTCCACACCAATTTCTCTGAGAGGCATTTGGCTGAGAATTCATCCAAGCCTAGTTGGTGTCGGCGTTGGCTGTGGTGATGGTCATGGTGCTGGTGCTGTTGTGCCGGTGTCCTCCATGGTGTTCCAGCTTCATCTGCGGAACATTTCCCTCCACATTGGTGTAGGGATTGGTTTGGCGGATGGCCTCCACGTCAGATACCGTGTGGTGTTCTCCATCTGACTCACCCCTGTCACAGACCACAGTAATATTTTGCCTCTGACTCCTATGATTCTTTACTGTGTCTGACATTCCCAATGCCTTTGCTCCTTGACACTTGACTCCGGCTTTCCTGCCATTCCATTGCGGCCTGTCTGGCTCGGTGGTGGTTGCAGACGCCAGTCGTACCAACTGTGTCTGTTTAACGGTCGAACTTCCTTTGCTTTATTCTCTGTGACTTCTTTGTTTTTGAATGTTGACTCCCTTATTGTCTTTTCATGTCCGTTCTTGAAGCTTTCTTCTCGTATAGTTCTGGCCTTTGATTTTGCCTTGTAATTTTAGCGCGCGTTCTTTTCAAACACTTCCTGTAACTTTCCAATGTTGGTCAATCTGCTTGTTCTCTTCTTGTCTGGTTGCCCTGCTTCGCCATATTGCTCTGTCTTCGTGTTTACTGGTATCCCGGTATCCTGGTATCTGTTTATCATGGGTGTTTATAATATTTTGGGGATTAATCCTCGCACCCCCTACCCCTGTGTGGCGGGTCTACTAGTCAAGTTCAGCGCCCCTGGTGGGGTTGCCTCATCCGTAAGTTTTCTTTCATTTCCTTACGTCTTCGTTTTGGTTGTTGAGGGTTCCTCCTCGGAGTTTTCCTTTTTTTTTCTTTTTTTTTTTTTTTAGATTCATACCCACTGCGCTATTTGGTTTCAAAACTTAAAGTCAACCATTCCCTTTGAGCATCATCGCTTTTGCCGAACGGTTCGCCCAAAGTCCCGTCTATGACATTCAATAGATCTGCTTCCTGCCATCTCCTTGAAAATCGCGTCTGGCGATGCGCGTAAGTCCCACCATTCTAACTTTTCTTGTTTCCAGCCATTAGTTTTCCTTCGCTAATTCCTTCTTTTTTTTTTTTTTTTAGTTTGTTTGGGTAAACCCTGCGTGTTCACAGCGCACGTTCTCGAGTGGTGAACTGTCTTAGCGACGTCCAAACCACGCTTTTCCTGCCTCCAACTTGCCGTCGGTGAAGGAGTATTATGTCCTTATCCTGATGACGATGATCCCGTTAATGATGTCTTGGCTTAGCGTTCTCTCCACATCATGACCATTTGTGCATCTTTCCTGTTTTTATTTCATTTTTTACCCTTTTTTTTTTTTTTTTTTTTTTTATCATTTCCTGGGTAGGTTTGACCATCTCTTACCACTCCTCCATTTTTACACTGTACCAGTCATTGATATTTCTTCACCCATTTCTCCACCATGTCCTCATTCGTGCGTGACGATAAGTGCGTTTCCAGCAGATTTCCAGGGCACTAGACTTTGTCTCTATTTATCCAGGGAAGGACATCATTAATTATTCATTGCGACCCTTAACCTTATCTTTCGGTGCATGTTGCATGCGGCTCTTGGGCCAGTTTTCTAGTGTTTATTTCCCCCTTTCCATTCTTGTTTCCTTTTATACGTTTCTTATCCAACTTTCATTCTTCCTGTTGTTAAGTTGTCATTCCGTCTGGGTTGGTAATGCTGATTCTGTGCCTTCTATTAACGTTGTTGTTCTTCTGCTTTTGGCTTATCACTCCAATCAAAACAAAAGTTCCTTCAGGTGACATTTCAGGTTAATACTTTGAGACTTTGTGAAACATATTCTACTTCTCTTCCCCCTTCAAACGAAAAGACCAAAGGTAAGCAAATTCTAAGTTCATTCTGAGTTTAAAGAATTGTTTTCCAGTCGTACTTCCATATTCTGAGGCACTTCTAGCCGTTCTATTTACCCACTGGTGTCCATCAAACAAAGTGGTTAGCTGACAACCAATTTTTAAACTTACTTCGTGTTCATTGTAAGTGTCTCATCCTAGAGTTCAAGTGTAGGTGAAACACAAAAGCGCGGTCTGGGACTTGACCCACAGACGGGCTTACTTTGCGTTTTGTTTGTGTAGAAAGCACTCAACGCGGCCAATAGGCGGGTTACGAGTGTTTCTCTAAAACTTTGTTCATCATCGTATTAAGTGGGTGTACCAAGGAATGTAGAAGTTCTAAGGAAAACATAATTATTAGCTTAGTGTTTTATTATTTTTAAACAGGGGTTTTCACTTTACATGAAGTTAATGATTATACTGACTTTGAAGCTTTAACATATATACAATAGAGAGCTAAATGTTTCACTAGGTCTCGTCGTACCTAACCTGTCTCTGTCTTTCTTTGCAGGTCTTCTCACTCTATGAGGTTTTCTTGAGATGACAATTGTTCCATCAACTCGATCGGTGGCAAAGGAGGTGGCACCGGAATCAACGGGAACAATGCGACTTTCCGTTTGGCATCCTTGAGGGTAAGTACTTGCAAATTCAATTCTTTTGCCACTCGGCGAAGTTGTTTCTTGGTGCGTTTGAGCACTCACTTCGTTTGTGATTGCGTGAGCCACATTTCCAACAACGGGCTTTCTCCTTCTGTTTCTTGCTCACTAATATTTTCTTTTGTGCAGGTTTCGACTGAGAAGTTTCGTGGACTACTGGAATACCTTCTGACTCCATTTCAACATCTGCAATCTCCGTTTCTTCTTGTACTGAGAGTTGCTGCATTTGTGGAACCAACTGGCTATGTTCTTCAAGCAACTCGTCTTCATCCAAGTCAGAGAGGACAATATCGACATCATCGTTGTTCGTACCAGCAGAACCAAACAATTCTTCCTCCAGTAAGTCAAACTGTAGTCTTTCTTCTGCTTTTGCTTCACAATCTCGAACCATTGCTCTGCGTTTTTCTGCTTCCTCTTGTTGCATTTTTCTGCGTGAAGCACTTACTTCTGTTTGTTTTAATTCCCATTCTCGCCGTCTCTCTTGCTTCGCCTTTTCAGCTGCTTCCAGTTTTTCTTTCCCTAGAGCTTTCTGCTCATCATATTTCTTTTGCATCTTTGCTTTGAGAGCAGCAAAATCTACTTGAGGTAAGGCTGCTGTAACCTTTTTCTGTTTCAGTGGCTTCACTGGCTTCTTACTTGCAGTTTTATGGCACTGCTTACTGCGTCCTGCCAATTTTACTACTGCTTCCCATTTTTCATCTGTCTTGCTTCCTGGCTTTTTAGGGATCTTGTATTTTTCCAGAAAAGTATCCATTCTTTGACTCATGACTGCTTCAGCTTTTCAAGATGGTTCTGTTGCTATGGGAACTGTTGGACTAAGTATTGTTGAGGTCTCAGGTGTTACTTGGTATCTCTGTCTCACTCCTTTTTCTTTCTCTCTTGCAGGAACAAGTATTCATCGGATTCATCTGTTCCATTGAATGTGAGCCAATTCAGCCAAGCTCCGACACCTTCTTCTCCAACTGAAGGATGTGGTGCAAGGCGATCCATGTGTACAACTTGAATGTCAGAAGGCTCTTTATCATTTTGAATTCGAGCATCACAATCATTTATAAGAGTGAGTATGGTATAGGGGCCTGTCCACTCAATATGTAGCTTTCGGCATGCTTCATACCATTTCAATGCCTTATTGTATAGGAAAACTTTGTCTCCTACATTGAAAGGACAAATTCCAGCATTCCTGTCATAGTATTGCTTCATTTTGATTGCAGCTTCAGCTCGTATCTTTCTGACTTCCTCATGGATTTTGCACAAAGCATTCCGCACTGCCCATGGGTAATTATCTTTCATTACCGGCATCACAGGCGGTGGTCCTTGATCCATATGAAGAGGTGTCCTCATTGGTGCTCCAAACATTATCTCATAAGGTGAGAACTTATGCTTTGCATGAGGTAGACTTCTGTATGCTTGTGCAATGAAGGGCAAATACTCTACCCACATTCGATGAGCTCCATCACATAGTAACTTGAGATTCTGTTTCAGTGTTCTTACCCAACGTTCTGCCTTTCCATTGGCTGAAGGATGATAAGCAGTCGTTCGAGTTTTCTTAATGTGATAGAGTGCCATTATCTCATGGAACAACTCTGACTCGAAGATCTGAGCTTGATCTGTCAGAATAGACAGTGGCGCTCCATAGACTGAGAACACGTGAGTGATTAAAGCTCTTGCTACCTCTTGGGCTTGCTGAGTTTTGAGTGGCACAAATACTGGCCATCCAGACAGTGCTTCCACTGCCACTAACACAAACTTGTACCCTTCTTTTGTTGTAGGGTATGGCCCGGCTGTGTCAACATGCCATCTGCCATGCAAAACTCCATCGTGGAATATCTTGAGAGGCACCTTAATTTTCTGGAGAGGTCCTTTGACTCTGAGGCACGTTGTGCAACTTGCCACGAATTCTGCCACATCATTGTACATTCCTGGCCACCAAAAGAATCTCTTCAAGGTTTGTAAAGTCTTACCAACACCAAAGTGGTTGTTTTGGCCCAACTGTGTGTGGTACATTTCCATTGTGGGTTTCACATGTTTTCTCGGAAGAACTAACACTGTGCTTGTCTTTTCAGGGTTTCCAGACGGATGTTCAATTCTTTTGTACAACAAATGGTCTTGGATTTCCAATGATTTGAACTTATGCCACAGTGTTCTTGTGCGTGGACCAAAGGCAGACACTTCCTGAAAGTGTGGCTTCTGTCCGTCATTGACAGCCATATAGATGGGCATTATATCTTCATCAAGCTTTTGGTCTCGTACCATGGTCATGCTAGAGACTCCGTCAGGCACAATTGTTGTCCAATTGGCTATCACTTCATCTGTGTTTGCAGGGATTGTCATTCTATCCTCTACTTCACATAGTTTACAGTGTACATCACATGTCTTCCAGTGTATGTTTGTTGCAGGTTCAAAGTGGTACATGTAGATCCGGAAGGCCAAGTCTCCAAACACTCTGTGAAGCATTTCAACCAGTGTGGCTAACTGCATTTTATCAAGTCCACATGAGAATTCAGGCATGCAAATTGCAGGTACGTTGTGCTTTATTACCCACAATCGTAGAGTGATTAAGGCTTGCTCTACCTCTTCTGGAGTAGGCTTGTCATAGTACTTCACTTTTGTGATGACATTCACTATGCATCTTCCATGACTGTGAGAGATGACTAATCCTGGGCATCCTCTGTCCTTCTGTTTCAGGAAATCCTTCTTCACTCGATACAGAGTTTCTAACTCCAATGCCAGTCCTTTTCCAAACTTGCCATCATGACTGACTGCATGGCATAGTGGAATAGAAGGTGGACTGTGGAAGATGTTGTCATAGACATGGAATAGTTCAAAGTTTTTGGACGAAGGTAGTGTATCGAGCTCTAAAAGTTTATCCATGTCTATGTAGTTCAAGGATGCCGCGTCTCGCTCTTCTAATCTTGCACATTTCTTGCAGTTGGCCGTGCATGGTCTAGCAGGCCGTCTGCTCAATGCATCAGCATGCCCAATGTTGATTCCTTTCTCGTGGACAACTTCAAATTTGTATGGCGCCAGCCTTTCAAGCCATCGAGCTAGGCGTCCAGTTGGATTTTTGAAGTTTCTTAGCCACTGCAAAGCTGCATGGTCAGACTTTACAATGAACGGCGCTCCTGCCAGGTAATGGTTGAAGGCTTTTATTGCTTCTACTAGAGCAAGTAATTCACGGTGTGTAGCACAATAGTTCCTTTGTGCTTTGTTGAGCAGTTTAGACCAGAAAGAGATAGTCACATCTTTGCCGTCTTGCTCTTGAGTTAGGACTGCTCCTAGTCCAGTTAGACTTGCGTCACACGTTACTGTGAATTGGCCCTTCTCTACATCTGGTGTTCCCAATATGGGTGGCGATACCAGCTTTTGTTTTATCTCTGCAAAAGCTTTTTCACAATCATTAGACCATTCGAATGGCACACCTTGCTTCATTAACGCAAATATTGGTGTGGCTATGGTTGCCAAGTGAGGTACATATTTTGCATAATATTGTACCAGTCCTAACCAGGACCTTACTTCCTTTACATCCTTTGGTGCTGGCCAATGAGTGATCTGGTGAATTTTCTTATTGTCAACTCTTATTCCTTTTTCTGACAGGACATGGCCTAAGAATGAGACTTCCGTCTGGAAAAGTTCACACTTCTTGGCTTTTAGCAAGAATCCTCCTGCTCTCACTCTATTGAAGAAAGCTATCAGCCTTGTCATCATTTGGTCAACTTTATCTCCAGCAATGCAGACATCATCGATGTAGACTGCTACTGTGTCTCCAAGGTCATTTTCCGGAGTTTTCACTGTGGCTGGAGTTACCAGTCTGTCTGTAACATACTGGAAAGCACCAGGTGCTGCTGACAATCCAAATCCCATTCGGGTGTATTCATATTGCCTGCTCGGCAATGCCAAATCATCAGGTAAGATTATTGCAGTTTTTGGCTGATCATCTGGATGTACTACCAAGTTGTGGTATCCATGTGCCAAATCCGCACAATGATAGTACTTTTTGCCCGCTAAATGTTGCAATAACTCTTGTGTTCTAGGTATTGGCGCTGCCGGCACCCTGGTTATGGCATTTAGTGCTCTGTAATCCACGCAAACTCTTACTTCACCAGTTTTCTTTGGTACACAAAGAATGGGCGATGCCCATGCAGACTGACTGGGTTTTATGGCTCCCATCTTGAGATATTTTAAGAAGGTTTCTCTGACTTCTTTTCTATAATGCAATGGGACTGGTCTTGCATTTTGCTTTATTGGTGGATGATCTCCTGTGTCAATCCGGAATCTAAGCCATGGGCATGTACCAAAGGTATAGTTGTCTTTTGCAAATACATCATGATGAGTCTTAAGTATGTTTTCTAACACTTCCTTCTGTTCTGGTGTTAGGTTTTTACTGCTCTTTTCCAAGAGTGTTTGCAAATCTTCTGGCAACTTCTCCAACGGTGGCTCTCTTGGAGTTGTATTAATTTCTGCGCCATAATGTGGGGCTACTTCGTGTTCTGTCCAAGCCACTCCACAAAGGTGACATAACTCCACAATTTCTTCTGTATCTTCTGCCTCCTCGTCCCCCTCAACAAGGACAGGGTCCTCATCAGGCTCTATATCACCCAAGAAATTGGGGTTGAGATCATCGTCGTCATCCTCAGTTAGACCGCTGTACTTCAATGGATGAACTAGGAAAACTTCTCCAATGATGGTATACTTTGGGATCTCAATGCATTTTGCTCCCAAATTTTCCATTGTCACAGTAATTGGTGCACTTACACATGGAACCATCCCGGACTGGACCAAAACTGTTGCAGGTAATTTTGAGACTTTATTTTCTGCAAATTTATTATTGGTAAAGAGACCCGTTCTGATTGTACTAGACTCGAGGTTCAAAACCTCCTCTGGCTGGATTCTCATACTTTGCTTTTGCTTTGTGTCGACTTTCTCACTTTTCACTTTGTCTTTGTTCTCTTTTTCAGTTTCATAATTCTCTTTCTCTTTCAGATTCACGTTGAGACCAGCAAGAGGCGAAGTGACCGAAGGCTCAGAACATTGTGTTGGTGTGGACAGCACCTCCACCTCATCCTGCTCCATGGCCACTACGTCTCCCTGTCTCACCCATGCGCTGGCTTCTCCCAGCTCATCAGCCTCCAAATCTGCATCCAGCTTTGTCTCCAACTTCTTTGTCACAAATGGTCTTAACAGAGTCCTTTGATTGGCTCTGACCACATAGTACAATGTTCCGTCATCAAACTTTCCTTTTGTTGGTGACTTTCTGACTCTGAACGGGACTCTCACCTTGGAGCCAAACTTAGCAAACCGTCCTTTGGCATGGACTCTTACATCAAAATGCTCCATGAAATCATATCCAATTAGATTTTCACTAATGTCAGCTTCATAGACTTGGAAGGAATAAGTCTTCCCTTTTATTTGGAAGTCCGTCCAGGTTGGTCCATATAGTGGAGCTCTGTGTGCAGTAGCACTCTTCAATCTGAGTTTAGCCTGAGGTAAATCTTTTCTTGTTCTTTTAAGTACTGTGATTTGTGCTCCTGTATCTAATAGTGCTTCTGTTTGTGTTCCCAGAATTTCACACTTTATGTAAGGAGCATTCCGCAACTTTGGTACATCCTTGCAAGAAGTACACACATCACAATCTGGATGTTGCTCTTCATTGAGGATTTTACTGGTACAGTCTTGCAACGCCTTTTTCATGCAATCAGTTTCTCTACTCTGCTTGCACTGTTTAGGCTTTTTCACCATTGCATTTTCATCTGTCTTCCTTTTTACTGGTTTTCTCACTTCTGGTTTGTCTTCTTTCTTTACAGTCGGAGTAGCTTCTGGTTTAACTTGAAGCACGTTTGGTTCTTTTGGCACCCGACTTCCCTCCGATTGGAAGGGTACCTGCTCTAGTTTCCCTGATCCTCTTGGTCATTATTTCTGGGTACGTAAGGCATGCGCTGCTGGCCTTGATTCCCCTGATTCTGACGCTGCCCTTGGTAACCTTGCTGAGACTGGTTATTTTGATTTCTAGGACCTTGAATGGACCGGAGTTGGTTCATGTCCGGCCATCCAATGCTGCGCTGGTTCCCAGCATCCTGGAATTGGTAGTATGCCAGAGCTGTGCGCAAAGCGTCTGGTGGGAAACTGAAGTATCCTCTTCCACGCCCTCGGCCTCGTGACATGGCCTCGTCTCGAAGGCGATTTCTGCAGTCTCTGTAGACATGATTTGGCATGTGGCAGTAGCTACAGGTACGTGCTCCTCCATTATTGCCATTATTGAAGTATCCTCTGCCTCGGTTGTTTGAGCCGTTTGGGCAGTTTGCTGCGAAATGTCCTGGCTGCTTGCAATTGTGACATGTGCCATTTTGTACATTTCCAGCATATCCTCGACCGCCTCGTCCACGGCCTCTTCCAGACCCTCTAGGACGTCCACGGCCTCGTCCTCGTTGAACCGTCTGAGTTCCAGTACCAGAAGTACTCTGTTCACCCTCAGCTTGGTTTACTTCAACTTCACTTGTATCCTTTGATGTGGACTCGATCTCAGCCAAACGGACCTTTTTGGCTGGTCGCTCTCCATACAGCAGTAATCCTCTATTTAGGTTCTTTACAGCATCTGCCAAGGTGTCGCTCTGTGCAAATGCCAGTCTTTCTGCCATGTGGCTATCTGCTAATCCTTTGACGAAAGCTGTCACTAATGCTTCTTGTAGGTCTTCTTCATTGTGTGTGACCATGTATTTTCTTCCCACATGCTCGACTTGTAGAGCGAAATCTTCTAGTTTCTGATCTGGCCCTTGCTTCAATGTTTCAAAGTCTCGCTTTCTTTGCCAAAGCGATGTTACAGCACTGAATGTTTTTGCCAAAAGAGCATCCAGTTCTTGAAACGTTGCTTCTTTTCCTTGCTGGTCTAGCATTGGCAAGACCATCAAAGCTTTTCCTCGTAGAGCTGTCACGAGTTTCTGACTCTTTTCTTCTTCCGTCATGTTCTTTGTAATCTTGTTGAACTGTGACCTCCATAGCGTATAGCAATGTTCTCCGTCATATTCTGGGATTCTAGTATTCTCTGTAGTGGGTGCTGGGCGCTGTTGTTGTACACCCTGATTTTGTTGTTGCTGTTGTTGATGTTGTTGTATCTGCTGCTGCTGCGTGTTCAATATCTGAGTTAGGACATTAAAGAGAGGCTGCATTGCTTGTAGTCCTTGTTGGAATCCATGACCCAAGTCGTCGCCGTGCTCGCTTGCTTCCTCGTCCTCATCGTCGTCGTCGTCTGCTTCATCGACGTGACGCTGTCGTAACTCTCTTGCTTGTCCTTGAGCAGCTCCGCGACCTCTGCCTCTGCCTCTACCGCGGCCTCTGCCTCTGCCACGTCCCCTTCCTCGGCCACGCCCTCGGCCGGCTTCTGGTGCTTCGGGTTCTCCTGCAGGCTGTCCCTCTTGAACATCAAACCCTTCAAATCCGGGCAATCCGGGTCGGCCTGCGCGAGGCGGGACTAGTCGAACTACCGCGTCGGGTTGCTGCGGCGGCTCGTTTTGAGCAGGACCAGCAGGGCCTGGTTGATCTTCGTCCATCGGATGCGGCAAAGGTCCTACGTGTGGATCGAAGAAGTCACGTGCTGGTTGTCTGAAAGGCTGCATAATACAGCGATGTCTTGAGAACTTGTGTTTTCTTTCTCGTGTACTTCCCTGAAATTCCTTTGACCTAACGACAGTAACTAGCGCGAGCGAGCTCTGCTTTCAGTTCCGTCCACTCACTCTGTGTCTTAACAGCACGTTTTTACAAACTGCTTTCGTTAATCCACCTCTTTCAAGTTATCCGAACAGCTCTTGTGCTTACGTCTGAAACAGCGCACTCCTGAGTGGTTACGTTTCAAACAGCTCCAGGCTTACGTTCGTCTAACCCTCTCAAACTGTCAACTGATCAGCACAAATACTAGGCTTACGATCAATCAACCCAATTGCTCAGAGAAGTGTAGGACTGCACAGACTGGTAGTGGCTTACGCTCCTCAAGGAAGCAGCACGACTATCCAGCCAGGCAATACCTCCTTACACCTCCTATAGACTACTCAATCACACAAATCGCTCGTCACACTCTCGTCCTCCTTCAAAAACGTAGGGAAAACCCACGCAATATCGCCAGTTTAACCGCTGTCACCACTTGTAGTGTAGGGCACTAATAGTGATGAGGAACGGATAAGTGACGAGAGAGAGTAGGGATTCACTGGTTTATTAGGGAGGTGCGCACAGACCGAGACCAGGCTACAGACTGTTGACCGGCGCTGAGGCGCGATCCAATTTATAGTCTGGGCAACAGTGACACCTTGCTTGGTGGGTGAGTTCAGAAAGAGGAGTATTGTAGGGCCTTGGCCAGGAGTGAGGGAAGCAAGCCAGAGAGGGGAAGAAGACAAGAAATAAAAATACTGACTGACACTTGTTTAACTCCTTTTAAAACCGTCAAATCTCTACAATTGCAGCCAAAGTTTTTAACTTTTTACCAATCGGTAAAATGCATCTGAAAAAGCATGAAATTGCCCATATAATGACCCTTGGGTTTCAATATTGGGCAAGAAAAACTATTGAAACGCTCATCTTCAACTTAAGATGGAAAAGAACCACATTTTTTCTGGCCCAATATTAAAACCCAAGGGTCATTTTATGGGCAATTTCATGCTTTTTCAGATGCATTTTACCGATTGGTAAAAAGTTAAAAACTTTGGCTGCAATCGTGCGCGCAGTGACACCATGTAATTTTGCAGACCATTTTTGCATAGAACACAAAACATCCTAATTCAATGCTAAAACAAAATATTTTTTTTTGAAAATGTTGTAAAGACTTTTATCTTTCAAATGGTGCCTGCCGTTTGTCTCTGGCATTCATACTTATCTTTATATTAACGTCTAAACAGGAGGTTCGAAAATCGTCAAAACACGTGCAAATGACGCTACTGCCCCCTTAATACACGTGAGTGTAAAACCATTGTTTCGCAAAATGTGCCAAATATTGGCATTTCAGTGCCGTAATACACAACACACGAGTAACCGTAACACCGCGTTATACCGACTAGTCTGTACCAAGGGGATTAACACTCCAAGAAATCGTGTACAGAGTACTCGGTATTACGCGGTATTTCGGGGATATTACACGTGTATTACGGCATTATATGTTTTTGGAAATTTCGAATATTCGGGGTCGAAGCAAAGAGATCCGTCCTCGCATCGAATCACCCCTGATTCGATTCGATACGATACCGAACTATTCGCACATCCCTAAGGTCAAGGTATTCGCGGAAACGCAAGAGAACTCCTGGCAGATTCCAGACCTAAAGGGCAAGCCATTTGCCAACACCTCATGGATTTGGACCAAACTTGGTATACCTATACCTTTTGAGTCAAAAAAATTTTTGGTGGAAAAATTTTTTTTTTTGAAAATTTTTTTTGTCGTTAAAAATAAAAAAATGTTTCTAGACAATTTGACGTCATCACCAAAATTGCTCAAAATTTCACCAAAGACTCATCATTATGTTCTCTTTTCACCTGCCAAGTGCCAATACGGTTAACTTAATACTTTGGGAGATATTAAAGTTTACGAGTCCAAAAGCGACCAACCCGTTAATGATTTTCACCTAGATTTGCTTCTATTCGAGTCAGCAGTCATATTCCGACTAAAGTAATGCTTCGTCTTGAAAAATTTAGAACCAGACTTGATAGTTATACTCAGAATGATGCAATTTAAGGCCACATAAGGAATATTCAGTGATATTTAGTCTTTTTTATGTTTGATAATTCAATTATTTTTATTGCTGTTGGTCAGAATTTTATCATATACTTCTAGATGTGGTACTAACCTTCTGAGTAAGTTCAATGACAGAATTTCTTCTGTTCCAACAGAAAGTAATCATTTCTTCAAGCTACTACCACTTGCAAAAGAATCTCACCCCCTAGCCGTGCGCGGCGCTACCCCGCGCCACGGATATGGCTTCTCCAGTAGCTACCTGAGTGCGGGGTATCGCCGGACCCGTCAAGGGGAGTGCGGGGAGTCTCAAGTCTTGCCCTCGTCCCATCGTCTATACCCCATGCTACTTTGCAATTTCTCATAGTTTTTCGTTTTCTTTTTTGCCTCAATTTTTCATACAAGATGTTGTTTGTTGATGTGAACAATAACAAAATTTGTCTTATTGTTGTTTCTGCTTCGAGGTGTTTATTGAATAATTGAGAGGGTTTTTAAAGCTACAATGGAGACTAGTTGTTCCCTTCAATATTTGACTGGAGCTTGTGGAGGCTCTATCAAACAAAGAGCAGATTTTACTAAAGAAGAGCGGAGTATTTTGCATTATCGTACTAGCTTAGCAGTTATTCTTACTGTTTGTGAGAACCATGAACTAACCTATTTGAGACTATTTCCTATGAAGCAAACAGTTTGTGCAGAGAAGGGCCCAAATCACAAGGCCAAAGCTGCAAGAAATATTAGTTATGCCATGTTTAAAAAACTATTACTTGTCCAGCCTTCAACTTCTTTGGTTCCTGGATCAGGTTTATGTCCTGCGTGCTTCTCAACCATCAACAAAAGCCTAGAAAACATTACGTCTCCACCACCTTCACCAGGAAGTGAGGAAGATGAAATTAAAGATAAGACCGTAGAGCTGGAAGGTGACTCTAGCATTGATGCTGAAAATCAGTCTGACCAAGGCCGCTTTGATGATTCTGCCAAAGTTGTTACCTTGGAAAAGTCACAAAAACACGAAGAAGATGACTTCCCTTTCACTCCTCCGGCACCAGTACCAGGAACTTCATCAGGTC